CTCTCCCAAGTCTAGAGGAACACCAACTTCAGCACAGCAACTCGAGGAATGATCTGTGTACCCCAAATCGTCTCGAGATGAGAGCTGATTCCCTGGCTTAGGCTCAAGACGTATGCCAAATTTCCAGAAGCACCTCAGGAGGAGGCTTCTCAGCAATAGGTATGTGGGAGGGACTCCGAGTTTGCTGCCTCAAGGGGAATATACATCGAGAAGCCCTAACTTGAAAGGAGGCCGGATTTCCTTGCAGTAGCTTGAATACAGGCTTGTCTTTCATCTCACAACATGAAGGGATGTCTGAATCCCCTGTGGAGACCTTAGAGAAAGCCCTAGGTCCCTGCCTCATTTTGACGGAATGCCTCATATCCCGCTGACACCTCGAGAGGCACGCGGAGTTCATTGTTTCAAAAGGTGACGATGCCTGACTCCTCTTGAATACTGATAGGAATCCCAAAATCCCTGTGGCTACTGGAAAGGGTCCTTGGGTGCCCTGCCTCACCTCGAGAAGCGTCCCTTTTGCCCTGTCAAGACTCGAAGAGATTCCTGAGGTGTCCCTCGTTACTAGGCAGGAGTCCTGACGTCACTGAAGAAACTCGTGTTTTGAAGGGCCATCCCCGCCGTAAGTCGAGAATATACCCCAGGTCGCCGCCGCAACTCGAGAAAAACCATGAGACTTCCCCCTAGAGGCGAGATGAGGCCCCATTCCCCTGCAGTGCATGCAGAGCTATTCCGTGATCCCATTCAAACAAGTCAGGAGCTTCGACTTGCTTAATGGATCTCGAGACAGTCCCCAAGAACACTGTCACCAGTCTAGATGGACCCTGAGGTCACCCCAGCAACGCAAAGCTGCTCCATGTGCCCCAAATCAACTCGAGATGAGGCCCGATTCCCCTGCATTGACTCCAGAGCCATTCCCCGTTCCCCGTTCAACACGACCGGTGGCTCGACTTCCTTCAGGCAACTCCAGAGATGCCCCGAGAACACTGTCCCAAGTCTAGAGGAACACCAACTTCAGCACAGCAACTCGAGGAATGCTCCGTGTACCCCAAATCATCTCGAGATGAGAGCTGATTCCCTGGCTTAGGCTCAAGACGTATGTCAACTTTCCCGAAGCACCTCAGGAGGAGGCTTCTCTCAGCAATAGGTATGTGGGAGGGACCCCGAGTTTGCTGCCTCAAGGGGAATATACAGCGAGAAGCCCTAACTTGAAAGGAGGCCGGATTTCCTTGCAGTGGCTTGAATACAGGCTCGTCTTTCATCTCACAACATGAAGGGATGTCTGAATCCGCTGTGGAGACCTTAGAGGAAGCCCTAGGTCCCTGCCTCATTTTGACGGAATCCTCACATCCCGCTGACACCTCGAGAGGCACGCGGAGTTCATTGCTTCAAAAGGTGTCGATGCCTGACTCCTCTTGAATACTGATAGGAATCCCAAAATCCCTGTGGCTACTGGAAAGGGTCCTTGGGTGCCCTGCCTCACCTCGAGAAGCGTCCCTTTTGCCCTGCCAAGCCTCGAAGAGATTGCTGAGGTGTCCCTCGTTACTAGACAGGAGTCCTGACGTCACTGAAGAAACTCGTGTTTTGAAGGGCCATCCCCGCCGTAAGTCGAGAACATACCCCAGGTCCCCGCCGCAACTCGAGAAAAACCGTGAGACTTCCCCCTAGAGGCGAGATGAGGCCCCATTCCCCTGCAGTGCATGCAGAGCTATTCCGTGATCCCATTCAAACAAGTCAGGAGCTTCGACTTGGTTAATGGATCTCGAGACAGTCCCCAAGAACACTGTCACCAGTCTAGACGGAACCTGAGGTCACCCAGCAATGCAAAGCAGCTCCATGTGCCCCAAATCAACTCGAGATGTGGCCGGATTCCCCTGCATTGACTCCAGAGCCATTCCCCGTTCCACATTCAACACGACCGGTGGCTCGACTTCCTTCAGGCAACTCCAGAGATGCCCCGAGAACACTGTCCCAAGTCTAGAGGAACACTAACTTCAGCACAGCAACTCGAGGAATGCTCTGTGTACCCCAAATCATCTCGAGATGAGAGCTGATTCCCTGGCTTAGGCTCAAGACGTATTGCAACTTTCCAGAAGCACCTCAGGAGGAGGCTTCTCTCAGCAGTAGGTATGTGGGAGGGACCCCGAGTTTGCTGCCTCAAGGGGAATATACAGCGAGAAGCCCTAACTTGAAAGGAGGCCGGATTTCCTTGCAGTGGCTTGAATACAGTCTCGTCTTTCATCTCACAACATGAAGGGATGTCTGAATCCCCTGTGGAGACCTTAGAGGAAGCCCTAGGTCCCTGCCTCATTTTGACGGAATCCTCACATCCCGCTGACACCTCGAGAGGCACGCGGAGTTCATTGCTTCAAAAGGTGACGATGCCTGACTCCTCTTGAATACTGATAGGAATCCCAAAATCCCTGTGGCTACTGGAAAGGGTCCTTGGGTGCCCTGCCTCACCTCGAGAAGCGTCCCTTTTGCCCTGCCAAGCCTCGAAGAGATTGCTGAGGTGTCCCTCGTTACTAGGCAGGAGTCCTGACGTCATTGGAGAAACTCGTGTTTTGAAGGGCCATCCCCGCCGTAAGTCGAGAACATACCCCAGGTCCCCGCCGCAACTCGAGAAAAACCATGAGACTTCCCCCTAGAGGCGAGATGAGGCCCCATTCCCCTGCAGTGCATGCAGAGCTATTCCGTGATCCCATTCAAACAAGTCAGGAGCTTCGACTTGCTTAATGGATCTCGAGACAGTCCCCAAGAACACTGTCACCAGTCTAGACGGACCATAAGGTCACCCAGCAATGCAAAGCAGCTCCATGTGCCCCAAATCAACTCAAGATGAGGCCGTATTCCCCTGCATTGACTCCAGAGCCATTCCCCGTTCCCCATTCAACACGACCGGTGGCTCGACTTCCTTCAGGCAACTCCAGAGATGCCCCGAGAACACTGTCCCAAGGCTAGAGGACCACCAACTTCAGCACAGCAACTCGAGGAATGCTCTGTGTACCCCAAATCGTCTCGAGATGAGAGCTGATTCCCTGGCTTAGGCTCAAGACGTATGCCAACTTTCCCGAAGCACCTCAGTAGGAGGCTTCTCTCAGCAATAGGTATGTGGGAGGGACCCCGAGTTTGCTGCCTCAAGGGGAATATACAGCGAGAAGCCCTAACTTGAAAGGAGGCCGGATTTCCTTGCAGTGGCTTGAATACAGGCTCGTCTTTCATCTCACAACATGAAGGGATGTCTGAATCCGCTGTGGAGACCTTAGAGGAAGCCCTAGGTCCCTGCCTCATTTTGACGGAATCCTCACATCCCGCTGACACCTCGAGAGGCACGCGGAGTTCATTGCTTCAAAAGGTGTCGATGCCTGACTCCTCTTGAATACTGATAGGAATCCCAAAATCCCTGTGGCTATTGGAAAGGGTACTTGGGTGCCCTGCCTCACCTCGAGAAGCGTCCCTTTTGCCCTGCCAAGCCTCGAAGAGATTGCTGAGGTGTCCCTCGTTACTAGACAGGAGTCCTGACCTCACTGGAGAAACTGGTGTTTTGAAGGGCCATCCCCGCCGTAAGTCGAGAACATACCCCAGGTCCCCGCCGCAACTCGAGAAAAACCATGAGACTTCCCCCTAGAGGCGAGATGAGGCCCCATTCCCCTGCAGTGCATGCAGAGCTATTCCGTGATCCCATTCAAACAAGTCATGAGCTTCGACTTGGTTAATGGATCTCGAGACAGTCCCCAAGAACACTGTCACCAGTCTAGACGGACCCTGAGGTCACCCAGCAATGCAAAGCAGCTCCATGTGCCCCAAATCAACTCGAGATGAGGCCGGATTCCCCTGCATTGACTCCAGAGCCATTCCCCGTTCCCCATTCAACACGACCGGTGGCTCGACTTCCTTCAGGCAACTCCAGAGATGCCCCGAGAACACTGTCCCAAGTCTAGAGGAACACCAACTTCAGCACAGCAACTCGAGGAATGCTCCGTGTACCCCAAATCATCTCGAGATGAGAGCTGATTCCCTGGCTTAGGCTCAAGACGTATTCCAACTTTCCAGAAGCACCTCAGGAGGAGGCTTCTCTCAGCAATAGGTATGTGGGAGGCACCCCGAGTTTGCTGCCTCAAGGGGAATACACAGGGAGAAGCCCTAATATGAACGGAGGCCAGATTTCCTTGCAGTGGCTTGAATACAGGCTCGTCTTTGATCTGACAACATGAAGGGATGTCTGAATCCCCTGTGGAGACCTTAGAGGAAGCCCTAGGTCCCTGCCTCATTTTGACGGAATACCTCACATCCCCCTGACACCTCGAGAGGCACGCGGAGTTCATTGCTTGAAAAGGTGACGATGCCTGACTCCTCTTGAATACTTATAGGAATCCCAAAATCCCTGTGGCTACTGGAAAGGGTCCTTGGGTGCCCTGGCTCACCTCGAGAAGCGTCCCTTTTGCCCTGCCAAGCCTCGAAGAGATTGCTCAGGTGTCCCTCATTACTAGACAGGAGTCCTGACGTCACGGAAGAAACTCGTGTTTTGAAGGGCCATCCCCGCCGTAAGTCGAGAACATACCCCAGGTCCCCGCCGCAACTCGAGAAAAACCATGAGACTTCCCCCTAGAAGCGAGATGAGGCCCCATTCCACTGCAGTGCATGCAGAGCTATTCCGTGATCCCATTCAAACAAGTCAGGAGCTTCGACTTGCTTAATGGATCTCGAGACAGTCCCCAAGAACACTGTCACCAGTCTAGACGGACCATAAGGTCACCCAGCAATGCAAAGCAGCTCCATGTGCCCCAAATCAACTCGAGATGAGGCCGTATTCCCCTGCATTGACTCCAGAGCCATTCCCCGTTCCCCATTCAACACGACCGGTGGCTCGACTTCCTTCAGGCAACTCCAGAGATGCCCCGAGAACACTGTCCCAAGTCTAGAGGACCACCAACTTCAGCACAGCAACTCGAGGAATGCTCTGTGTACCCCAAATCGTCTCGAGATGAGAGCTGAATCCCTGGCTTATGCTCAAGACGTATGCCAACTTTCCCGAAGCACCTCAGGAGGAGGCTTCTCTCAGCAATAGGTATGTGGGAGGGACCCCGAGTTTGCTGCCTCAAGGGGAATATACAGCGAGAAGCCCTAACTTGAAAGGAGGCCGGATTTCCTTGCAGTGGCTTGAATACAGGCTCGTCTTTCATCTCACAACATGAAGGGATGTCTGAATCCGCTGTGGAGACCTTAGAGGAAGCCCTAGGTCCCTGCCTCATTTTGACGGAATCCTCACATCCCGCTGACACCTCGAGAGGCACGCGGAGTTCATTGCTTCAAAAGGTGTCGATGCCTGACTCCTCTTGAATACTGATAGGAATCCCAAAATCCCTGTGGCTACTGGAAAGGGTCCTTGGGTGCCCTGGCTCACCTCGAGAAGCGTCCCTTTTGCCCTGCCAAGCCTCGAAGAGATTGCTGAGGTGTCCCTGTTACTAGACAGGAGTCCTGACGTCACTGAAGAAACTCGTGTTTTGAAGGGCCATCCCCGCCGTAAGTCGAGAACATACCGCAGGTCCCCACCGCAACTCTAGAAAAACCGTGAGACTTCCCCCTACAGGCGAGATGAGGCCCCATTCCCCTGCAGTGCATGCAGAGCTATTCCGTGATCCCATTCAAACAAGTCATGAGCTTCGACTTGGTTAATGGATCTCGAGACAGTCCCCAAGAACACTGTCACCAGTCTAGACGGACCCTGAGGTCACCGCAGCAACGCAAAGCAGCGCCATGTGCCCCACATCAACTCGATATGAGGCCGGATTCCCCTGCATTGACTCCAGAGCCATTCCCCGTTCCCCGTTCAACACGACCGGTGGCTCGCCTTCCTTCAGGCAACTCCAGAGATGCCCCGAGAACACTGTCCCAAGTCTAGAGGAACACCAACTTCAGCACAGCAACTCGAGGAATGCTCTGTGTACCCCAAATCGTCTCGAGATGAGAGCTGATTCCCTTTCTTAGGCTCAAGACGTATGCCAACTTTCCAGAAGCACCTCAGGAGGAGGCTTCTTAGCAATAGGTATGTGGGAGGGACTCCGAGTTTGCTGCCTCAAGGGGAATATACATCGAGAAGCCCTAACTTGAAAGTAGGCCGGATTTCCTTGCAGTAGCTTGAATACGGCTTGTCTTTCATCTCACAACATGAAGGGATGTCTGAATCCCCTGTGGAGACCTTAGAGAAAGCCCTAGGTCCCTGCCTCATTTTGTCGGAATGCCTCACATCCCGCTGACACCTCGAGAGGCACGCGGAGTTCATTGCTTCAAAAGGTGACGATGCCTGACTCCTCTTGAATACTGATAGGAATCCCAAAATCTCTGTGGCTACTGGAAAGGGTCCTTGGGTGCCCTGCCTCACCTCGAGAAGCGTCCCTTTTGCCCTGCCAAGCCTCGAAGAGATTCCTGAGGTGTCCCTCGTTACTAGACAGGAGTCCTGACGTCACTGAAGAAACTCGTGTTTTGAAGGGCCATCTCCGCCGTAAGTCGAGAACATACCCCAGGTCCCCGCCGCAACTCGAGAAAAACCATGAGACTTCCCCCTAGAGGCGAGATGAGGCCCCATTCCCCTGCAGTGCATGCAGAGCTATTCCGTGATCCCATTCAAACAAGTCAGGAGCTTCGACTTGCTTAATGGATCTCGAGACAGACCCCAAGAACACTGTCACCAGTCTAGACGGACCCTGAGGTCACCCAAGCAACGCAAAGCTGCTCCATGTGCGCCAAATCAACTCGAGATGAGGCCCGATTCCCCTGCATTGACTCCAGAGCCATTCCCCGTTCCCCATTCAACACGACCGGTGGCTCGCCTTCCTTCAGGCAACTCCAGAGATGCCCCGAGAACAGTGTCCCAAGTCTAGAGGAACACCAACTTCAGCCCAGCAACTCGAGGAATGCTCCGTGTACCCCAAATCATCTCGAGATAAGAGCTGATTCCCTCGCTTAGGCTCAAGACGTATGCCAACTTTCCAGAAACACCTCAGGAGGAGGCTTCTCTCAGCAATAGGTATGTGGGAGGGACCCCGAGTTTGCTGCCTCAAGGGGAATATACAGCGAGAAGCCCTAACTTGAAAGGAGGCCGGATTTCCTTGCAGTGGCTTGAATACAGGCTCGTCTTTGATCTGAAAACATGAAGGGATGTCTGAATCCCCTGTGGAGACCTTAGAGAAAGCCCTAGGTCCCTGCCTCATTTTGACTGAATGCCTCACATCCCGCTGACACCTGGAGAGGCACGCGGAGTTCATTGCTTCAAAAAGTGACGATGGCTGACTCCTCTTGAATACTGATAGGAATCCCAAAATCCCTGTGGCTACTGGAAAGGGTCCTTGGGTGCCCGGCCTCACCTCGAGAAGCGTCCCTTTTGCCCTGCCAAGCCTCGAAGAGATTCCTGAGGTGTCCCTCGTTACTAGGCAGGAGTCCTGACGTCACTGGAGAAACTCGTGTTTTGAAGTGCCATCCCCGCCGTAAGTCGAGAACATACCTCAGGGCCCCGCTGCAACTCGAGAAAAACCGTGAGACTTCCCCCTAGAGGCGAGATGAGGCCCCATTCCCCTGCAGTGCATGCAGAGCTATTCCGTGATCCCATTCAAACAAGTCAGGAGCTTCGACTTGCTTAATGGATCTCGAGACAGTCCCCAAGAACACTGTCACCAGTTTAGACGGACCCTGAGGTCACCCCAGCAACGCAAAGCTGCCCCATGTGCCCCAAATCAACTCGAGATGAGGCCCGATTCCCCTGCATTGACTCTAGAGCCATTCCCCGTTCCCCATTCGACACGACCGGTGGCTCGACTTCCTTCAGGGAACTCCAGAGATTCCCCGAGAACACTGTCCCAAGGCTAGAGGAACACCAACTTCAGCACAGCAACTCGAGGAATGCTCCGTGTACCGCAAATCATCTCGAGATGAGAGCTGATTCCCTGGCTTAGGCTCAAGACGTATGCCAACTTTCCAGAAGCATCTCAGGAGGAGGCTTCTCTCAGCAATAGGTATGTGGGAGGGACCCCGAGTTTGCTGCCTCAAGGGGAATACACAGGGAGAAGCCCAAATGTGAACGGAGGCCAGATTTCCTTGCAGTGGGTTGAATACAGGCTCGTCTTTGATCAGACAACATGAAGGGATGTCTGAATCCCCTGTGGAGACCTTAGAGGAAGCCCTAGTTCCCTGCCTCATTTTGACGGAATACCTCACATCCCCCTGACAACTCGAGAGGCACGCAGAGTTCATTGCTTCAAAAGGTGACGATGCCTGACTCCTCTTGAATACTGATAGGAATCCCAAAATCCCTGTTGCTACTGGAAAGCGTCCTTGGGTGCCCTGGCTCACCTCGAGAAGCGTCCCTTTTGCCCTGCCAAGCCTCGAAGAGATTGCTGAGGTTTCCCTCGTTACTAGAGAGGAGTCCTGACGTCACTGAAGAAACTCGTGTTTTGAAGGGCCATCCCCGCCGTAAGTCGAGAACATACCCCAGGTCCCCGCCGCAACTCGAGAAAAACCATGAGACTTCCCCCTAGAGGCGAGATGAGGCCCCATTCCCCTGCAGTGCATGCAGAGCTATTCCGTGATCCCATTCAAACAAGTAAGGAGCTTCGACTTGCTTAATGGATCTCGAGACAGTCCCCAAGAACACTGTCACCAGTCTAGACGGACCCTGAGGTCACCCCAGCAACGCAAAGCAGCTCCATGTGCCCCAAATCAACTCGAGATGAGGCCCGATTCCCCTGCATTGACTCCAGAGCCATTCCCCGTTCCCCGTTCAACACGAACGGAGGTTCGCCTTCCTTCAGGCAACTCCAGAGATGCCCCGAGAACACTGTCCCAAGTCTAGAGGAACACCAACTTCAGCACAGCAACTCGAGGAATGCTCTGTGTACCCCAAATCGTCTCGAGATGAGAGCTGATTCCCTGGCTTAGGCTCAAGACGCATGCCGACTTTCCAGAAGCACCTCAGGAGGAGGCTTCTCAGCAATAGGTATGTGGGAGGGACCCCGAGTTTGCTGCCTCAAGGGGAATACACAGGGAGAAGCCCTAATGTGAACGGAGGCCAGATTTCCTTGCAGTGGGTTGAATACAGCCTCGTCTTTGATCAGACAACATGAAGGGGTCTCTGAATCCCCTGTGGAGACCTTAGAGGAAGCCCTAGTTCCCTGCCTCATTTTGACGGAATACCTCACATCCCCCTGACAACTCGAGAGGCACGCAGAGTTCGTTGCTTCAAAAGTTGACGATGCCTGACTCCTCTTGAATACTGATAGGAATCCCAAAATCCCTGTTGCTACTGGAAAGCGTCCTTGGGTGCCCTGGCTCACCTCGAGAAGCGTCCCTTTTGCCCTGCCAAGCCTCGAAGAGATTGCTGAGGTGTCCCTCGTTACTAGACAAGAGTCCTGACGTCACTGAGGTAACTCGTGTTTTGAAAGGCCATCCCCGCCGTAAGTCGAGAACATACCCCATGTCCCCGCCGCAACTCGAGAAAAACCATGAGACTTCCCCCTAGAGGCGAGATGAGGCCCCATTCCCCTGCAGTGCATGCAGAGCTATTCCGTGATCCCATTCAAACAAGTCAGGAGCTTCGACTTGCTTAATGGATCTCGAGACAGTCCCCAAGAACACTGTCACCAGTCTAGACGGACCCTGAGGTCACCCCAGCAACGCAAAGCAGCTCCATGTGCCCCAAATGAACTCGAGATGAGGCCCGATTCCCCTGCATTGACTCCAGAGCCATTCCCCGTTCCCCGTTCAACACGAACGGAGGCTCGCCTTCCTTCAGGCAACTCCAGAGATGCCCCGAGAACACTGTCCCAAGTCTAGAGGAACACCAACTTCAGCACAGCAACTCGAGGAATGCTCTGTGTACCCCAAATCGTCTCGAGATGAGAGCTGATTCCCTGGCTTAGGCTCAAGACGTATGCCAAATTTCCAGAAGCACCTCAGGAGGAGGCTTCTCAGCAATAGGTATGTGGAAGGGACTCCGAGTTTGCTGCCTCAAGGGGAATATACATCGAGAAGCCCTAACTTGAAAGGAGGCCGGATTTCCTTGCAGTAGCTTGAATACAGGCTTGTCTTTCATCTCACAGCATGAAGGGATGTCTGAATCCCCTGTGGAGACCTTAGAGAAAGCCCTAGGTCCCTGCCTCATTTTGACGGAATGCCTCACATCCCCCTGACACCTCGAGAGGCACGCAGAGTTCATTGCTTGAAAAGGTGACGATGCCTGACTCCTCTTGAATACTTATAGGAATCCCAAAATCCCTGTGGCTACTGGAAAGGGTCCTTGGGTGCCCTGGCTCACCTCGAGAAGCGTCCCTTTTGCCCTGCCAAGCCTCGAAGAGATTGCTGAGGTGTCCCTCATTACTAGACAGGAGTCCTGACGTCACGGAAGAAACTCGTGTTTTGAAGGGCCATCCCCGCCGTAAGTCGAGAACATACCCCAGGTCCCCGCCACAACTCGAGAAAAACCATGAGACTTCCCCCTAGAGGCGAGATGAGGCCCCATTCCCCTGCAGTGCATGCAGAGCTATTCCGTGATCCCATTCAAACAAGTCAGGAGCTTCGACTTGCTTAATGGATCTCGAGACAGTCCCCAAGAACACTGTCACCAGTCTAGACGGACCATAAGGTAACCCAGCAATGCAAAGCAGCTCCATGTGCCCCAAATCAACTCGAGATGAGGCCGGATTCCCCTGCATTGACTCCAGAGCCATTCCCCGTTCCCCATTCAACACGACCGGTGGCTCGACTTCCTTCAGGCAACTCCAGAGATGCCCCGAGAACACTGTCCCAAGTCTAGAGGACCACCAACTTCAGCACAGCAACTCGAGGAATGCTCTGTGTACCCCAAATCGTCTCGAGATGAGAGCTGATTCCCTGGCTTAGGCTCAAGACGTATGCCAACTTTCCAGAAGCACCTCAGGAGGAGGCTTCTCTCAGCAATAGGTATGTGGGAGGGACCCCGAGTTTGCTGCCTCAAGGGGAATATACAGCGAGAAGCCCTAACTTGAAAGGAGGCCGGATTTCCTTGCAGTGGCTTGAATACAGGCTCGTCTTTCATCTCACAACATGAAGGGATGTCTGAATCCGCTGTGGAGACCTTAGAGGAAGCCCTAGGTCCCTGCCTCATTTTGACGGAATCCTCACATCCCGCTGACACCTCGAGAGGCACGCGGAGTTCATTGCTTCAAAAGGTGTCGATGCCTGACTCCTCTTGAATACTGATAGGAATCCCAAAATCCCTGTGGCTACTGGAAAGGGTCCTTGGGTGCCCTGCGTCACCTCGAGAAGCGTCCCTTTTGCCCTGCCAAGCCTCGAAGAGATTCCTGAGGTGTCCCTCGTTACTAGACAGGAGTCCTGACGTCACTGGAGAAACTCGTGTTTTGAAGGGCCATCCCCGCCGTGAGTCGAGAACATACCCCAGGTCCCCGCCGCAACTCGAGAAAAACCGTGATTCTTCCCCCTAGAGGCGAGATAAGGCCCCATTCCCCTGCAGTGCATGCAGAGCTATTCCGTGATCCCATTCAAACAAGTCATGAGCTTCGACTTGGTTAATGGATCTCGAGACAGTCCCCAAGAACACTGTCACCAGTCTAGACGGACCCTGAGGTCACCCAGCAATGCAAAGCAGCTCCATGTGCCCCAAATCAACTCGAGATGAGGCCGGATTCCCCTGCATTGACTCCAGAGCCATTCCCTGCTCCCCATTCAACACGACCGGTGGCTCGCCTTCCTTCAGGCAACTCCAGAGATGCCCCGAGAACACTGTCCCAAGCCTAGAGGACCACCAACTTCAGCACAGCAACTCGAGGAATGCTCTGTGTATGACAAATCGTCTCGAGATGAGAGCTGATTCCCTGGCTTAGGCTCAAGACGTATGCCAACTTTCCAGAAGCACCTCAGGAGGAGGCTTCTCTCAGCAATAGGTATGTGGGAGGGACCCCGAGTTTGCTGCCTCAAGGGGAATATACAGCGAGAAGCCCTAACTTGAAAGGAGGCCGGATTTCCTTGCAGTGGCTTGAATACACGCTCGTCTTTCATCTCACAACCTGAAGGGATGTCTGAATCCCCTGTGGAGACCTTAGAGGAAGCCCTAGGTCCCTGCCTCATTTTGACGGAATCCTCACATCCCGCTGACACCTCGAGAGGCACGCGGAGTTCATTGCTTCAAAAGGTGACGATGCCTGACTCCTCTTGAATACTGATAGGAATCCCAAAATCCCTGTGGCTACTGGAAATGGTCCTTGGGTGCCCTGGCTCACCTCGAGAAGCGTCCCTTTTGCCCTGCCAAGCCTCGAAGAGATTGCTGAGGTGTCCCTCGTTACTAGACAGGAGTCCTGACGTCACTGAAGAAACTCGTGTTTTGAAGGGCCATCCCCGCCGTAAGTCGAGAACATACCGCAGGTCCCCACCGCAACTCGAGAAAAACCGTGAGACTTCCGCCTAGAGGCGAGATGAGGCCCCATTCCCCTGCAGTGCATGCAGAGCTATTCCGTGATCCCATTCAAACAAGTCAGGAGCTTCGACTTGCTTAATGGATCTCGAGACAGTCCCCAAGAACACTGTCACCAGTCTAGACGGACCCTGAGGTCACCCAGCAATGCAAAGCAGCTCCATGTGCCCCAAATCAACTCGAGATGAGGCCGGATTCCCCTGCATTGACTCCAGAGCCATTCCCTGTTCCCCATTCAACACGACCGGTGGATCGACTTCCTTCAGGCAACTCCAGAGATGCCCCGAGAACACTTTCCCAAGCCTAGAGGACCACCAACTTCAGCACAGCAACTCGAGGAATGCTCTGTGTATGCCAAATCGTCTCGAGATGAGAGCTGATTCCCTGGCTTAGGCTCAAGACGTATGCCAACTTTCCAGAAGCACCTCAGGAGGAGGCTTCCCTCAGCAATAGGTATGTGGGAGGGACCCCGAGTTTGCTGCCTCAAGGGGAATATACAGCGAGAAGCCCTAACTTGAAAGGAGGCCGGATTTCCTTGCAGTGGCTTGAATACAGGCTCGTCTTTCATCTCACAACATGAAGGGATGTCTGAATCCGCTGTGGAGACCTTAGAGAAATCCCTAGGTCCCTGCCTCATTTTGACGGAATCCTCACATCCCGCTGACACCTCGAGAGGCACGTGGAGTTCATTGCTTCAAAAGGTGACGAGGCCTGACTCCTCTTGTATACTGATAGGAATCCCAAAATCCCTGTGGCTTCTGGAAAGGGTCCTTGGGTGCCCTGGCTCACCTCGATAAGCGTCCCTTTTGCCCTGCCAAGCCTCGAAGAGATTGCTGAGGTGTCCCTCGTTACTAGGCAGGAGTCCTGACGTCACTGGAGAAACTCGTGTTTTGAAGGGCCATCCCCGCCGTAAGTCGAGAACATACCCCAGGTCCCCGCCGCAACTCGAGAAAAACCGTGAGACTTCTCACTAGAGGCGAGATGAGGCCCCATTCCCCTGCAGTGCATGCAGAGCTATTCCGTGATCCCATTCAAACAAGTCAGGAGCTTCGACTTGGTTAATGGATCTCGAGAGAGTCCCCAAGAACACTGTCACCAGTCTAGACGGACCCTGAGGTCACCCAGCAATGCAAAGCAGCTCCATGTGCCCCAAATCAACTCGAGATGAGGCCGGATTCCCCTGCATTGACTCCAGAGCCATTCCCAGTTCCCCATTCAACACGGCCGGTGGCTCGACTTCCTTCAGGCAACTCCAGAGATGCCCCGAGAACACTGTCCCAAGTCTAGAGGAACACCAACTTCAGCACAGCAACTCGAGGAATGCTCCGTGTACCCCAAATCATCTCGAGATGAGAGCTGATTCCCTGGCTTAGGCTCAAGACGTATTCCAACTTTCCAGAAGCACCTCAGGAGGAGGCTTCTCTCAGCAATAGGTATGTGGGAGGGACCCCGAGTTTGCTGCCTCAAGGGGAATACACAGGGAGAAGCCCTAATATGAACGGAGGCCAGATTTCCTTGCAGTGGCTTGAATACAGGCTCGTCTTTGATCTGACAACATGAAGGGCTGTCTGAATCCCCTGTGGAGACCTTAGAGGAAGCCCTAGGTCCCTGCCTCATTTTGACGGAATACCTCACATCCCCCTGACACCTCGAGAGGCACGCGGAGTTCATTGCTTGAAAAGGTGACGATGCCTGACTCCTCTTGAATACTTATAGGAATCCCAAAATCCCTGTGGCTACTGGAAAGGGTCCTTGGGTGCCCTGGCTCACCTCGAGAAGCGTCCCTTTTGCCCTGCCAAGCCTCGAAGAGATTGCTGAGGTGTCCCTCATTACTAGACAGGAGTCCTGACGTCACGGAAGAAACTCGTGTTTTGAAGGGCCATCCCCGCCGTAAGTCGAGAACATACCCCAGGTCCCCGCCGCAACTCGAGAAAAACCATGAGACTTCCCCCTAGAGGCGAGATGAGGCCCCATTCCACTGCAGTGCATGCAGAGCTATTCCGTGATCCCATTCAAACAAGTCAGGAGCTTCGACTTGCTTAATGGATCTCGAGACAGTCCCCAAGAACACTGTCACCAGTCTAGACGGACCCTGAGGTCACCCAGCAATGCAAAGCAGCTCCATGTGCCCCAAATCAACTCGAGATGAGGCCGGATTCCCCTGCATTGACTCCAGAGCCATTCCCCGTTCCCCATTCAACACGACCGGTGGATCGACTTCCTTCAGGCAACTCCAGAGATGCCCCGAGAACACTGTCACAAGCCTAGAGGACCACCAACTTCAGCACAGCAACTCGAGGAATGCTCTGTGTATGCCAAATCGTCTCGAGATGAGAGCTGATTCCCTGGCTTAGGCTCAAGACGTATGCCAACTTTCCAGAAGCACCTCAGGAGGAGGCTTCTCTCAGCAATAGGTATGTGGGAGGGACCCCGAGTTTGCTGCCTCAAGGGGAATATACAGCGAGAAGCCCTAACTTGAAAGGAGGCCGGATTTCCTTGCAGTGGCTTGAATACAGGCTCGTCTTTCATCTCACAACATGAAGGGATGTCTGAATCCGCTGTGGAGACCTTAGAGAAATCCCTAGGTCCCTGCCTCATTTTGACGGAATCCTCATATCCCGCTGACACCTCGAGAGGCACGCGGAGTTCATTGCTTCAAAAGGTGACGATGCCTGACTCCTCTTGAATACTGATAGGAATCCCAAAATCCCTGTGGCTTCTGGAAAGGGTCCTTGGGTGCCCTGCCTCACCTCGATAAGCGTCCCTTTTGCCCTGCCAAGCCTCGAAGAGATTGCTGAGGTGTCCCTCGTTACTAGGCAGGAGTCCTGACGTCACTGGAGAAACTCGTGTTTTGCAGGGCCATCCCCGCCGTAAGTCGAGAACATATCCCAGGTCCCCGCCGCAACTCGAGAAAAACCGTGAGACTTCCCACTAGAGGCGAGATGAGGCCCCATTCCCCTGCAGTGCATGCAGAGCTATTCCGTGATCCCATTCAAACAAGTTAGGAGCTTCGACTTGGTTAATGGATCTCGAGACAGTCCGCAAGAACACTGTCACCAGTCTAGACGGACCCTGAGGTCACCCAGCAATGCAAAGCAGCTCCATGTGCCCCAAATCAACTCGAGATGAGGCCGGATTCCCCTGCATTGACTCCAGAGCCATTCCCCGTTCCCCATTCAACACGACCGGTGGCTCGACTTCCTTCAGGCAACTCCAGAGATGCCCCGAGAACACTGTCCCAAGTCTAGAGGAACATCAACTTCAGCACAGCAACTCGAGGAATGCTCCGTGTACCCCAAATCATCTCGAGATGAGAGCTGATTCCCTGGCTTAGGCTCAAGACGTATTCCAACTTTCCAGAAGCACCTCAGGAGGAGGCTTCTCTCAGCAATAGGTATGTGGGAGGGACCCCGAGTTTGCTGCCTCAAGGGGAATACACAGGGAGAAGCCCTAATATGAACGGAGGCCAGATTTCCTTGCAGTGGCTTGAATACAGGCTCGTCTTTGATCTGACAACATGAAGGGATGTCTGAATCCGATGTGGAGACCTTAGAGGAAGCCCTAGGTCCCTGCCTCATTTTGACGGAACACCTCACATCCCCCTGACACCTCGAGAGGCACGCAGAGTTCACTGCTTGAAAAGGTGACGATGCCTGACTCCTCTTGAATAGTTATAGGAATCCCAAAATCCCTGTGGCTACTGGAAAGGGTCCTTGGGTGCCCTGCCTCACCTCGAGAAGCGTCCCTATGCCCTGCCAAGCCTCGAAGAGATTGCTGAGGTGTCCCTCATTACTAGACAGGAGTCCTGACGTCACGGAAGAAACTCGTGTTTTGAAGGGCCATCCCCGCCGTAAGTGGAGAACATACCCCAGGTCCCCGCCGCAACTCGAGAAAAACCATGAGACTTCCCCCTAGAGGCGAGATGAGGCCCCATTCCCCTGCAGTGCATGCAGAGCTATTCCGTGATCCCATTCAAACAAGTCAGGAGCTTCGACTTGCTTAATGGATCTCGAGACAGTCCCCAAGAACACTGTTACCAGTCTAGACGGACCATAAGGTCACCCAGCAATGCAAAGCAGCTCCATGTGCCCCAAATCAACTCGAGATGAGGCCCGATTCCCCTGCATTGACTCCAGAGCCATTCCCCGTTCCCCATTCAACACGACCGGTGGCTCGACTTCCTTCAGGCAACTCCAGAGATGCCCCGAGAACACTGTCCCAAGTCTAGAGAAACACCAACTTCAGCACAGCAACTCAAGGAATGCTCTGTGTACCCCAAATCGTCTCGAGATGAGAGCTGATTCCCTGGCTTAGGCTAAAGACGTATGCCAACTTTACCGAAGCACCTCAGGAGGAGGCTTCTCTCAGCAATAGGTATGTGGGAGGGACCCCGAGTTTGCTGCCTCAAGGGGAATATACAGCGAGAAGCCCTAACTTGAAAGGAGGCCGGATTTCCTTGCAGTGGCTTGAATACAGGCTCGTCTTTCATCTCACAACATGAAGGGATGTCTGAATCTGCTGTGGAGACCTTAGAGGAAGCCCTAGGTCCCTGCCTCATTTTGACGGAATCCTCACATCCCGCTGACACCTCGAGAGGCACGCGGAGTTCATTGCTTCAAAAGGTGTCGATGCCTGACTCCTCTTGAATACTGATAGGAATCCCAAAATCCCTGTGGCTACTGGAAAGGGTCCTTGGGTGCCCTGCCTCACCTCGAGAAGCGTCCCTTTTGCCCTGCCAAGCCTCGAAGAGATTGCTGAGGTGTCCCTCGTTACTAGGCAAGAGTCCTGACGTCACTGGAGAAACTCGTGTTTTGAAGGGCCATCCTCGCCGTAAGTCGAGAACATAACCCAGGTCCCCGCCGCAACTCGAGAAAAACCGTGAGACTTCCCCCTAGAGGCGAGATGAGACCCCATTCCCCTGCAGTGCATGCAGAGCTATTCCGTGATCCCATTCAAACAAGTCAGGAGCTTCGACTTGGTTAATGGATCTCGAGACAGTCCCCAAGAACACTGTCACCAGTGTAGGCGGACCCTGAGGTCACCCAGCAATGCAAAGCAGCTCCATGTGCCCCAAATCAACTCGAGATGAGGCCGGATTCCCCTGCATTGACTCCAGAGCCATTCCCCGTTCCCCATTCAACACGACCGGTGGCTCGACTTCCTTCAGGCAACTCCAGAGAATCCCCGAGAACACTGTCCCAAGTCTAGAGGAACACCAACTTCAGCACAGCAACTCGAGGAATGCTCCGTGTACCACAAATCATCTCGAGATGAGAGCTGATTCCCTGGCTTAGGCTCAAGATGTATGCCAACTTTCCAGAAGCACCTCAGGAGGAGGCTTCTCTCAGCAATAGGTATGTGGGAGGGACCCCGCGTTTGCTGCCTCAAGGGGAATACACAGGGAGAAGCCCTAATGTGAACGGAGGCCAGATTTCCTTGAAGTGGCTTGAATACAGGCTCGTCTTTGGTCTGACAACATGAAGGGATGTCTGAATCCCCTGTGGACACCTTAGAGGAAGCCCTAGGTCCCTGCCTCATTTTGACGGAATACCTCACATCCCACTGACACTTCGAGAGGCACGCAGAGTTCATTGCTTCAAAAGGTGACGATGCCTGACTCCTCTTGAATACTTATAGGAATCCCAAAATCCCTGTGGCTACTGGAAAGGGTCCTTGGGTGCCCTGGCTCACCTCGAGAAGCGTCCCTTTTGCCCTGCCAAGCCTCGAAGAGATTGCTGAGGTGTCCCTCATTACTAGACAGGAGTCCTGACGTCACTGAAGAAACTCGTGTTTTGAAGGGCCATCCCCGCCGTAAGTCGAGAACATACCCCAGGTCCCCGCCGCAACTCGAGAAAAACCATGAGACTTCCCCCTAGAGGCGAGATGAGGCCCCAATCCCCTGCAGTGCATGCAGAGATATTCCGTGATCCCATTCAAACAAGTCAGGAGCTTCGACTTGCTTAATGGATCTCGAGACAGTCCCCAAGAACACTGTCACCAGTCTAGACGGACCCTGAGGTCACCGCAGCAATGCAAAGCAGCTCCATGTGCCCCACATCAACTCGAGATGAGGCCCGATTCCCCTGCATTGACTCCAGAGCCATTCCCCGTTCCCCGTTCAACACGAACGGAGGCTCGCCTTCCTTCAGGCAACTCCAGAGATGCCCCGAGAACACTGTCCCAAGTCTAGAGGAACACCAACTTCAGCACAGCAACTCGAGGAATGCTCTGTGTACCCCAAATCGTCTCGAGATGAGAGCTGATTCCCTGTCTTAGGCTCAAGACGTATGCCAACTTTCCAGAAGCACCTCAGGAGGAGGCTTCTCAGCAATAGGTATGTGGGAGGGACTCCGAGTTTGCTGCCTCAAGGGGAATATACAGCGAGAAGCCCTAACTTGAAAGGGGGCCGGATTTCCTTGCAGTGGCTTGAATACAGGCTTGTCTTTCATCTCACAACATGAAGGGATGTCTGAATCCCCTGTGGAGACCTTAGAGAAAGCCCTAGGTCCCTGCCTCATTTTGACGGAATGCCTGACATCCCGCTGACACCTCGAGAGGCACGCGGAGTTCATTGCTTCAAAAGGTGACGATGCCTGACTCCTCTTGAATACTTATAGGAATCCCAAAATCACTGTGGCTACTGGAAAGGGTCCTTGGGTGCCCTGGCTTACCTCGAGAAGCGTCCCTTTTGCCCTGCCAAGCCTCGAAGAGATTGCTGAGGTGTCCCTCATTACTAGACAGGAGTCCTGGCGTCACTGAAGAAACTCGTGTTTTGAAGGGCCATCCCCGCCGTAAGTCGAGAACATAACCCAGGTCCATGCGCAACTCGAGAAAAACCATGAGACTTCCCCCTAGAGGCGAGATGAGGCCCCATTCCCCTGCAGTGCATGCAGAGCTATTCCGTGACCCATTCAAACAAGTCAGGAGCTTCGACTTGCTTAATGGATCTCGAGACAGTCCCCAAGAACACTGTCACCAGTCTAGACGGACCCTGAGATCACCCCAGCAATGCAAAGCTGCTCCATGTGCCCCAAATCAACTCGAGATGAGCCCCGATTCCCCTGCATTGACCCCAGAGCCATTCCCCGTTCCCCATTCAACACGACCGGTGGCTCGACTTCCTTCAGGCAACTCCAGAGATGCCCCGAGAACACTGTCCCAAGTCTAGAGGAACACCAACTTCAGCCCAGCAACTCGAGGAATGCTCTGTGTACCCCAAATCGTCTCGAGATGAGAGCTGATTCCCTGGCTTAGGCTCAAGACGTATGCCAACTTTCCAGAAGCACCTCAGGAGGAGGCTTCTTAGCAATAGGTATGTGGGAGGGACTCCGAGTTTGCTGCCTCAAGGGGAATATACATCGAGAAGCCCTAACTTGAAAGGAGGCCGGATTTCCTTGCAGTAGCTTGAATACAGGCTTGTCTTTCATCTCACAACATGAAGGGATGTCTGAATCCCCTGTGGAGACCTTAGAGAAAGCCCTAGGTCCCTGCCTCATTTTGTCGGAATGCCTCACATCCCGCTGACACCTCGAGAGGCACGCGGAGTTCATTGCTTCAAAAGGTGACGATGCCTGACTCCTCTTGAATACTGATAGGAATCCCAAAATCCCTGTGGCTACTGGAAAGGGTCCTTGGGTGCCCTGCCTCACCTCGAGAAGCGTCCCTTTTGCCCTGCCAAGCCTAGAAGAGATTCCTGAGGTGTCCCTCGTTACTAGACAGGAGTCCTGACGTCACTGAAGAAACTAGTGTTTTGAAGGGCCATCTCCGCCGTAAGTCGAGAACATACCCCAGGTCCCCGCCGCAACTCGAGAAAAACCATGAGACTTCCCCCTAGAGGCGAGATGAGGCCCCATTCCCCTGCAGTGCATGCAGAGCTATTCCGTGATCCCATTCAAACAAGTCAGGAGCTTCGACTTGCTTAATGGATCTCGAGACAGTCCCCAAGAGCACTGTCACCAGTCTAGACGAACCCTGAGGTCACCCAAGCAACGCAAAGCTGTTCCATGTGCGCCAAATCAACTCGAGATGAGGCCCGATTCCCCTGCATTGACTCCAGAGCCATTCCCCGTTCCCCATTCAACACGACCGGTGGCTCGCCTTCCTTCAGGCAACTCCAGAGATGCCCCGAGAACACTGTCCCAAGTCTAGAGGAACACCAACTTCAGCCCAGCAACTCGAGGAATGCTCCGTGTACCCCAAATCATCTCGAGATGAGAGCTGTTTCCCTCGCTTAGGCTCAAGACATATGCCACCTTTCCAGAAGCACCTCAGGAGGAGGCTTCTCTCAGCAATAGGTATGTGGGAGGGACCCCGAGTTTGCTGCCTCAAGGGGAATATACAGCGAGAAGCCGTAACTTGAAAGGAGGCCGGATTTCCTTGCAGTGGCTTGAATACAGGCTCGTCTTTGATCTGACAACATGAAGGGATGTCTGAATCCCCTGTGGAGACCTTAGAGAAAGCCATAGGTCCCTGCCTCATTTTGACTGAATGCCTCACATCCCGCTGACACCTGGAGAGGCACGCGGAGTTCATTGCTTCAAAAGGTGACGATGCCTGACTCCTCTTGAATACTGATAGGAATCCCAAAATCCCTGTGGCTACTGGAAAGGGTCCTTGGGTGCCCTGCCTCACCTCGAGAAGCGTCCCTTTTGCCCTGCCAAGCCTCGAAGAGATTCCTGAGGTGTCCCTCGTTACTAGGTAGGAGTCCTGACGTCACTGAATAAACTCGTGTTTTGAAGGGCCATCCCCGCCGTAAGTCGAGAACATACCCCAGGGCCCCGCCGCAACTCGAGAAAAACCGTGAGACTTCCCCCTAGAGGCGAGATGAGACCCCATTCCCCTGCAGTGCATGCAGAGCTATTCCGTGATCCCATTCAAACAAGTCAGGAGCTTCGACTTGCTTAATGGATCTCGAGACAGTCCCCAAGAACACTGTCACCAGTCTAGACGGACCCTGAGGTCACCCCAGCAACGCAAAGCTGCTCCATGTGCCCCAAATCAACTCGAGATGAGGCCCGATTCCCCTGCATTGACTCCAGAGCCATTCCCCGTTCCCCATTCAACACGACCGGTGGCTCGACTTCCTTCAGGCAACTCCAGAGATTCCCCGAGAACACTGTCCCAAGGCTAGAGGAACACCAACTTCAGCACAGCAACTCGAGGAATGCTCCGTGTACCCCAAATCATCTCGAGATGAGAGCTGATTCACTGGCTTAGGCTCAAGACGTATGCCAACTTTCCAGAAGCATCTCAGGAGGAGGTTTCTCTCAGCAATAGGTATGTGGGAGGGACCCCGAGTTTGCTGCCTCTAGGGGAATACACAGGGAGAAGCCCTAATGTGAACGGAGGCCAGATTTCCTTGCAGTGGGTTGAATACAGGCTCGTCTTTGATCAGACAACATGAAGGGATGTCTGAATCCCCTGTGGAGACCTTAGAGGAAGCCCTAGTTCCCTGCCTCATTTTGACGGAATACCTCACATCCCCCTGACACCTCGAGAGGCACGCAGAGTTCATTGCTTCAAAAGGTGACGATGCCTGACTCCTCTTGAATACTGATAGGAATCGCAAAATCCCTGTTGCTACTGGAAAGCGTCCTTGGGTGCCCTGGCTCACCTCGAGAAGCGTCCCTTTTGCCCTGCCAAGCCTCGAAGAGATTGCTGAGGTGTCCCTCGTTACTAGACAGGAGTCCTGACGTCACTGAAGAAACTCGTGTTTTGAAGGACCATCCCCGCCGTAAGTCGAGAACATACCCCAGGTCCCCGCCGCAACTCGAGAAAAACCATGAGACTTCCCCCTAGAGGCGAGATGAGGCCCCATTCCCCTGCAGTGCATGCAGAGCTATTCCGTGATCCCATTCAAACAAGTCAGGAGCTTCGACTTTCTTAATGGATCTCGAGACAGTCCCCAAGAACACTGTCACCAGTCTAGACGGACCCTGAGGTCACCCCAGCAACGCAAAGCAGCTCCATGTGCCCCAAATCAACTCGAGATGAGGCCCGATTCCCCTGCATTGACTCCAGAGCCACTCCCCGTTCCCCGTTCAACACGAACGGAGGCTCGCCTTCCTTCAGGCAACTCCAGAGATGCCCCGAGAACACTGTCCCAAGTCTAGAGGAACACCAACTTCAGCACAGCAACTCGAGGAATGCTCTGCGTACCCCAAATCGTCTCGAGATGAGAGCTGATTCCCTGGCTTAGGCTCAAGACGTATGCCAACTTTCCAGAAGCACCTCAGGAGGAGGCTTCTTAGCAATAGGTATGTGGGAGGGACTCCGAGTTTGCTGCCTCAAGGGGAATACACACGGAGAAGCCCTAATGTGAACGGAGGCCAGATTTCCTTGCAGTGGCTTGAATACAGGCTCGTCTTTGGTCTGACAACATGAAGGGATGTCTGAATCCCCTGTGGAGACCTTAGAGGAAGCCCTAGGTCCCTGCCTCATTTTGACGGAATACCTCACATCCCCCTGACACCTCGAGAGGCACGCGGAGTTCATTGCTTCAAAAGGTGACGATGCCTGACTCCTCTTGAATACTTATAGGAATCCCAAAATCCCTGTTGCTACTGGAAAGGGTCCTTGGGTGCCCTGGCTCACCTCGAGAAGCGTCCCCTTTGCCCTGCCAAGCCTCGAAGAGATTGCTGAGGTGTCCCTCGTTACTAGTCAGAAGTACTGACGTCACTGAAGAAACTCGTGTTTTGAAGGGCCATCCCCGCCGTAAGTCGAGAACATACTCCAGGTCCCCGCCGCAACTCGAGAAAAACCATGAGACTTCCCCCTAGAGGGGAGATGAGGCCCCATTCCCCTGCAGTGCATGCAGAGCTATTCCGTGATCCCATTCAAACAAGTCAGGAGCTTCGACTTGCTTAATGGATCTCGAGACAGTCCCCAAGAACACTGTCACCAGTCTAGACGGACCCTGAGGTCACCCCAGCAACGCAAAGCAGCTCCATGTGCCCCAAATCAACTCGAGATGAGGCCCGATTCCCCTGCATTGACTCCAGAGCCATTCCCCGTTCCCCGTTCAACACGAACGGTGGCTCGCCTTCCTTCAGGCAACTCCACAGATGCCCCGAGAACACTGTCCCAAGTCTAGAGGAACACCAACTTCAGCACAGCAACTCGAGGAATGCTCTGTGTACCCCAAATCGTCTCGAGATGAGAGCTGATTCCCTGGCTTAGGCTCAAGAAGTATGCCAACTTTCCAGAAGCACCTCAGGAGGAGGCTTCTCAGCAATAGGTATGTGGGAGGGACTCCGAGTTTGCTGCCTTAAGGGGAATATACATCGAGAAGCCCTAACTTGAAAGGAGGCCGGATTTCCTTGCAGTAGCTTGAATACAGGCTTGTCTTTCATCTCACAACATGAAGGGATGTCTGAATCCCCTGTGGAGACCTTAGAGAAAGCCCTAGGTCCCTGCCTCATTTTGACGGAATGCCTCACATCCCGCTGACACCTCGAGAGGCACGCGGAGTTCATTGCTTCAAAAGGTGACGATGCCTGACTCCTCTTGAATACTGATAGGAATCCCAAAATCACCTGTGGCTACTGGAAAGGGTCCTTGGGTGCCCTGCCTCACCTCGAGAAGCGTCCCTTTTGCCCTGCCAAGCCTCGAAGAGATTCCTGATGTGTCCCTCGTTACTAGGCAGGAGTCCTGACGTCACTGGAGAAACTCGTGTTTTGAAGGGCCATCCCCGCCGTAAGTCGAGAACATACCCCAGGTCCCCGCCGCAACTCGAGAAAAACCGTGAGACTTCCCCCTAGAGGCGAGATGAAGCCCCATTCCCCTGCAGTGCATGCAGAGCTATTCCGTGATCCCATTCAAACAAGTCAGGAGCTTCGACTTGCTTAATGGATCTCGAGACAGTCCCCAAGAACACTGTCACCAGTCTAGACGGACCCTGAGGTCACCCCAGCAAAGCAAAGCAGCTCCATTTGCCCCAAATCAACTCGAGATGAGGCCCGATTTCCCTGCATTGACTCCAGAGCCATTCCCCGTTCCCCGTTCAACACGAACGGAGGCTCGCCTTCCTTCAGGCAACTCCAGAGATGCCCCGAGAACACTCTCCCAAGTCTAGAGGAACACCAACTTCAGCACAGCAATCGAGGAATGATCTGTGTACCCCAAATCGTCTCGAGATGAGAGCTGATTCCCTGGCTTAGGCTCAAGACGTATGCCAAATTTCCAGAAGCACCTCAGGAGGAGGCTTCTCAGCAATAGGTATGTGGGAGGGACTCCGAGTTTGCTGCCTCAAGGGGAATATACAGCGAGAAGCCCTAACTTGAAAGGAGGCCGGATTTCCTTGCAGTAGCTTGAATACAGGCTTGTCTTTCATCTCACAACATGAAGGGATGTCTGAATCCCCTGTGGAGACCTTAGAGAAAGCCCTAGGTCCCTGCCTCATTTTGACGGAATGCCTCACATCCCGCTGACACCTCGAGAGGCACGCGGAGTTCATTGTTTCAAAAGGTGACGATGCCTGACTCCTCTTGAATACTGATAGGAATCCCAAAATCCCTGTGGCTACTGGAAAGGGTCCTTGGGTGCCCTGCCTCACCTCGAGAAGCGTCCCTTTTGCCCTGCCAAGCCTCGAAGAGATTCCTGAGGTGTCCCTCGTTACTAGGCAGGAGTCCTGACGTCACTGAAGAAACTCGTGTTTTGAAGGGCCATCCCCGCCGTAAGTCGAGAATATACCCCAGGTCGCCGCCGCAACTCGAGAAAAACCATGAGACTTCCCCCTAGAGGCGAGATGAGGCCCCATTCCCCTGCAGTGCATGCAGAGCTATTCCGTGATCCCATTCAAACAAGTCAGGAGCTTCGACTTGCTTAATGGATCTCGAGACAGTCCCCAAGAACACTGTCACCAGCCTAGATGGAGCCTGAGGTCAACCCAGCAACGCAAAGCTGCTCCATGTGCCCCAAATCAACTCGAGATGAGGCCCGATTCCCCTACATTGACTCCAGAGCCATTCCCCGTTCCCCGTTCAACACGACCGGTGGCTCGACTTCCTTCAGGCAACTCCAGAGATGCCCCGAGAACACTGTCCCAAGTCTAGAGGAACACCAATTTCAGCACAGCAACTCGAGGAATGCTCCGTGTACCCCAAATCATCTCGAGATGAGAGCTGATTCCCTGGCTTAGGCTCAAGACGTATGCCAACTTTCCAGAAGCACCTCAGGAGGAGGCTTCTCTCAGCAATAGGTATGTGGGAGGGACCCCGAGTTTGCTGCCTCAAGGGGAATACACAGGGAGAAGCCCTAATGTGAACGGAGGCCAGATTTCCTTGCAGTGGCTTGAATACAGGCTCGTCTTTGATCTGACAACATGAAGGGATGTCTGAATCCCCTGTGGAGTCCTTAGAGGAAGCCCTAGGTCCCTGCCTCATTTTGACGGAATACCTCACATCCCCCTGACACCTCGAGAGGCACGCAGATTTCTTTGCTTGAAAAGGTGACGATGCCTGCCTCCTCTTGAATACTTATAGGAATTCCAAAATCCCTGTGGCTACTGGAAAGGGTCCTTGGGTGCCCTGGCTCACCTCGAGAAGCGTCCCTTTTGCCCTGCCAAGCCTCGAAGTGATTGCTGAGGTGTCCCTCGTTACTAGACAGGAGTCCTGACGTCACTGAAGAAACTCGTGTTTTGAAGGGCCATCCCCGCCGTAAGTCGAGAACATACCCCAGGTCCCCACCGCAACTCGAGAAAAACCGTGAGACTTCCCCCTAGAGGCGAGATGAGGCCCCATTCCCCTGCAGTGCCTGCAGAGATATTCCGTGATCCCATTCAAACAATTCAGGAGCTTCGACTTGCTTAATGGATCTCGAGACAGACACCAAGAACACTGTCACCAGTCTAGATGGACCCTGAGGTCACCCAGCAATGCAAAGCAGCTCCATGTGCCCCAAATCAACTCGAGATGAGGCCGGATTCCCCTGCATTGACTCCAGAGCCATTCCCTGTTCCCCATTCAACACGACCGGTGGCTCGACTTCCTTCAGGCAACTCCAGAGATGCCCCGAGAATATTGTCCCAAGCCTAGAGGACCACCAACTTCAGCACAGCAACTCGAGGAATGCTCTGTGTATGCCAAATCGTCTCGAGATGAGAGCTGATTCCCTGGCTTAGGCTCAAGACGTATGCCAACTTTCCAGAAGCACCTCAGGAGGAGGCTTCTCTCAGCAATAGGTATGTGGGAGGGACCCCGAGTTTGCTGCCTCAAGGGGAATATACAGCGAGAAGCCCTAACTTGAAAGGAGGCCGGATTTCCTTGCAGTGGCTTGAATATAGGCTCGTCTTTCATCTCACAACATGAAGGGATGTCTGAATCCGCTGTGGAGACCTTAGAGAAATCCCTAGGTCCCTGCATCATTTTGACGGAATCCTCACATCCCGCTGACACCTCGAGAGGCACGCGGAGTTCATTGCTTCAAAAGGTGACGATGCCTGACTCCTCTTGAATACTTATAGGAATCCCAAAATCCCTGTGGCTTCTGGAAAGGGTCCTTGGGTGCCCTGGCTCACCTCGAGAAGCGTCCCTTTTGCCCTGCCAAGCCTCGAAGAGATTGCTGAGCTGTCCCTCGTTACTAGGCAGGAGTCGTGACGTCATTGGAGAAACTCGTGTTTTGAAGGGCCATCCCCGCCGTAAGTCGAGAACATACCCCAGGTCCCCGCCGCAACTCGAGAAAAACCGTAAGACTTCCCCCTAGAGGCGAGATGAGGCCCCATTCCCCTGCAGTGCATGCAGAGCTATTCCGTGATCCCATTCAAACAAGTCAGGAGCTTCGACTTGGTTAATGGATCTCGAGACAGTCCCCAAGAACACTGTCACCAGTCTAGAAGGACCCTGAGGTCACCCAGCAATGCAAAGCAGCTCCATGTGCCCCAAATCAACTCGAGATGTGGCCGGATTCCCCTGCATTGACTCCAGAGCCATTCCCCGTTCCACATTCAACACGACCGGTGGCTCGACTTCCTTCAGGCAACTCCAGAGATGCCCCGAGAACACTGTCCCAAGTCTAGAGGAACACCAACTTCAGCACAGCAACTCGAGGAATGCTCTGTGTACCCCAAATCATCTCGAGATGAGAGCTGATTCCCTGGCTTAGGCTCAAGACGTATTCCAACTTTCCAGAAGCACCTCAGGAGGAGGCTTCTCTCAGCAGTAGGTATGTGGGAGGGACCCCGAGTTTGCTGCCTCAAGGGGAATATACAGCGAGAAGACCTAACTTGAAAGGAGGCCGGATTTCCTTGCAGTGGCTTGAATACAGTCTCGTCTTTCATCTCACAACATGAAGGGATGTCTGAATCCCCTGTGGAGACCTTAGAGAAAGCCCTAGGTCCCTGCCTCATTTTGACGGAATCCTCACATCCCGCTGACACCTCGAGAGGCACGCGGAGTTCATTGCTTCAAAAGGTGACGATGCCTGACTCCTCTTGAATACTGATAGGAATCCCAAAATCCCTGTGGCTACTGGAAAGGGTCCTTGCGTGCCCTGCCTCACCTCGAGAAGCGTCCCTTTTGCCCTGCCAAGCCTCGAAGAGATTGCTGAGGTGTCCCTCGTTACTAGGCAGGAGTCCTGACGTCTTTGGAGAAACTCGTGTTTTGAAGGGCCATCCCCGCCATAAGTTGAGAACATACCCCAGGTCCCCGCCGCAACTCGAGAAAAACCGTGAGACTTCCCCCTAGAGGCGAGATGAGGCCCCATTCCCCTGCAGTGCATGCAGAGCTATTCCGTGATCCCATTCAAACAAGTCAGGAGCTTCGACTTGGTTAATGGATCTCGAGACAGTCCCCAAGAACACTGTCACCAGTCTAGACGGACCCTGAGGTCACCCAGCAATGCAAAGCAGCTCCATGTGCCCCAAATGAACTCGAGATGAGGCCGGATTCCCCTGCATTGACTCCAGAGCCATTCCCCGTTCCCCATTCAACACGACCGGTGGATCGACTTCCTTCAGGCAACTCCAGAGATGACCCGAGAACACTGTCCCAAGTCTAGACGAACACCTACTTCAGCACAGCAACTCGAGGAATGCTCCGTGTACCCCAAATCATCTCGAGATGAGAGCTGATTCCCTGGCTTAGGCTCAAGACGTATGCCAACTTTCCAGAAGCACCTCAGGAGGAGGCTTCTCTCAGCAATAGGTTTGTGGGAGGGACCCCGAGTTTGCTGCCTCAAGGAGAATACACACGGAGAAGCCCTAATTTGAACGGAGGCCAGATTTCCTTGCAGTGGCTTGAATACAGGCTTGTCTTTGGTCTGACAACATGAAGGGTTGTCTGAATCCCCTGTGGAGACCTTAGAGGAAGCCCTAGGTCCCTGCCTCATTTTGACGGAATACCTCACATCCCCCTGACACTTCGAGAGACACGCAGAGTTCATTGCTTCAAAAGGTGACGATGCCTGACTCCTCTTGAATACTTATAGGAATCCCAAAATTCCTGTGGCTACTGTAATGGGCCCTTGGGTGCCCTGGCTCACCTCGAGAAGCGTCCCTTTTGCCCTGCCAAGCCTCGAAGAGATTGCTGAGGTGTCCCTCATTACTAGACAGGAGTCCTGACGTCACTGAAGAAACTCGTGTTTTGAAGGGCCATCCCCGCCGTAAGTCGAGAACATACCCCAGGTCCCCGCCGCAACTCGAGAAAAACCATGAGACTTCCCCCTAGAGGCGAGATGAGGCCCCAATCCCCTGCAGTGCATGCAGAGATATTCCGTGATCCCATTCAAACAAGTCAGGAGCTTCGACTTGCCTAATGGATCTCGAGACAGTCCCCAAGAACACTGTCACCAGTCTAGACGGACCCTGAGGTCAGCCAGCAATGCAAAGCAGCTCCATGTGCCCCAAATCAACTCGAGATGAGGCCGGATTCCCCTGCATTGACTCCAGAGCCATTCCCTGTTCCCCATTCAACACGACCGGTGGATCGACTTCCTTCAGGCAACTCCAGAGATGCCCCGAGAACACTTTCCCAAGCCTAGAGGACCACCAACTTCAGCACAGCAACTCGAGGAATGCTCTGTGTATGCCAAATCGTCTCGAGATGAGAGCTGATTCCCTGGCTTAGGCTCAAGACGTATGCCAACTTTCCAGAAGCACCTCAGGAGGAGGCTTCTCTCAGCAATAGGTATGTGGGAGGGAGCCCGAGTTTGCTGCCTCAAGGGGAATATACAGCGAGAAGCCCTAACTTGAAAGGAGGCCGGATTTCCTTGCAGTGGCTTGAATACAGGCTCGTCTTTCATCTCACAACATGAAGGGATGTCTGAATCCGCTGTGGAGACCTTAGAGAAATCCCTAGGTCCCTGCCTCATTTTGACGGAATCCTCACATCCCGCTGACACCTCGAGAGGCACGCAGAGTTCATTGCTTCAAAAGGTGACGAGGCCTGACTCCTCTTGTATACTGATAGGAATCCCAAAATCCCTGTGGCTTCTGTAAAGGGTCCTTGGGTGCCCTGGCTCACCTCGAGAAGCGTCCCTTTTGCCCTGCCAAGCCTCGAAGAGATTGCTGAGGTGTCCCTCGTTACTAGGCAGGAGTCCTGACGTCACTGGAGAAACTCGTGTTTTGAAAGGCCATCTCCGCCATAAGTCGAGAACATACCCCAGGTCCCCGCCGCAACTCGAGAAAAACCGTGAGACTTCCCACTAGAGGCGAGATGAGGCCCCATTCCCCTGCAGTGCATGCAGAGCTATTCCGTTTTCCCATTCAAACAAGTCAGGAGCTTCGACTTGGTTAATGGATCTCGAGAGAGTCCCCGAGAACACTGTCACCAGTCTAGACGGACCCTGAGGTCACCCAGCAATGCAAAGCAGCTCCATGTGCCCCAAATCAACTCGAGATGAGGCCCGATTCCCCTGCATTGACTCCAGAGCCATTCCCCGTTCCCCATTCAACACGGCCGGTGGCTCGACTTCCTTCAGGCAACTCCAGAGATGCCCCGAGAACACTGTCCCAAGCCTAGAGGACCACCAACTTCAGCACAGCAACTCGAGGAATGCTCTGTGTATGCCACATCGTCTCGAGATGAGAGCTGATTCCCTGGCTTAGGCTCAAGACGTATGCCAACTTTCCAGAAGCACCTCAGGAGGAGGCTTCTCTCAGCAATAGGTATGTGGGAGGGACCACGAGTTTGCCGCCTCAAGGGGAATATACAGCGAGAAGCCCTAACTTGAAAGGAGGCCGGATTTCCTTGCAGTGGCTTGAATACAGGCTCGTCTTTCATCTCACAACATGAAGGGATGTCTGAATCCGCTGTGGAGACCTTAGAGAAATCCCTAGGTCCCTGCCTCATTTTGACGGAATCCTCACATCCCGCTGACACCTCGAGAGGCACGCGGAGTTCATTGCTTCAAAAGGTGACGATGCCTGACTCCTCTTGTATACTGATAGGAATCCCAAAATCCCTGTGGCTTCTGGAAAGGGTCCTTGGGTGCCCTGGCTCACCTAGATAAGCGTCCCTTTTGCCCTGCCAAGCCTCGAAGAGATTGCTGAGGTGTCCCTCGTTACTAGGCAGGAGTCCTGACGTCACTGGAGAAACTCGTGTTTTGAAAGGCCATCTCCGCCGTAAGTCGAGAACATACCCCAGGTCCCCGCCGCAACTCGAGAAAAACCGTGAAACTTCCCACTAGAGGCGAGATGAGGCCCCATTCCCCTGCAGTGCATGCAGAGCTATTCCGTGATCCCATTCAAACAAGTCAGGAGCTTCGACTTGGTTAATGGATCTCGAGAGAGTCCCCAAGAACACTGTCACCAGTCTAGACGGACCCTGAGGTCACCCAGCAATGCAAAGCAGCTCCATGTGCCCCAAATCAACTCGAGATGAGGCCCGATTGCCCTGCATTGACTCCAGAGCCATTCCCCGTTCCCCATTCAACACGACCGGTGGCTCGACTTCCTTCAGGCAACTCCAGAGATTCCCCGAGAACACTGTCCCAAGGCTAGAGGAACACCAACTTCAGCACAGCAACTCGAGGAATGCTCCGTGTACCCCAAATCATCTCGAGATGAGAGCTGATTCACTGGCTTAGGCTCAAGACGTATGCCAACTTTCCAGAAGCATCTCAGGAGGAGGCTTCTCTCAGCAATAGGTATGTGGGAGGGACCCCGAGTTTGCTGCCTCAAGGGGAATACACAGGGAGAAGCCCTAATGTGAACGGAGGCCAGATTTCCTTGCAGTGGGTTGAATACAGGCTCGTCTTTGATCAGACAACATGAAGGGATGTCTGAATCCCCTGTGGAGACCTTAGAGGAAGCCCTAGTTCCCTGCCTCATTTTGACGGAATACCTCACATCCCCCTGACACCTCGAGAGGCACGCAGAGTTCATTGCTTCAAAAGGTGACGATGCCTGACTCCTCTTGAATACTGATAGGAATCCCAAAATCCCTGTTGCTACTGGAAAGCGTCCTTGGGTGCCCTGGCTCACCTCGAGAAGCGTCCCTTTTGCCCTGCCAAGCCTCGAAGAGATTGCTGAGGTGTCCCTCGTTACTAGACAGGAGTCCTGACGTCACTGAAGAAACTCGTGTTTTGAAGGACCATCCCCGCCGTAAGTCGAGAATATACCCCAGGTCCCCGCCGCAACTTGAGAAAAACCATGAGACTTCCCCCTAGAGGCGAGATGAGGCCCCATTCCCCTGCAGTGCATGCAGAGCTATTCCGTGATACCATTCAAACAAGTCAGGAGCTTCGACTTTCTTAATGGATCTCGAGACAGTCCCCAAGAACACTGTCACCAGTCTAGACGGACCCTGAGGTCACCCCAGCAACACAAAGCAGCTCCATGTGCCCCAAATCAACTCGAGATGAGGCCCGATTCCCCTGCATTGACTCCAGAGCAATTCCCCGTTCCCCGTTCAACACGAACGGAAGCTCGCCTTCCTTCAGGCAACTCCAGAGATGCCCCGAGAACACTGTCTCAAGTCTAGAGGAACACCAACATCAGCATAGCAACTCGAGGAATGCTCTGTGTACCCCAAATCGTCTCGAGATGAGAGCTGATTCCCTGGCTTAGGCTAAAGACGTATGCCAACTTTCCAGAAGCACCTCAGGAGGAGGCTTCTTAGCAATAGGTATGTGGGAGGGACTCCGAGTTTGCTGCCTCAAGGGGAATATACATCGAGAAGCCCTAACTTGAAAGGAGGCCGGATTTGCTTGCAGTAGCTTGAATACAGGCTTGTCTTTCATCTCACAACATGAAGGGATGTCTGAATCCCCTGTGGAGACCTTAGAGAAAGCCCTAGGTCCCTGCCTCATTTTGTCGGAATGCCTCACATCCCGCTGACACCTTGAGAGGCACGCGGAGTTCATTGCTTCAAAAGGTGACGATGCCTGACTCCTCTTGAATACTGATAGGAATCCCAAAATCCCTGTGGCTACTGGAAAGGGTCCTTGGGTGCCCTGCCTCACCTCGAGAAGCGTCCCTTTTGCCCTGCCAAGCCTCGATGAGATTCCTGAGGTGTCCCTCGTTACTAGACAGGAGTCCTGACGTCACTGAAGAAACTCGTGTTTTGAAGGGCCATCTCCGCCGTAAGTCGAGAACATACCCCAGGTCCCCGCCGCAACCCGAGAAAAACCATGAGACTTCCCCCTAGAGGCGAGATGAGGCCCCATTCCCCTGCAGTGCATGCAGAGCTATTCCGTGATCCCATTCAAACAAGTCAGGAGCTTCGACTTGCTTAATGGATCTCGAGACAGTCCCCAAGAACACTGTCACCAGTCTAGACGGACCCTGAGGTCACCGCAGCAACGCAAAGCAGCTCCATGTGCCCCACATCAACTCGATATGAGGCCGGATTCCCCTGCATTGACTCCAGAGCCATTCCCCGTTCCCCGTTCAACACGACCGGTGGCTCGCCTTCCTTCAGGCAACTCCAGAGATGCCCCGAGAACACTGTCCCAAGTCTAGAGGAACACCAACTTCAGCACAGCAACTCGAGGAATGCTCTGTGTACCCCAAATCGTCTCGAGATTAGAGCTGATTCCCTGGCTTCGGCTCAAGACGTATGCCAAATTTCCAGAAGCACCTCAGGAGGAGGCTTCTTAGCAATAGGTATGTGGGAGGGACTCCGAGTTTGCTGCCTCAAGGGGAATATACAGCGAGAAGCCCTAACTTGAAAGGAGGCCGGATTTCCTTGCAGTAGCTTGAATACAGGCTTGTCTTTCATCTCACAACATGAAGGGATGTCTGAATCCCCTGTGGAGACCTTAGAGAAAGCCCTAGGTCCCTGCCTCATTTTGTCGGAATGCCTCACATCCCGCTGACACCTCGAGATTCACGCAGAGTTCATTGCTTCAAAAGGTGACGATGCCTGACTCCTCTTGAATACTGATAGGAATCCAAAAATCCCTGTGGCTACTCGAAAGGGTCCTTGGGTGCCCTGCCTCACCTCGAGAAGCGTCCCTTTTGCCCTGCCAAGCCTCGAAGAGATTCCTGAGGTGTCCATCGTTACTAGACAGGAGTCCTGACGTCACGGAAGAAACTCGTGTTTTGAAGGGCCATCTCCGCCGTAAGTCGAGAACATACCCCAGGTCCCCGCCGCAACTCGAGAAAAACCATGAGACTTCCCCCTAGAGGCGAGATGAGGCCCCATTCCCCTGCAGTGCATGCAGAGCTATTCCGTGATCCCATTCAAACAAGTCAGGAGCTTCGACTTGCTTATTGGATCTCGAGACAGTCCCCAAGAACACTGTCACCAGTCTAGACGGACCCTGAGGTCACCCCAGCAACGCAAAGCTGCTCCATGTGCCCCAAATCAACTCGAGATGAGGCCCGATTCCCCTGCATTGACTCCAGAGCCATTCCCCGTTCCCCATTCAACACGACCGGTGGCTCGACTTCCTTCAGGCAACTCCAGAGATTCCCCGAGAACACTGTCCCAAGGCTAGAGGAACACCAACTTCAGCACAGCAACTCGAGGAATGCTCCGTGTACCCCAAATCATCTCGAGATGAGAGCTGATTCACTGGCTTAGGCTCAAGACGTATGCCAACTTTCCAGAAGCACCTCAGGAGGAGGCTTCTCTCAGCAATAGGTATGTGGGAGGGACCCCGAGTTTGCTGCCTCAAGGGGAATACACAGGGAGAAGCCCTAATGTGAACGGAGCCCAGATTTCCTTGCAGTGGGTTGAATACAGGCTCGTCTTTGATCAGACAACATGAAGGGATGTCTGAATCCCCTGTGGAGACCTTAGAGGAAGCCCTAGTTCCCTTCCTCATTTTGACGGAATACCTCACATCCCCCTGACACCTCGAGAGGCACGCAGAGTTCATTGCTTCAAAAGGTGACGATGCCTGACTCCTCTTGAATACTGATAGGAATCCCAAAATCCCTGTTGCTACTGGAAAGCGACCTTGGGTGCCCTGGCTCACCTCGAGAAGCGTCCCTTTTGCCCTGCCAAGCCTCGAAGAGATTGCTGAGGTGTCCCTCGTTACTAGACAGGAGTCCTGACGTCACTGAAGAAACTCGTGTTTTGAAGGACCATCCCCGCCGTAAGTCGAGAACATACGCCAGGTCCCCGCCGCAACTCGAGAAAAACCATGAGACTTCCCCCTAGAGGCGAGATGAGGCCCCATTCCCCTGCAGTGCATGCAGAGCTATTCCGTGATCCCATTCAAACAAGTCAGGAGCTTCGACTTTCTTAATGGATCTCGAGACAGTCCCCAAGAACACTGTCACCAGTCTAGACGGACACTGAGGTCACCCCAGCAACGCAAAGCAGCTCCATGTGCCCCAAATCAACTCGAGATGAGGCCCGATTCCCCTGCATTGACTCCAGAGCCATTCCCCGTTCCCCGTTCAACACGAACGGAGGCTCGCCTTCCTTCAGGCAACTCCAGAGATGCCCCGAGAACACTGTCCCAAGTCTAGAGGAACACCAACTTCAGCCCAGCAACTCGAGGAATGCTCTGTGTACCCCAAATCGTCTCGAGATGAGAGCTGATTCCCTGGCTTAGGCTCAAGACGTATGCCAACTTTCCAGAAGCACCTCAGGAGGAGGCTTCTTAGCAATAGGTATGTGGGAGGGACACTGAGTTTGCTGCCTCAAGGGGAATATACATCGAGAAGCCCTAACTTGAAAAGAGGCCGGATTTCCTTGCAGTAGCTTGAATACAGGCTTGTCTTTCATCTCACAACATGAAGGGATGTCTGAATCCACTGTGGAGACCTTAGAGAAAGCCCTAGGTCCCTGCCTCATTTTGTCGGAATGCCTCACATCCCGCTCACACCTTGAGAGGCACGCGGAGTTCATTGCTTCAAAAGGTGACGATGCCTGACTCCTCTTGAATACTGATAGGAATCCCAAAATCCCTGTGGCTACTGGAAAGGGTCCTTGGGTGCCCTGCCTCACCTCGAGAAGCGTCCCTTTTGCCCTGCCAAGCCTCGAAGAGATTCCTGAGTTGTCCCTCGTTACTAGACAGGAGTCCTGACGTCACTGAAGAAACTCGTGTTTTGAAGGGCCATCTCCGCCGTAAGTCGAGAACATACCCCAGGTCCCCGCCGCAACTCGAGAAAAACCATGAGACTTCCCCCTAGAGGCGAGATGAGGCCCCATTCCCCTGCAGTGCATGCAGAGCTATTCCGTGATCCCATTCAAACAAGTCAGGAGCTTCGACTTGCTTAATGGATCTCGAGACAGTCCCCAAGAACACTGTCACCAGTCTAGACGGACCCTGAGGTCACCGCAGCAACGCAAAGCAGCTCCATGTGCCCCACATCAACTCGATATGAGGCCGGATTCCCCTGCATTGACTCCAGAGCCATTCCCCGTTCCCCGTTCAACACGACCGGTGGCTCGCCTTCCTTCAGTCAACACCAGAGGTGCCCCGAGAACACTGTCCCAAGTCTAGAGGAACACCAACTTCAGCACAGCAACTCGAGGAATGCTCTGTGTACCCCAAATCGTCTCGAGATGAGAGCTGATTCCCTGGCTTAGGCTCAAGACGTATGCCAACTTTCCAGAAGCACCTCAGGAGGAGGCTTCTTAGCAATAGGTATGTGGGAGGGACTCCGAGTTTGCTGCCTCAAGGGGAATATACATCGAGAAGCCCTAACTTGAAAGGAGGCCGGATTTCCTTGCAGTAGCTTGAATACAGGCTTGTCTTTCATCTCACAACATGAAGGGATGTCTGAATCCCCTGTGGAGACCTTAGAGAAAGCCCTAGGTCCCTGCCTCATTTTGTCGGAATGCCTCACATCCCGCTGACACCTCGAGAGGCACGCGGAGTTCATTGCTTCAAAAGGTGACGATGCCTGACTCCTCTTGAATACTGATAGGAATCCCAAAATCCCTGTGGCTACTCGAAAGGGTCCTTGGGTGCCCTGCCTCACCTCGAGAAGCGTCCCTTTTGCCCTGCCAAGCCTCGAAGAGATTCCTGAGGTGTCCATCGTTACTAGACAGGAGTCCTGACGTCACGGAAGAAACTCGTGTTTTGAAGGGCCATCTCCGCCGTAAGTCGAGAACATACCCCAGGTCCCCGCCGCAACTCGAGAAAAACCATGAGACTTCCCCCTAGAGGCGAGATGAGGCCCCATTCCCCTGCAGTGCATGCAGAGCTATTCCGTGATCCCATTCAAACAAGTCAGGAGCTTCGACTTGCTTAATGGATCTCGAGACAGTCCCCAAGAACACTGTCACCAGTCTAGACGGACCCTGAGGTCACCCAATAACGCAAAGCTGCTCCATGTGCCCCAAATCAACTCGAGATGAGGCCCGATTCCCCTGCATTGACTCCAGAGCCATTCCCCGTTCCCCATTCAACACGACCGGTGGCTCGCCTTCCTTCAGGCAACTACAGAGATGCCCCGAGAACACTGTCCCAAGTCTAGAGGAACACCAACTTCAGCCCAGCAACTCGAGGAATGCTCCGTGAACCCCAAATCATCTCGAGATGAGAGCTAATTCCCTCGCTTAGGCTCAAGACATATGCCACCTTTCCAGAAGCACCTCAGGAGGAGGCTTCTCTCAGCAATAGGTATGTGGGAGGGACCCCGAGTTTCCTGCCTCAAGGGGAATATACAGCGAGAAGCCCTGACTTGAAAGGAGGCCGGATTTCCTTGCAGTGGCTTGAATACAGGCTCGTCTTTGATCTGACAACATGAAGGGATGTCTGAATCCCCTGTGGAGACCTTAGAGAAAGCCATAGGTCCCTGCCTCATTTTGACTGAATGCCTCACATCCCGCTGACACCTGGAGAGGCACGCGGAGTTCATTGCTTCAAAAGGTGATGATGCCTGACTCCTCTTGAATACTGATAGGAATCCCAAAATCCCTGTGGCTACTGGAAAGGGTCCTTGGGTGCCCTGCCTCACCTCGAGAAGCGTCCCTTTAGCCCTGCCAAGCCTCGAAGAGATTCCTGAGGTGTCCCTCGTTACTAGGTAGGAGTCCTGACGTCACTGAAGAAACTCGTGTTTTGAAGGGCCATCCCCGCCGTAAGTCGAGAACATACCCCAGGGCCCCGCCGCAACTCGAGAAAAACCGTGAGACTTCCCCCTAGAGGCGAGATGAGACCCCATTCCCCTGCAGTGCATGCAGAGCTATTCCGTGATCCCATTCAAACAAGTCAGGAGCTTCGACTTGCTTAATGGATCTCGAGACTGTCCCCAAGAACACTGTCACCAGTCTAGACGGACCCTGAGGTCAACCCAGCAACGCAAAGCTGCTCCATGTGCCCCAAATCAACTCGAGATGAGGCCCGATTCCCCTGCATTGACTCCAGAGCCATTCCCCGTTCCCCATTCAACACGACCGGTGGCTCGACTTCCTTCAGGCAACTCCAGAGATTCCCCGAGAACACTGTCCCAAGGCTAGAGGAACACCAACTTCAGCACAGCAACTCGAGGAATGCTCCGTGTACCCCAAATCATCTCGAGATGAGAGCTGATTCACTGGCTTAGGCTCAAGACGTATGCCAACTTTCCAGAAGCATCTCAGGAGGAGGCTTCTCTCAGCAATAGGTATGTGGGAGGGATCCCGAGTTTGCTGCCTCAAGGGGAATACACAGGGAGAAGCCCTAATGTGAACGGAGGCCAGATTTCCTTGCAGTGGGTTGAATACAGGCTCGTCTTTGATCAGACAACATGAATGGATGTCTGAATCCCCTGTGGAGACCTTAGAGGAAGACCTAGTTCCCTGCCTCATTTTGACGGAATACCTCACATCCCCCTGACACCTCGAGAGGCACGCAGAGTTCATTGCTTCAAAAGGTGACGATGCCTGACTCCTCTTGAATACTGATAGGAATCCCAAAATCCCTGTTGCTACTGGAAAGCGTCCTTGGGTGCCCTGGCTCACCTCGAGAAGCGTCCCTTTTGCCCTGCCAAGCCTCGAAGAGATTGCTGAGGTGTCCCTCGTTACTAGACAGGAGTCCTGACGTCACTGAAGAAACTCATGTTTTGAAGGACCATCCCCGCCGTAAGTCGAGAACATACCCCAGGTCCCCGCCGCAACTCGAGAAAAACCATGAGACTTCCCCCTAGAGGCGAGATGAGGCCCCATTCCCCTGCAGTGCATGCAGAGCTATTCCGTGATCCCATTCAAACAAGTCAGGAGCTTCGACTTGCTTAATGGATCTCGAGACAGTCCCCAAGAACACTGTCACCAGTCTAGACGGACCCTGAGGTCACCCCAGAAACGCAAAGCAGCTCCATGTGCCCCAAATCAACTCGAGATGAGGCCCGATTCCCCTGCATTGACTCCAGAGCCATTCCCCGTTCCCCGTTCAACACGAACGGAGGCTCGCTTTCCTTCAGGCAACTCCAGAGATGCCCCGAGAACACTGTCCCAAGTCTAGAGGAACACCAACTTCAGCACAGCAACTCGAGGAATGCTCTGTGTACCTCAAATCGTCTCGAGATGAGAGCTGATTCCCTGGCTTAGGCTCAAGACGTATGCCAACTTTCCAGAAGCACCTCAGGAGGAGGCTTCTTAGCAATAGGTATGTGGGAAGGACTCCGAGTTTGCTGCCTCAAGGGGAATATACATCGAGAAGCCCTAACTTGAAAGGAGGCCGGATTTCCTTGCAGTAGCTTGAATACAGGCTTGTCTTTCATCTCACAACATGAAGGGATGTCTGAATCCCCTGTGGAGACCTTAGAGAAAGCCCTAGGTCCCTGCCTCACTTTGTCGGAATGCCTCACATCCCACTGACACCTTGAGAGGCACGCGGAGTTAATTGCTTCAAAAGGTGACGATGCCTGACTCCTCTTGAATACTGATAGGAATCCCAAAATCCCTGTGGCTACTGGAAAGGGTCCTTGGGTGCCCTGCCTCACCTCGAGAAGCGTCCCTTTTGCCCTGCCAAGCCTCGAAGAGATTCCTGAGGTGTCCCTCGTTACTAGACAGGAGTCCTGACGTCACTGAAGAAACTCGTGTTTTGAAGGGCCATCTCCGCCGTAAGTCGAGAACATACCCCAGGTCCCCGCCGCAACTCGAGAAAAACCGTGAGACTTCCCCCTAGAGGCGAGATGAGGCCCCATTCCCCTGCAGTGCATGCAGAGCTATTCCGTGATCCCATTCAAACAAGTCAGGAGCTTCGACTTGCTTAATGGATCTCTAGACAGTCCCCAAGAACACTGTCACCAGTCTAGACGGACCCTGAGGTCACCGCAGCAACGCAAAGCAGCACCATGTGCCCCACATCAACTCGATATGAGGCCGGATTCCCCTGCATTGACTCCAGAGCCATTCCCCGTTCCCCGTTCAACACGACCGGTGGCTCGCCTTCCTTCAGGCAACTCCAGAGATGCCCCGAGAACACTGTCCCAAGTCTAGAGGAACACCAACTTCAGCACAGCAACTCGAGGAATGCTCTGTGTACCCCAAATCGTCTCGAGATGAGAGCTGATTCCCTGGCTTAGGCTCAAGACGTATGCCAACTTTCCAGAAGCACCTCAGGAGGAGGCTTCTTAGCAATAGGTATGTGGGAGGGACTCCGAGTTTGCTGCCTCAAGGGGAATATACATCGAGAAGCCCTAACTTGAAAGGAGGCCGGATTTCCTTGCAGAAGTTTGAATACAGGCTTGTCTTTCATCTCACAACATGAAGGGATGTCTGAATCCCCTGTGGAGACCTTAGAGAAAGCCCTAGGTCCCTGCCTCATTTTTTCGGATTGCCTCACATCCCGCTGACACCTCGAGAGGCACGCGGAGTTCATTGCTTCAAAAGGTGACGATGCCTGACTCCTCTTGAATACTGATAGGAATCCCAAAATCCCTGTGGCTACTGGAAAGGGTCCTTGGGTGCCCTGCCTCACCTCGAGAAGCGTCCCTTTGGCCCTGCCAAGCCTCGAAGAGATTCCTGAGGTGTCCCTCGTTACTAGACAGGAGTCCTGACGTCACTGAAGAAACTCGTGTTTTGAAGGGCCATCCCCGCCGTAAGTCGAGAACATACCCCAGGTCCCCGCCGCAACTCGAGAAAAACCATGAGACTTCCCCCTAGAGGCGAGATGAGGCCCCATTCCCCTGCAGTGCATGCAGAGCTATTCCGTGACCCCATTCAAACAAGTCAGGAGCTTCGACTTGCTTAATGGATCTCGAGACAGTCCCCAAGAACACTGTCACCAGTCTAGACGGACCCTGAGGTCACCCCAGCAACGCAAAGCAGCTCCATGTGCCCCAAATCAACTCGAGATGAGGCCCGATTCCCCTGCACTGACTCCAGAGCCATTCCCCGTTCCCCATTCAACACGACCGGTGGCTCGACTTCCTTCAGGCAACTCCAGAGATGCCCCGAGAACACTGTCCCAAGTCTAGAGGAACACCAACTTCAGCACAGCAACTCGAGGAATGCTCCGTGTACCCCAAATCGTCTCGAGATGCGAGCTGATTCCCTGGCTTAGGCTCAAGACGTATGCCAACTTCCCAGAAGCACCTCAGGAGGAGGCTTCTCTCAGCAATAGGTATGTGGGAGGGACCCCGAGTTTGCTGCCTCAAGGGGAATATACAGCGAGAAGCCCTAACTTGAAAGGAGGCCGGATTTCCTTGCAGTGGCTTGAATACAGGCTCGTCTTTCATCTCATAACATGAAGGGATGTCTGAATCCCCTGTGGAGACCTTAGAGAAAGCCCTAGGTCCCTGCCTCATTTTGACGGAATGCCTCACATCCCGCTGACACCTCGAGAGGCACGCGGAGTTCATTGCTTCAAAAGGTGACGATGCCTGACTCCTCTTGAATACTGATAGGAATCCCAAAATCCCTGTGGCTACTGGAAAGGGTCCTTGGGTGCCCTGCCTCACCTCGAGAAGCGTCCCTTTGGCCCTGCCAAGCCTCGAAGAGATTCCTGAGGTGTCCCTCGTTACTAGACAGGAGTCCTGACGTCACTGAAGAAACTAGTGTTTTGAAGGGCCATCCCCGCCGTAAGTCGAGAACATACCCCAGGTCCCCGCCGCAACTCGAGAAAAACCATGAGACTTCCCCCTAGAGGCGAGATGAGGCCCCATTCCCCTGCAGTGCATGCAGAGCTATTCCGTGACCCCATTCAAACAAGTCAGGAGCTTCGACTTGCTTAATGGATCTCGAGACAGTCCCCAAGAACACTGTCACCAGTCTAGACGGACCCTGAGGTCACCCCAGCAACGCAAAGCAGCTCCATGTGCCCCAAATCAACTCGAGATGAGGCCCGATTCCCCTGCACTGACTCCAGAGCCATTCCCCGTTCCCCATTCAACACGACCGGTGGCTCGACTTCCTTCAGGCAACTCCAGAGATGCCCCGAGAACACTGTCCCAAGTCTAGAGGAACACCAACTTCAGCACAGCAACTCGAGGAATGCTCCGTGTACCCCAAATCGTCTCGAGATGCGAGCTGATTCCCTGGCTTAGGCTCAAGACGTATGCCAAATTCCCAGAAGCACCTCAGGAGGAGGCTTCTCTCAGCAATAGGTATGTGGGAGGGACCCCGAGTTTGCTGCCTCAAGGGGAATATACAGCGAGAAGCCCTAACTTGAAAGGAGGCCGGATTTCCTTGCAGTGGCTTGAATACAGGCTCGTCTTTCATCTCACAACATGAAGGGATGTCTGAATCCCCTGTGGAGACCTTAGAGAAAGCCCTAGGTCCCTGCCTCATTTTGACGGAATGCCTCACATCCCGCTGACACCTCGAGAGGCACGCGGAGTTCATTGCTTCAAAAGGTGACGATGCCTGACTCCTCTTGAATACTGATAGGAATCCCAAAATCCCTGTGGCTACTGGAAAGGGTCCTTGGGTGCCCTGCCTCACCTCGAGAAGCGTCCCTTTGGCCCTGCCAAGCCTCGAAGAGATTCCTGAGGTGTCCCTCGTTACTAGACAGGAGTCCTGACGTCACTGAAGAAACTCGTGTTTTGAAGGGCCATCCCCGCCGTAAGTCGAGAACATACCCCAGGTCCCCGCCGCAACTCGAGAAAAACCATGAGACTTCCCCCTAGAGGCGAGATGAGGCCCCATTCCCCTGCAGTGCATGCAGAGCTATTCCGTGACCCCATTCAAACAAGTCAGGAGATTCGACTTGCTTAATGGATCTCGAGACAGTCCCCAAGAACACTGTCACCAGTCTAGACGGACCCTGAGGTCACCCCAGCAACGCAAAGCAGCTCCCTGTGCCCCAAATCAACTCGAGATGAGGCCCGATTCCCCTGCACTGACTCCAGATCCATTCCCCGTTCCCCATTCAACACGACCGGTGGCTCGACTTCCTTCAGGCAACTCCAGAGATGCCCCGAGAACACTGTCCCAAGTCTAGAGGAACACCAACTTCAGCACAGCAACTCGAGGAATGCTCCGTGTACCCCAAATCGTCTCGAGATGCGAGCTGATTCCCTGGCTTAGGCTCAAGACGTATGCCAACTTCCCAGAAGCACCTCAGGAGGAGGCTTCTCTCAGCAATAGGTATGTGGGAGGGACCCCGAGTTTGCTGCCTCAAGGGGAATATACAGCGAGAAGCCCTAACTTGAAAGGAGGCCGGATTTCCTTGCAGTGGCTTGAATACAGGCTCGTCTTTCATCTCACAACATGAAGGGATGTCTGAATCCCCTGTGGAGACCTTAGAGAAAGCCCTAGGTCCCTGCCTCATTTTGACGGAATGCCTCACATCCCGCTGACACCTCGAGAGGCACGCGGAGTTCATTGCTTCAAAAGGTGACGATGCCTGACTCCTCTTGAATACTGATAGGAATCCCAAAATCCCTGTGGCTACTGGAAAGGGTCCTTGGGTGCCCTGCCTCACCTCGAGAAGCGTCCCTTTGGCCCTGCCAAGCCTCGAAGAGATTCCTGAGGTGTCCCTCGTTACTAGACAGGAGTCCTGACGTCACTGAAGAAACTCGTGTTTTGAAGGGCCATCCCCGCCGTAAGTCGAGAACATACCCCAGGTCCCCGCCGCAACTCGAGAAAAACCATGAGACTTCCCCCTAGAGGCGAGATGAGGCCCCATTCCCCTGCAGTGCATGCAGAACTATTCCGTGACCCCATTCAAACAAGTCAGGAGCTTCGACTTGCTTAATGGATCTCGAGACAGTCCCCAAGAACACTGTCACCAGTCTAGACGGACCCTGAGGTCACCCCAGCAACGCAAAGCAGCTCCATGTGCCCCAAATCAACTCGAGATGAGGCCCGATTCCCCTGCACTGACTCCAGAGCCATTCCCCGTTCCCCATTCAACACGACCGGTGGCTCGACTTCCTTCAGGCAACTCCAGAGATGCCCCGAGAACACTGTCCCAAGTCTAGAGGAACACCAACTTCAGCACAGCAACTCGAGGAATGCTCCGTGTACCCCAAATCGTCTCGAGATGCGAGCTGATTCCCTGGCTTAGGCTCAAGACGTATGCCAACTTCCCAGAAGCACCTCAGGAGGAGGCTTCTCTCAGCAATAGGTATGTGGGAGGGACCCCGAGTTTGCTGCCTCAAGGGGAATATACAGCGAGAAGCCCTAACTTGAAAGGAGGCCGGATTTCCTTGCAGTGGTTTGAATACAGGCTCGTCTTTCATCTCACAACATGAAGGGATGTCTGAATCCCCTGTGGAGACCTTAGAGAAAGCCCTAGGTCCCTGCCTCATTTTGACGGAATGCCTCACATCCCGCTGACACCTCGAGAGGCACGCGGAGTTCATTGCTTCAAAAGGTGACGATGCCTGACTCCTCTTGAATACTGATAGGAATCCCAAAATCCCTGTGGCTACTGGAAAGGGTCCTTGGGTGCCCTGCCTCACCTCGAGAAGCGTCCCTTTGGCCCTGCCAAGCCTCGAAGAGATTCCTGAGGTGTCCCTCGTTACTAGACAGGAGTCCTGACGTCACTGAAGAAACTCGTGTTTTGAAGGGCCATCCCCGCCGTAAGTCGAGAACATACCCCAGGTCCCCGCCGCAACTCGAGAAAAACCATGAGACTTCCCCCTAGAGGCGAGATGAGGCCCCATTCCCCTGCAGTGCATGCAGAGCTATTCCGTGATCCCATTCAAACAAGTCAGGAGCTTCGACTTGCTTAATGGATCTCGAGACAGTCCCCAAGAACACTGTCACCAGTCTAGACGGACCCTGAGGTCACCCCAGCAACGCAAAGCAGCTCCATGTGCCCCAAATCAACTCGAGATGAGGCCCGATTCCCCTGCATTGACTCCAGAGCCATTCCCCGTTCCCCATTCAACACGACCGGTGGCTCGACTTCCTTCAGGCAACTCCAGAGATGCCCCGAGAACACTGTCCCAAGTCTAGAGGAACACCAACTTCAGCACAGCAACTCGAGGAATGCTCCGTGTACCCCAAATCGTCTCGAGATGCGAGCTGATTCCCTGGCTTAGGCTCAAGACGTATGCCAACTTCCCAGAAGCACCTCAGGAGGAGGCTTCTCTCAGCAATAGGTATGTGGGAGGGACCCCGAGTTTGCTGCCTCAAGGGGAATATACAGCGAGAAGCCCTAACTTGAAAGGAGGCCGGATTTCCTTGCAGTGGCTTGAATACAGGCTCGTCTTTCATCTCACAACATGAAGGGATGTCTGAATCCCCTGTGGAGACCTTAGAGAAAGCCCTAGGTCCCTGCCTCATTTTGACGGAATGCCTCACATCCCGCTGACACCTCGAGAGGCACGCGGAGTTCATTGCTTCAAAAGGTGACGATGCCTGACTCCTCTTGAATACTGATAGGAATCCCAAAATCCCTGTGGCTACTGGAAAGGGTCCTTGGGTGCCCTGCCTCACCTCGAGAAGCGTCCCTTTGGCCCTGCCAAGCCTCGAAGAGATTCCTGAGGTGTCCCTCGTTACTAGACAGGAGTCCTGACGTCACTGAAGAAACTCGTGTTTTGAAGGGCCATCCCCGCCGTAAGTCGAGAACATACCCCAGGTCCCCGCCGCAACTCGAGAAAAACCATGAGACTTCCCCCTAGAGGCGAGATGAGGCCCCATTCCCCTGCAGTGCATGCAGAGCTATTCCGTGATCCCATTCAAACAAGTCAGGAGCTTCGACTTGCTTAATGGATCTCGAGACAGTCCCCAAGAACACTGTCACCAGTCTAGACGGACCCTGAGGTCACCCCAGCAACGCAAAGCAGCTCCATGTGCCCCAAATCAACTCGAGATGAGGCCCGATTCCCCTGCATTGACTCCAGAGCCATTCCCCGTTCCCCATTCAACACGACCGGTGGCTCGACTTCCTTCAGGCAACTCCAGAGATGCCCCGAGAACACTGTCCCAAGTCTAGAGGAACACCAACTTCAGCACAGCAACTCGAGGAATGCTCCGTGTACCCCAAATCGTCTCGAGATGCGAGCTGATTCCCTGGCTTAGGCTCAAGACGTATGCCAACTTCCCAGAAGCACCTCAGGAGGAGGCTTCTCTCAGCAATAGGTATGTGGGAGGGACCCCGAGTTTGCTGCCTCAAGGGGAATATACAGCGAGAAGCCCTAACTTGAAAGGAGGCCGGATTTCCTTGCAGTGGCTTGAATACAGGCTCGTCTTTCATCTCACAACATGAAGGGATGTCTGAATCCCCTGTGGAGACCTTAGAGAAAGCCCTAGGTCCCTGCCTCATTTTGACGGAATGCCTCACATCCCGCTGACACCTCGAGAGGCACGCGGAGTTCATTGCTTCAAAAGGTGACGATGCCTGACTCCTCTTGAATACTGATAGGAATCCCAAAATCCCTGTGGCTACTGGAAAGGGTCCTTGGGTGCCCTGCCTCACCTCGAGAAGCGTCCCTTTGGCCCTGCCAAGCCTCGAAGAGATTCCTGAGGTGTCCCTCGTTACTAGACAGGAGTCCTGACGTCACTGAAGAAACTCGTGTTTTGAAGGGCCATCCCCGCCGTAAGTCGAGAACATACCCCAGGTCCCCGCCGCAACTCGAGAAAAACCATGAGACTTCCCCCTAGAGGCGAGATGAGGCCCCATTCCCCTGCAGTGCATGCAGAGCTATTCCGTGACCCCATTCAAACAAGTCAGGAGCTTCGACTTGCTTAATGGATCTCGAGACAGTCCCCAAGAACACTGTCACCAGTCTAGACGGACCCTGAGGTCACCCCAGCAACGCAAAGCAGCTCCATGTGCCCCAAATCAACTCGAGATGAGGCCCGATTCCCCTGCACTGACTCCAGAGCCATTCCCCGTTCCCCATTCAACACGACCGGTGGCTCGACTTCCTTCAGGCAACTCCAGAGATGCCCCGAGAACACTGTCCCAAGTCTAGAGGAACACCAACTTCAGCACAGCAACTCGAGGAATGCTCCGTGTACCCCAAATCGTCTCGAGATGCGAGCTGATTCCCTGGCTTAGGCTCAAGACGTATGCCAACTTCCCAGAAGCACCTCAGGAGGAGGCTTCTCTCAGCAATAGGTATGTGGGAGGGACCCCGAGTTTGCTGCCTCAAGGGGAATATACAGCGAGAAGCCCTAACTTGAAAGGAGGCCGGATTTCCTTGCAGTGGCTTGAATACAGGCTCGTCTTTCATCTCATAACATGAAGGGATGTCTGAATCCCCTGTGGAGACCTTAGAGAAAGCCCTAGGTCCCTGCCTCATTTTGACGGAATGCCTCACATCCCGCTGACACCTCGAGAGGCACGCGGAGTTCATTGCTTCAAAAGGTGACGATGCCTGACTCCTCTTGAATACTGATAGGAATCCCAAAATCCCTGTGGCTACTGGAAAGGGTCCTTGGGTGCCCTGCCTCACCTCGAGAAGCGTCCCTTTGGCCCTGCCAAGCCTCGAAGAGATTCCTGAGGTGTCCCTCGTTACTAGACAGGAGTCCTGACGTCACTGAAGAAACTCGTGTTTTGAAGGGCCATCCCCGCCGTAAGTCGAGAACATACCCCAGGTCCCCGCCGCAACTCGAGAAAAACCATGAGACTTCCCCCTAGAGGCGAGATGAGGCCCCATTCCCCTGCAGTGCATGCAGAGCTATTCCGTGACCCCATTCAAACAAGTCAGGAGCTTCGACTTGCTTAATGGATCTCGAGACAGTCCCCAAGAACACTGTCACCAGTCTAGACGGACTTGAGGTCACCCCAGCAACGCAAAGCAGCTCCATGTGCCCCAAATCAACTCGAGATGAGGCCCGATTCCCCTGCACTGACTCCAGATCCATTCCCCGTTCCCCATTCAACACGACCGGTGGCTCGACTTCCTTCAGGCAACTCCAGAGATGCCCCGAGAACACTGTCCCAAGTCTAGAGGAACACCAACTTCAGCACAGCAACTCGAGGAATGCTCCGTGTACCCCAAATCGTCTCGAGATGCGAGCTGATTCCCTGGCTTAGGCTCAAGACGTATGCCAACTTCCCAGAAGCACCTCAGGAGGAGGCTTCTCTCAGCAATAGGTATGTGGGAGGGACCCCGAGTTTGCTGCCTCAAGGGGAATATACAGCGAGAAGCCCTAACTTGAAAGGAGGCCGGATTTCCTTGCAGTGGCTTGAATACAGGCTCGTCTTTCATCTCACAACATGAAGGGATGTCTGAATCCCCTGTGGAGACCTTAGAGAAAGCCCTAGGTCCCTGCCTCATTTTGACGGAATGCCTCACATCCCGCTGACACCTCGAGAGGCACGCGGAGTTCATTGCTTCAAAAGGTGACGATGCCTGACTCCTCTTGAATACTGATAGGAATCCCAAAATCCCTGTGGCTACTGGAAAGGGTCCTTGGGTGCCCTGCCTCACCTCGAGAAGCGTCCCTTTGGCCCTGCCAAGCCTCGAAGAGATTCCTGAGGTGTCCCTCGTTACTAGACAGGAGTCCTGACGTCACTGAAGAAACTCGTGTTTTGAAGGGCCATCCCCGCCGTAAGTCGAGAACATACCCCAGGTCCCCGCCGCAACTCGAGAAAAACCATGAGACTTCCCCCTAGAGGCGAGATGAGGCCCCATTCCCCTGCAGTGCATGCAGAGCTATTCCGTGACCCCATTCAAACAAGTCAGGAGCTTCGACTTGCTTAATGGATCTCGAGACAGTCCCCAAGAACACTGTCACCAGTCTAGACGGACTTGAGGTCACCCCAGCAACGCAAAGCAGCTCCATGTGCCCCAAATCAACTCGAGATGAGGCCCGATTCCCCTGCACTGACTCCAGATCCATTCCCCGTTCCCCATTCAACACGACCGGTGGCTCGACTTCCTTCAGGCAACTCCAGAGATGCCCCGAGAACACTGTCCCAAGTCTAGAGGAACACCAACTTCAGCACAGCAACTCGAGGAATGCTCCGTGTACCCCAAATCGTCTCGAGATGCGAGCTGATTCCCTGGCTTAGGCTCAAGACGTATGCCAACTTCCCAGAAGCACCTCAGGAGGAGGCTTCTCTCAGCAATAGGTATGTGGGAGGGACCCCGAGTTTGCTGCCTCAAGGGGAATATACAGCGAGAAGCCCTAACTTGAAAGGAGGCCGGATTTCCTTGCAGTGGCTTGAATACAGGCTCGTCTTTCATCTCACAACATGAAGGGATGTCTGAATCCCCTGTGGAGACCTTAGAGAAAGCCCTAGGTCCCTGCCTCATTTTGACGGAATGCCTCACATCCCGCTGACACCTCGAGAGGCACGCGGAGTTCATTGCTTCAAAAGGTGACGATGCCTGACTCCTCTTGAATACTGATAGGAATCCCAAAATCCCTGTGGCTACTGGAAAGGGTCCTTGGGTGCCCTGCCTCACCTCGAGAAGCGTCCCTTTGGCCCTGCCAAGCCTCGAAGAGATTCCTGAGGTGTCCCTCGTTACTAGACAGGAGTCCTGACGTCACTGAAGAAACTCGTGTTTTGAAGGGCCATCCCCGCCGTAAGTCGAGAACATACCCCAGGTCCCCGCCGCTACTCGAGAAAAACCATGAGACTTCCCCCTAGAGGCGAGATGAGGCCCCATTCCCCTGCAGTGCATGCAGAACTATTCCGTGACCCCATTCAAACAAGTCAGGAGCTTCGACTTGCTTAATGGATCTCGAGACAGTCCCCAAGAACACTGTCACCAGTCTAGACGGACCCTGAGGTCACCCCAGCAACGCAAAGCAGCTCCATGTGCCCCAAATCAACTCGAGATGAGGCCCGATTCCCCTGCACTGACTCCAGAGCCATTCCCCGTTCCCCATTCAACACGACCGGTGGCTCGACTTCCTTCAGGCAACTCCAGAGATGCCCCGAGAACACTGTCCCAAGTCTAGAGGAACACCAACTTCAGCACAGCAACTCGAGGAATGCTCCGTGTACCCCAAATCGTCTCGAGATGCGAGCTGATTCCCTGGCTTAGGCTCAAGACGTATGCCAACTTCCCAGAAGCACCTCAGGAGGAGGCTTCTCTCAGCAATAGGTATGTGGGAGGGACCCCGAGTTTGCTGCCTCAAGGGGAATATACAGCGAGAAGCCCTAACTTGAAAGGAGGCCGGATTTCCTTGCAGTGGCTTGAATACAGGCTCGTCTTTCATCTCACAACATGAAGGGATGTCTGAATCCCCTGTGGAGACCTTAGAGAAAGCCCTAGGTTCCTGCCTCATTTTGACGGAATGCCTCACATCCCGCTGACACCTCGAGAGGCACGCGGAGTTCATTGCTTCAAAAGGTGACGATGCCTGACTCCTCTTGAATACTGATAGGAATCCCAAAATCCCTGTGGCTACTGGAAAGGGTCCTTGGGTGCCCTGCCTCACCTCGAGAAGCGTCCCTTTGGCCCTGCCAAGCCTCGAAGAGATTCCTGAGGTGTCCCTCGTTACTAGACAGGAGTCCTGACGTCACTGAAGAAACTCGTGTTTTGAAGGGCCATCCCCGCCGTAAGTCGAGAACATACCCCAGGTCCCCGCCGCAACTCGAGAAAAACCATGAGACTTCCCCCTAGAGGCGAGATGAGGCCCCATTCCCCTGCAGTGCATGCAGAGCTATTCCGTGATCCCATTCAAACAAGTCAGGAGCTTCGACTTGCTTAATGGATCTCGAGACAGTCCCCAAGAACACTGTCACCAGTCTAGACGGACCCTGAGGTCACCCCAGCAACGCAAAGCAGCTCCATGTGCCCCAAATCAACTCGAGATGAGGCCCGATTCCCCTGCATTGACTCCAGAGCCATTCCCCGTTCCCCATTCAACACGACCGGTGGCTCGACTTCCTTCAGGCAACTCCAGAGATGCCCCGAGAACACTGTCCCAAGTCTAGAGGAACACCAACTTCAGCACAGCAACTCGAGGAATGCTCCGTGTACCCCAAATCGTCTCGAGATGCGAGCTGATTCCCTGGCTTAGGCTCAAGACGTATGCCAACTTCCCAGAAGCACCTCAGGAGGAGGCTTCTCTCAGCAATAGGTATGTGGGAGGGACCCCGAGTTTGCTGCCTCAAGGGGAATATACAGCGAGAAGCCCTAACTTGAAAGGAGGCCGGATTTCCTTGCAGTGGCTTGAATACAGGCTCGTCTTTCATCTCACAACATGAAGGGATGTCTGAATCCCCTGTGGAGACCTTAGAGAAAGCCCTAGGTCCCTGCCTCATTTTGACGGAATGCCTCACATCCCGCTGACACCTCGAGAGGCACGCGGAGTTCATTGCTTCAAAAGGTGACGATGCCTGACTCCTCTTGAATACTGATAGGAATCCCAAAATCCCTGTGGCTACTGGAAAGGGTCCTTGGGTGCCCTGCCTCACCTCGAGAAGCGTCCCTTTGGCCCTGCCAAGCCTCGAAGAGATTCCTGAGGTGTCCCTCGTTACTAGACAGGAGTCCTGACGTCACTGAAGAAACTCGTGTTTTGAAGGGCCATCCCCGCCGTAAGTCGAGAACATACCCCAGGTCCCCGCCGCAACTCGAGAAAAACCATGAGACTTCCCCCTAGAGGCGAGATGAGGCCCCATTCCCCTGCAGTGCATGCAGAGCTATTTCGTGATCCCATTCAAACAAGTCAGGAGCTTCGACTTGCTTAATGGATCTCGAGACAGTCCCCAAGAACACTGTCACCAGTCTAGACGGACCCTGAGGTCACCCCAGCAACGCAAAGCAGCTCCATGTGCCCCAAATCAACTCGAGATGAGGCCCGATTCCCCTGCATTGACTCCAGAGCCATTCCCCGTTCCCCATTCAACACGACCGGTGGCTCGACTTCCTTCAGGCAACTCCAGAGATGCCCCGAGAACACTGTCCCAAGTCTAGAGGAACACCAACTTCAGCACAGCAACTCGAGGAATGCTCCGTGTACCCCAAATCGTCTCGAGATGCGAGCTGATTCCCTGGCTTAGGCTCAAGACGTATGCCAACTTCCCAGAAGCACCTCAGGAGGAGGCTTCTCTCAGCAATAGGTATGTGGGAGGGACCCCGAGTTTGCTGCCTCAAGGGGAATATACAGCGAGAATCCCTAACTTGAAAGGAGGCCGGATTTCCTTGCAGTGGCTTGAATACAGGCTCGTCTTTCATCTCACAACATGAAGGGATGTCTGAATCCCCTGTGGAGACCTTAGAGAAAGCCCTAGGTCCCTGCCTCATTTTGACGGAATGCCTCACATCCCGCTGACACCTCGAGAGGCACGCGGAGTTCATTGCTTCAAAAGGTGACGATGCCTGACTCCTCTTGAATACTGATAGGAATCCCAAAATCCCTGTGGCTACTGGAAAGGGTCCTTGGGTGCCCTGCCTCACCTCGAGAAGCGTCCCTTTGGCCCTGCCAAGCCTCGAAGAGATTCCTGAGGTGTCCCTCGTTACTAGACAGGAGTCCTGACGTCACTGAAGAAACTCGTGTTTTGAAGGGCCATCCCCGCCGTAAGTCGAGAACATACCCCAGGTCCCCGCCGCAACTCGAGAAAAACCATGAGACTTCCCCCTAGAGGCGAGATGAGGCCCCATTCCCCTGCAGTGCATGCAGAGCTATTCCGTGACCCCATTCAAACAAGTCAGGAGCTTCGACTTGCTTAATGGATCTCGAGACAGTCCCCAAGAACACTGTCACCAGTCTAGACGGACCCTGAGGTCACCCCAGCAACGCAAAGCAGCTCCATGTGCCCCAAATCAACTCGAGATGAGGCCCGATTCCCCTGCATTGACTCCAGAGCCATTCCCCGTTCCCCATTCAACACGACCGGTGGCTCGACTTCCTTCAGGCAACTCCAGAGATGCCCCGAGAACACTGTCCCAAGTCTAGAGGAACACCAACTTCAGCACAGCAACTCGAGGAATGCTCCGTGTACCCCAAATCGTCTCGAGATGCGAGCTGATTCCCTGGCTTAGGCTCAAGACGTATGCCAACTTCCCAGAAGCACCTCAGGAGGAGGCTTCTCTCAGCAATAGGTATGTGGGAGGGACCCCGAGTTTGCTGCCTCAAGGGGAATATACAGCGAGAAGCCCTAACTTGAAAGGAGGCCGGATTTCCTTGCAGTGGCTTGAATACAGGCTCGTCTTTCATCTCACAACATGAAGGGATGTCTGAATCCCCTGTGGAGACCTTAGAGAAAGCCCTAGGTCCCTGCCTCATTTTGACGGAATGCCTCACATCCCGCTGACACCTCGAGAGGCACGCGGAGTTCATTGCTTCAAAAGGTGACGATGCCTGACTCCTCTTGAATACTGATAGGAATCCCAAAATCCCTGTGGCTACTGGAAAGGGTCCTTGGGTGCCCTGCCTCACCTCGAGAAGCGTCCCTTTGGCCCTGCCAAGCCTCGAAGAGATTCCTGAGGTATCCCTCGTTACTAGACAGGAGTCCTGACGTCACTGAAGAAACTCGTGTTTTGAAGGGCCATCCCCGCCGTAAGTCGAGAACATACCCCAGGTCCCCGCCGCAACTCGAGAAAAACCATGAGACTTCCCCCTAGAGGCGAGATGAGGCCCCATTCCCCTGCAGTGCATGCAGAGCTATTCCGTGACCCCATTCAAACAAGTCAGGAGCTTCGACTTGCTTAATGGATCTCGAGACAGTCCCCAAGAACACTGTCACCAGTCTAGACGGACCCTGAGGTCACCCCAGCAACGCAAAGCAGCTCCATGTGCCCCAAATCAACTCGAGATGAGGCCCGATTCCCCTGCATTGACTCCAGAGCCATTCCCCGTTCCCCATTCAACACGACCGGTGGCTCGACTTCCTTCAGGCAACTCCAGAGATGCCCCGAGAACACTGTCCCAAGTCTAGAGGAACACCAACTTCAGCACAGCAACTCGAGGAATGCTCCGTGTACCCCAAATCGTCTCGAGATGCGAGCTGATTCCCTGGCTTAGGCTCAAGACGTATGCCAACTTCCCAGAAGCACCTCAGGAGGGGGCTTCTCTCAGCAATAGGTATGTGGGAGGGACCCCGAGTTTGCTGCCTCAAGGGGAATATACAGCGAGAAGCCCTAACTTGAAAGGAGGCCGGATTTCCTTGCAGTGGCTTGAATACAGGCTCGTCTTTCATCTCACAACATGAAGGGATGTCTGAATCCCCTGTGGAGACCTTAGAGAAAGCCCTAGGTCCCTGCCTCATTTTGACGGAATGCCTCACATCCCGCTGACACCTCGAGAGGCACGCGGAGTTCATTGCTTCAAAAGGTGACGATGCCTGACTCCTCTTGAATACTGATAGGAATCCCAAAATCCCTGTGGCTACTGGAAAGGGTCCTTGGGTGCCCTGCCTCACCTCGAGAAGCGTCCCTTTGGCCCTGCCAAGCCTCGAAGAGATTCCTGAGGTGTCCCTCGTTACTAGACAGGAGTCCTGACGTCACTGAAGAAACTCGTGTTTTGAAGGGCCATCCCCGCCGTAAGTCGAGAACATACCCCAGGTCCCCGCCGCAACTCGAGAAAAACCATGAGACTTCCCCCTAGAGGCGAGATGAGGCCCCATTCCCCTGCAGTGCATGCAGAGCTATTCCGTGACCCCATTCAAACAAGTCAGGAGCTTCGACTTGCTTAATGGATCTCGAGACAGTCCCCAAGAACACTGTCACCAGTCTAGACGGACCCTGAGGTCACCCCAGCAACGCAAAGCAGCTCCATGTGCCCCAAATCAACTCGAGATGAGGCCCGATTCCCCTGCATTGACTCCAGAGCCATTCCCCGTTCCCCATTCAACACGACCGGTGGCTCGACTTCCTTCAGGCAACTCCAGAGATGCCCCGAGAACACTGTCCCAAGTCTAGAGGAACACCAACTTCAGCACAGCAACTCGAGGAATGCTCCGTGTACCCCAAATCGTCTCGAGATGCGAGCTGATTCCCTGGCTTAGGCTCAAGACGTATGCCAACTTCCCAGAAGCACCTCAGGAGGAGGCTTCTCTCAGCAATAGGTATGTGGGAGGGACCCCGAGTTTGCTGCCTCAAGGGGAATATACAGCGAGAAGCCCTAACTTGAAAGGAGGCCGGATTTCCTTGCAGTGGCTTGAATACAGGCTCGTCTTTCATCTCACAACATGAAGGGATGTCTGAATCCCCTGTGGAGACCTTAGAGAAAGCCCTAGGTCCCTGCCTCATTTTGACGGAATGCCTCACATCCCGCTGACACCTCGAGAGGCACGCGGAGTTCATTGCTTCAAAAGGTGACGATGCCTGACTCCTCTTGAATACTGATAGGAATCCCAAAATCCCTGTGGCTACTGGAAAGGGTCCTTGGGTGCCCTGCCTCACCTCGAGAAGCGTCCCTTTGGCCCTGCCAAGCCTCGAAGAGATTCCTGAGGTGTCCCTCGTTACTAGACAGGAGTCCTGACGTCACTGAAGAAACTCGTGTTTTGAAGGGCCATCCCCGCCGTAAGTCGAGAACATACCCCAGGTCCCCGCCGCAACTCGAGAAAAACCATGAGACTTCCCCCTAGAGGCGAGATGAGGCCCCATTCCCCTGCAGTGCATGCAGAGCTATTCCGTGACCCCATTCAAACAAGTCAGGAGCTTCGACTTGCTTAATGGATCTCGAGACAGTCCCCAAGAACACTGTCACCAGTCTAGACGGACCCTGAGGTCACCCCAGCAACGCAAAGCAGCTCCATGTGCCCCAAATCAACTCGAGATGAGGCCCGATTCCCCTGCATTGACTCCAGAGCCATTTCCCGTTCCCCATTCAACACGACCGGTGGCTCGACTTCCTTCAGGCAACTCCAGAGATGCCCCGAGAACACTGTCCCAAGTCTAGAGGAACACCAACTTCAGCACAGCAACTCGAGGAATGCTCCGTGTACCCCAAATCGTCTCGAGATGCGAGCTGATTCCCTGGCTTAGGCTCAAGACGTATGCCAACTTCCCAGAAGCACCTCAGGAGGAGGCGTCTCTCAGCAATAGGTATGTGGGAGGGACCCCGAGTTTGCTGCCTCAAGGGGAATATACAGCGAGAAGCCCTAACTTGAAAGGAGGCCGGATTTCCTTGCAGTGGCTTGAATACAGGCTCGTCTTTCATCTCACAACATGAAGGGATGTCTGAATCCCCTGTGGAGACCTTAGAGAAAGCCCTAGGTCCCTGCCTCATTTTGACGGAATGCCTCACATCCCGCTGACACCTCGAGAGGCACGCGGAGTTCATTGCTTCAAAAGGTGACGATGCCTGACTCCTCTTGAATACTGATAGGAATCCCAAAATCCCTGTGGCTACTGGAAAGGGTCCTTGGGTGCCCTGCCTCACCTCGAGAAGCGTCCCTTTGGCCCTGCCAAGCCTCGAAGAGATTCCTGAGGTGTCCCTCGTTACTAGACAGGAGTCCTGACGTCACTGAAGAAACTCGTGTTTTGAAGGGCCATCCCCGCCGTAAGTCGAGAACATACCCCAGGTCCCCGCCGCAACTCGAGAAAAACCATGAGACTTCCCCCTAGAGGCGAGATGAGGCCCCATTCCCCTGCAGTGCATGCAGAGCTATTCCGTGACCCCATTCAAACAAGTCAGGAGCTTCGACTTGCTTAATGGATCTCGAGACAGTCCCCAAGAACACTGTCACCAGTCTAGACGGACCCTGAGGTCACCCCAGCATCGCAAAGCAGCTCCATGTGCCCCAAATCAACTCGAGATGAGGCCCGATTCCCCTGCATTGACTCCAGAGCCATTCCCCGTTCCCCATTCAACACGACCGGTGGCTCGACTTCCTTCAGGCAACTCCAGAGATGCCCCGAGAACACTGTCCCAAGTCTAGAGGAACACCAACTTCAGCACAGCAACTCGAGGAATGCTCCGTGTACCCCAAATCGTCTCGAGATGCGAGCTGATTCCCTGGCCTAGGCTCAAGACATATGCCAACTTCCCAGAAGCACCTCAGGAGGAGGCTTCTCTCAGCAATAGGTATGTGGGAGGGACCCCGAGTTTGCTGCCTCAAGGGGAATATACAGCGAGAAGCCCTAACTTGAAAGGAGGCCGGATTTCCTTGCAGTGGCTTGAATACAGGCTCGTCTTTCATCTCACAACATGAAGGGATGTCTGAATCCCCTGTGGAGACCTTAGAGAAAGACCTAGGTCCCTGCCTCATTTTGACGGAATGCCTCACATCCCGCTGACACCTCGAGAGGCACGCGGAGTTCATTGCTTCAAAAGGTGACGATGCCTGACTCCTCTTGAATACTGATAGGAATCCCAAAATCCCTGTGGCTACTGGAAAGGGTCCTTGGGTGCCCTGCCTCACCTCGAGAAGCGTCCCTTTGGCCCTGCCAAGCCTCGAAGAGATTCCTGAGGTGTCCCTCGTTACTAGACAGGAGTCCTGACGTCACTGAAGAAACTCGTGTTTTGAAGGGCCATCCCCGCCGTAAGTCGAGAACATACCCCAGGTCCCCGCCGCAACTCGAGAAAAACCATGAGACTTCCCCCTAGAGGCGAGATGAGGCCCCATTCCCCTGCAGTGCATGCAGAGCTATTCCGTGATCCCATTCAAACAAGTCAGGAGCTTCGACTTGCTTAATGGATCTCGAGACAGTCCCCAAGAACACTGTCACCAGTCTAGACGGACCCTGAGGTCACCCCAGCAACGCAAAGCAGCTCCATGTGCCCCAAATCAACTCGAGATGAGGCCCGATTCCCCTGCATTGACTCCAGAGCCATTCCCCGTTCCCCATTCAACACGACCGGTGGCTCGACTTCCTTCAGGCATCTCCAGAGATGCCCCCAGAACACTGTCCCAAGACTAGAGGAACACCAACTTCAGCACAGCAACTCGAGGAATGCTCCGTGTACCCCAAATCGTCTCGAGATGAGAGCTGATTCCCTGGCTTAGGCTCAAGACGTATGCCAACTTCCCAGAAGCACCTCAGGAGGAGGCTTCTCTCAGCAATAGGTATGTGGGAGGGACCCCGAGTTTGCTGCCTCAAGGGGAATATATAGCGAGAAGCCCTAACTTGAAAGGAGGCCGGATTTCCTTGCAGTGGCTTGAATACAGGCTCGTCTTTCATCTCACAACATGAAGGGATGTCTGAATCCCCTGTGGAGACCTTAGAGAAAGCCCTAGGTCCCTGCCTCATTTTGACGGAATGCCTCACATCCCGCTGACACCTCGAGAGGCACGCGGAGTTCATTGCTTCAAAAGGTGACGATGCCTGACTCCTCTTGAATACTGATAGGAATCCCAAAATCCCTGTGGCTACTGGAAAGGGTCCTTGGGTGCCCTGCCTCACCTCGAGAAGCGTCCCTTTGGCCCTGCCAAGCCTCGAAGAGATTCCTGAGGTGTCCCTCGTTACTAGACAGGAGTCCTGACGTCACTGAAGAAACTCGTGTTTTGAAGGGCCATCCCCGCCGTAAGTCGAGAACATACCCCAGGTCCCCGCCGCAACTCGAGAAAAACCATGAGACTTCCCCCTAGAGGCGAGATGAGGCCCCATTCCCCTGCAGTGCATGCAGAGCTATTCCGTGATCCCATTCAAACAAGTCAGGAGCTTCGACTTGCTTAATGGATCTCGAGACAGTCCCCAAGAACACTGTCACCAGTCTAGACGGACCCTGAGGTCACCCCAGCAACGCAAAGCAGCTCCATGTGCCCCAAATCAACTCGAGATGAGGCCCGATTCCCCTGCATTGACTCCAGAGCCATTCCCCGTTCCCCATTCAACACGACCGGTGGCTCGACTTCCTTCAGGCAACTCCAGAGATGCCCCGAGAACACTGTCCCAAGTCTAGAGGAACACCAACTTCAGCACAGCAACTCGAGGAATGCTCCGTGTACCCCAAATCGTCTCGAGATGCGAGCTGATTCCCTGGCTTAGGCTCAAGACGTATGCCAACTTCCCAGAAGCACCTCAGGAGGGGGCTTCTCTCAGCAATAGGTATGTGGGAGGGACCCCGAGTTTGCTGCCTCAAGGGGAATATACAGCGAGAAGCCCTAACTTGAAAGGAGGCCGGATTTCCTTGCAGTGGCTTGAATACAGGCTCGTCTTTCATCTCACAACATGAAGGGATGTCTGAATCCCCTGTGGAGACCTTAGAGAAAGCCCTAGGTCCCTGCCTCATTTTGACGGAATGCCTCACATCCCGCTGACACCTCGAGAGTCACGCGGAATTCATTGCTTCAAAAGGTGACGATGCCTGACTCCTCTTGAATACTGATAGGAATCCCAAAATCCCTGTGGCTACTGGAAAGGGTCCTTGGGTGCCCTGCCTCACCTCGAGAAGCGTCCCTTTGGCCCTGCCAAGCCTCGAAGAGATTCCTGAGGTGTCCCTCGTTATTAGACAGGAGTCCTGACGTCACTGAAGAAACTTGTGTTTTGAAGGGCCATCCCCGCCGTAAGTCGAGAACATACCCCAGGTCCCCGCCGCAACTCGAGAAAAACCATGAGACTTCCCCCTAGAGGTGAGATGAGGCCCCATTTCCCTGCAGTGCATGCAGAGCTATTCCGTGATCCCATTCAAATAAGTCAGGAGCTTCGACTTGCTTAATGGATCTCGAGACAGTCCCCAAGAACACTGTCACCAGTCTAGACGGACCCTGAGGTCACCCCAGCAACGCAAAGCAGCTCCATGTGCCCCAAATCAACTCGAGATGAGGCCCGATTCCCCTGCATTGACTCCAGAGCCATTCCCCGTTCCCCATTCAACACGACCGGTGGCTCGACTTCCTTCAGGCAACTCCAGAGATGCCCTGAGAACACTGTCCCAAGTGTAGAGGAACACCAACTTCAGCACAGCAACTCGAGGAATGCTCCGTGTACCCCAAATCGTCTCGAGATGAGAGCTGATTCCCTGGCTTAGGCTCAAGACGTATGCCAACTTCCCAGAAGCACCTCAGGAGGAGGCTTCTCTCAGCAATAGGTATGTGGGAGGGACCCCGAGTTTGCTGCCTCAAGGGGAATATACAGCGAGAAGCCCTAACTTGAAAGGAGGCCGGATTTCCTTGCAGTGGCTTGAATACAGGCTCGTCTTTCATCTCACAACATGAAGGGATGTCTGAATCCCCTGTGGAGACCTTAGAGAAAGCCCTAGGTCCCTGCCTCATTTTGACGGAATGCCTCACATCCCGCTGACACCTCGAGAGGCACGCGGAGTTCATTGCTTCAAAAGGTGACGATGCCTGACTCCTCTTGAATACTGATAGGAATCCCAAAATCCCTGAGGCTACTGGAAAGGGTCCTTGGGTGCCCTGCCTCACCTCGAGAAGTGTCCCTTTGGCCCTGCCAAGCCTCGAAGAGATTCCTGAGGTGTCCCTCGTTACTAGACAGGAGTCCTGACGTCACTGAAGAAACTCGTGTTTTGAAGGGCCATCCCCGCCGTAAGTCGAGAACATACCCCAGGTCCCCGCCGCAACTCGAGAAAAACCATGAGACTTCCCCCTAGAGGCGAGATGAGGCCCCATTCCCCTGCAGTGCATGCAGAGCTATTCCGTGATCCCATTCAAACAAGTCAGGAGCTTCGACTTGCTTAATGGATCTCGAGACAGTCCCCAAGAACACTGTCACCAGTCTAGACGGACCCTGAGGTCACCCCAGCAACGCAAAGCAGCTCCATGTGCCCCAAATCAACTCGAGATGAGGCCCAATTCCCCTGCATTGACTCCAGAGCCATTCCCCGTTCCCCATTCAACACGACCGGTGGCTCGACTTCCTTCAGGCAACTCCAGAGATGCCCCGAGAACACTGTCCCAAGTCTAGAGGAACACCAACTTCAGCACAGCAACTCGAGGAATGCTCCGTGTACCCCAAATCGTCTCGAGATGCGAGCTGATTCCCTGGCTTAGGCTCAAGACGTATGCCAACTTCCCAGAAGCACCTCAGGAGGAGGCTTCTCTCAGCAATAGGTATGTGGGAGCGACCGCGAGTTTGCTGCCTCAAGGGGAATATACAGCGAGAAGCCCTAACTTGAAAGGAGGCCGGATTTCCTTGCAGTGGCTTGAATACAGGCTCGTCTTTCATCTCACAACATGAAGGGATGTCTGAATCCCCTGTGGAGACCTTAGAGAAAGCCCTAGGTCCCTGCCTCATTTTGACGGAATGCCTCACATCCCGCTGACACCTCGAGAGGCACGCGGAGTTCATTGCTTCAAAAGGTGACGATGCCTGACTCCTCTTGAATACTGATAGGAATCCCAAAATCCCTGTGGCTACTGGAAAGGGTCCTTGGGTGCCCTGCCTCACCTCGAGAAGCGTCCCTTTGGCCCTGCCAAGCCTCGAAGAGATTCCTGAGGTGTCCCTCGTTACTAGACAGGAGTCCTGACGTCACTGAAGAAACTCGTGTTTTGAAGGGCCATCCCCGCCGTAAGTCGAGAACATACCCCAGGTCCCCGCCGCAACTCGAGAAAAACCATGAGACTTCCCCCTAGAGGCGAGATGAGGCCCCATTCCCCTGCAGTGCATGCAGAGCTATTCCGTGACCCCATTCAAACAAGTCAGGAGCTTCGACTTGCTTAATGGATCTCGAGACAGTCCCCAAGAACACTGTCACCAGTCTAGACGGACCCTGAGGTCACCCCAGCAACGCAAAGCAGCTCCATGTGCCCCAAATCAACTCGAGATGAGACCCAATTCCCCTGCATTGACTCCAGAGCCATTCCCCGTTCCCCATTCAACACGACCGGTGGCTCGACTTCCTTCAGGCAACTCCAGAGATGCCCCGAGAACACTGTCCCAAGTCTAGAGGAACACCAACTTCAGCACAGCAACTCGAGGAATGCTCCGTGTACCCCAAATCGTCTCGAGATGCGAGCTGATTCCCTGGCTTAGGCTCAAGACGTATGCCAACTTCCCAGAAGCACCTCAGGAGGAGGCTTCTCTCAGCAATAGGTATGTGGGAGGGACCCCGAGTTTGCTGCCTCAAGGGGAATATACAGCGAGAAGCCCTAACTTGAAAGGAGGCCGGATTTCCTTGCAGTGGCTTGAATACAGGCTCGTCTTTCATCTCACAACATGAAGGGATGTCTGAATCCCCTGTGGAGACCTTAGAGAAAGCCCTAGGTCCCTGCCTCATTTTGACGGAATGCCTCACATCCCGCTGACACCTCGAGAGGCACGCGGAGTTCATTGCTTCAAAAGGTGACGATGCCTGACTCCTCTTGAATACTGATAGGAATCCCAAAATCCCTGTGGCTACTGGAAAGGGTCCTTGGGTGCCCTGCCTCACCTCGAGAAGCGTCCCTTTGGCCCTGCCAAGCCTCGAAGAGATTCCTGAGGTGTCCCTCGTTACTAGACAGGAGTCCTGACGTCACTGAAGAAACTCGTGTTTTGAAGGGCCATCCCCGCCGTAAGTCGAGAACATACCCCAGGTCCCCGCCGCAACTCGAGAAAAACCATGAGACTTCCCCCTAGAGGCGAGATGAGGCCCCATTCCCCTGCAGTGCATGCAGAGCTATTCCGTGATCCCATTCAAACAAGTCAGGAGCTTCGACTTGCTTAATGGATCTCGAGACAGTCCCCAAGAACACTGTCACCAGTCTAGACGGACCCTGAGGTCACCCCAGCAACGCAAAGCAGCTCCATGTGCCCCAAATCAACTCGAGATGAGGCCCGATTCCCCTGCATTGACTCCAGAGCCATTCCCCGTTCCCCATTCAACACGACCGGTGGCTCGACTTCCTTCAGGCAACTCCAGAGATGCCCCGAGAACACTGTCCCAAGTCTAGAGGAACACCAACTTCAGCACAGCAACTCGAGGAATGCTCCGTGTACCCCAAATCGTCTCGAGATGCGAGCTGATTCCCTGGCTTAGGCTCAAGACGTATGCCAACTTCCCAGAAGCACCTCAGGAGGAGGCTTCTCTCAGCAATAGGTATGTGGGAGGGACCCCGAGTTTGCTGCCTCAAGGGGAATATACAGCGAGAAGCCCTAACTTGAAAGGAGGCCGGATTTCCTTGCAGTGGCTTGAATACAGGCTCGTCTTTCATCTCACAACATGAAGGGATGTCTGAATCCCCTGTGGAGACCTTAGAGAAAGCCCTAGGTCCCTGCCTCATTTTGACGGAATGCCTCACATCCCGCTGACACCTCGAGAGGCACGCGGAGTTCATTGCTTCAAAAGGTGACGATGCCTGACTCCTCTTGAATACTGATAGGAATCCCAAAATCCCTGTGGCTACTGGAAAGGGTCCTTGGGTGCCCTGCCTCACCTCGAGAAGCGTCCCTTTGGCCCTGCCAAGCCTCGAAGAGATTCCTGAGGTGTCCCTCGTTACTAGACAGGAGTCCTGACGTCACTGAAGAAACTCGTGTTTTGAAGGGCCATCCCCGCCGTAAGTCGAGAACATACCCCAGGTCCCCGCCGCAACTCGAGAAAAACCATGAGACTTCCCCCTAGAGGCGAGATGAGGCCCCATTCCCCTGCAGTGCATGCAGAGCTATTCCGTGATCCCATTCAAACAAGTCAGGAGCTTCGACTTGCTTAATGGATCTCGAGACAGTCCCCAAGAACACTGTCACCAGTCTAGACGGACCCTGAGGTCACCCCAGCAACGCAAAGCAGCTCCATGTGCCCCAAATCAACTCGAGATGAGGCCCGATTCCCCTGCATTGACTCCAGAGCCATTCCCCGTTCCCCATTCAACACGACCGGTGGCTCGACTTCCTTCAGGCAACTCCAGAGATGCCCCGAGAACACTGTCCCAAGTCTAGAGGAACACCAACTTCAGCACAGCAACTCGAGGAATGCTCCGTGTACCCCAAATCGTCTCGAGATGCGAGCTGATTCCCTGGCTTAGGCTCAAGACGTATGCCAACTTCCCAGAAGCACCTCAGGAGGGGGCTTCTCTCAGCAATAGGTATGTGGGAGGGACCCCGAGTTTGCTGCCTCAAGGGGAATATACAGCGAGAAGCCCTAACTTGAAAGGAGGCCGGATTTCCTTGCAGTGGCTTGAATACAGGCTCGTCTTTCATCTCACAACATGAAGGGATGTCTGAATCCCCTGTGGAGACCTTAGAGAAAGCCCTAGGTCCCTGCCTCATTTTGACGGAATGCCTCACATCCCGCTGACACCTCGAGAGTCACGCGGAATTCATTGCTTCAAAAGGTGACGATGCCTGACTCCTCTTGAATACTGATAGGAATCCCAAAATCCCTGTGGCTACTGGAAAGGGTCCTTGGGTGCCCTGCCTCACCTCGAGAAGCGTCCCTTTGGCCCTGCCAAGCCTCGAAGAGATTCCTGAGGTGTCCCTCGTTATTAGACAGGAGTCCTGACGTCACTGAAGAAACTTGTGTTTTGAAGGGCCATCCCCGCCGTAAGTCGAGAACATACCCCAGGTCCCCGCCGCAACTCGAGAAAAACCATGAGACTTCCCCCTAGAGGTGAGATGAGGCCCCATTTCCCTGCAGTGCATGCAGAGCTATTCCGTGATCCCATTCAAATAAGTCAGGAGCTTCGACTTGCTTAATGGATCTCGAGACAGTCCCCAAGAACACTGTCACCAGTCTAGACGGACCCTGAGGTCACCCCAGCAACGCAAAGCAGCTCCATGTGCCCCAAATCAACTCGAGATGAGGCCCGATTCCCCTGCATTGACTCCAGAGCCATTCCCCGTTCCCCATTCAACACGACCGGTGGCTCGACTTCCTTCAGGCAACTCCAGAGATGCCCTGAGAACACTGTCCCAAGTGTAGAGGAACACCAACTTCAGCACAGCAACTCGAGGAATGCTCCGTGTACCCCAAATCGTCTCGAGATGAGAGCTGATTCCCTGGCTTAGGCTCAAGACGTATGCCAACTTCCCAGAAGCACCTCAGGAGGAGGCTTCTCTCAGCAATAGGTATGTGGGAGGGACCCCGAGTTTGCTGCCTCAAGGGGAATATACAGCGAGAAGCCCTAACTTGAAAGGAGGCCGGATTTCCTTGCAGTGGCTTGAATACAGGCTCGTCTTTCATCTCACAACATGAAGGGATGTCTGAATCCCCTGTGGAGACCTTAGAGAAAGCCCTAGGTCCCTGCCTCATTTTGACGGAATGCCTCACATCCCGCTGACACCTCGAGAGGCACGCGGAGTTCATTGCTTCAAAAGGTGACGATGCCTGACTCCTCTTGAATACTGATAGGAATCCCAAAATCCCTGAGGCTACTGGAAAGGGTCCTTGGGTGCCCTGCCTCACCTCGAGAAGTGTCCCTTTGGCCCTGCCAAGCCTCGAAGAGATTCCTGAGGTGTCCCTCGTTACTAGACAGGAGTCCTGACGTCACTGAAGAAACTCGTGTTTTGAAGGGCCATCCCCGCCGTAAGTCGAGAACATACCCCAGGTCCCCGCCGCAACTCGAGAAAAACCATGAGACTTCCCCCTAGAGGCGAGATGAGGCCCCATTCCCCTGCAGTGCATGCAGAGCTATTCCGTGATCCCATTCAAACAAGTCAGGAGCTTCGACTTGCTTAATGGATCTCGAGACAGTCCCCAAGAACACTGTCACCAGTCTAGACGGACCCTGAGGTCACCCCAGCAACGCAAAGCAGCTCCATGTGCCCCAAATCAACTCGAGATGAGGCCCAATTCCCCTGCATTGACTCCAGAGCCATTCCCCGTTCCCCATTCAACACGACCGGTGGCTCGACTTCCTTCAGGCAACTCCAGAGATGCCCCGAGAACACTGTCCCAAGTCTAGAGGAACACCAACTTCAGCACAGCAACTCGAGGAATGCTCCGTGTACCCCAAATCGTCTCGAGATGCGAGCTGATTCCCTGGCTTAGGCTCAAGACGTATGCCAACTTCCCAGAAGCACCTCAGGAGGAGGCTTCTCTCAGCAATAGGTATTTGGGAGCGACCGCGAGTTTGCTGCCTCAAGGGGAATATACAGCGAGAAGCCCTAACTTGAAAGGAGGCCGGATTTCCTTGCAGTGGCTTGAATACAGGCTCGTCTTTCATCTCACAACATGAAGGGATGTCTGAATCCCCTGTGGAGACCTTAGAGAAAGCCCTAGGTCCCTGCCTCATTTTGACGGAATGCCTCACATCCCGCTGACACCTCGAGAGGCACGCGGAGTTCATTGCTTCAAAAGGTGACGATGCCTGACTCCTCTTGAATACTGATAGGAATCCCAAAATCCCTGTGGCTACTGGAAAGGGTCCTTGGGTGCCCTGCCTCACCTCGAGAAGCGTCCCTTTGGCCCTGCCAAGCCTCGAAGAGATTCCTGAGGTGTCCCTCGTTACTAGACAGGAGTCCTGACGTCACTGAAGAAACTCGTGTTTTGAAGGGCCATCCCCGCCGTAAGTCGAGAACATACCCCAGGTCCCCGCCGCAACTCGAGAAAAACCATGAGACTTCCCCCTAGAGGCGAGATGAGGCCCCATTCCCCTGCAGTGCATGCAGAGCTATTCCGTGACCCCATTCAAACAAGTCAGGAGCTTCGACTTGCTTAATGGATCTCGAGACAGTCCCCAAGAACACTGTCACCAGTCTAGACGGACCCTGAGGTCACCCCAGCAACGCAAAGCAGCTCCATGTGCCCCAAATCAACTCGAGATGAGACCCAATTCCCCTGCATTGACTCCAGAGCCATTCCCCGTTCCCCATTCAACACGACCGGTGGCTCGACTTCCTTCAGGCAACTCCAGAGATGCCCCGAGAACACTGTCCCAAGTCTAGAGGAACACCAACTTCAGCACAGCAACTCGAGGAATGCTCCGTGTACCCCAAATCGTCTCGAGATGCGAGCTGATTCCCTGGCTTAGGCTCAAGACGTATGCCAACTTCCCAGAAGCACCTCAGGAGGAGGCTTCTCTCAGCAATAGGTATGTGGGAGGGACCCCGAGTTTGCTGCCTCAAGGGGAATATACAGCGAGAAGCCCTAACTTGAAAGGAGGCCGGATTTCCTTGCAGTGGCTTGAATACAGGCTCGTCTTTCATCTCACAACATGAAGGGATGTCTGAATCCCCTGTGGAGACCTTAGAGAAAGCCCTAGGTCCCTGCCTCATTTTGACGGAATGCCTCACATCCCGCTGACACCTCGAGAGGCACGCGGAGTTCATTGCTTCAAAAGGTGACGATGCCTGACTCCTCTTGAATACTGATAGGAATCCCAAAATCCCTGTGGCTACTGGAAAGGGTCCTTGGGTGCCCTGCCTCACCTCGAGAAGCGTCCCTTTGGCCCTGCCAAGCCTCGAAGAGATTCCTGAGGTGTCCCTCGTTACTAGACAGGAGTCCTGACGTCACTGAAGAAACTCGTGTTTTGAAGGGCCATCCCCGCCGTAAGTCGAGAACATACCCCAGGTCCCCGCCGCAACTCGAGAAAAACCATGAGACTTCCCCCTAGAGGCGAGATGAGGCCCCATTCCCCTGCAGTGCATGCAGAGCTATTCCGTGATCCCATTCAAACAAGTCAGGAGCTTCGACTTGCTTAATGGATCTCGAGACAGTCCCCAAGAACACTGTCACCAGTCTAGACGGACCCTGAGGTCACCCCAGCAACGCAAAGCAGCTCCATGTGCCCCAAATCAACTCGAGATGAGGCCCGATTCCCCTGCATTGACTCCAGAGCCATTCCCCGTTCCCCATTCAACACGACCGGTGGCTCGACTTCCTTCAGGCAACTCCAGAGATGCCCCGAGAACACTGTCCCAAGTCTAGAGGAACACCAACTTCAGCACAGCAACTCGAGGAATGCTCCGTGTACCCCAAATCGTCTCGAGATGCGAGCTGATTCCCTGGCTTAGGCTCAAGACGTATGCCAACTTCCCAGAAGCACCTCAGGAGGAGGCTTCTCTCAGCAATAGTTATGTGGGAGGGACCCCGAGTTTGCTGCCTCAAGGGGAATATACAGCGAGAAGCCCTAACTTGAAAGGAGGCCGGATTTCCTTGCAGTGGCTTGAATACAGGCTCGTCTTTCATCTCACAACATGAAGGGATGTCTGAATCCCCTGTGGAGACCTTAGAGAAAGCCCTAGGTCCCTGCCTCATTTTGACGGAATGCCTCACATCCCGCTGACACCTCGAGAGGCACGCGGAGTTCATTGCTTCAAAAGGTGACGATGCCTGACTCCTCTTGAATACTGATAGGAATCCCAAAATCCCTGTGGCTACTGGAAAGGGTCCTTGGGTGCCCTGCCTCACCTCGAGAAGCGTCCCTTTGGCCCTGCCAAGCCTCGAAGAGATTCCTGAGGTGTCCCTCGTTACTAGACAGGAGTCCTGACGTCACTGAAGAAACTCGTGTTTTGAAGGGCCATCCCCGCCGTAAGTCGAGAACATACCCCAGGTCCCCGCCGCAACTCGAGAAAAACCATGAGACTTCCCCCTAGAGGCGAGATGAGGCCCCATTCCCCTGCAGTGCATGCAGAGCTATTCCGTGATCCCATTCAAACAAGTCAGGAGCTTCGACTTGCTTAATGGATCTCGAGACAGTCCCCAAGAACACTGTCACCAGTCTAGACGGACCCTGAGGTCACCCCAGCAACGCAAAGCAGCTCCATGTGCCCCAAATCAACTCGAGATGAGGCCCGATTCCCCTGCATTGACTCCAGAGCCATTCCCCGTTCCCCATTCAACACGACCGGTGGCTCGACTTCCTTCAGGCAACTCCAGAGATGCCCCGAGAACACTGTCCCAAGTCTAGAGGAACACCAACTTCAGCACAGCAACTCGAGGAATGCTCCGTGTACCCCAAATCGTCTCGAGATGCGAGCTGATTCCCTGGCTTAGGCTCAAGACGTATGCCAACTTCCCAGAAGCACCTCAGGAGGAGGCTTCTCTCAGCAATAGGTATGTGGGAGGGACCCCGAGTTTGCTGCCTCAAGGGGAATATACAGCGAGAAGCCCTAACTTGAAAGGAGGCCGGATTTCCTTGCAGTGGCTTGAATACAGGCTCGTCTTTCATCTCACAACATGAAGGGATGTCTGAATCCCCTGTGGAGACCTTAGAGAAAGCCCTAGGTCCCTGCCTCATTTTGACGGAATGCCTCACATCCCGCTGACACCTCGAGAGGCACGCGGAGTTCATTGCTTCAAAAGGTGACGATGCCTGACTCCTCTTGAATACTGATAGGAATCCCAAAATCCCTGTGGCTACTGGAAAGGGTCCTTGGGTGCCCTGCCTCACCTCGAGAAGCGTCCCTTTGGCCCTGCCAAGCCTCGAAGAGATTCCTGAGGTGTCCCTCGTTACTAGACAGGAGTCCTGACGTCACTGAAGAAACTCGTGTTTTGAAGGGCCATCCCCGCCGTAAGTCGAGAACATACCCCAGGTCCCCGCCGCAACTCGAGAAAAACCATGAGACTTCCCCCTAGAGGCGAGATGAGGCCCCATTCCCCTGCAGTGCATGCAGAGCTATTCCGTGATCCCATTCAAACAAGTCAGGAGCTTCGACTTGCTTAATGGATCTCGAGACAGTCCCCAAGAACACTGTCACCAGTCTAGACGGACCCTGAGGTCACCCCAGCAACGGAAAGCAGCTCCATGTGCCCCAAATCAACTCGAGATGAGGCCCGATTCCCCTGCATTGACTCCAGAGCCATTCCCCGTTCCCCATTCAACACGACCGGTGGCTCGACTTCCTTCAGGCAACTCCAGAGATGCCCCGAGAACACTGTCCCAAGTCTAGAGGAACACCAACTTCAGCACAGCAACTCGAGGAATGCTCCGTGTACCCCAAATCGTCTCGAGATGCGAGCTGATTCCCTGGCTTAGGCTCAAGACGTATGCCAACTTCCCAGAAGCACCTCAGGAGGAGGCTTCTCTCAGCAATAGGTATGTGGCAGGGACCCCGAGTTTGCTGCCTCAAGGGGAATATACAGCGAGAAGCCCTAACTTGAAAGGAGGCCGGATTTCCTTGCAGTGGCTTGAATACAGGCTCGTCTTTCATCTCACAACATGAAGGGATGTCTGAATCCCCTGTGGAGACCTTAGAGAAAGCCCTAGGTCCCTGCCTCATTTTGACGGAATGCCTCACATCCCGCTGACACCTCGAGAGGCACGCGGAGTTCATTGCTTCAAAAGGTGACGATGCCTGACTCCTCTTGAATACTGATAGGAATCCCAAAATCCCTGTGGCTACTGGAAAGGGTCCTTGGGTGCCCTGCCTCACCTCGAGAAGCGTCCCTTTGGCCCTGCCAAGCCTCGAAGAGATTCCTGAGGTGTCCCTCGTTACTAGACAGGAGTCCTGACGTCACTGAAGAAACTCGTGTTTTGAAGGGCCATCCCCGCCGTAAGTCGAGAACATACCCCAGGTCCCCGCCGCAACTCGAGAAAAACCATGAGACTTCCCCCTAGAGGCGAGATGAGGCCCCATTCCCCTGCAGTGCATGCAGAGCTATTCCGTGATCCCATTCAAACAAGTCAGGAGCTTCGACTTGCTTAATGGATCTCGAGACAGTCCCCAAGAACACTGTCACCAGTCTAGACGGACCCTGAGGTCACCCCAGCAACGCAAAGCAGCTCCATGTGCCCCAAATCAACTCGAGATGAGGCCCGATTCCCCTGCATTGACTCCAGAGCCATTCCCCGTTCCCCATTCAACACGACCGGTGGCTCGACTTCCTTCAGGCAACTCCAGAGATGCCCCGAGAACACTGTCCCAAGTCTAGAGGAACACCAACTTCAGCACAGCAACTCGAGGAATGCTCCGTGTACCCCAAATCGTCTCGAGATGCGAGCTGATTCCCTGGCTTAGGCTCAAGACGTATGCCAACTTCCCAGAAGCACCTCAGGAGGAGGCTTCTCTCAGCAATAGGTATGTGGCAGGGACCCCGAGTTTGCTGCCTCAAGGGGAATATACAGCGAGAAGCCCTAACTTGAAAGGAGGCCGGATTTCCTTGCAGTGGCTTGAATACAGGCTCGTCTTTCATCTCACAACATGAAGGGATGTCTGAATCCCCTGTGGAGACCTTAGAGAAAGCCCTAGGTCCCTGCCTCATTTTGACGGAATGCCTCACATCCCGCTGACACCTCGAGAGGCACGCGGAGTTCATTGCTTCAAAAGGTGACGATGCCTGACTCCTCTTGAATACTGATAGGAATCCCAAAATCCCTGTGGCTACTGGAAAGGGTCCTTGGGTGCCCTGCCTCACCTCGAGAAGCGTCCCTTTGGCCCTGCCAAGCCTCGAAGAGATTCCTGAGGTGTCCCTCGTTACTAGACAGGAGTCCTGACGTCACTGAAGAAACTCGTGTTTTGAAGGGCCATCCCCGCCGTAAGTCGAGAACATATCCCAGGTCCCCGCCGCAACTCGAGAAAAACCATGAGACTTCCCCCTAGAGGCGAGATGAGGCCCCATTCCCCTGCAGTGCATGCAGAGCTATTCCGTGACCCCATTCAAACAAGTCAGGAGCTTCGACTTGCTTAATGGATCTCGAGACAGTCCCCAAGAACACTGTCACCAGTCTAGACGGACCCTGAGGTCACCCCAGCAACGCAAAGCAGCTCCATGTGCCCCAAATCAACTCGAGATGAGGCCCGATTCCCCTGCATTGACTCCAGAGCCATTCCCCGTTCCCCATTCAACACGACCGGTGGCTCGACTTCCTTCAGGCAACTCCAGAGATGCCCCGAGAACACTGTCCCAAGTCTAGAGGAACACCAACTTCAGCACAGCAACTCGAGGAATGCTCCGTGTACCCCAAATCGTCTCGAGATGCGAGCTGATTCCCTGGCTTAGGCTCAAGACGTATGCCAACTTCCCAGAAGCACCTCAGGAGGAGGCTTCTCTCAGCAATAGGTATGTGGGAGGGACCCCGAGTTTGCTGCCTCAAGGGGAATATACAGCGAGAAGCCCTAACTTGAAAGGAGGCCGGATTTCCTTGCAGTGGCTTGAATACAGGCTCGTCTTTCATCTCACAACATGAAGGGATGTCTGAATCCCCTGTGGAGACCTTAGAGAAAGCCCTAGGTCCCTGCCTCATTTTGACGGAATGCCTCACATCCCGCTGACACCTCGAGAGGCACGCGGAGTTCATTGCTTCAAAAGGTGACGATGCCTGACTCCTCTTGAATACTGATAGGAATCCCAAAATCCCTGTGGCTACTGGAAAGGGTCCTTGGGTGCCCTGCCTCACCTCGAGAAGCGTCCCTTTGGCCCTGCCAAGCCTCGAAGAGATTCCTGAGGTGTCCCTCGTTACTAGACAGGAGTCCTGACGTCACTGAAGAAACTCGTGTTTTGAAGGGCCATCCCCGCCGTAAGTCGAGAACATACCCCAGGTCCCCGCCGCAACTCGAGAAAAACCATGAGACTTCCCCCTAGAGGCGAGATGAGGCCCCATTCCCCTGCAGTGCATGCAGAGCTATTCCGTGATCCCATTCAAACAAGTCAGGAGCTTCGACTTGCTTAATGGATCTCGAGACAGTCCCCAAGAACACTGTCACCAGTCTAGACGGACCCTGAGGTCACCCCAGCAACGCAAAGCAGCTCCATGTGCCCCAAATCAACTCGAGATGAGGCCCGATTCCCCTGCATTGACTCCAGAGCCATTCCCCGTTCCCCATTCAACACGACCGGTGGCTCGACTTCCTTCAGGCAACTCCAGAGATGCCCCGAGAACACTGTCCCAAGTCTAGAGGAACACCAACTTCAGCACAGCAACTCGAGGAATGCTCCGTGTACCCCAAATCGTCTCGAGATGCGAGCTGATTCCCTGGCTTAGGCTCAAGACGTATGCCAACTTCCCAGAAGCACCTCAGGAGGAGGCTTCTCTCAGCAATAGGTATGTGGCAGGGACCCCGAGTTTGCTGCCTCAAGGGGAATATACAGCGAGAAGCCCTAACTTGAAAGGAGGCCGGATTTCCTTGCAGTGGCTTGAATACAGGCTCGTCTTTCATCTCACAACATGAAGGGATGTCTGAATCCCCTGTGGAGACCTTAGAGAAAGCCCTAGGTCCCTGCCTCATTTTGACGGAATGCCTCACATCCCGCTGACACCTCGAGAGGCACGCGGAGTTCATTGCTTCAAAAGGTGACGATGCCTGACTCCTCTTGAATACTGATAGGAATCCCAAAATCCCTGTGGCTACTGGAAAGGGTCCTTGGGTGCCCTGCCTCACCTCGAGAAGCGTCCCTTTGGCCCTGCCAAGCCTCGAAGAGATTCCTGAGGTGTCCCTCGTTACTAGACAGGAGTCCTGACGTCACTGAAGAAACTCGTGTTTTGAAGGGCCATCCCCGCCGTAAGTCGAGAACATACCCCAGGTCCCCGCCGCAACTCGAGAAAAACCATGAGACTTCCCCCTAGAGGCGAGATGAGGCCCCATTCCCCTGCAGTGCATGCAGAGCTATTCCGTGATCCCATTCAAACAAGTCAGGAGCTTCGACTTGCTTAATGGATCTCGAGACAGTCCCCAAGAACACTGTCACCAGTCTAGACGGACCCTGAGGTCACCCCAGCAACGCAAAGCAGCTCCATGTGCCCCAAATCAACTCGAGATGAGGCCCGATTCCCCTGCATTGACTCCAGAGCCATTCCCCGTTCCCCATTCAACACGACCGGTGGCTCGACTTCCTTCAGGCAACTCCAGAGATGCCCCGAGAACACTGTCCCAAGTCTAGAGGAACACCAACTTCAGCACAGCAACTCGAGGAATGCTCCGTGTACCCCAAATCGTCTCGAGATGCGAGCTGATTCCCTGGCTTAGGCTCAAGACGTATGCCAACTTCCCAGAAGCACCTCAGGAGGAGGCTTCTCTCAGCAATAGGTATGTGGCAGGGACCCCGAGTTTGCTGCCTCAAGGGGAATATACAGCGAGAAGCCCTAACTTGAAAGGAGGCCGGATTTCCTTGCAGTGGCTTGAATACAGGCTCGTCTTTCATCTCACAACATGAAGGGATGTCTGAATCCCCTGTGGAGACCTTAGAGAAAGCCCTAGGTCCCTGCCTCATTTTGACGGAATGCCTCACATCCCGCTGACACCTCGAGAGGCACGCGGAGTTCATTGCTTCCAAAGGTGACGATGCCTGACTCCTCTTGAATACTGATAGGAATCCCAAAATCCCTGTGGCTACTGGAAAGGGTCCTTGGGTGCCCTGCCTCACCTCGAGAAGCGTCCCTTTGGCCCTGCCAAGCCTCGAAGAGATTCCTGAGGTGTCCCTCGTTACTAGACAGGAGTCCTGACGTCACTGAAGAAACTCGTGTTTTGAAGGGCCATCCCCGCCGTAAGTCGAGAACATACCCCAGGTCCCCGCCGCAACTCGAGAAAAACCATGAGACTTCCCCCTAGAGGCGAGATGAGGCCCCATTCCCCTGCAGTGCATACAGAGCTATTCCGTGATCCCATTCAAACAAGTCAGGAGCTTCGACTTGCTTAATGGATCTCGAGACAGTCCCCAAGAACACTGTCACCAGTCTAGACGGACCCTGAGGTCACCCCAGCAACGCAAAGCAGCTCCATGTGCCCCAAATCAACTCGAGATGAGGCCCGATTCCCCTGCATTGACTCCAGAGCCATTCCCCGTTCCCCATTCAACACGACCGGTGGCTCGACTTCCTTCAGGCAACTCCAGAGATGCCCCGAGAACACTGTCCCAAGTCTAGAGGAACACCAACTTCAGCACAGCAACTCGAGGAATGCTCCGTGTACCCCAAATCGTCTCGAGATGCGAGCTGATTCCCTGGCTTAGGCTCAAGACGTATGCCAACTTCCCAGAAGCACCTCAGGAGGAGGCTTCTCTCAGCAATAGGTATGTGGGAGGGACCCCGAGTTTGCTGCCTCAAGGGGAATATACAGCGAGAAGCCCTAACTTGAAAGGAGGCCGGATTTCCTTGCAGTGGCTTGAATACAGGCTCGTCTTTCATCTCACAACATGAAGGGATGTCTGAATCCCCTGTGGAGACCTTAGAGAAAGCCCTAGGTCCCTGCCTCATTTTGACGGAATGCCTCACATCCCGCTGACACCTCGAGAGGCACACGGAGTTCATTGCTTCAAAAGGTGACGATGCCTGACTCCTCTTGAATACTGATAGGAATCCCAAAATCCCTGTGGCTACTGGAAAGGGTCCTTGGGTGCCCTGCCTCACCTCGAGAAGCGTCCCTTTGGCCCTGCCAAGCCTCGAAGAGATTCCTGAGGTGTCCCTCGTTACTAGACAGGAGTCCTGACGTCACTGAAGAAACTCGTGTTTTGAAGGGCCATCCCCGCCGTAAGTCGAGAACATACCCCAGGTCCCCGCCGCAACTCGAGAAAAACCATGAGACTTCCCCCTAGAGGCGAGATGAGGCCCCATTCCCCTGCAGTGCATGCAGAGCTATTCCGTGATCCCATTCAAACAAGTCAGGAGCTTCGACTTGCTTAATGGATCTCGAGACAGTCCCCAAGAACACTGTCACCAGTCTAGACGGACCCTGAGGTCACCCCAGCAACGCAAAGCAGCTCCATGTGCCCCAAATCAACTCGAGATGAGGCCCGATTCCCCTGCATTGACTCCAGAGCCATTCCCCGTTCCCCATTCAACACGACCGGTGGCTCGACTTCCTTCAGGCAACTCCAGAGATGCCCCGAGAACACTGTCCCAAGTCTAGAGGAACACCAACTTCAGCACAGCAACTCGAGGAATGCTCCGTGTACCCCAAATCGCCTCGAGATGCGAGCTGATTCCCTGGCTTAGGCTCAAGACGTATGCCAACTTCCCAGAAGCACCTCAGGAGGAGGCTTCTCTCAGCAATAGGTATGTGGCAGGGACCCCGAGTTTGCTGCCTCAAGGGGAATATACAGCGAGAAGCCCTAACTTGAAAGGAGGCCGGATTTCCTTGCAGTGGCTTGAATACAGGCTCGTCTTTCATCTCACAACATGAAGGGATGTCTGAATCCCCTGTGGAGACCTTAGAGAAAGCCCTAGGTCCCTGCCTCATTTTGACGGAATGCCTCACATCCCGCTGACACCTCGAGAGGCACGCGGAGTTCATTGCTTCAAAAGGTGACGATGCCTGACTCCTCTTGAATACTGATAGGAATCCCAAAATCCCTGTGGCTACTGGAAAGGGTCCTTGGGTGCCCTGCCTCACCTCGAGAAGCGTCCCTTTGGCCCTGCCAAGCCTCGAAGAGATTCCTGAGGTGTCCCTCGTTACTAGACAGGAGTCCTGACGTCACTGAAGAAACTCGTGTTTTGAAGGGCCATCCCCGCCGTAAGTCGAGAACATACCCCAGGTCCCCGCCGCAACTCGAGAAAAACCATGAGACTTCCCCCTAGAGGCGAGGTGAGGCCCCATTCCCCTGCAGTGCATGCAGAGCTATTCCGTGATCCCATTCAAACAAGTCAGGAGCTTCGACTTGCTTAATGGATCTCGAGACAGTCCCCAAGAACACTGTCACCAGTCTAGACGGACCCTGAGGTCACCCCAGCAACGCAAAGCAGCTCCATGTGCCCCAAATCAACTCGAGATGAGGCCCGATTCCCCTGCATTGACTCCAGAGCCATTCCCCGTTCCCCATTCAACACGACCGGTGGCTCGACTTCCTTCAGGCAACTCCAGAGATGCCCCGAGAACACTGTCCCAAGTCTAGAGGAACACCAACTTCAGCACAGCAACTCGAGGAATGCTCCGTGTACCCCAAATCGTCTCGAGATGCGAGCTGATTCCCTGGCTTAGGCTCAAGACGTATGCCAACTTCCCAGAAGCACCTCAGGAGGAGGCTTCTCTCAGCAATAGGTATGTGGGAGGGACCCCGAGTTTGCTGCCTCAAGGGGAATATACAGCGAGAAGCCCTAACTTGAAAGGAGGCCGGATTTCCTTGCAGTGGCTTGAATACAGGCTCGTCTTTCATCTCACAACATGAAGGGATGTCTGAATCCCCTGTGGAGACCTTAGAGAAAGCCCTAGGTCCCTGCCTCATTTTGACGGAATGCCTCACATCCCGCTGACACCTCGAGAGTCACGCGGAATTCATTGCTTCAAAAGGTGACGATGCCTGACTCCTCTTGAATACTGATAGGAATCCCAAAATCCCTGTGGCTACTGGAAAGGGTCCTTGGGTGCCCTGCCTCACCTCGAGAAGCGTCCCTTTGGCCCTGCCAAGCCTCGAAGAGATTCCTGAGGTGTCCCTCGTTATTAGACAGGAGTCCTGACGTCACTGAAGAAACTTGTGTTTTGAAGGGCCATCCCCGCCGTAAGTCGAGAACATACCCCAGGTCCCCGCCGCAACTCGAGAAAAACCATGAGACTTCCCCCTAGAGGTGAGATGAGGCCCCATTTCGCTGCAGTGCATGCAGAGCTATTCCGTGATCCCATTCAAATAAGTCAGGAGCTTCGACTTGCTTAATGGATCTCGAGACAGTCCCCAAGAACACTGTCACCAGTCTAGACGGACCCTGAGGTCACCCCAGCAACGCAAAGCAGCTCCATGTGCCCCAAATCAACTCGAGATGAGGCCCGATTCCCCTGCATTGACTCCAGAGCCATTCCCCGTTCCCCATTCAACACGACCGGTGGCTCGACTTCCTTCAGGCAACTCCAGAGATGCCCTGAGAACACTGTCCCAAGTGTAGAGGAACACCAACTTCAGCACAGCAACTCGAGGAATGCTCCGTGTACCCCAAATCGTCTCGAGATGAGAGCTGATTCCCTGGCTTAGGCTCAAGACGTATGCCAACTTCCCAGAAGCACCTCAGGAGGAGGCTTCTCTCAGCAATAGGTATGTGGGAGGGACCCCGAGTTTGCTGCCTCAAGGGGAATATACAGCGAGAAGCCCTAACTTGAAAGGAGGCCGGATTTCCTTGCAGTGGCTTGAATACAGGCTCGTCTTTCATCTCACAACATGAAGGGATGTCTGAATCCCCTGTGGAGACCTTAGAGAAAGCCCTAGGTCCCTGCCTCATTTTGACGGAATGCCTCACATCCCGCTGACACCTCGAGAGGCACGCGGAGTTCATTGCTTCAAAAGGTGACGATGCCTGACTCCTCTTGAATACTGATAGGAATCCCAAAATCCCTGAGGCTACTGGAAAGGGTCCTTGGGTGCCCTGCCTCACCTCGAGAAGTGTCCCTTTGGCCCTGCCAAGCCTCGAAGAGATTCCTGAGGTGTCCCTCGTTACTAGACAGGAGTCCTGACGTCACTGAAGAAACTCGTGTTTTGAAGGGCCATCCCCGCCGTAAGTCGAGAACATACCCCAGGTCCCCGCCGCAACTCGAGAAAAACCATGAGACTTCCCCCTAGAGGCGAGATGAGGCCCCATTCCCCTGCAGTGCATGCAGAGCTATTCCGTGATCCCATTCAAACAAGTCAGGAGCTTCGACTTGCTTAATGGATCTCGAGACAGTCCCCAAGAACACTGTCACCAGTCTAGACGGACCCTGAGGTCACCCCAGCAACGCAAAGCAGCTCCATGTGCCCCAAATCAACTCGAGATGAGGCCCAATTCCCCTGCATTGACTCCAGAGCCATTCCCCGTTCCCCATTCAACACGACCGGTGGCTCGACTTCCTTCAGGCAACTCCAGAGATGCCCCGAGAACACTGTCCCAAGTCTAGAGGAACACCAACTTCAGCACAGCAACTCGAGGAATGCTCCGTGTACCCCAAATCGTCTCGAGATGCGAGCTGATTCCCTGGCTTAGGCTCAAGACGTATGCCAACTTCCCAGAAGCACCTCAGGAGGAGGCTTCTCTCAGCAATAGGTATGTGGGAGTGACCGCGAGTTTGCTGCCTCAAGGGGAATATACAGCGAGAAGCCCTAACTTGAAAGGAGGCCGGATTTCCTTGCAGTGGCTTGAATACAGGCTCGTCTTTCATCTCACAACATGAAGGGATGTCTGAATCCCCTGTGGAGACCTTAGAGAAAGCCCTAGGTCCCTGCCTCATTTTGACGGAATGCCTCACATCCCGCTGACACCTCGAGAGGCACGCGGAGTTCATTGCTTCAAAAGGTGACGATGCCTGACTCCTCTTGAATACTGATAGGAATCCCAAAATCCCTGTGGCTACTGGAAAGGGTCCTTGGGTGCCCTGCCTCACCTCGAGAAGCGTCCCTTTGGCCCTGCCAAGCCTCGAAGAGATTCCTGAGGTGTCCCTCGTTACTAGACAGGAGTCCTGACGTCACTGAAGAAACTCGTGTTTTGAAGGGCCATCCCCGCCGTAAGTCGAGAACATACCCCAGGTCCCCGCCGCAACTCGAGAAAAACCATGAGACTTCCCCCTAGAGGCGAGATGAGGCCCCATTCCCCTGCAGTGCATGCAGAGCTATTCCGTGATCCCATTCAAACAAGTCAGGAGCTTCGACTTGCTTAATGGATCTCGAGACAGTCCCCAAGAACACTGTCACCAGTCTAGACGGACCCTGAGGTCACCCCAGCAACGCAAAGCAGCTCCATGTGCCCCAAATCAACTCGAGATGAGGCCCGATTCCCCTGCATTGACTCCAGAGCCATTCCCCGTTCCCCATTCAACACGACCGGTGGCTCGACTTCCTTCAGGCAACTCCAGAGATGCCCCGAGAACACTGTCCCAAGTCTAGAGGAACACCAACTTCAGCACAGCAACTCGAGGAATGCTCCGTGTACCCCAAATCGTCTCGAGATGCGAGCTGATTACCTGGCTTAGGCTCAAGACGTATGCCAACTTCCCAGAAGCACCTCAGGAGGAGGCTTCTCTCAGCAATAGGTATGTGGGAGGGACCCCGAGTTTGCTGTCTCAAGGGGAATATACAGCGAGAAGCCCTAACTTGAAAGGAGGCCGGATTTCCTTGCAGTGGCTTGAATACAGGCTCGTCTTTCATCTCACAACATGAAGGGATGTCTGAATCCCCTGTGGAGACCTTAGAGAAAGCCCTAGGTCCCTGCCTCATTTTGACGGAATGCCTCACATCCCGCTGACACCTCGAGAGGCACGCGGAGTTCATTGCTTCAAAAGGTGACGATGCCTGACTCCTCTTGAATACTGATAGGAATCCCAAAATCCCTGAGGCTACTGGAAAGGGTCCTTGGGTGCCCTGCCTCACCTCGAGAAGTGTCCCTTTGGCCCTGCCAAGCCTCGAAGAGATTCCTGAGGTGTCCCTCGTTACTAGACAGGAGTCCTGACGTCACTGAAGAAACTCGTGTTTTGAAGGGCCATCCCCGCCGTAAGTCGAGAACATACCCCAGGTCCCCGCCGCAACTCGAGAAAAACCATGAGACTTCCCCCTAGAGGCGAGATGAGGCCCCATTCCCCTGCAGTGCATGCAGAGCTATTCCGTGATCCCATTCAAACAAGTCAGGAGCTTCGACTTGCTTAATGGATCTCGAGACAGTCCCCAAGAACACTGTCACCAGTCTAGACGGACCCTGAGGTCACCCCAGCAACGCAAAGCAGCTCCATGTGCCCCAAATCAACTCGAGATGAGGCCCAATTCCCCTGCATTGACTCCAGAGCCATTCCCCGTTCCCCATTCAACACGACCGGTGGCTCGACTTCCTTCAGGCAACTCCAGAGATGCCCCGAGAACACTGTCCCAAGTCTAGAGGAACACCAACTTCAGCACAGCAACTCGAGGAATGCTCCGTGTACCCCAAATCGTCTCGAGATGCGAGCTGATTCCCTGGCTTAGGCTCAAGACGTATGCCAACTTCCCAGAAGCACCTCAGGAGGAGGCTTCTCTCAGCAATAGGTATGTGGGAGTGACCGCGAGTTTGCTGCCTCAAGGGGAATATACAGCGAGAAGCCCTAACTTGAAAGGAGGCCGGATTTCCTTGCAGTGGCTTGAATACAGGCTCGTCTTTCATCTCACAACATGAAGGGATGTCTGAATCCCCTGTGGAGACCTTAGAGAAAGCCCTAGGTCCCTGCCTCATTTTGACGGAATGCCTCACATCCCGCTGACACCTCGAGAGGCACGCGGAGTTCATTGCTTCAAAAGGTGACGATGCCTGACTCCTCTTGAATACTGATAGGAATCCCAAAATCCCTGTGGCTACTGGAAAGGGTCCTTGGGTGCCCTGCCTCACCTCGAGAAGCGTCCCTTTGGCCCTGCCAAGCCTCGAAGAGATTCCTGAGGTGTCCCTCGTTACTAGACAGGAGTCCTGACGTCACTGAAGAAACTCGTGTTTTGAAGGGCCATCCCCGCCGTAAGTCGAGAACATACCCCAGGTCCCCGCCGCAACTCGAGAAAAACCATGAGACTTCCCCCTAGAGGCGAGATGAGGCCCCATTCCCCTGCAGTGCATGCAGAGCTATTCCGTGATCCCATTCAAACAAGTCAGGAGCTTCGACTTGCTTAATGGATCTCGAGACAGTCCCCAAGAACACTGTCACCAGTCTAGACGGACCCTGAGGTCACCCCAGCAACGCAAAGCAGCTCCATGTGCCCCAAATCAACTCGAGATGAGGCCCGATTCCCCTGCATTGACTCCAGAGCCATTCCCCGTTCCCCATTCAACACGACCGGTGGCTCGACTTCCTTCAGGCAACTCCAGAGATGCCCCGAGAACACTGTCCCAAGTCTAGAGGAACACCAACTTCAGCACAGCAACTCGAGGAATGCTCCGTGTACCCCAAATCGTCTCGAGATGCGAGCTGATTCCCTGGCTTAGGCTCAAGACGTATGCCAACTTCCCAGAAGCACCTCAGGAGGAGGCTTCTCTCAGCAATAGGTATGTGGGAGGGACCCCGAGTTTGCTGCCTCAAGGGGAATATACAGCGAGAAGCCCTAACTTGAAAGGAGGCCGGATTTCCTTGCAGTGGCTTGAATACAGGCTCGTCTTTCATCTCACAACATGAAGGGATGTCTGAATCCCCTGTGGAGACCTTAGAGAAAGCCCTAGGTCCCTGCCTCATTTTGACGGAATGCCTCACATCCCGCTGACACCTCGAGAGGCACGCGGAGTTCATTGCTTCAAAAGGTGACGATGCCTGACTCCTCTTGAATACTGATAGGAATCCCAAAATCCCTGTGGCTACTGGAAAGGGTCCTTGGGTGCCCTGCCTCACCTCGAGAAGCGTCCCTTTGGCCCTGCCAAGCCTCGAAGAGATTCCTGAGGTGTCCCTCGTTACTAGACAGGAGTCCTGACGTCACTGAAGAAACTCGTGTTTTGAAGGGCCATCCCCGCCGTAAGTCGAGAACATACCCCAGGTCCCCGCCGCAACTCGAGAAAAACCATGAGACTTCCCCCTAGAGGCGAGATGAGGCCCCATTCCCCTGCAGTGCATGCAGAGCTATTCCGTGATCCCATTCAAACAAGTCAGGAGCTTCGACTTGCTTAATGGATCTCGAGACAGTCCCCAAGAACACTGTCACCAGTCTAGACGGACCCTGAGGTCACCCCAGCAACGCAAAGCAGCTCCATGTGCCCCAAATCAACTCGAGATGAGGCCCGATTCCCCTGCATTGACTCCAGAGCCATTCCCCGTTCCCCATTCAACACGACCGGTGGCTCGACTTCCTTCAGGCAACTCCAGAGATGCCCCGAGAACACTGTCCCAAGTCTAGAGGAACACCAACTTCAGCACAGCAACTCGAGGAATGCTCCGTGTACCCCAAATCGTCTCGAGATGCGAGCTGATTCCCTGGCTTAGGCTCAAGACGTATGCCAACTTCCCAGAAGCACCTCAGGAGGAGGCTTCTCTCAGCAATAGGTATGTGGGAGGGACCCCGAGTTTGCTGCCTCAAGGGGAATATACAGCGAGAAGCCCTAACTTGAAAGGAGGCCGGATTTCCTTGCAGTGGCTTGAATACAGGCTCGTCTTTCATCTCACAACATGAAGGGATGTCTGAATCCCCTGTGGAGACCTTAGAGAAAGCCCTAGGTCCCTGCCTCATTTTGACGGAATGCCTCACATCCCGCTGACACCTCGAGAGGCACGCGGAGTTCATTGCTTCAAAAGGTGACGATGCCTGACTCCTCTTGAATACTGATAGGAATCCCAAAATCCCTGTGGCTACTGGAAAGGGTCCTTGGGTGCCCTGCCTCACCTCGAGAAGCGTCCCTTTGGCCCTGCCAAGCCTCGAAGAGATTCCTGAGGTGTCCCTCGTTACTAGACAGGAGTCCTGACGTCACTGAAGAAACTCGTGTTTTGAAGGGCCATCCCCGCCGTAAGTCGAGAACATACCCCAGGTCCCCGCCGCAACTCGAGAAAAACCATGAGACTTCCCCCTAGAGGCGAGATGAGGCCCCATTCCCCTGCAGTGCATGCAGAGCTATTCCGTGATCCCATTCAAACAAGTCAGGAGCTTCGACTTGCTTAATGGATCTCGAGACAGTCCCCAAGAACACTGTCACCAGTCTAGACGGACCCTGAGGTCACCCCAGCAACGCAAAGCAGCTCCATGTGCCCCAAATCAACTCGAGATGAGGCCCGATTCCCCTGCATTGACTCCAGAGCCATTCCCCGTTCCCCATTCAACACGACCGGTGGCTCGACTTCCTTCAGGCAACTCCAGAGATGCCCCGAGAACACTGTCCCAAGTCTAGAGGAACACCAACTTCAGCACAGCAACTCGAGGAATGCTCCGTGTACCCCAAATCGTCTCGAGATGCGAGCTGATTCCCTGGCTTAGGCTCAAGACGTATGCCAACTTCCCAGAAGCACCTCAGGAGGAGGCTTCTCTCAGCAATAGGTATGTGGCAGGGACCCCGAGTTTGCTGCCTCAAGGGGAATATACAGCGAGAAGCCCTAACTTGAAAGGAGGCCGGATTTCCTTGCAGTGGCTTGAATACAGGCTCGTCTTTCATCTCACAACATGAAGGGATGTCTGAATCCCCTGTGGAGACCTTAGAGAAAGCCCTAGGTCCCTGCCTCATTTTGACGGAATGCCTCACATCCCGCTGACACCTCGAGAGGCACACGGAGTTCATTGCTTCAAAAGGTGACGATGCCTGACTCCTCTTGAATACTGATAGGAATCCCCAAATCCCTGTGGCTACTGGAAAGGGTCCTTGGGTGCCCTGCCTCACCTCGAGAAGCGTCCCTTTGGCCCTGCCAAGCCTCGAAGAGATTCCTGAGGTGTCCCTCGTTACTAGACAGGAGTCCTGACGTCACTGAAGAAACTCGTGTTTTGAAGGGCCATCCCCGCCGTAAGTCGAGAACATACCCCAGGTCCCCGCCGCAACTCGAGAAAAACCATGAGACTTCCCCCTAGAGGCGAGATGAGGCCCCATTCCCCTGCAGTGCATGCAGAGCTATTCCGTGATCCCATTCAAACAAGTCAGGAGCTTCGACTTGCTTAATGGATCTCGAGACAGTCCCCAAGAACACTGTCACCAGTCTAGACGGACCCTGAGGTCACCCCAGCAACGCAAAGCAGCTCCATGTGCCCCAAATCAACTCGAGATGAGGCCCGATTCCCCTGCATTGACTCCAGAGCCATTCCCCGTTCCCCATTCAACACGACCGGTGGCTCGACTTCCTTCAGGCAACTCCAGAGATGCCCCGAGAACACTGTCCCAAGTCTAGAGGAACACCAACTTCAGCACAGCAACTCGAGGAATGCTCCGTGTACCCCAAATCGTCTCGAGATGCGAGCTGATTCCCTGGCTTAGGCTCAAGACGTATGCCAACTTCCCAGAAGCACCTCAGGAGGAGGCTTCTCTCAGCAATAGGTATGTGGCAGGGACCCCGAGTTTGCTGCCTCAAGGGGAATATACAGCGAGAAGCCCTAACTTGAAAGGAGGCCGGATTTCCTTGCAGTGGCTTGAATACAGGCTCGTCTTTCATCTCACAACATGAAGGGATGTCTGAATCCCCTGTGGAGACCTTAGAGAAAGCCCTAGGTCCCTGCCTCATTTTGACGGAATGCCTCACATCCCGCTGACACCTCGAGAGGCACGCGGAGTTCATTGCTTCAAAAGGTGACGATGCCTGACTCCTCTTGAATACTGATAGGAATCCCAAAATCCCTGTGGCTACTGGAAAGGGTCCTTGGGTGCCCTGCCTCACCTCGAGAAGCGTCCCTTTGGCCCTGCCAAGCCTCGAAGAGATTCCTGAGGTGTCCCTCGTTACTAGACAGGAGTCCTGACGTCACTGAAGAAACTCGTGTTTTGAAGGGCCATCCCCGCCGTAAGTCGAGAACATACCCCAGGTCCCCGCCGCAACTCGAGAAAAACCATGAGACTTCCCCCTAGAGGCGAGATGAGGCCCCATTCCCCTGCAGTGCATGCAGAGCTATTCCGTGATCCCATTCAAACAAGTCAGGAGCTTCGACTTGCTTAATGGATCTCGAGACAGTCCCCAAGAACACTGTCACCAGTCTAGACGGACCCTGAGGTCACCCCAGCAACGCAAAGCAGCTCCATGTGCCCCAAATCAACTCGAGATGAGGCCCGATTCCCCTGCATTGACTCCAGAGCCATTCCCCGTTCCCCATTCAACACGACCGGTGGCTCGACTTCCTTCAGGCAACTCCAGAGATGCCCCGAGAACACTGTCCCAAGTCTAGAGGAACACCAACTTCAGCACAGCAACTCGAGGAATGCTCCGTGTACCCCAAATCGTCTCGAGATGCGAGCTGATTCCCTGGCTTAGGCTCAAGACGTATGCCAACTTCCCAGAAGCACCTCAGGAGGAGGCTTCTCTCAGCAATAGGTATGTGGCAGGGACCCCGAGTTTGCTGCCTCAAGGGGAATATACAGCGAGAAGCCCTAACTTGAAAGGAGGCCGGATTTCCTTGCAGTGGCTTGAATACAGGCTCGTCTTTCATCTCACAACATGAAGGGATGTCTGAATCCCCTGTGGAGACCTTAGAGAAAGCCCTAGGTCCCTGCCTCATTTTGACGGAATGCCTCACATCCCGCTGACACCTCGAGAGGCACGCGGAGTTCATTGCTTCAAAAGGTGACGATGCCTGACTCCTCTTGAATACTGATAGGAATCCCCAAATCCCTGTGGCTACTGGAAAGGGTCCTTGGGTGCCCTGCCTCACCTCGAGAAGCGTCCCTTTGGCCCTGCCAAGCCTCGAAGAGATTCCTGAGGTGTCCCTCGTTACTAGACAGGAGTCCTGACGTCACTGAAGAAACTCGTGTTTTGAAGGGCCATCCCCGCCGTAAGTCGAGAACATACCCCAGGTCCCCGCCGCAACTCGAGAAAAACCATGAGACTTCCCCCTAGAGGCGAGATGAGGCCCCATTCCCCTGCAGTGCATGCAGAGCTATTCCGTGATCCCATTCAAACAAGTCAGGAGCTTCGACTTGCTTAATGGATCTCGAGACAGTCCCCAAGAACACTGTCACCAGTCTAGACGGACCCTGAGGTCACCCCAGCAACGCAAAGCAGCTCCATGTGCCCCAAATCAACTCGAGATGAGGCCCGATTCCCCTGCATTGACTCCAGAGCCATTCCCCGTTCCCCATTCAACACGACCGGTGGCTCGACTTCCTTCAGGCAACTCCAGAGATGCCCCGAGAACACTGTCCCAAGTCTAGAGGAACACCAACTTCAGCACAGCAACTCGAGGAATGCTCCGTGTACCCCAAATCGTCTCGAGATGCGAGCTGATTCCCTGGCTTAGGCTCAAGACGTATGCCAACTTCCCAGAAGCACCTCAGGAGGAGGCTTCTCTCAGCAATAGGTATGTGGGAGGGACCCCGAGTTTGCTGCCTCAAGGGGAATATACAGCGAGAAGCCCTAACTTGAAAGGAGGCCGGATTTCCTTGCAGTGGCTTGAATACAGGCTCGTCTTTCATCTCACAACATGAAGGGATGTCTGAATCCCCTGTGGAGACCTTAGAGAAAGCCCTAGGTCCCTGCCTCATTTTGACGGAATGCCTCACATCCCGCTGACACCTCGAGAGTCACGCGGAGTTCATTGCTTCAAAAGGTGACGATGCCTGACTCCTCTTGAATACTGATAGGAATCCCAAAATCCCTGTGGCTACTGGAAAGGGTCCTTGGGTGCCCTGCCTCACCTCGAGAAGCGTCCCTTTGGCCCTGCCAAGCCTCGAAGAGATTCCTGAGGTGTCCCTCGTTACTAGACAGGAGTCCTGACGTCACTGAAGAAACTCGTGTTTTGAAGGGCCATCCCCGCCGTAAGTCGAGAACATACCCCAGGTCCCCGCCGCAACTCGAGAAAAACCATGAGACTTCCCCCTAGAGGCGAGATGAGGCCCCATTCCCCTGCAGTGCATGCAGAGCTATTCCGTGATCCCATTCAAACAAGTCAGGAGCTTCGACTTGCTTAATGGATCTCGAGACAGTCCCCAAGAACACTGTCACCAGTCTAGACGGACCCTGAGGTCACCCCAGCAACGCAAAGCAGCTCCATGTGCCCCAAATCAACTCGAGATGAGGCCCGATTCCCCTGCATTGACTCCAGAGCCATTCCCCGGTCCCCATTCAACACGACCGGTGGCTCGACTTCCTTCAGGCAACTCCAGAGATGCCCCGAGAACACTGTCCCAAGTCTAGAGGAACACCAACTTCAGCACAGCAACTCGAGGAATGCTCCGTGTACCCCAAATCGTCTCGAGATGCGAGCTGATTCCCTGGCTTAGGCTCAAGACGTATGCCAACTTCCCAGAAGCACCTCAGGAGGAGGCTTCTCTCAGCAATAGGTATGTGGGAGGGACCCCGAGTTTGCTGCCTCAAGGGGAATATACAGCGAGAAGCCCTAACTTGAAAGGAGGCCGGATTTCCTTGCAGTGGCTTGAATACAGGCTCGTCTTTCATCTCACAACATGAAGGGATGTCTGAATCCCCTGTGGAGACCTTAGAGAAAGCCCTAGGTCCCTGCCTCATTTTGACGGAATGCCTCACATCCCGCTGACACCTCGAGAGGCACGCGGAGTTCATTGCTTCAAAAGGTGACGATGCCTGACTCCTCTTGAATACTGATAGGAATCCCAAAATCCCTGTGGCTACTGGAAAGGGTCCTTGGGTGCCCTGCCTCACCTCGAGAAGCGTCCCTTTGGCCCTGCCAAGCCTCGAAGAGATTCCTGAGGTGTCCCTCGTTACTAGACAGGAGTCCTGACGTCACTGAAGAAACTCGTGTTTTGAAGGGCCATCCCCGCCGTAAGTCGAGAACATACCCCAGGTCCCCGCCGCAACTCGAGAAAAACCATGAGACTTCCCCCTAGAGGCGAGATGAGGCCCCATTCCCCTGCAGTGCATGCAGAGCTATTCCGTGATCCCATTCAAACAAGTCAGGAGCTTCGACTTGCTTAATGGATCTCGAGACAGTCCCCAAGAACACTGTCACCAGTCTAGACGGACCCTGAGGTCACCCCAGCAACGCAAAGCAGCTCCATGTGCCCCAAATCAACTCGAGATGAGGCCCGATTCCCCTGCATTGACTCCAGAGCCATTCCCCGTTCCCCATTCAACACGACCGGTGGCTCGACTTCCTTCAGGCAACTCCAGAGATGCCCCGAGAACACTGTCCCAAGTCTAGAGGAACACCAACTTCAGCACAGCAACTCGAGGAATGCTCCGTGTACCCCAAATCGTCTCGAGATGCGAGCTGATTCCCTGGCTTAGGCTCAAGACGTATGCCAACTTCCCAGAAGCACCTCAGGAGGAGGCTTCTCTCAGCAATAGGTATGTGGCAGGGACCCCGAGTTTGCTGCCTCAAGGGGAATATACAGCGAGAAGCCCTAACTTGAAAGGAGGCCGGATTTCCTTGCAGTGGCTTGAATACAGGCTCGTCTTTCATCTCACAACATGAAGGGATGTCTGAATCCCCTGTGGAGACCTTAGAGAAAGCCCTAGGTCCCTGCCTCATTTTGACGGAATGCCTCACATCCCGCTGACACCTCGAGAGGCACGCGGAGTTCATTGCTTCAAAAGGTGACGATGCCTGACTCCTCTTGAATACTGATAGGAATCCCAAAATCCCTGTGGCTACTGGAAAGGGTCCTTGGGTGCCCTGCCTCACCTCGAGAAGCGTCCCTTTGGCCCTGCCAAGCCTCGAAGAGATTCCTGAGGTGTCCCTCGTTACTAGACAGGAGTCCTGACGTCACTGAAGAAACTCGTGTTTTGAAGGGCCATCCCCGCCGTAAGTCGAGAACATACCCCAGGTCCCCGCCGCAACTCGAGAAAAACCATGAGACTTCCCCCTAGAGGCGAGATGAGGCCCCATTCCCCTGCAGTGCATGCAGAGCTATTCCGTGACCCCATTCAAACAAGTCAGGAGCTTCGACTTGCTTAATGGATCTCGAGACAGTCCCCAAGAACACTGTCACCAGTCTAGACGGACCCTGAGGTCACCCCAGCAACGCAAAGCAGCTCCATGTGCCCCAAATCAACTCGAGATGAGGCCCGATTCCCCTGCATTGACTCCAGAGCCATTCCCCGTTCCCCATTCAACACGACCGGTGGCTCGACTTCCTTCAGGCAACTCCAGAGATGCCCCGAGAACACTGTCCCAAGTCTAGAGGAACACCAACTTCAGCACAGCAACTCGAGGAATGCTCCGTGTACCCCAAATCGTCTCGAGATGCGAGCTGATTCCCTGGCTTAGGCTCAAGACGTATGCCAACTTCCCAGAAGCACCTCAGGAGGAGGCTTCTCTCAGCAATAGGTATGTGGGAGGGACCCCGAGTTTGCTGCCTCAAGGGGAATATACAGCGAGAAGCCCTAACTTGAAAGGAGGCCGGATTTCCTTGCAGTGGCTTGAATACAGGCTCGTCTTTCATCTCACAACATGAAGGGATGTCTGAATCCCCTGTGGAGACCTTAGAGAAAGCCCTAGGTCCCTGCCTCATTTTGACGGAATGCCTCACATCCCGCTGACACCTCGAGAGGCACGCGGAGTTCATTGCTTCAAAAGGTGACGATGCCTGACTCCTCTTGAATACTGATAGGAATCCCAAAATCCCTGTGGCTACTGGAAAGGGTCCTTGGGTGCCCTGCCTCACCTCGAGAAGCGTCCCTTTGGCCCTGCCAAGCCTCGAAGAGATTCCTGAGGTGTCCCTCGTTACTAGACAGGAGTCCTGACGTCACTGAAGAAACTCGTGTTTTGAAGGGCCATCCCCGCCGTAAGTCGAGAACATACCCCAGGTCCCCGCCGCAACTCGAGAAAAACCATGAGACTTCCCCCTAGAGGCGAGATGAGGCCCCATTCCCCTGCAGTGCATGCAGAGCTATTCCGTGATCCCATTCAACAAGTCAGGAGCTTCGACTTGCTTAATGGATCTCGAGACAGTCCCCAAGAACACTGTCACCAGTCTAGACGGACCCTGAGGTCACCCCAGCAACGCAAAGCAGCTCCATGTGCCCCAAATCAACTCGAGATGAGGCCCGATTCCCCTGCATTGACTCCAGAGCCATTCCCCGTTCCCCATTCAACACGACCGGTGGCTCGACTTCCTTCAGGCAACTCCAGAGATGCCCCGAGAACACTGTCCCAAGTCTAGAGGAACACCAACTTCAGCACAGCAACTCGAGGAATGCTCCGTGTACCCCAAATCGTCTCGAGATGAGAGCTGATTCCCTGGCTTAGGCTCAAGACGTATGCCAACTTCCCAGAAGCACCTCAGGAGGAGGCTTCTCTCAGCAATAGGTATGTGGCAGGGACCCCGAGTTTGCTGCCTCAAGGGGAATATACAGCGAGAAGCCCTAACTTGAAAGGAGGCCGGATTTCCTTGCAGTGGCTTGAATACAGGCTCGTCTTTCATCTCACAACATGAAGGGATGTCTGAATCCCCTGTGGAGACCTTAGAGAAAGCCCTAGGTCCCTGCCTCATTTTGACGGAATGCCTCACATCCCGCTGACACCTCGAGAGGCACGCGGAGTTCATTGCTTCAAAAGGTGACGATGCCTGACTCCTCTTGAATACTGATAGGAATCCCAAAATCCCTGTGGCTACTGGAAAGGGTCCTTGGGTGCCCTGCCTCACCTCGAGAAGCGTCCCTTTGGCCCTGCCAAGCCTCGAAGAGATTCCTGAGGTGTCCCTCGTTACTAGACAGGAGTCCTGACGTCACTGAAGAAACTCGTGTTTTGAAGGGCCATCCCCGCCGTAAGTCGAGAACATACCCCAGGTCCCCGCCGCAACTCGAGAAAAACCATGAGACTTCCCCCTAGAGGCGAGATGAGGCCCCATTCCCCTGCAGTGCATGCAGAGCTATTCCGTGATCCCATTCAAACAAGTCAGGAGCTTCGACTTGCTTAATGGATCTCGAGACAGTCCCCAAGAACACTGTCACCAGTCTAGACGGACCCTGAGGTCACCCCAGCAACGCAAAGCAGCTCCATGTGCCCCAAATCAACTCGAGATGAGGCCCGATTCCCCTGCATTGACTCCAGAGCCATTCCCCGTTCCCCATTCAACACGACCGGTGGCTCGACTTCCTTCAGGCAACTCCAGAGATGCCCCGAGAACACTGTCCCAAGTCTAGAGGAACACCAACTTCAGCACAGCAACTCGAGGAATGCTCCGTGTACCCCAAATCGTCTCGAGATGCGAGCTGATTCCCTGGCTTAGGCTCAAGACGTATGCCAACTTCCCAGAAGCACCTCAGGAGGAGGCTTCTCTCAGCAATAGGTATGTGGGAGGGACCCCGAGTTTGCTGCCTCAAGGGGAATATACAGCGAGAAGCCCTAACGTGAAAGGAGGCCGGATTTCCTTGCAGTGGCTTGAATACAGGCTCGTCTTTCATCTCACAACATGAAGGGATGTCTGAATCCCCTGTGGAGACCTTAGAGAAAGCCCTAGGTCCCTGCCTCATTTTGACGGAATGCCTCACATCCCGCTGACACCTCGAGAGGCACGCGGAGTTCATTGCTTCAAAAGGTGACGATGCCTGACTCCTCTTGAATACTGATAGGAATCCCAAAATCCCTGTGGCTACTGGAAAGGGTCCTTGGGTGCCCTGCCTCACCTCGAGAAGCGTCCCTTTGGCCCTGCCAAGCCTCGAAGAGATTCCTGAGGTGTCCCTCGTTACTAGACAGGAGTCCTGACGTCACTGAAGAAACTCGTGTTTTGAAGGGCCATCCCCGCCGTAAGTCGAGAACATACCCCAGGTCCCCGCCGCAACTCGAGAAAAACCATGAGACTTCCCCCTAGAGGCGAGATGAGGCCCCATTCCCCTGCAGTGCATGCAGAGCTATTCCGTGACCCCATTCAAACAAGTCAGGAGCTTCGACTTGCTTAATGGATCTCGAGACAGTCCCCAAGAACACTGTCACCAGTCTAGACGGACCCTGAGGTCACCCCAGCAACGCAAAGCAGCTCCATGTGCCCCAAATCAACTCGAGATGAGGCCCGATTCCCCTGCATTGATTCCAGAGCCATTCCCCGTTCCCCATTCAACATGACCGGTGGCTCGACTTCCTTCAGGCAACTCCAGAGATGCCCCGAGAACACTGTCCCAAGTCTAGAGGAACACCAACTTCAGCACAGCAACTCGAGGAATGCTCCGTGTACCCCAAATCGTCTCGAGATGCGAGCTGATTCCCTGGCTTAGGCTCAAGACGTATGCCAACTTCCCAGAAGCACCTCAGGAGGAGGCTTCTCTCAGCAATAGGTATGTGGGAGGGACCCCGAGTTTGCTGCCTCAAGGGGAATATACAGCGAGAAGCCCTAACTTGAAAGGAGGCCGGATTTCCTTGCAGTGGCTTGAATACAGGCTCGTCTTTCATCTCACAACATGAAGGGATGTCTGAATCCCCTGTGGAGACCTTAGAGAAAGCCCTAGGTCCCTGCCTCATTTTGACGGAATGCCTCACATCCCGCTGACACCTCGAGAGGCACGCGGAGTTCATTGCTTCAAAAGGTGACGATGCCTGACTCCTCTTGAATACTGATAGGAATCCCAAAATCCCTGTGGCTACTGGAAAGGGTCCTTGGGTGCCCTGCCTCACCTCGAGAAGCGTCCCTTTGGCCCTGCCAAGCCTCGAAGAGATTCCTGAGGTGTCCCTCGTTACTAGACAGGAGTCCTGACGTCACTGAAGAAACTCGTGTTTTGAAGGGCCATCCCCGCCGTAAGTCGAGAACATACCCCAGGTCCCCGCCGCAACTCGAGAAAAACCATGACACTTCCCCCTAGAGGCGAGATGAGGCTCCATTCCACAGCAGTGCATGCAGAGCTATTCCGTGATCCCATTCAAACAAGTCAGGAGCTTCGACTTGCTTAATGGATCTCGAGACAGTCCCCAAGAACACTGTCACCAGTCTAGACGGACCCTGAGGTCACCCCAGCAACGCAAAGCAGCTCCATGTGCCCCAAATCAACTCGAGATGAGGCCCGATTCCCCTGCATTGACTCCAGAGCCATTCCCCGTTCCCCATTCAACACGACCGGTGGCTCGACTTCCTTCAGGCAACTCCAGAGATGCCCCGAGAACACTGTCCCAAGTCTAGAGGAACACCAACTTCAGCACAGCAACTCGAGGAATGCTCCGTGTACCCCAAATCGTCTCGAGATGAGAGCTGATTCCCTGGCTTAGGCTCAAGACGTATGCCAACTTCCCAGAAGCACCTCAGGAGGAGGCTTCTCTCAGCAATAGGTATGTGGGAGGGACCCCGAGTTTGCTGCCTCAAGGGGAATATACAGCGAGAAGCCCTAACTTGAAAGGAGGCCGGATTTCCTTGCAGTGGCTTGAATACAGGCTCGTCTTTCATCTCACAACATGAAGGGATGTCTGAATCCCCTGTGGAGACCTTAGAGAAAGCCCTAGGTCCCTGCCTCATTTTGACGGAATGCCTCACATCCCGCTGACACCTCGAGAGGCACGCGGAGTTCATTGCTTCAAAAGGTGACGATGCCTGACTCCTCTTGAATACTGATAGGAATCCCAAAATCCCTGTGGCTACTGGAAAGGGTCCTTGGGTGCCCTGCCTCACCTCGAGAAGCGTCCCTTTGGCCCTGCCAAGCCTCGAAGAGATTCCTGAGGTGTCCCTCGTTACTAGACAGGAGTCCTGACGTCACTGAAGAAACTCGTGTTTTGAAGGGCCATCCCCGCCGTAAGTCGAGAACATACCCCAGGTCCCCGCCGCAACTCGAGAAAAACCATGAGACTTCCCCCTAGAGGCGAGATGAGGCTCCATTCCCCTGCAGTGCATGCAGAGCTATTCCGTGATCCCATTCAAACAAGTCAGGAGCTTCGACTTGCTTAATGGATCTCGAGACAGTCCCCAAGAACACTGTCACCAGTCTAGACGGACCCTGAGGTCACCCCAGCAACGCAAAGCAGCTCCATGTGCCCCAAATCAACTCGAGATGAGGCCCGATTCCCCTGCATTGACTCCAGAGCCATTCCCCGTTCCCCATTCAACACGACCGGTGGCTCGACTTCCTTCAGGCAACTCCAGAGATGCCCCGAGAACACTGTCCCAAGTCTAGAGGAAGACCAACTTCAGCACAGCAACTCGAGGAATGCTCCGTGTACCCCAAATCGTCTCGAGATGCGAGCTGATTCCCTGGCTTAGGCTCAAGACGTATGCCAACTTCCCAGAAGCACCTCAGGAGGAGGCTTCTCTCAGCAATAGGTATGTGGGAGGGACCCCGAGTTTGCTGCCTCAAGGGGAATATACAGCGAGAAGCCCTAACTTGAAAGGAGGCCGGATTTCCTTGCAGTGGCTTGAATACAGGCTCGTCTTTCATCTCACAACATGAAGGGATGTCTGAATCCCCTGTGGAGACCTTAGAGAAAGCCCTAGGTCCCTGCCTCATTTTGACGGAATGCCTCACATCCCGCTGACACCTCGAGAGGCACGCGGAGTTCATTGCTTCAAAAGGTGACGATGCCTGACTCCTCTTGAATACTGATAGGAATCCCAAAATCCCTGTGGCTACTGGAAAGGGTCCTTGGGTGCCCTGCCTCACCTCGAGAAGCGTCCCTTTGGCCCTGCCAAGCCTCGAAGAGATTCCTGAGGTGTCCCTCGTTACTAGACAGGAGTCCTGACGTCACTGAAGAAACTCGTGTTTTGAAGGGCCATCCCCGCCGTAAGTCGAGAACATACCCCAGGTCCCCGCCGCAACTCGAGAAAAACCATGAGACTTCCCCCTAGAGGCGAGATGAGGCCCCATTCCCCTGCAGTGCATGCAGAGCTATTCCGTGACCCCATTCAAACAAGTCAGGAGCTTCGACTTGCTTAATGGATCTCGAGACAGTCCCCAAGAACACTGTCACCAGTCTAGACGGACCCTGAGGTCACCCCAGCAACGCAAAGCAGCTCCATGTGCCCCAAATCAACTCGAGATGAGGCCCGATTCCCCTGCATTGACTCCAGAGCCATTCCCCGTTCCCCATTCAACACGACCGGTGGCTCGACTTCCTTCAGGCAACTCCAGAGATGCCCCGAGAACACTGTCCCAAGTCTAGAGGAACACCAACTTCAGCACAGCAACTCGAGGAATGCTCCGTGTACCCCAAATCGTCTCGAGATGCGAGCTGATTCCCTGGCTTAGGCTCAAGACGTATGCCAACTTCCCAGAAGCACCTCAGGAGGAGGCTTCTCTCAGCAATAGGTATGTGGGAGGGACCCCGAGTTTGCTGCCTCAAGGGGAATATACAGCGAGAAGCCCTAACTTGAAAGGAGGCCGGATTTCCTTGCAGTGGCTTGAATACAGGCTCGTCTTTCATCTCACAACATGAAGGGATGTCTGAATCCCCTGTGGAGACCTTAGAGAAAGCCCTAGGTCCCTGCCTCATTTTGACGGAATGCCTCACATCCCGCTGACACCTCGAGAGGCACGCGGAGTTCATTGCTTCAAAAGGTGACGATGCCTGACTCCTCTTGAATACTGATAGGAATCCCAAAATCCCTGTGGCTACTGGAAAGGGTCCTTGGGTGCCCTGCCTCACCTCGAGAAGCGTCCCTTTGGCCCTGCCAAGCCTCGAAGAGATTCCTGAGGTGTCCCTCGTTACTAGACAGGAGTCCTGACGTCACTGAAGAAACTCGTGTTTTGAAGGGCCATCCCCGCCGTAAGTCGAGAACATACCCCAGGTCCCCGCCGCAACTCGAGAAAAACCATGAGACTTCCCCCTAGAGGCGAGATGAGGCCCCATTCCCCTGCAGTGCATGCAGAGCTATTCCGTGACCCCATTCAAACAAGTCAGGAGCTTCGACTTGCTTAATGGATCTCGAGACAGTCCCCAAGAACACTGTCACCAGTCTAGACGGACCCTGAGGTCACCCCAGCAACGCAAAGCAGCTCCATGTGCCCCAAATCAACTCGAGATGAGGCCCGATTCCCCTGCATTGACTCCAGAGCCATTCCCCGTTCCCCATTCAACACGACCGGTGGCTCGACTTCCTTCAGGCAACTCCAGAGATGCCCCGAGAACACTGTCCCAAGTCTAGAGGAACACCAACTTCAGCACAGCAACTCGAGGAATGCTCCGTGTACCCCAAATCGTCTCGAGATGCGAGCTGATTCCCTGGCTTAGGCTCAAGACGTATGCCAACTTCCCAGAAGCACCTCAGGAGGAGGCTTCTCTCAGCAATAGGTATGTGGGAGGGACCCCGAGTTTGCTGCCTCAAGGGGAATATACAGCGAGAAGCCCTAACTTGAAAGGAGGCCGGATTTCCTTGCAGTGGCTTGAATACAGGCTCGTCTTTCATCTCACAACATGAAGGGATGTCTGAATCCCCTGTGGAGACCTTAGAGAAAGCCCTAGGTCCCTGCCTCATTTTGACGGAATGCCTCACATCCCGCTGACACCTCGAGAGGCACGCGGAGTTCATTGCTTCAAAAGGTGACGATGCCTGACTCCTCTTGAATACTGATAGGAATCCCAAAATCCCTGTGGCTACTGGAAAGGGTCCTTGGGTGCCCTGCCTCACCTCGAGAAGCGTCCCTTTGGCCCTGCCAAGCCTCGAAGAGATTCCTGAGGTGTCCCTCGTTACTAGACAGGAGTCCTGACGTCACTGAAGAAACTCGTGTTTTGAAGGGCCATCCCCGCCGTAAGTCGAGAACATACCCCAGGTCCCCGCCGCAACTCGAGAAAAACCATGAGACTTCCCCCTAGAGGCGAGATGAGGCCCCATTCCCCTGCAGTGCATGCAGAGCTATTCCGTGACCCCATTCAAACAAGTCAGGAGCTTCGACTTGCTTAATGGATCTCGAGACAGTCCCCAAGAACACTGTCACCAGTCTAGACGGACCCTGAGGTCACCCCAGCAACGCAAAGCAGCTCCATGTGCCCCAAATCAACTCGAGATGAGGCCCGATTCCCCTGCATTGACTCCAGAGCCATTCCCCGTTCCCCATTCAACACGACCGGTGGCTCGACTTCCTTCAGGCAACTCCAGAGATGCCCCGAGAACACTGTCCCAAGTCTAGAGGAACACCAACTTCAGCACAGCAACTCGAGGAATGCTCCGTGTACCCCAAATCGTCTCGAGATGCGAGCTGATTCCCTGGCTTAGGCTCAAGACGTATGCCAACTTCCCAGAAGCACCTCAGGAGGAGGCTTCTCTCAGCAATAGGTATGTGGGAGGGACCCCGAGTTTGCTGCCTCAAGGGGAATATACAGCGAGAAGCCCTAACGTGAAAGGAGGCCGGATTTCCTTGCAGTGGCTTGAATACAGGCTCGTCTTTCATCTCACAACATGACGGGATGTCTGAATCCCCTGTGGAGACCTTAGAGAAAGCCCTAGGTCCCTGCCTCATTTTGACGGAATGCCTCACATCCCGCTGACACCTCGAGAGGCACGCGGAGTTCATTGCTTCAAAAGGTGACGATGCCTGACTCCTCTTGAATACTGATAGGAATCCCAAAATCCCTGTGGCTACTGGAAAGGGTCCTTGGGTGCCCTGCCTCACCTCGAGAAGCGTCCCTTTGGCCCTGCCAAGCCTCGAAGAGATTCCTGAGGTGTCCCTCGTTACTAGACAGGAGTCCTGACGTCACTGAAGAAACTCGTGTTTTGAAGGGCCATCCCCGCCGTAAGTCGAGAACATACCCCAGGTCCCCGCCGCAACTCGAGAAAAACCATGAGACTTCCCCCTAGAGGCGAGATGAGGCCCCATTCCCCTGCAGTGCATGCAGAGCTATTCCGTGACCCCATTCAAACAAGTCAGGAGCTTCGACTTGCTTAATGGATCTCGAGACAGTCCCCAAGAACACTGTCACCAGTCTAGACGGACCCTGAGGTCACCCCAGCAACGCAAAGCAGCTCCATGTGCCCCAAATCAACTCGAGATGAGGCCCGATTCCCCTGCATTGACTCCAGAGCCATTCCCCGTTCCCCATTCAACACGACCGGTGGCTCGACTTCCTTCAGGCAACTCCAGAGATGCCCCGAGAACACTGTCCCAAGTCTAGAGGAACACCAACTTCAGCACAGCAACTCGAGGAATGCTCCGTGTACCCCAAATCGTCTCGAGATGCGAGCTGATTCCCTGGCTTAGGCTCAAGACGTATGCCAACTTCCCAGAAGCACCTCAGGAGGAGGCTTCTCTCAGCAATAGGTATGTGGGAGGGACCCCGAGTTTGCTGCCTCAAGGGGAATATACAGCGAGAAGCCCTAACTTGAAAGGAGGCCGGATTTCCTTGCAGTGGCTTGAATACAGGCTCGTCTTTCATCTCACAACATGAAGGGATGTCTGAATCCCCTGTGGAGACCTTAGAGAAAGCCCTAGGTCCCTGCCTCATTTTGACGGAATGCCTCACATCCCGCTGACACCTCGAGAGGCACGCGGAGTTCATTGCTTCAAAAGGTGACGATGCCTGACTCCTCTTGAATACTGATAGGAATCCCAAAATCCCTGTGGCTACTGGAAAGGGTCCTTGGGTGCCCTGCCTCACCTCGAGAAGCGTCCCTTTGGCCCTGCCAAGCCTCGAAGAGATTCCTGAGGTGTCCCTCGTTACTAGACAGGAGTCCTGACGTCACTGAAGAAACTCGTGTTTTGAAGGGCCATCCCCGCCGTAAGTCGAGAACATACCCCAGGTCCCCGCCGCAACTCGAGAAAAACCATGAGACTTCCCCCTAGAGGCGAGATGAGGCCCCATTCCCCTGCAGTGCATGCAGAGCTATTCCGTGACCCCATTCAAACAAGTCAGGAGCTTCGACTTGCTTAATGGATCTCGAGACAGTCCCCAAGAACACTGTCACCAGTCTAGACGGACCCTGAGGTCACCCCAGCAACGCAAAGCAGCTCCATGTGCCCCAAATCAACTCGAGATGAGGCCCGATTCCCCTGCATTGACTCCAGAGCCATTCCCCGTTCCCCATTCAACACGACCGGTGGCTCGACTTCCTTCAGGCAACTCCAGAGATGCCCCGAGAACACTGTCCCAAGTCTAGAGGAACACCAACTTCAGCACAGCAACTCGAGGAATGCTACGTGTACCCCAAATCGTCTCGAGATGCGAGCTGATTCCCTGGCTTAGGCTCAAGACGTATGCCAACTTCCCAGAAGCACCTCAGGAGGGGGCTTCTCTCAGCAATAGGTATGTGGTAGGGACCCCGAGTTTGCTGCCTCAAGGGGAATATACAGCGAGAAGCCCTAACTTGAAAGGAGGCCGGATTTCCTTGCAGTGGCTTGAATACAGGCTCGTCTTTCATCTCACAACATGAAGGGATGTCTGAATCCCCTGTGGAGACCTTAGAGAAAGCCCTAGGTCCCTGCCTCATTTTGACGGAATGCCTCACATCCCGCTGACACCTCGAGAGGCACGCGGAGTTCATTGCTTCAAAAGGTGACGATGCCTGACTCCTCTTGAATACTGATAGGAATCCCAAAATCCCTGTGGCTACTGGAAAGGGTCCTTGGGTGCCCTGCCTCACCTCGAGAAGCGTCCCTTTGGCCCTGCCAAGCCTCGAAGAGATTCCTGAGGTGTCCCTCGTTACTAGACAGGAGTCCTGACGTCACTGAAGAAACTCGTGTTTTGAAGGGCCATCCCCGCCGTAAGTCGAGAACATACCCCAGGTCCCCGCCGCAACTCGAGAAAAACCATGAGACTTCCCCCTAGAGGCGAGATGAGGCCCCATTCCCCTGCAGTGCATGCAGAGCTATTCCGTGACCCCATTCAAACAAGTCAGGAGCTTCGACTTGCTTAATGGATCTCGAGACAGTCCCCAAGAACACTGTCACCAGTCTAGACGGACCCTGAGGTCACCCCAGCAACGCAAAGCAGCTCCATGTGCCCCAAATCAACTCGAGATGAGGCCCGATTCCCCTGCATTGACTCCAGAGCCATTCCCCGTTCCCCATTCAACACGACCGGTGGCTCGACTTCCTTCAGGCAACTCCAGAGATGCCCCGAGAACACTGTCCGAAGTCTAGAGGAACACCAACTTCAGCACAGCAACTCGAGGAATGCTCCGTGTACCCCAAATCGTCTCGAGATGCGAGCTGATTCCCTGGCTTAGGCTCAAGACGTATGCCAACTTCCCAGAAGCACCTCAGGAGGAGGCTTCTCTCAGCAATAGGTATGTGGGAGGGACCCCGAGTTTGCTGCCTCAAGGGGAATATACAGCGAGAAGCCCTAACTTGAAAGGAGGCCGGATTTCCTTGCAGTGGCTTGAATACAGGCTCGTCTTTCATCTCACAACATGAAGGGATGTCTGAATCCCCTGTGGAGACCTTAGAGAAAGCCCTAGGTCCCTGCCTCATTTTGACGGAATGCCTCACATCCCGCTGACACCTCGAGAGGCACGCGGAGTTCATTGCTTCAAAAGGTGACGATGCCTGACTCCTCTTGAATACTGATAGGAATCCCAAAATCCCTGTGGCTACTGGAAAGGGTCCTTGGGTGCCCTGCCTCACCTCGAGAAGCGTCCCTTTGGCCCTGCCAAGCCTCGAAGAGATTCCTGAGGTGTCCCTCGTTACTAGACAGGAGTCCTGACGTCACTGAAGAAACTCGTGTTTTGAAGGGCCATCCCCGCCGTAAGTCGAGAACATACCCCAGGTCCCCGCCGCAACTCGAGAAAAACCATGAGACTTCCCCCTAGAGGCGAGATGAGGCCCCATTCCCCTGCAGTGCATGCAGAGCTATTCCATGACCCCATTCAAACAAGTCAGGAGCTTCGACTTGCTTAATGGATCTCGAGACAGTCCCCAAGAACACTGTCACCAGTCTAGACGGACCCTGAGGTCACCCCAGCAACGCAAAGCAGCTCCATGTGCCCCAAATCAACTCGAGATGAGGCCCGATTCCCCTGCATTGACTCCAGAGCCATTCCCCGTTCCCCATTCAACACGACCGGTGGCTCGACTTCCTTCAGGCAACTCCAGAGATGCCCCGAGAACACTGTCCCAAGTCTAGAGGAACACCAACTTTAGCACAGCAACTCGAGGAATGCTCCGTGTACCCCAAATCGTCTCGAGATGCGAGCTGATTCCCTGGCTTAGGCTCAAGACGTATGCCAACTTCCCAGAAGCACCTCAGGAGGGGGCTTCTCTCAGCAATAGGTATGTGGGAGGGACCCCGAGTTTGCTGCCTCAAGGGGAATATACAGCGAGAAGCCCTAACTAGAAAGGAGGCCGGATTTCCTTGCAGTGGCTTGAATACAGGCTCGTCTTTCATCTCACAACATGAAGGGATGTCTGAATCCCCTGTGGAGACCTTAGAGAAAGCCCTAGGTCCCTGCCTCATTTTGACGGAATGCCTCACATCCCGCTGACACCTCGAGAGGCACGCGGAGTTCATTGCTTCAAAAGGTGACGATGCCTGACTCCTCTTGAATACTGATAGGAATCCCAAAATCCCTGTGGCTACTGGAAAGGGTCCTTGGGTGCCCTGCCTCACCTCGAGAAGCGTCCCTTTGGCCCTGCCAAGCCTCGAAGAGTTTCCTGAGGTGTCCCTCGTTACTAGACAGGAGTCCTGACGTCACTGAAGAAACTCGTGTTTTGAAGGGCCATCCCCGCCGTAAGTCGAGAACATACCCCAGGTCCCCGCCGCAACTCGAGAGAAACCATGAGACTTCCCCCTAGAGGCGAGATGAGGCTCCATTCCCCTGCAGTGCATGCAGAGCTATTCCGTGATCCCATTCAAACAAGTCAGGAGCTTCGACTTGCTTAATGGATCTCGAGACAGTCCCCAAGAACACTGTCACCAGTCTAGACGGACCCTGAGGTCACCCCAGCAACGCAAAGCAGCTCCATGTGCCCCAAATCAACTCGAGATGATTCCCGATTCCCCTGCATTGACTCCAGAGCCATTCCCCGTTCCCCATTCAATACGACCGGTGGCTCGACTTCCTTCAGGCAACTCCAGAGATGCCCCGAGAACACTGTCCCAAGTCTAGAGGAACACCAACTTCAGCACAGCAACTCGAGGAATGCTCCGTGTACCCCAAATCGTCTCGAGATGCGAGCTGATTCCCTGGCTTAGGCTCAAGACGTATGCCAACTTCCCAGAAGCACCTCAGGAGGAGGCTTCTCTCAGCAATAGGTATGTGGCAGGGACCCCGAGTTTGCTGCCTCAAGGGGAATATACAGCGAGAAGCCCTAACTTGAAAGGAGGCCGGATTTCCTTGCAGTGGCTTGAATACAGGCTCGTCTTTCATCTCACAACATGAAGGGATGTCTGAATCCCCTGTGGAGACCTTAGAGAAAGCCCTAGGTCCCTGCCTCATTTTGACGGAATGCCTCACATCCCGCTGACACCTCGAGAGGCACGCGGAGTTCATTGCTTCAAAAGGTGACGATGCCTGACTCCTCTTGAATACTGATAGGAATCCCAAAATCCCTGTGGCTACTGGAAAGGGTCCTTGGGTGCCCTGCCTCACCTCGAGAAGCGTCCCTTTGGCCCTGCCAAGCCTCGAAGAGATTCCTGAGGTGTCCCTCGTTACTAGACAGGAGTCCTGACGTCACTGAAGAAACTCGTGTTTTGAAGGGCCATCCCCGCCGTAAGTCGAGAACATACCCCAGGTCCCCGCCGCAACTCGAGAAAAACCATGAGACTTCCCCCTAGAGGCGAGATGAGGCCCCATTCCCCTGCAGTGCATGCAGAGCTATTCCAAGACCCCATTCAAACAAGTCAGGAGCTTCGACTTGCTTAATGGATCTCGAGACAGTCCCCAAGAACACTGTCACCAGTCTAGACGGACCCTGAGGTCACCCCAGCAACGCAAAGCAGCTCCATGTGCCCCAAATCAACTCGAGATGAGGCCCGATTCCCCTGCATTGACTCCAGAGCCATTCCCCGTTCCCCATTCAACACGACCGGTGGCTCGACTTCCTTCAGGCAACTCCAGAGATGCCCCGAGAACACTGTCCCAAGTCTAGAGGAACACCAACTTTAGCACAGCAACTCGAGGAATGCTCCGTGTACCCCAAATCGTCTCGAGATGCGAGCTGATTCCCTGGCTTAGGCTCAAGACGTATGCCAACTTCCCAGAAGCACCTCAGGAGGGGGCTTCTCTCAGCAATAGGTATGTGGGAGGGACCCCGAGTTTGCTGCCTCAAGGGGAATATACAGCGAGAAGCCCTAACTAGAAAGGAGGCCGGATTTCCTTGCAGTGGCTTGAATACAGGCTCGTCTTTCATCTCACAACATGAAGGGATGTCTGAATCCCCTGTGGAGACCTTAGAGAAAGCCCTAGGTCCCTGCCTCATTTTGACGGAATGCCTCACATCCCGCTGACACCTCGAGAGGCACGCGGAGTTCATTGCTTCAAAAGGTGACGATGCCTGACTCCTCTTGAATACTGATAGGAATCCCAAAATCCCTGTGGCTACTGGAAAGGGTCCTTGGGTGCCCTGCCTCACCTCGAGAAGCGTCCCTTTGGCCCTGCCAAGCCTCGAAGAGTTTCCTGAGGTGTCCCTCGTTACTAGACAGGAGTCCTGACGTCACTGAAGAAACTCGTGTTTTGAAGGGCCATCCCCGCCGTAAGTCGAGAACATACCCCAGGTCCCCGCCGCAACTCGAGAGAAACCATGAGACTTCCCCCTAGAGGCGAGATGAGGCTCCATTCCCCTGCAGTGCATGCAGAGCTATTCCGTGATCCCATTCAAACAAGTCAGGAGCTTCGACTTGCTTAATGGATCTCGAGACAGTCCCCAAGAACACTGTCACCAGTCTAGACGGACCCTGAGGTCACCCCAGCAACGCAAAGCAGCTCCATGTGCCCCAAATCAACTCGAGATGAGGCCCGATTCCCCTGCATTGACTCCAGAGCCATTCCCCGTTCCCCATTCAACACGACCGGTGGCTCGACTTCCTTCAGGCAACTCCAGAGATGCCCCGAGAACACTGTCCCAAGTCTAGAGGAACACCAACTTCAGCACAGCAACTCGAGGAATGCTCCGTGTACCCCAAATCGTCTCGAGATGCGAGCTGATTCCCTGGCTTAGGCTCAAGACGTATGCCAACTTCCCAGAAGCACCTCAGGAGGAGGCTTCTCTCAGCAATAGGTATGTGGGAGGGACCCCGAGTTTGCTGCCTCAAGGGGAATATACAGCGAGAAGCCCTAACTTGAAAGGAGGCCGGATTTCCTTGCAGTGGCTTGAATACAGGCTCGTCTTTCATCTCACAACATGAAGGGATGTCTGAATCCCCTGTGGAGACCTTAGAGAAAGCCCTAGGTCCCTGCCTCATTTTGACGGAATGCCTCACATCCCGCTGACACCTCGAGAGGCACGCGGAGTTCATTGCTTCAAAAGGTGACGATGCCTGACTCCTCTTGAATACTGATAGGAATCCCAAAATCCCTGTGGCTACTGGAAAGGGTCCTTGGGTGCCCTGCCTCACCTCGAGAAGCGTCCCTTTGGCCCTGCCAAGCCTCGAAGAGATTCCTGAGGTGTCCCTCGTTACTAGACAGGAGTCCTGACGTCACTGAAGAAACTCGTGTTTTGAAGGGCCATCCCCGCCGTAAGTCGAGAACATACCCCAGGTCCCCGCCGCAACTCGAGAAAAACCATGAGACTTCCCCCTAGAGGCGAGATGAGGCCCCATTCCCCTGCAGTGCATGCAGAGCTATTCCGTGACCCCATTCAAACAAGTCAGGAGCTTCGACTTGCTTAATGGATCTCGAGACAGTCCCCAAGAACACTGTCACCAGTCTAGACGGACCCTGAGGTCACCCCAGCAATGCAAAGCAGCTCCATGTGCCCCAAATCAACTCGAGATGAGGCCCGATTCCCCTGCATTGACTCCAGAGCCATTCCCCGTTCCCCATTCAACACGACCGGTGGCTCGACTTCCTTCAGGCAACTCCAGAGATGCCCCGAGAACACTGTCCCAAGTCTAGAGGAACACCAACTTCAGCACAGCAACTCGAGGAATGCTCCGTGTACCCCAAATCGTCTCGAGATGCGAGCTGATTCCCTGGCTTAGGCTCAAGACGTATGCCAACTTCCCAGAAGCACCTCAGGAGGAGGCTTCTCTCAGCAATAGGTATGTGGGAGGGACCCCGAGTTTGCTGCCTCAAGGGGAATATACAGCGAGAAGCCCTAACTTGAAAGGAGGCCGGATTTCCTTGCAGTGGCTTGAATACAGGCTCGTCTTTCATCTCACAACATGAAGGGATGTCTGAATCCCCTGTGGAGACCTTAGAGAAAGCACTAGGTCCCTGCCTCATTTTGACGGAATGCCTCACATCCCGCTGACACCTCGAGAGGCACGCGGAGTTCATTGCTTCAAAAGGTGACGATGCCTGACTCCTCTTGAATACTGATAGGAATCCCAAAATCCCTGTGGCTACTGGAAAGGGTCCTTGGGTGCCCTGCCTCACCTCGAGAAGCGTCCCTTTGGCCCTGCCAAGCCTCGAAGAGATTCCTGAGGTGTCCCTCGTTACTAGACAGGAGTCCTGACGTCACTGAAGAAACTCGTGTTTTGAAGGGCCATCCCCGCCGTAAGTCGAGAACATACCCCAGGTCCCCGCCGCAACTCGAGAAAAACCATGAGACTTCCTCCTAGAGGCGAGATGAGGCCCCATTCCCCTGCAGTGCATGCAGAGCTATTCCGTGACCCCATTCAAACAAGTCAGGAGCTTCGACTTGCTTAATGGATCTCGAGACAGTCCCCAAGAACACTGTCACCAGTCTAGACGGACCCTGAGGTCACCCCAGCAACGCAAAGCAGCTCCATGTGCCCCAAATCAACTCGAGATGAGGCCCGATTCCCCTGCATTGACTCCAGAGCCATTCCCCGTTCCCCATTCAACACGACCGGTGGCTCGACTTCCTTCAGGCAACTCCAGAGATGCCCCGAGAACACTGTCCCAAGTCTAGAGGAACACCAACTTCAGCACAGCAACTCGAGGAATGCTCCGTGTACCCCAAATCGTCTCGAGATGCGAGCTGATTCCCTGGCTTAGGCTCAAGACATATGCCAACTTCCCAGAAGCACCTCAGGAGGAGGCTTCTCTCAGCAATAGGTATGTGGGAGGGACCCCGAGTTTGCTGCCTCAAGGGGAATATACAGCGAGAAGCCCTAACTTGAAAGGAGGCCGGATTTCCTTGCAGTGGCTTGAATACAGGCTCGTCTTTCATCTCACAACATGAAGGGATGTCTGAATCCCCTGTGGAGACCTTAGAGAAAGCCCTAGGTCCCTGCCTCATTTTGACGGAATGCCTCACATCCCGCTGACACCTCGAGAGGCACGCGGAGTTCATTGCTTCAAAAGGTGACGATGCCTGACTCCTCTTGAATACTGATAGGAATCCCAAAATCCCTGTGGCTACTGGAAAGGGTCCTTGGGTGCCCTGCCTCACCTCGAGAAGCGTCCCTTTGGCCCTGCCAAGCCTCGAAGAGATTCCTGAGGTGTCCCTCGTTACTAGACAGGAGTCCTGACGTCACTGAAGAAACTCGTGTTTTGAAGGGCCATCCCCGCCGTAAGTCGAGAACATACCCCAGGTCCCCGCCGCAACTCGAGAAAAACCATGAGACTTCCCCCTAGAGGCGAGATGAGGCCCCATTCCCCTGCAGTGCATGCAGAGCTATTCCGTGACCCCATTCAAACAAGTCAGGAGCTTCGACTTGCTTAATGGATCTCGAGACAGTCCCCAAGAACACTGTCACCAGTCTAGACGGACCCTGAGGTCACCCCAGCAACGCAAAGCAGCTCCATGTGCCCCAAATCAACTCGAGATGAGGCCCGATTCCCCTGCTTTGACTCCAGAGCCATTCCCCGTTCCCCATTCAACACGACCGGTGGCTCGACTTCCTTCAGGCAACTCCAGAGATGCCCCGAGAACACTGTCCCAAGTCTAGAGGAACACCAACTTCAGCACAGCAACTCGAGGAATGCTCCGTGTACCCCAAATCGTCTCGAGATGCGAGCTGATTCCCTGGCTTAGGCTCAAGACGTATGCCAACTTCCCAGAAGCACCTCAGGAGGAGGCTTCTCTCAGCAATAGGTATGTGGGAGGGACCCCGAGTTTGCTGCCTCAAGGGGAATATACAGCGAGAAGCCCTAACTTGAAAGGAGGCCGGATTTCCTTGCAGTGGCTTGAATACAGGCTCGTCTTTCATCTCACAACATGAAGGGATGTCTGAATCCCCTGTGGAGACCTTAGAGAAAGCCCTAGGTCCCTGCCTCATTTTGACGGAATGCCTCACATCCCGCTGAAACCTCGAGAGGCACGCGGAGTTCATTGCTTCAAAAGGTGACGATGCCTGACTCCTCTTGAATACTGATAGGAATCCCAAAATCCCTGTGGCTACTGGAAAGGGTCCTTGGGTGCCCTGCCTCACCTCGAGAAGCGTCCCTTTGGCCCTGCCAAGCCTCGAAGAGATTCCTGAGGTGTCCCTCGTTACTAGACAGGAGTCCTGACGTCACTGAAGAAACTCGTGTTTTGAAGGGCCATCCCCGCCGTAAGTCGAGAACATACCCCAGGTCCCCGCCGCAACTCGAGAAAAACCATGAGACTTCCCCCTAGAGGCGAGATGAGGCCCCATTCCCCTGCAGTGCATGCAGAGCTATTCCGTGACCCCATTCAAACAAGTCAGGAGCTTCGACTTGCTTAATGGATCTCGAGACAGTCCCCAAGAACACTGTCACCAGTCTAGACGGACCCTGAGGTCACCCCAGCAACGCAAAGCAGCTCCATGTGCCCCAAATCAACTCGAGATGAGGCCCGATTCCCCTGCATTGACTCCAGAGCCATTCCCCGTTCCCCATTCAACACGACCGGTGGCTCGACTTCCTTCAGGCAACTCCAGAGATGCCCCGAGAACACTGTCCCAAGTCTAGAGGAACACCAACTTCAGCACAGCAACTCGAGGAATGCTCCGTGTACCCCAAATCGTCTCGAGATGCGAGCTGATTCCCTGGCTTAGGCTCAAGACATATGCCAACTTCCCAGAAGCACCTCAGGAGGAGGCTTCTCTCAGCAATAGGTATGTGGGAGGGACCCCGAGTTTGCTGCCTCAAGGGGAATATACAGCGAGAAGCCCTAACTTGAAAGGAGGCCGGATTTCCTTGCAGTGGCTTGAATACAGGCTCGTCTTTCATCTCACAACATGAAGGGATGTCTGAATCCCCTGTGGAGACCTTAGAGAAAGCCCTAGGTCCCTGCCTCATTTTGACGGAATGCCTCACATCCCGCTGACACCTCGAGAGGCACGCGGAGTTCATTGCTTCAAAAGGTGACGATGCCTGACTCCTCTTGAATACTGATAGGAATCCCAAAATCCCTGTGGCTACTGGAAAGGGTCCTTGGGTGCCCTGCCTCACCTCGAGAAGCGTCCCTTTGGCCCTGCCAAGCCTCGAAGAGATTCCTGAGGTGTCCCTCGTTACTAGACAGGAGTCCTGACGTCACTGAAGAAACTCGTGTTTTGAAGGGCCATCCCCGCCGTAAGTCGAGAACATACCCCAGGTCCCAGCCGCAACTCGAGAAAAACCATGAGACTTCCCCCTAGAGGCGAGATGAGGCCCCATTCCCCTGCAGTGCATGCAGAGCTATTCCGTGATCCCATTCAAACAAGTCAGGAGCTTCGACTTGCTTAATGGATCTCGAGACAGTCCCCAAGAACACTGTCACCAGTCTAGACGGACCCTGAGGTCACCCCAGCAACGCAAAGCAGCTCCATGTGCCCCAAATCAACTCGAGATGAGGCCCGATTCCCCTGCATTGACTCCAGAGCCATTCCCCGTTCCCCATTCAACACGACCGGTGGCTCGACTTCCTTCAGGCAACTCCAGAGATGCCCCGAGAACACTGTCCCAAGACTAGAGGAACACCAACTTCAGCACAGCAACTCGAGGAATGCTCCGTGTACCCCAAATCGTCTCGAGATGAGAGCTGATTCCCTTGCTTAGGCTCAAGACGTATGCCAACTTCCCAGAAGCACCTCAGGAGGAGGCTTCTCTCAGCAATAGGTATGTGGGAGGGACCCCGAGTTTGCTGCCTCAAGGGGAATATATAACGAGAAGCCCTAACTTGAAAGGAGGCCGGATTTCCTTGCAGTGGCTTGAATACAGGCTCGTCTTTCATCTCACAACATGAAGGGATGTCTGAATCCCCTGTGGAGACCTTAGAGAAAGCCCTAGGTCCCTGCCTCATTTTGACGGAATGCCTCACATCCCGCTGACACCTCGAGAGGCACGCGGAGTTCATTGCTTCAAAAGGTGACGATGCCTGACTCCTCTTGAATACTGATAGGAATCCCAAAATCCCTGTGGCTACTGGAAAGGGTCCTTGGGTGCCCTGCCTCACCTCGAGAAGCGTCCCTTTGGCCCTGCCAAGCCTCGAAGAGATTCCTGAGGTGTCCCTCGTTACTAGACAGGAGTCCTGACGTCACTGAAGAAACTCGTGTTTTGAAGGGCCATCCCCGCCGTAAGTCGAGAACATACCCCAGGTCCCCGCCGCAACTCGAGAAAAACCATGAGACTTCCCCCTAGAGGCGAGATGAGGCCCCATTCCCCTGCAGTGCATGCAGAGCTATTCCGTGATCCCATTCAAACAAGTCAGGAGCTTCGACTTGCTTAATGGATCTCGAGACAGTCCCCAAGAACACTGTCACCAGTCTAGACGGACCCTGAGGTCACCCCAGCAACGCAAAGCAGCTCCATGTGCCCCAAATCAACTCGAGATGATTCCCGATTCCCCTGCATTGACTCCAGAGCCATTCCCCGTTCCCCATTCAACACGACCGGTGGCTCGACTTCCTTCAGGCAACTCCAGAGATGCCCCCAGAACACTGTCCCAAGTCTAGAGGAACACCAACTTCAGCACAGCAACTCGAGGAATGCTCCGTGTACCCCAAATCGTCTCGAGATGAGAGCTGATTCCCTGGCTTAGGCTCAAGACGTATGCCAACTTCCCAGAAGCACCTCAGGAGGGGGCTTCTCTCAGCAATAGGTATGTGGGAGGGACCCCGAGTTTGCTGCCTCAAGGGGAATATACAGCGAGAAGCCCTAACTTGAAAGGAGGCCGGATTTCCTTGCAGTGGCTTGAATACAGGCTCGTCTTTCATCTCACAACATGAAGGGATGTCTGAATCCCCTGTGGAGACCTTAGAGAAAGCCCTAGGTCCCTGCCTCATTTTGACGGAATGCCTCACATCCCGCTGACACCTCGAGAGTCACGCGGAATTCATTGCTTCAAAAGGTGACGATGCCTGACTCCTCTTGAATACTGATAGGAATCCCAAAATCCCTGTGGCTACTGGAAAGGGTCCTTGGGTGCCCTGCCTCACCTCGAGAAGCGTCCCTTTGGCCCTGCCAAGCCTCGAAGAGATTCCTGAGGTGTCCCTCGTTATTAGACAGGAGTCCTGACGTCACTGAAGAAACTCGTGTTTTGAAGGGCCATCCCCGCCGTAAGTCGAGAACATACCCCAGGTCCCAGCCGCAACTCGAGAAAAACCATGAGACTTCCACCTAGAGGCGAGATGAGGCCCCATTCCCCTGCAGTGCATGCAGAGCTATTCCGTGATCCCATTCAAACAAGTCAGGAGCTTCGACTTGCTTAATGGATCTCGAGACAGTCCCCAAGAACACTGTCACCAGTCTAGACGGACCCTGAGGTCACCCCAGCAACGCAAAGCAGCTCCATGTGCCCCAAATCAACTCGAGATGAGGCCCGATTCCCCTGCATTGACTCCAGAGCCATTCCCCGTTCCCCATTCAACACGACCGGTGGCTCGACTTCCTTCAGGCAACTCCAGAGATGCCCCGAGAACACTGTCCCAAGACTAGAGGAACACCAACTTCAGCACAGCAACTCGAGGAATGCTCCGTGTACCCCAAATCGTCTCGAGATGAGAGCTGATTCCCTTGCTTAGGCTCAAGACGTATGCCAACTTCCCAGAAGCACCTCAGGAGGAGGCTTCTCTCAGCAATAGGTATGTGGGAGGGACCCCGAGTTTGCTGCCTCAAGGGGAATATATAGCGAGAAGCCCTAACTTGAAAGGAGGCCGGATTTCCTTGCAGTGGCTTGAATACAGGCTCGTCTTTCATCTCACAACATGAAGGGATGTCTGAATCCCCTGTGGAGACCTTAGAGAAAGCCCTAGGTCCCTGCCTCATTTTGACGGAATGCCTCACATCCCGCTGACACCTCGAGAGGCACGCGGAGTTCATTGCTTCAAAAGGTGACGATGCCTGACTCCTCTTGAATACTGATAGGAATCCCAAAATCCCTGTGGCTACTGGAAAGGGTCCTTGGGTGCCCTGCCTCACCTCGAGAAGCGTCCCTTTGGCCCTGCCAAGCCTCGAAGAGATTCCTGAGGTGTCCCTCGTTACTAGACAGGAGTCCTGACGTCACTGAAGAAACTCGTGTTTTGAAGGGCCATCCCCGCCGTAAGTCGAGAACATACCCCAGGTCCCCGCCGCAACTCGAGAAAAACCATGAGACTTCCCCCTAGAGGCGAGATGAGGCCCCATTCCCCTGCAGTGCATGCAGAGCTATTCCGTGATCCCATTCAAACAAGTCAGGAGCTTCGACTTGCTTAATGGATCTCGAGACAGTCCCCAAGAACACTGTCACCAGTCTAGACGGACCCTGAGGTCACCCCAGCAACGCAAAGCAGCTCCATGTGCCCCAAATCAACTCGAGATGATTCCCGATTCCCCTGCATTGACTCCAGAGCCATTCCCCGTTCCCCATTCAACACGACCGGTGGCTCGACTTCCTTCAGGCAACTCCAGAGATGCCCCCAGAACACTGTCCCAAGTCTAGAGGAACACCAACTTCAGCACAGCAACTCGAGGAATGCTCCGTGTACCCCAAATCGTCTCGAGATGAGAGCTGATTCCCTGGCTTAGGCTCAAGACGTATGCCAACTTCCCAGAAGCACCTCAGGAGGGGGCTTCTCTCAGCAATAGGTATGTGGGAGGGACCCCGAGTTTGCTGCCTCAAGGGGAATATACAGCGAGAAGCCCTAACTTGAAAGGAGGCCGGATTTCCTTGCAGTGGCTTGAATACAGGCTCGTCTTTCATCTCACAACATGAAGGGATGTCTGAATCCCCTGTGGAGACCTTAGAGAAAGCCCTAGGTCCCTGCCTCATTTTGACGGAATGCCTCACATCCCGCTGAAACCTCGAGAGGCACGCGGAGTTCATTGCTTCAAAAGGTGACGATGCCTGACTCCTCTTGAATACTGATAGGAATCCCAAAATCCCTGTGGCTACTGGAAAGGGTCCTTGGGTGCCCTGCCTCACCTCGAGAAGCGTCCCTTTGGCCCTGCCAAGCCTCGAAGAGATTCCTGAGGTGTCCCTCGTTACTAGACAGGAGTCCTGACGTCACTGAAGAAACTCGTGTTTTGAAGGGCCATCCCCGCCGTAAGTCGAGAACATACCCCAGGTCCCCGCCGCAACTCGAGAAAAACCATGAGACTTCCCCCTAGAGGCGAGATGAGGCCCCATTCCCCTGCAGTGCATGCAGAGCTATTCCGTGACCCCATTCAAACAAGTCAGGAGCTTCGACTTGCTTAATGGATCTCGAGACAGTCCCCAAGAACACTGTCACCAATCTAGACGGACCCTGAGGTCACCCCAGCAACGCAAAGCAGCTCCATGTGCCCCAAATCAACTCGAGATGAGGCCCGATTCCCCTGCATTGACTCCAGAGCCATTCCCCGTTCCCCATTCAACACGACCGGTGGCTCGACTTCCTTCAGGCAACTCCAGAGATGCCCCGAGAACACTGTCCCAAGTCTAGAGGAACACCAACTTCAGCACAGCAACTCGAGGAATGCTCCGTGTACCCCAAATCGTCTCGAGATGCGAGCTGATTCCCTGGCTTAGGCTCAAGACATATGCCAACTTCCCAGAAGCACCTCAGGAGGAGGCTTCTCTCAGCAATAGGTATGTGGGAGGGACCCCGAGTTTGCTGCCTCAAGGGGAATATACAGCGAGAAGCCCTAACTTGAAAGGAGGCCGGATTTCCTTGCAGTGGCTTGAATACAGGCTCGTCTTTCATCTCACAACATGAAGGGATGTCTGAATCCCCTGTGGAGACCTTAGAGAAAGCCCTAGGTCCCTGCCTCATTTTGACGGAATGCCTCACATCCCGCTGACACCTCGAGAGGCACGCGGAGTTCATTGCTTCAAAAGGTGACGATGCCTGACTCCTCTTGAATACTGATAGGAATCCCAAAATCCCTGTGGCTACTGGAAAGGGTCCTTGGGTGCCCTGCCTCACCTCGAGAAGCGTCCCTTTGGCCCTGCCAAGCCTCGAAGAGATTCCTGAGGTGTCCCTCGTTACTAGACAGGAGTCCTGACGTCACTGAAGAAACTCGTGTTTTGAAGGGCCATCCCCGCCGTAAGTCGAGAACATACCCCAGGTCCCAGCCGCAACTCGAGAAAAACCATGAGACTTCCCCCTAGAGGCGAGATGAGGCCCCATTCCCCTGCAGTGTATGCAGAGCTATTCCGTGATCCCATTCAAACAAGTCAGGAGCTTCGACTTGCTTAATGGATCTCGAGACAGTCCCCAAGAACACTGTCACCAGTCTAGACGGACCCTGAGGTCACCCCAGCAACGCAAAGCAGCTCCATGTGCCCCAAATCAACTCGAGATGAGGCCCGATTCCCCTGCATTGACTCCAGAGCCATTCCCCGTTCCCCATTCAACACGACCGGTGGCTCGACTTCCTTCAGGCAACTCCAGAGATGCCCCGAGAACACTGTCCCAAGACTAGAGGAACACCAACTTCAGCACAGCAACTCGAGGAATGCTCCGTGTACCCCAAATCGTCTCGAGATGAGAGCTGATTCCCTTGCTTAGGCTCAAGACGTATGCCAACTTCCCAGAAGCACCTCAGGAGGAGGCTTCTCTCAGCAATAGGTATGTGGGAGGGACCCCGAGTTTGCTGCCTCAAGGGGAATATATAGCGAGAAGCCCTAACTTGAAAGGAGGCCGGATTTCCTTGCAGTGGCTTGAATACAGGCTCGTCTTTCATCTCACAACATGAAGGGATGTCTGAATCCCCTGTGGAGACCTTAGAGAAAGCCCTAGGTCCCTGCCTCATTTTGACGGAATGCCTCACATCCCGCTGACACCTCGAGAGGCACGCGGAGTTCATTGCTTCAAAAGGTGACGATGCCTGACTCCTCTTGAATACTGATAGGAATCCCAAAATCCCTGTGGCTACTGGAAAGGGTCCTTGGGTGCCCTGCCTCACCTCGAGAAGCGTCCCTTTGGCCCTGCCAAGCCTCGAAGAGATTCCTGAGGTGTCCCTCGTTACTAGACAGGAGTCCTGACGTCACTGAAGAAACTCGTGTTTTGAAGGGCCATCCCCGCCGTAAGTCGAGAACATACCCCAGGTCCCCGCCGCAACTCGAGAAAAACCATGAGACTTCCCCCTAGAGGCGAGATGAGGCCCCATTCCCCTGCAGTGCATGCAGAGCTATTCCGTGATCCCATTCAAACAAGTCAGGAGCTTCGACTTGCTTAATGGATCTCGAGACAGTCCCCAAGAACACTGTCACCAGTCTAGACGGACCCTGAGGTCACCCCAGCAACGCAAAGCAGCTCCATGTGCCCCAAATCAACTCGAGATGATTCCCGATTCCCCTGCATTGACTCCAGAGCCATTCCCCGTTCCCCATTCAACACGACCGGTGGCTCGACTTCCTTCAGGCAACTCCAGAGATGCCCCCAGAACACTGTCCCAAGTCTAGAGGAACACCAACTTCAGCACAGCAACTCGAGGAATGCTCCGTGTACCCCAAATCGTCTCGAGATGAGAGCTGATTCCCTGGCTTAGGCTCAAGACGTATGCCAACTTCCCAGAAGCACCTCAGGAGGGGGCTTCTCTCAGCAATAGGTATGTGGGAGGGACCCCGAGTTTGCTGCCTCAAGGGGAATATACAGCGAGAAGCCCTAACTTGAAAGGAGGCCGGATTTCCTTGCAGTGGCTTGAATACAGGCTCGTCTTTCATCTCACAACATGAAGGGATGTCTGAATCCCCTGTGGAGACCTTAGAGAAAGCCCTAGGTCCCTGCCTCATTTTGACGGAATGCCTCACATCCCGCTGAAACCTCGAGAGGCACGCGGAGTTCATTGCTTCAAAAGGTGACGATGCCTGACTCCTCTTGAATACTGATAGGAATCCCAAAATCCCTGTGGCTACTGGAAAGGGTCCTTGGGTGCCCTGCCTCACCTCGAGAAGCGTCCCTTTGGCCCTGCCAAGCCTCGAAGAGATTCCTGAGGTGTCCCTCGTTACTAGACAGGAGTCCTGACGTCACTGAAGAAACTCGTGTTTTGAAGGGCCATCCCCGCCGTAAGTCGAGAACATACCCCAGGTCCCCGCCGCAACTCGAGAAAAACCATGAGACTTCCCCCTAGAGGCGAGATGAGGCCCCATTCCCCTGCAGTGCATGCAGAGCTATTCCGTGACCCCATTCAAACAAGTCAGGAGCTTCGACTTGCTTAATGGATCTCGAGACAGTCCCCAAGAACACTGTCACCAGTCTAGACGGACCCTGAGGTCACCCCAGCAACGCAAAGCAGCTCCATGTGCCCCAAATCAACTCGAGATGAGGCCCGATTCCCCTGCATTGACTCCAGAGCCATTCCCCGTTCCCCATTCAACACGACCGGTGGCTCGACTTCCTTCAGGCAACTCCAGAGATGCCCCGAGAACACTGTCCCAAGTCTAGAGGAACACCAACTTCAGCACAGCAACTCGAGGAATGCTCCGTGTACCCCAAATCGTCTCGAGATGCGAGCTGATTCCCTGGCTTAGGCTCAAGACATATGCCAACTTCCCAGAAGCACCTCAGGAGGAGGCTTCTCTCAGCAATAGGTATGTGGGAGGGACCCCGAGTTTGCTGCCTCAAGGGGAATATACAGCGAGAAGCCCTAACTTGAAAGGAGGCCGGATTTCCTTGCAGTGGCTTGAATACAGGCTCGTCTTTCATCTCACAACATGAAGGGATGTCTGAATCCCCTGTGGAGACCTTAGAGAAAGCCCTAGGTCCCTGCCTCATTTTGACGGAATGCCTCACATCCCGCTGACACCTCGAGAGGCACGCGGAGTTCATTGCTTCAAAAGGTGACGATGCCTGACTCCTCTTGAATACTGATAGGAATCCCAAAATCCCTGTGGCTACTGGAAAGGGTCCTTGGGTGCCCTGCCTCACCTCGAGAAGCGTCCCTTTGGCCCTGCCAAGCCTCGAAGAGATTCCTGAGGTGTCCCTCGTTACTAGACAGGAGTCCTGACGTCACTGAAGAAACTCGTGTTTTGAAGGGCCATCCCCGCCGTAAGTCGAGAACATACCCCAGGTCCCAGCCGCAACTCGAGAAAAACCATGAGACTTCCCCCTAGAGGCGAGATGAGGCCCCATTCCCCTGCAGTGCATGCAGAGCTATTCCGTGATCCCATTCAAACAAGTCAGGAGCTTCGACTTGCTTAATGGATCTCGAGACAGTCCCCAAGAACACTGTCACCAGTCTAGACGGACCCTGAGGTCACCCCAGCAACGCAAAGCAGCTCCATGTGCCCCAAATCAACTCGAGATGAGGCCCGATTCCCCTGCATTGACTCCAGAGCCATTCCCCGTTCCCCATTCAACACGACCGGTGGCTCGACTTCCTTCAGGCAACTCCAGAGATGCCCCGAGAACACTGTCCCAAGACTAGAGGAACACCAACTTCAGCACAGCAACTCGAGGAATGCTCCGTGTACCCCAAATCGTCTCGAGATGAGAGCTGATTCCCTTGCTTAGGCTCAAGACGTATGCCAACTTCCCAGAAGCACCTCAGGAGGAGGCTTCTCTCAGCAATAGGTATGTGGGAGGGACCCCGAGTTTGCTGCCTCAAGGGGAATATATAACGAGAAGCCCTAACTTGAAAGGAGGCCGGATTTCCTTGCAGTGGCTTGAATACAGGCTCGTCTTTCATCTCACAACATGAAGGGATGTCTGAATCCCCTGTGGAGACCTTAGAGAAAGCCCTAGGTCCCTGCCTCATTTTGACGGAATGCCTCACATCCCGCTGACACCTCGAGAGGCACGCTGAGTTCATTGCTTCAAAAGGTGACGATGCCTGACTCCTCTTGAATACTGATAGGAATCCCAAAATCCCTGTGGCTACTGGAAAGGGTCCTTGGGTGCCCTGCCTCACCTCGAGAAGCGTCCCTTTGGCCCTGCCAAGCCTCGAAGAGATTCCTGAGGTGTCCCTCGTTACTAGACAGGAGTCCTGACGTCACTGAAGAAACTCGTGTTTTGAAGGGCCATCCCCGCCGTAAGTCGAGAACATACCCCAGGTCCCCGCCGCAACTCGAGAAAAACCATGAGACTTCCCCCTAGAGGCGAGATGAGGCCCCATTCCCCTGCAGTGCATGCAGAGCTATTCCGTGATCCCATTCAAACAAGTCAGGAGCTTCGACTTGCTTAATGGATCTCGAGACAGTCCCCAAGAACACTGTCACCAGTCTAGACGGACCCTGAGGTCACCCCAGCAACGCAAAGCAGCTCCATGTGCCCCAAATCAACTCGAGATGATTCCCGATTCCCCTGCATTGACTCCAGAGCCATTCCCCGTTCCCCATTCAACACGACCGGTGGCTCGACTTCCTTCAGGCAACACCAGAGATGCCCCCAGAACACTGTCCCAAGTCTAGAGGAACACCAACTTCAGCACAGCAACTCGAGGAATGCTCCGTGTACCCCAAATCGTCTCGAGATGAGAGCTGATTCCCTGGCTTAGGCTCAAGACGTATGCCAACTTCCCAGAAGCACCTCAGGAGGGGGCTTCTCTCAGCAATAGGTATGTGGGAGGGACCCCGAGTTTGCTGCCTCAAGGGGAATATACAGCGAGAAGCCCTAACTTGAAAGGAGGCCGGATTTCCTTGCAGTGGCTTGAATACAGGCTCGTCTTTCATCTCACAACATGAAGGGATGTCTGAATCCCCTGTGGAGACCTTAGAGAAAGCCCTAGGTCCCTGCCTCATTTTGACGGAATGCCTCACATCCCGCTGACACCTCGAGAGTCACGCGGAATTCATTGCTTCAAAAGGTGACGATGCCTGACTCCTCTTGAATACTGATAGGAATCCCAAAATCCCTGTGGCTACTGGAAAGGGTCCTTGGGTGCCCTGCCTCACCTCGAGAAGCGTCCCTTTGGCCCTGCCAAGCCTCGAAGAGATTCCTGAGGTGTCCCTCGTTATTAGACAGGAGTCCTGACGTCACTGAAGAAACTCGTGTTTTGAAGGGCCATCCCCGCCGTAAGTCGAGAACATACCCCAGGTCCCAGCCGCAACTCGAGAAAAACCATGAGACTTCCACCTAGAGGCGAGATGAGGCCCCATTCCCCTGCAGTGCATGCAGAGCTATTCCGTGATCCCATTCAAACAAGTCAGGAGCTTCGACTTGCTTAATGGATCTCGAGACAGTCCCCAAGAACACTGTCACCAGTCTAGACGGACCCTGAGGTCACCCCAGCAACGCAAAGCAGCTCCATGTGCCCCAAATCAACTCGAGATGAGGCCCGATTCCCCTGCATTGACTCCAGAGCCATTCCCCGTTCCCCATTCAACACGACCGGTGGCTCGACTTCCTTCAGGCAACTCCAGAGATGCCCCGAGAACACTGTCCCAAGACTAGAGGAACACCAACTTCAGCACAGCAACTCGAGGAATGCTCCGTGTACCCCAAATCGTCTCGAGATGAGAGCTGATTCCCTTGCTTAGGCTCAAGACGTATGCCAACTTCCCAGAAGCACCTCAGGAGGAGGCTTCTCTCAGCAATAGGTATGTGGGAGGGACCCCGAGTTTGCTGCCTCAAGGGGAATATATAGCGAGAAGCCCTAACTTGAAAGGAGGCCGGATTTCCTTGCAGTGGCTTGAATACAGGCTCGTCTTTCATCTCACAACATGAAGGGATGTCTGAATCCCCTGTGGAGACCTTAGAGAAAGCCCTAGGTCCCTGCCTCATTTTGACGGAATGCCTCACATCCCGCTGACACCTCGAGAGGCACGCGGAGTTCATTGCTTCAAAAGGTGACGAGGCCTGACTCCTCTTGAATACTGATAGGAATCCCAAAATCCCTGTGGCTACTGGAAAGGGTCCTTGGGTGCCCTGCCTCACCTCGAGAAGCGTCCCTTTGGCCCTGCCAAGCCTCGAAGAGATTCCTGAGGTGTCCCTCGTTACTAGACAGGAGTCCTGACGTCACTGAAGAAACTCGTGTTTTGAAGGGCCATCCCCGCCGTAAGTCGAGAACATACCCCAGGTCCCCGCCGCAACTCGAGAAAAACCATGAGACTTCCCCCTAGAGGCGAGATGAGGCCCCATTCCCCTGCAGTGCATGCAGAGCTATTCCGTGATCCCATTCAAACAAGTCAGGAGCTTCGACTTGCTTAATGGATCTCGAGACAGTCCCCAAGAACACTGTCACCAGTCTAGACGGACCCTGAGGTCACCCCAGCAACGCAAAGCAGCTCCATGTGCCCCAAATCAACTCGAGATGATTCCCGATTCCCCTGCATTGACTCCAGAGCCATTCCCCGTTCCCCATTCAACACGACCGGTGGCTCGACTTCCTTCAGGCAACTCCAGAGATGCCCCCAGAACACTGTCCCAAGTCTAGAGGAACACCAACTTCAGCACAGCAACTCGAGGAATGCTCCGTGTACCCCAAATCGTCTCGAGATGAGAGCTGATTCCCTGGCTTAGGCTCAAGACGTATGCCAACTTCCCAGAAGCACCTCAGGAGGGGGCTTCTCTCAGCAATAGGTATGTGGGAGGGACCCCGAGTTTGCTGCCTCAAGGGGAATATACAGCGAGAAGCCCTAACTTGAAAGGAGGCCGGATTTCCTTGCAGTGGCTTGAATACAGGCTCGTCTTTCATCTCACAACATGAAGGGATGTCTGAATCCCCTGTGGAGACCTTAGAGAAAGCCCTAGGTCCCTGCCTCATTTTGACGGAATGCCTCACATCCCGCTGACACCTCGAGAGTCACGCGGAATTCATTGCTTCAAAAGGTGACGATGCCTGACTCCTCTTGAATACTGATAGGAATCCCAAAATCCCTGTGGCTACTGGAAAGGGTCCTTGGGTGCCCTGCCTCACCTCGAGAAGCGTCCCTTTGGCCCTGCCAAGCCTCGAAGAGATTCCTGAGGTGTCCCTCGTTATTAGACAGGAGTCCTGATGTCACTGAAGAAACTTGTGTTTTGAAGGGCCATCCCCGCCGTAAGTCGAGAACATACCCCAGGTCCCCGCCGCAACTCGAGAAAAACCATGAGACTTCCCCCTAGAGGCGAGATGAGGCCCCATTCCCCTGCAGTGCATGCAGAGCTATTCCGTGATCCCATTCAAACAAGTCAGGAGCTTCGACTTGCTTAATGGATCTCGAGACAGTCCCCAAGAACACTGTCACCAGTCTAGACGGACCCTGAGGTCACCCCAGCAACGCAAAGCAGCTCCATGTGCCCCAAATCAACTCGAGATGAGGCCCGATTCCCCTGCATTGACTCCAGAGCCATTCCCCGTTCCCCATTCAACACGACCGGTGGCTCGACTTCCTTCAGGAGACTCCAGAGATGCCCTGAGAACACTGTCCCAAGTCTAGAGGAACACCAACTTCAGCACAGCAACTCGAGGAATGCTCCGTGTACCCCAAATCGTCTCGAGATGAGAGCTGATTCCCTGGCTTAGGCTCAAGACGTATGCCAACTTCCCAGAAGCACCTCAGGAGGAGGCTTCTCTCAGCAATAGGTATGTGGGAGGGACCCCGAGTTTGCTGCCTCAAGGGGAATATACAGCGAGAAGCCCTAACTTGAAAGTAGGCCGGATTTCCTTGCAGTGGCTTGAATACAGGCTCGTCTTTCATCTCACAACATGAAGGGATGTCTGAATCCCCTGTGGAGACCTTAGAGAAAGCCCTAGGTCCCTGCCTCATTTTGACGGAATGCCTCACATCCCGCTGACACCTCGAGAGGCACGCGGAGTTCATTGCTTCAAAAGGTGACGATGCCTGACTCCTCTTGAATACTGATAGGAATCCCAAAATCCCTGTGGCTACTGGAAAGGGTCCTTGGGTGCCCTGCCTCACCTCGAGAAGTGTCCCTTTGGCCCTGCCAAGCCTCGAAGAGATTCCTGAGGTGTCCCTCGTTACTAGACAGGAGTCCTGACGTCACTGAAGAAACTCGTGTTTTGAAGGGCCATCCCCGCCGTAAGTCGAGAACATACCCCAGGTCCCCGCCGCAACTCGAGAAAAACCATGAGACTTCCCCCTAGAGGCGAGATGAGGCCCCATTCCCCTGCAGTGCATGCAGAGCTATTCCGTGATCCCATTCAAACAAGTCAGGAGCTTCGACTTGCTTAATGGATCTCGAGACAGTCCCCAAGAACACTGTCACCAGTCTAGACGGACCCTGAGGTCACCCCAGCAACGCAAAGCAGCTCCATGTGCCCCAAATCAACTCGAGATGAGGCCAGATTCCCCTGCATTGACTCCAGAGCCATTCCCCGTTCCCCATTCAACACGACCGGTGGCTCGACTTCCTTCAGGCAACTCCAGAGATGCCCCGAGAACACTGTCCCAAGTCTAGAGGAACACCAACTTCAGCACAGCAACTCGAGGAATGCTCCGTGTACCCCAAATCGTCTCGAGATGCGAGCTGATTCCCTGGCTTAGGCTCAAGACGTATGCCAACTTCCCAGAAGCACCTCAGGAGGAGGCTTCTCACAGCAATAGGTATGTGGGAGGGACCCCGAGTTTGCTGCCTCAAGGGGAATATACAGCGAGAAGCCCTAACTTGAAAGGAGGCCGGATTTCCTTGCAGTGGCTTGAATACAGGCTCGTCTTTCATCTCACAACATGAAGGGATGTCTGAATCCCCTGTGGAGACCTTAGAGAAAGCCCTAGGTCCCTGCCTCATTTTGACGGAATGCCTCACATCCCGCTGACACCTCGAGAGGCATGCGGAGTTCATTGCTTCAAAAGGTGACGATGCCTGACTCCTCTTGAATACTGATAGGAATCCCAAAATCCCTGTGGCTACTGGAAAGGGTCCTTGGGTGCCCTGCCTCACCTCGAGAAGCGTCCCTTTGGCCCTGCCAAGCCTCGAAGAGATTCCTGATGTGTCCCTCGTTACTAGACAGGAGTCCTGACGTCACTGAAGAAACTCGTGTTTTGAAGGGCCATCCCCGCCGTAAGTCGAGAACATACCCCAGGTCCCCGCCGCAACTCGAGAAAAACCATGAGACTTCCCCCTAGAGGCGAGATGAGGCCCCATTCCCCTGTAGTGCATGCAGAGCTATTCCGTGATCCCATTCAAACAAGTCAGGAGCTTCGACTTGCTTAATGGATCTCGAGACAGTCCCCAAGAACACTGTCACCAGTCTAGACGGACCCTGAGGTCACCCCAGCAACGCAAAGCAGCTCCATGTGCCCCAAATCAACTCGAGATGAGGCCCGATTCCCCTGCATTGACTCCAGAGCCATTCCCCGTTCCCCATTCAACACGACCGGTGGCTCGACTTCCTTCAGGCAACTCCAGAGATGCCCCGAGAACACTGTCCCAAGTCTAGAGGAACACCAACTTCAGCACAGCAACTCGAGGAATGCTCCGTGTACCCCAAATCGTCTCGAGATGCGAGCTGATTCCCTGGCTTAGGCTCAAGACGTATGCCAACTTCCCAGAAGCACCTCAGGAGGAGGCTTCTCTCAGCAATAGGTATGTGGGAGGGACCCCGAGTTTGCTGCCTCAAGGGGAATATACAGCGAGAAGCCCTAACTTGAAAGGAGGCCGGATTTCCTTGCAGTGGCTTGAATACAGGCTCGTCTTTCATCTCACAACATGAAGGGATGTCTGAATCCCCTGTGGAGACCTTAGAGAAAGCCCTAGGTCCCTGCCTCATTTTGACGGAATGCCTCACATCCCGCTGACACCTCGAGAGGCACGCGGAGTTCATTGCTTCAAAAGGTGACGATGCCTGACTCCTCTTGAATACTGATAGGAATCCCAAAATCCCTGTGGCTACTGGAAAGGGTCCTTGGGTGCCCTGCCTCACCTCGAGAAGCGTCCCTTTGGCCCTGCCAAGCCTCGAAGAGATTCCTGAGGTGTCCCTCGTTACTAGACAGGAGTCCTGACGTCACTGAAGAAACTCGTGTTTTGAAGGGCCATCCCCGCCGTAAGTCGAGAACATACCCCAGGTCCCCGCCGCAACTCGAGAAAAACCATGAGACTTCCCCCTAGAGGCGAGATGAGGCCCCATTCCCCTGCAGTGCATGCAGAGCTATTCCGTGACCCCATTCAAACAAGTCAGGAGCTTCGACTTGCTTAATGGATCTCGAGACAGTCCCCAAGAACACTGTCACCAGTCTAGACGGACCCTGAGGTCACCCCAGCAACGCAAAGCAGCTCCATGTGCCCCAAATCAACTCGAGATGAGGCCCGATTCCCCTGCATTGACTCCAGAGCCATTCCCCGTTCCCCATTCAACACGACCGGTGGCTCGACTTCCTTCAGGCAACTCCAGAGATGCCCCGAGAACACTGTCCCAAGTCTAGAGGAACACCAACTTCAGCACAGCAACTCGAGGAATGCTCCGTGTACCCCAAATCGTCTCGAGATGCGAGCTGATTCCCTGGCTTAGGCTCAAGACGTATGCCAACTTCCCAGAAGCACCTCAGGAGGGGGCTTCTCTCAGCAATAGGTATGTGGGAGGGACCCCGAGTTTGCTGCCTCAAGGGGAATATACAGCGAGAAGCCCTAACTTGAAAGGAGGCCGGATTTCCTTGCAGTGGCTTGAATACAGGCTCGTCTTTCATCTCACAACATGAAGGGATGTCTGAATCCCCTGTGGAGACCTTAGAGAAAGCCCTAGGTCCCTGCCTCATTTTGACGGAATGCCTCACATCCCGCTGACACCTCGAGAGGCACGCGGAGTTCATTGCTTCAAAAGGTGACGATGCCTGACTCCTCTTGAATACTGATAGGAATCCCAAAATCCCTGTGGCTACTGGAAAGGGTCCTTGGGTGCCCTGCCTCACCTCGAGAAGCGTCCCTTTGGCCCTGCCAAGCCTCGAAGAGATTCCTGAGGTGTCCCTCGTTACTAGACAGGAGTCCTGACGTCACTGAAGAAACTCGTGTTTTGAAGGGCCATCCCCGCCGTAAGTCGAGAACATACCCCAGGTCCCCGCCGCAACTCGAGAAAAACCATGAGACTTCCCCCTAGAGGCGAGATGAGGCCCCATTCCCCTGCAGTGCATGCAGAGCTATTCCGTGATCCCATTCAAACAAGTCAGGAGCTTCGACTTGCTTAATGGATCTCGAGACAGTCCCCAAGAACACTGTCACCAGTCTAGACGGACCCTGAGGTCACCCCAGCAACGCAAAGCAGCTCCATGTGCCCCAAATCAACTCGAGATGAGGCCCGATTCCCCTGCATTGACTCCAGAGCCATTCCCCGTTCCCCATTCAACACGACCGGTGGCTCGACTTCCTTCAGGCAACTCCAGAGATGCCCCGAGAACACTGTCCCAAGTCTAGAGGAACACCAACTTCAGCACAGCAACTCGAGGAATGCTCCGTGTACCCCAAATCGTCTCGAGATGCGAGCTGATTCCCTGGCTTAGGCTCAAGACGTATGCCAACTTCCCAGAAGCACCTCAGGAGGAGGCTTCTCTCAGCAATAGGTATGTGGGAGGGACCCCGAGTTTGCTGCCTCAAGGGGAATATACAGCGAGAAGCCCTAACTTGAAAGGAGGCCGGATTTCCTTGCAGTGGCTTGAATACAGGCTCGTCTTTCATCTCACAACATGAAGGGATGTCTGAATCCCCTGTGGAGACCTTAGAGAAAGCCCTAGGTCCCTGCCTCATTTTGACGGAATGCCTCACATCCCGCTGACACCTCGAGAGGCACGCGGAGTTCATTGCTTCAAAAGGTGACGATGCCTGACTCCTCTTGAATACTGATAGGAATCCCAAAATCCCTGTGGCTACTGGAAAGGGTCCTTGGGTGCCCTGCCTCACCTCGAGAAGCGTCCCTTTGGCCCTGCCAAGCCTCGAAGAGATTCCTGAGGTGTCCCTCGTTACTAGACAGGAGTCCTGACGTCACTGAAGAAACTCGTGTTTTGAAGGGCCATCCCCGCCGTAAGTCGAGAACATACCCCAGGTCCCCGCCGCAACTCGAGAAAAACCATGAGACTTCCCCCTAGAGGCGAGATGAGGCCCCATTCCCCTGCAGTGCATGCAGAGCTATTCCGTGATCCCATTCAAACAAGTCAGGAGCTTCGACTTGCTTAATGGATCTCGAGACAGTCCCCAAGAACACTGTCACCAGTCTAGACGGACCCTGAGGTCACCCCAGCAACGCAAAGCAGCTCCATGTGCCCCAAATCAACTCGAGATGAGGCCCGATTCCCCTGCATTGACTCCAGAGCCATTCCCCGTTCCCCATTCAACACGACCGGTGGCTCGACTTCCTTCAGGCAACTCCAGAGATGCCCCGAGAACACTGTCCCAAGTCTAGAGGAACACCAACTTCAGCACAGCAACTCGAGGAATGCTCCGTGTACCCCAAATCGTCTCGAGATGAGAGCTGATTCCCTGGCTTAGGCTCAAGACGTATGCCAACTTCCCAGAAGCACCTCAGGAGGAGGCTTCTCTCAGCAATAGGTATGTGGCAGGGACCCCGAGTTTGCTGCCTCAAGGGGAATATACAGCGAGAAGCCCTAACTTGAAAGGAGGCCGGATTTCCTTGCAGTGGCTTGAATACAGGCTCGTCTTTCATCTCACAACATGAAGGGATGTCTGAATCCCCTGTGGAGACCTTAGAGAAAGCCCTAGGTCCCTGCCTCATTTTGACGGAATGCCTCACATCCCGCTGACACCTCGAGAGGCACGCGGAGTTCATTGCTTCAAAAGGTGACGATGCCTGACTCCTCTTGAATACTGATAGGAATCCCAAAATCCCTGTGGCTACTGGAAAGGGTCCTTGGGTGCCCTGCCTCACCTCGAGAAGCGTCCCTTTGGCCCTGCCAAGCCTCGAAGAGATTCCTGAGGTGTCCCTCGTTACTAGACAGGAGTCCTGACGTCACTGAAGAAACTCGTGTTTTGAAGGGCCATCCCCGCCGTAAGTCGAGAACATACCCCAGGTCCCCGCCGCAACTCGAGAAAAACCATGAGACTTCCCCCTAGAGGCGAGATGAGGCCCCATTCCCCTGCAGTGCATGCAGAGCTATTCCGTGACCCCATTCAAACAAGTCAGGAGCTTCGACTTGCTTAATGGATCTCGAGACAGTCCCCAAGAACACTGTCACCAGTCTAGACGGACCCTGAGGTCACCCCAGCAACGCAAAGCAGCTCCATGTGCCCCAAATCAACTCGAGATGAGGCCCGATTCCCCTGCATTGACTCCAGAGCCATTCCCCGTTCCCCATTCAACACGACCGGTGGCTCGACTTCCTTCAGGCAACTCCAGAGATGCCCCGAGAACACTGTCCCAAGTCTAGAGGAACACCAACTTTAGCACAGCAACTCGAGGAATGCTCCGTGTACCCCAAATCGTCTCGAGATGCGAGCTGATTCCCTGGCTTAGGCTCAAGACGTATGCCAACTTCCCAGAAGCACCTCAGGAGGGGGCTTCTCTCAGCAATAGGTATGTGGGAGGGACCCCGAGTTTGCTGCCTCAAGGGGAATATACAGCGAGAAGCCCTAACTTGAAAGGAGGCCGGATTTCCTTGCAGTGGCTTGAATACAGGCTCGTCTTTCATCTCACAACATGAAGGGATGTCTGAATCCCCTGTGGAGACCTTAGAGAAAGCCCTAGGTCCCTGCCTCATTTTGACGGAATGCCTCACATCCCGCTGACACCTCGAGAGTCACGCGGAGTTCATTGCTTCAAAAGGTGACGATGCCTGACTCCTCTTGAATACTGATAGGAATCCCAAAATCCCTGTGGCTACTGGAAAGGGTCCTTGGGTGCCCTGCCTCACCTCGAGAAGCGTCCCTTTTGCCCTGCCAAGCCTCGAAGAGATTCCTGAGGTGTCCCTCGTTACTAGACAGGAGTCCTGACGTCACTGAAGAAACTCGTGTTTTGAAGGGCCATCCCCGCCGTAAGTCGAGAACATACCCCAGGTCCCCGCCGCAACTCGAGAAAAACCATGAGACTTCCCCCTAGAGGCGAGATGAGGCCCCATTCCCCTGCAGTGCATGCAGAGCTATTCTGTGATCCCATTCAAACAAGTCAGGAGCTTCGACTTGCTTAATGGATCTCGAGACAGTCCCCAAGAACACTGTCACCAGTCTAGACGGACCCTGAGGTCACCCCAGCAACGCAAAGCAGCTCCATGTGCCCCAAATCAACTCGAGATGAGGCCCGATTCCCCTGCATTGACTCCAGAGCCATTCCCCGTTCCCCATTCAACACGACCGGTGGCTCGACTTCCTTCAGGCAACTCCAGAGATGCCCCGAGAACACTGTCCCAAGTCTAGAGGAACACCAACTTCAGCCCAGCAACTCGAGGAATGCTCCGTGTACCCCAAATCGTCTCGAGATGCGAGCTGATTCCCTGGCTTAGGCTCAAGACGTATGCCAACTTCCCAGAAGCACCTCAGGAGGAGGCTTCTCTCAGCAATAGGTATGTGGGAGGGACCCCGAGTTTGCTGCCTCAAGGGGAATATACAGCGAGAAGCCCTAACTTGAAAGGAGGCCGGATTTAATTGCAGTGGCTTGAATACAGGCTCGTCTTTCATCTCACAACATGAAGGGATGTCTGAATCCCCTGTGGAGACCTTAGAGAAAGCCCTAGGTCCCTGCCTCATTTTGACGGAATGCCTCACATCCCGCTGACACCTCGAGAGGCACGCGGAGTTCATTGCTTCAAAAGGTGACGATGCCTGACTCCTCTTGAATACTGATAGGAATCCCAAAATCCCTGTGGCTACTGGAAAGGGTCCTTGGGTGCCCTGCCTCACCTCGAGAAGCGTCCCTTTGGCCCTGCCAAGCCTCGAAGAGATTCCTGAGGTGTCCCTCGTTACTAGACAGGAGTCCTGACGTCACTGAAGAAACTCGTGTTTTGAAGGGCCATCCCCGCCGTAAGTCGAGAACATACCCCAGGTCCCCGCCGCAACTCGAGAAAAACCATGAGACTTCCCCCTAGAGGCGAGATGAGGCCCCATTCCCCTGCAGTGCATGCAGAGCTATTCCGTGACCCCATTCAAACAAGTCAGGAGCTTCGACTTGCTTAATGGATCTCGAGACAGTCCCCAAGAACACTGTCACCAGTCTAGACGGACCCTGAGGTCACCCCAGCAACGCAAAGCAGCTCCATGTGCCCCAAATCAACTCGAGATGAGGCCCGATTCCCCTGCATTGACTCCAGAGCCATTCCCCGTTCCCCATTCAACACGACCGGTGGCTCGACTTCCTTCAGGCAACTCCAGAGATGCCCCGAGAACACTGTCCCAAGTCTAGAGGAACACCAACTTTAGCACAGCAACTCGAGGAATGCTCCGTGTACCCCAAATCGTCTCGAGATGCGAGCTGATTCCCTGGCTTAGGCTCAAGACGTATGCCAACTTCCCAGAAGCACCTCAGGAGGGGGCTTCTCTCAGCAATAGGTATGTGGGAGGGACCCCGAGTTTGCTGCCTCAAGGGGAATATACAGCGAGAAGCCCTAACTTGAAAGGAGGCCGGATTTCCTTGCAGTGGCTTGAATACAGGCTCGTCTTTCATCTCACAACATGAAGGGATGTCTGAATCCCCTGTGGAGACCTTAGAGAAAGCCCTAGGTCCCTGCCTCATTTTGACGGAATGCCTCACATCCCGCTGACACATCGAGAGGCACACGGAGTTCATTGCTTCAAAAGGTGACGATGCCTGACTCCTCTTGAATACTGATAGGAATCCCAAAATCCCTGTGGCTACTGGAAAGGGTCCTTGGGTGCCCTGCCTCACCTCGAGAAGTGTCCCTTTTGCCCTGCCAAGCCTCGAAGAGATTCCTGAGGTGTCCCTCGTTACTAGACAGGAGTCCTGACGTCACTGAAGAAACTCGTGTTTTGAAGGGCCATCCCCGCCGTAAGTCGAGAACATACCCCAGGTCCCCGCCGCAACTCGAGAAAAACCATGAGACTTCCCCCTAGAGGCGAGATGAGGCCCCATTATCCTGCAGTGCATGCAGAGCTATTCTGTGATCCCATTCAAACAAGTCAGGAGCTTCGACTTGCTTAATGGATCTCGAGACAGTCCCCAAGAACACTGTCACCAGTCTAGACGGACCCTGAGGTCACCCCAGCAACGCAAAGCAGCTCCATGTGCCCCAAATCAACTCGAGATGAGGCCCGATTCCCCTGCATTGACTCCAGAGCCATTCCCCGTTCCCCATTCAACACGACCGGTGGCTCGACTTCCTTCAGGCAACTCCAGAGATGCCCCGAGAACACTGTCCCAAGTCTAGAGGAACACCAACTTCAGCCCAGCAACTCGAGGAATGCTCCGTGTACCCCAAATCGTCTCGAGATGCGAGCTGATTCCCTGGCTTAGGCTCAAGACGTATGCCAACTTCCCAGAAGCACCTCAGGAGGAGGCTTCTCTCAGCAATAGGTATGTGGGAGGGACCCCGAGTTTGCTGCCTCAAGGGGAATATACAGCGAGAAGCCCTAACTTGAAAGGAGGCCGGATTTCCTTGCAGTGGCTTGAATACAGGCTCGTCTTTCATCTCACAACATGAAGGGATGTCTGAATCCCCTGTGGAGACCTTAGAGAAAGCCCTAGGTCCCTGCCTCATTTTGACGGAATGCCTCACATCCCGCTGACACCTCGAGAGGCACGCGGAGTTCATTGCTTCAAAAGGTGACGATGCCTGACTCCTCTTGAATACTGATAGGAATCCCAAAATCCCTGTGGCTACTGGAAAGGGTCCTTGGGTGCCCTGCCTCACCTCGAGAAGCGTCCCTTTGGCCCTGCCAAGCCTCGAAGAGATTCCTGAGGTGTCCCTCGTTACTAGACAGGAGTCCTGACGTCACTGAAGAAACTCGTGTTTTGAAGGGCCATCCCCGCCGTAAGTCGAGAACATACCCCAGGTCCCCGCCGCAACTCGAGAAAAACCATGAGACTTCCCCCTAGAGGCGAGATGAGGCCCCATTCCCCTGCAGTGCATGCAGAGCTATTCCGTGACCCCATTCAAACAAGTCAGGAGCTTCGACTTGCTTAATGGATCTCGAGACAGTCCCCAAGAACACTGTCACCAGTCTAGACGGACCCTGAGGTCACCCCAGCAACGCAAAGCAGCTCCATGTGCCCCAAATCAACTCGAGATGAGGCCCGATTCCCCTGCATTGACTCCAGAGCCATTCCCCGTTCCCCATTCAACACGACCGGTGGCTCGACTTCCTTCAGGCAACTCCAGAGATGCCCCGAGAACACTGTCCCAAGTCTAGAGGAACACCAACTTTAGCACAGCAACTCGAGGAATGCTCCGTGTACCCCAAATCGTCTCGAGATGCGAGCTGATTCCCTGGCTTAGGCTCAAGACGTATGCCAACTTCCCAGAAGCACCTCAGGAGGGGGCTTCTCTCAGCAATAGGTATGTGGGAGGGACCCCGAGTTTGCTGCCTCAAGGGGAATATACAGCGAGAAGCCCTAACTTGAAAGGAGGCCGGATTTCCTTGCAGTTTCTTGAATACAGGCTCGTCTTTCATCTCACAACATGAAGGGATGTCTGAATCCCCTGTGGAGACCTTAGAGAAAGCCCTAGGTCCCTGCCTCATTTTGACGGAATGCCTCACATCCCGCTGACACATCGAGAGGCACGCGGAGTTCATTGCTTCAAAAGGTGACGATGCCTGACTCCTCTTGAATACTGATAGGAATCCCAAAATCCCTGTGGCTACTGGAAATGGTCCTTGGGTGCCCTGCCTCACCTCGAGAAGAGTCCCTTTTGCCCTGCCAAGCCTCGAAGAGATTCCTGAGGTGTCCCTCGTTACTAGACAGGAGTCCTGACGTCACTGAAGAAACTCGTGTTTTGAAGGGCCATCCCCGCCGTAAGTCGAGAACATACCCCAGGTCCCCGCCGCAACTCGAGAAAAACCATGAGACTTCCCCCTAGAGGCGAGATGAGGCCCCATTCCCCTGCAGTGCATGCAGAGCTATTCTGTGATCCCATTCAAACAAGTCAGGAGCTTCGACTTGCTTAATGGATCTCGAGACAGTCCCCAAGAACACTGTCACCAGTCTAGACGGACCCTGAGGTCACCCCAGCAACGCAAAGCAGCTCCATGTGCCCCAAATCAACTCGAGATGAGGCCCGATTCCCCTGCATTGACTCCAGAGCCATTCCCCGTTCCCCATTCAACACGACCGGTGGCTCGACTTCCTTCAGGCAACTCCAGAGATGCCCCGAGAACACTGTCCCAAGTCTAGAGGAACACCAACTTCAGCCCAGCAACTCGAGGAATGCTCCGTGTACCCCAAATCGTCTCGAGATGCGAGCTGATTCCCTGGCTTAGGCTCAAGACGTATGCCAACTTCCCAGAAGCACCTCAGGAGGAGGCTTCTCTCAGCAATAGGTATGTGGGAGGGACCCCGAGTTTGCTGCCTCAAGGGGAATATACAGCGAGAAGCCCTAACTTGAAAGGAGGCCGGATTTCCTTGCAGTGGCTTGAATACAGGCTCGTCTTTCATCTCACAACATGAAGGGATGTCTGAATCCCCTGTGGAGACCTTAGAGAAAGCCCTAGGTCCCTGCCTCATTTTGACGGAATGCCTCACATCCCGCTGACACCTCGAGAGGCACGCGGAGTTCATTGCTTCAAAAGGTGACGATGCCTGACTCCTCTTGAATACTGATAGGAATCCCAAAATCCCTGTGGCTACTGGAAAGGGTCCTTGGGTGCCCTGCCTCACCTCGAGAAGCGTCCCTTTGGCCCTGCCAAGCCTCGAAGAGATTCCTGAGGTGTCCCTCGTTACTAGACAGGAGTCCTGACGTCACTGAAGAAACTCGTGTTTTGAAGGGCCATCCCCGCCGTAAGTCGAGAACATACCCCAGGTCCCCGCCGCAACTCGAGAAAAACCATGAGACTTCCCCCTAGAGGCGAGATGAGGCCCCATTCCCTTGCAGTGCATGCAGAGCTATTCCGTGATCCCATTCAAACAAGTCAGGAGCTTCGACTTGCTTAATGGATCTCGAGACAGTCCCCAAGAACACTGTCACCAGTCTAGACGGACCCTGAGGTCACCCCAGCAACGCAAAGCAGCTCCATGTGCCCCAAATCAACTCGAGATGAGGCCCGATTCCCCTGCATTGACTCCAGAGCCATTCCCCGTTCCCCATTCAACACGACCGGTGGCTCGACTTCCTTCAGGCAACTCCAGAGATGCCCCGAGAACACTGTCCCAAGTCTAGAGGAACACCAACTTCAGTACAGCAACTCGAGGAATGCTCCGTGTACCCCAAATCGTCTCGAGATGCGAGCTGATTCCCTGGCTTAGGCTCAAGACATAGGCCAACTTCCCAGAAGCACCTCAGGAGGAGACTTCTCTCAGCAATAGGTATGTGGGAGGGACCCCGAGTTTGCTGCCTCAAAGGGAATATACAGCGAGAAGCCCTAACTTGAAAGGAGGCCGGATTTCCTTCCAGTGGCTTGAATACAGGCTCGTCTTTCATCTCACAACATGAAGGGATGTCTGAATCCCCTGTGGAGACCTTAGAGAAAGCCCTAGGTCCCTGCCTCATTTTGACGGAATGCCTCACATCCCGCTGACACCTCGAGAGGCACGCGGAGTTCATTGCTTCAAAAGGTGACGATGCCTGACTCCTCTTGAATACTGATAGGAATCCCAAAATCCCTGTGGCAACTGGAAAGGGTCCTTGGGTGCCCTGCCTCACCTCGAGAAGCGTCCCTTTGGCCCTGCCAAGCCTCGAAGAGATTCCTGAGGTGTCCCTCGTTACTAGACAGGAGTCCTGACGTCACTGAAGAAACTCGTGTTTTGAAGGGCCATCCCCGCCGTAAGTCGAGAACATACCCCAGGTCCCCGCCGCAACTCGAGAAAAACCATGAGACTTCCCCCTAGAGGCGAGATGAGGCCCCATTCCCCTGCAGTGCATGCAGAGCTATTCCGTGATCCCATTCAAACAAGTCAGGAGCTTCGACTTGCTTAATGGATCTCGAGACAGTCCCCAAGAACACTGTCACCAGTCTAGACGGACCCTGAGGTCACCCCAGCAACGCAAAGCAGCTCCATGTGCCCCAAATCAACTCGAGATGAGGCCCGATTCCCCTGCATTGACTCCAGAGCCATTCCCCGTTCCCCATTCAACACGACCGGTGGCTCGACTTCCTTCAGGCAACTCCAGAGATGCCCCGAGAACACTGTCCCAAGTCTAGAGGAACACCAACTTCAGCACAGCAACTCGAGGAATGCTCCGTGTACCCCAAATCGTCTCGAGATGCGAGCTGATTCCCTGGCTTAGGCTCAAGACGTATGCCAACTTCCCAGAAGCACCTCAGGAGGAGGCTTCTCTCAGCAATAGGTATGTGGGAGGGACCCCGAGTTTGCTGCCTCAAGGGGAATATACAGCGAGAAGCCCTAACGTGAAAGGAGGCCGGATTTCCTTGCAGTGGCTTGAATACAGGCTCGTCTTTCATCTCACAACATGAAGGGATGTCTGAATCCCCTGTGGAGACCTTAGAGAAAGCGCTAGGTCCCTGCCTCATTTTGACGGAATGCCTCACATCCCGCTGACACCTCGAGAGGCACGCGGAGTTCATTGCTTCAAAAGGTGACGATGCCTGACTCCTCTTGAATACTGATAGGAATCCCAAAATCCCTGTGGCTACTGGAAAGGGTCCTTGGGTGCCCTGCCTCACCTCGAGAAGCGTCCCTTTGGCCCTGCCAAGCCTCGAAGAGATTCCTGAGGTGTCCCTCGTTACTAGACAGGAGTCCTGACGTCACTGAAGAAACTCGTGTTTTGAAGGGCCATCCCCGCCGTAAGTCGAGAACATACCCCAGGTCCCCGCCGCAACTCGAGAAAAACCATGAGACTTCCCCCTAGAGGCGAGATGAGGCCCCATTCCCCTGCAGTGCATGCAGAGCTATTCCGTGATCCCATTCAAACAAGTCAGGAGCTTCGACTTGCTTAATGGATCTCGAGACAGTCCCCAAGAACACTGTCACCAGTCTAGACGGACCCTGAGGTCACCCCAGCAACGCAAAGCAGGTCCATGTGCCCCAAATCAACTCGAGATGAGGCCCGATTCCCCTGCATTGACTCCAGAGCCATTTCCCGTTCCCCATTCAACACGACCGGTGGCTCGACTTCCTTCAGGCAACTCCAGAGATGCCCCGAGAACACTGTCCCAATTCTAGAGGAACACCAACTTCAGCACAGCAACTCGAGGAATGCGCCGTGTACCCCAAATCGTCTCGAGATGAGAGCTGATTCCCTGGCTTAGGCTCAAGACGTATGCCAACTTCCCAGAAGCACCTCAGGAGGAGGCTTCTCTCAGCAATAGGTATGTGGCAGGGACCCCGAGTTTGCTGCCTCAAGGGGAATATACAGCGAGAAGCCCTAACTTGAAAGGAGGCCGGATTTCCTTGCAGTGGCTTGAATACAGGCTCGTCTTTCATCTCACAACATGAAGGGATGTCTGAATCCCCTGTGGAGACCTTAGAGAAAGCCCTAGGTCCCTGCCTCATTTTGACGGAATGCCTCACATCCCGCTGACACCTCGAGAGGCACGCGGAGTTCATTGCTTCAAAAGGTGACGATGCCTGACTCCTCTTGAATACTGATAGGAATCCCAAAATCCCTGTGGCTACTGGAAAGGGTCCTTGGGTGCCCTGCCTCACCTCGAGAAGCGTCCCTTTGGCCCTGCCAAGCCTCGAAGAGATTCCTGAGGTGTCCCTCGTTACTAGACAGGAGTCCTGACGTCACTGAAGAAACTCGTGTTTTGAAGGGCCATCCCCGCCGTAAGTCGAGAACATACCCCAGGTCCCCGCCGCAACTCGAGAAAAACCATGAGACTTCCCCCTAGAGGCGAGATGAGGCCCCATTCCCCTGCAGTGCATGCAGAGCTATTCCGTGACCCCATTCAAACAAGTCAGGAGCTTCGACTTGCTTAATGGATCTCGAGACAGTCCCCAAGAACACTGTCACCAGTCTAGACGGACCCTGAGGTCACCCCAGCAACGCAAAGCAGCTCCATGTGCCCCAAATCAACTCGAGATGAGGCCCGATTCCCCTGCATTGACTCCAGAGCCATTCCCCGTTCCCCATTCAACACGACCGGTGGCTCGACTTCCTTCAGGCAACTCCAGAGATGCCCCGAGAACACTGTCCCAAGTCTAGAGGAACACCAACTTCAGCACAGCAACTCGAGGAATGCTCCGTGTACCCCAAATCGTCTCGAGATGCGAGCTGATTCCCTGGCTTAGGCTCAAGACGTATGCCAACTTCCCAGAAGCACCTCAGGAGGAGGCTTCTCTCAGCAATAGGTATGTGGGAGGGACCCCGAGTTTGCTGCCTCAAGGGGAATATACAGCGAGAAGCCCTAACTTGAAAGGAGGCCGGATTTCCTTGCAGTGGCTTGAATACAGGCTCGTCTTTCATCTCACAACATGAAGGGATGTCTGAATCCCCTGTGGAGACCTTAGAGAAAGCCCTAGGTCCCTGCCTCATTTTGACGGAATGCCTCACATCCCGCTGACACCTCGAGAGGCACGCGGAGTTCATTGCTTCAAAAGGTGACGATGCCTGACTCCTCTTGAATACTGATAGGAATCCCAAAATCCCTGTGGCTACTGGAAAGGGTCCTTGGGTGCCCTGCCTCACCTCGAGAAGCGTCCCTTTGGCCCTGCCAAGCCTCGAAGAGATTCCTGAGGTGTCCCTCGTTACTAGACAGGAGTCCTGACGTCACTGAAGAAACTCGTGTTTTGAAGGGCCATCCCCGCCGTAAGTCGAGAACATACCCCAGGTCCCCGCCGCAACTCGAGAAAAACCATGAGACTTCCCCCTAGAGGCGAGATGAGGCCCCATTCCCCTGCAGTGCATGCAGAGCTATTCCGTGATCCCATTCAAACAAGTCAGGAGCTTCGACTTGCTTAATGGATCTCGAGACAGTCCCCAAGAACACTGTCACCAGTCTAGACGGACCCTGAGGTCACCCCAGCAACGCAAAGCAGCTCCATGTGCCCCAAATCAACTCGAGATGAGGCCCGATTCCCCTGCATTGACTCCAGAGCCATTCCCCGTTCCCCATTCAACACGACCGGTGGCTCGACTTCCTTCAGGCAACTCCAGAGATGCCCCGAGAACACTGTCCCAAGTCTAGAGGAACACCAACTTTAGCACAGCAACTCGAGGAATGCTCCGTGTACCCCAAATCGTCTCGAGATGCGAGCTGATTCCCTGGCTTAGGCTCAAGACGTATGCCAACTTCCCAGAAGCACCTCAGGAGGGGGCTTCTCTCAGCAATAGGTATGTGGGAGGGACCCCGAGTTTGCTGCCTCAAGGGGAATATACAGCGAGAAGCCCTAACTTGAAAGGAGGCCGGATTTCCTTGCAGTGGCTTGAATACAGGCTCGTCTTTCATCTCACAACATGAAGGGATGTCTGAATCCCCTGTGGAGACCTTAGAGAAAGCCCTAGGTCCCTGCCTCATTTTGACGGAATGCCTCACATCCCGCTGACACCTCGAGAGTCACGCGGAGTTCATTGCTTCAAAAGGTGACGATGCCTGACTCCTCTTGAATACTGATAGGAATCCCAAAATCCCTGTGGCTACTGGAAAGGGTCCTTGGGTGCCCTGCCTCACCTCGAGAAGCGTCCCTTTTGCCCTGCCAAGCCTCGAAGAGATTCCTGAGGTGTCCCTCGTTACTAGACAGGAGTCCTGACGTCACTGAAGAAACTCGTGTTTTGAAGGGCCATCCCCGCCGTAAGTCGAGAACATACCCCAGGTCCCCGCCGCAACTCGAGAAAAACCATGAGACTTCCCCCTAGAGGCGAGATGAGGCCCCATTCCCCTGCAGTGCATGCAGAGCTATTCCGTGATCCCATTCAAACAAGTCAGGAGCTTCGACTTGCTTAATGGATCTCGAGACAGTCCCCAAGAACACTGTCACCAGTCTAGACGGACCCTGAGGTCACCCCAGCAACGCAAAGCAGGTCCATGTGCCCCAAATCAACTCGAGATGAGGCCCGATTCCCCTGCATTGACTCCAGAGCCATTTCCCGTTCCCCATTCAACACGACCGGTGGCTCGACTTCCTTCAGGCAACTCCAGAGATGCCCCGAGAACACTGTCCCAATTCTAGAGGAACACCAACTTCAGCACAGCAACTCGAGGAATGCTCCGTGTACCCCAAATCGTCTCGAGATGAGAGCTGATTCCCTGGCTTAGGCTCAAGACGTATGCCAACTTCCCAGAAGCACCTCAGGAGGAGGCTTCTCTCAGCAATAGGTATGTGGGAGGGACCCCGAGTTTGCTGCCTCAAGGGGAATATACAGCGAGAAGCCCTAACTTGAAAGGAGGCCGGATTTCCTTGCAGTGGCTTGAATACAGGCTCGTCTTTCATCTCACAACATGAAGGGATGTCTGAATCCCCTGTGGAGACCTTAGAGAAAGCCCTAGGTCCCTGCCTCATTTTGACGGAATGCCTCACATCCCGCTGACACCTCGAGAGGCACGCGGAGTTCATTGCTTCAAAAGGTGACGATGCCTGACTCCTCTTGAATACTGATAGGAATCCCAAAATCCCTGTGGCTACTGGAAAGGGTCCTTGGGTGCCCTGCCTCACCTCGAGAAGCGTCCCTTTGGCCCTGCCAAGCCTCGAAGAGATTCCTGAGGTGTCCCTCGTTACTAGACAGGAGTCCTGACGTCACTGAAGAAACTCGTGTTTTGAAGGGCCATCCCCGCCGTAAGTCGAGAACATACCCCAGGTCCCCGCCGCAACTCGAGAAAAACCATGAGACTTCCCCCTAGAGGCGAGATGAGGCCCCATTCCCCTGCAGTGCATGCAGAGCTATTCCGTGACCCCATTCAAACAAGTCAGGAGCTTCGACTTGCTTAATGGATCTCGAGACAGTCCCCAAGAACACTGTCACCAGTCTAGACGGACCCTGAGGTCACCCCAGCAACGCAAAGCAGCTCCATGTGCCCCAAATCAACTCGAGATGAGGCCCGATTCCCCTGCATTGACTCCAGAGCCATTCCCCGTTCCCCATTCAACACGACCGGTGGCTCGACTTCCTTCAGGCAACTCCAGAGATGCCCCGAGAACACTGTCCCAAGTCTAGAGGAACACCAACTTCAGCACAGCAACTCGAGGAATGCTCCGTGTACCCCAAATCGTCTCGAGATGCGAGCTGATTCCCTGGCTTAGGCTCAAGACGTATGCCAACTTCCCAGAAGCACCTCAGGAGGAGGCTTCTCTCAGCAATAGGTATGTGGGAGGGACCCCGAGTTTGCTGCCTCAAGGGGAATATACAGCGAGAAGCCCTAACTTGAAAGGAGGCCGGATTTCCTTGCAGTGGCTTGAATACAGGCTCGTCTTTCATCTCACAACATGAAGGGATGTCTGAATCCCCTGTGGAGACCTTAGAGAAAGCCCTAGGTCCCTGCCTCATTTTGACGGAATGCCTCACATCCCGCTGACACCTCGAGAGGCACGCGGAGTTCATTGCTTCAAAAGGTGACGATGCCTGACTCCTCTTGAATACTGATAGGAATCCCAAAATCCCTGTGGCTACTGGAAAGGGTCCTTGGGTGCCCTGCCTCACCTCGAGAAGCGTCCCTTTGGCCCTGCCAAGCCTCGAAGAGATTCCTGAGGTGTCCCTCGTTACTAGACAGGAGTCCTGACGTCACTGAAGAAACTCGTGTTTTGAAGGGCCATCCCCGCCGTAAGTCGAGAACATACCCCAGGTCCCCGCCGCAACTCGAGAAAAACCATGAGACTTCCCCCTAGAGGCGAGATGAGGCCCCATTCCCCTGCAGTGCATGCAGAGCTATTCCGTGATCCCATTCAAACAAGTCAGGAGCTTCGACTTGCTTAATGGATCTCGAGACAGTCCCCAAGAACACTGTCACCAGTCTAGACGGACCCTGAGGTCACCCCAGCAACGCAAAGCAGCTCCATGTGCCCCAAATCAACTCGAGATGAGGCCCGATTCCCCTGCATTGACTCCAGAGCCATTCCCCGTTCCCCATTCAACACGACCGGTGGCTCGACTTCCTTCAGGCAACTCCAGAGATGCCCCGAGAACACTGTCCCAAGTCTAGAGGAACACCAACTTCAGCACAGCAACTCGAGGAATGCTCCGTGTACCCCAAATCGTCTCGAGATGAGAGCTGATTCCCTGGCTTAGGCTCAAGACGTATGCCAACTTCCCAGAAGCACCTCAGGAGGAGGCTTCTCTCAGCAATAGGTATGTGGCAGGGACCCCGAGTTTGCTGCCTCAAGGGGAATATACAGCGAGAAGCCCTAACTTGAAAGGAGGCCGGATTTCCTTGCAGTGGCTTGAATACAGGCTCGTCTTTCATCTCACAACATGAAGGGATGTCTGAATCCCCTGTGGAGACCTTAGAGAAAGCCCTAGGTCCCTGCCTCATTTTGACGGAATGCCTCACATCCCGCTGACACCTCGAGAGGCACGCGGAGTTCATTGCTTCAAAAGGTGACGATGCCTGACTCCTCTTGAATACTGATAGGAATCCCAAAATCCCTGTGGCTACTGGAAAGGGTCCTTGGGTGCCCTGCCTCACCTCGAGAAGCATCCCTTTGGCCCTGCCAAGCCTCGAAGAGATTCCTGAGGTGTCCCTCGTTACTAGACAGGAGTCCTGACGTCACTGAAGAAACTCGTGTTTTGAAGGGCCATCCCCGCCGTAAGTCGAGAACATACCCCAGGTCCCCGCCGCAACTCGAGAAAAACCATGAGACTTCCCCCTAGAGGCGAGATGAGGCCCCATTCCCCTGCAGTGCATGCAGAGCTATTCCGTGACCCCATTCAAACAAGTCAGGAGCTTCGACTTGCTTAATGGATCTCGAGACAGTCCCCAAGAACACTGTCACCAGTCTAGACGGACCCTGAGGTCACCCCAGCAACGCAAAGCAGCTCCATGTGCCCCAAATCAACTCGAGATGAGGCCCGATTCCCCTGCATTGACTCCAGAGCCATTCCCCGTTCCCCATTCAACACGACCGGTGGCTCGACTTCCTTCAGGCAACTCCAGAGATGCCCCGAGAACACTGTCCCAAGTCTAGAGGAACACCAACTTTAGCACAGCAACTCGAGGAATGCTCCGTGTACCCCAAATCGTCTCGAGATGCGAGCTGATTCCCTGGCTTAGGCTCAAGACGTATGCCAACTTCCCAGAAGCACCTCAGGAGGGGGCTTCTCTCAGCAATAGGTATGTGGGAGGGACCCCGAGTTTGCTGCCTCAAGGGGAATATACAGCGAGAAGCCCTAACTTGAGAGGAGGCCGGATTTCCTTGCAGTGGCTTGAATACAGGCTCGTCTTTCATCTCACAACATGAAGGGATGTCTGAATCCCCTGTGGAGACCTTAGAGAAAGCCCTAGGTCCCTGCCTCATTTTGACGGAATGCCTCACATCCCGCTGACACCTCGAGAGTCACGCGGAGTTCATTGCTTCAAAAGGTGACGATGCCTGACTCCTCTTGAATACTGATAGGAATCCCAAAATCCCTGTGGCTACTGGAAAGGGTCCTTGGGTGCCCTGCCTCACCTCGAGAAGCGTCCCTTTTGCCCTGCCAAGCCTCGAAGAGATTCCTGAGGTGTCCCTCGTTACTAGACAGGAGTCCTGACGTCACTGAAGAAACTCGTGTTTTGAAGGGCCATCCCCGCCGTAAGTCGAGAACATACCCCAGGTCCCCGCCGCAACTCGAGAAAAACCATGAGACTTCCCCCTAGAGGCGAGATGAGGCCCCATTCCCCTGCAGTGCATGCAGAGCTATTCTGTGATCCCATTCAAACAAGTCAGGAGCTTCGACTTGCTTAATGGATCTCGAGACAGTCCCCAAGAACACTGTCACCAGTCTAGACGGACCCTGAGGTCACCCCAGCAACGCAAAGCAGGTCCATGTGCCCCAAATCAACTCGAGATGAGGCCCGATTCCCCTGCATTGACTCCAGAGCCATTCCCCGTTCCCCATTCAACACGACCGGTGGCTCGACTTCCTTCAGGCAACTCCAGAGATGCCCCGAGAACACTGTCCCAAGTCTAGAGGAACACCAACTTCAGCCCAGCAACTCGAGGAATGCTCCGTGTACCCCAAATCGTCTCGAGATGCGAGCTGATTCCCTGGCTTAGGCTCAAGACGTATGCCAACTTCCCAGAAGCACCTCAGGAGGAGGCTTCTCTCAGCAATAGGTATGTGGGAGGGACCCCGAGTTTGCTGCCTCAAGGGGAATATACAGCGAGAAGCCCTAACTTGAAAGGAGGCCGGATTTAATTGCAGTGGCTTGAATACAGGCTCGTCTTTCATCTCACAACATGAAGGGATGTCTGAATCCCCTGTGGAGACCTTAGAGAAAGCCCTAGGTCCCTGCCTCATTTTGACGGAATGCCTCACATCCCGCTGACACCTCGAGAGGCACGCAGAGTTCATTGCTTCAAAAGGTGACGATGCCTGACTCCTCTTGAATACTGATAGGAATCCCAAAATCCCTGTGGCTACTGGAAAGGGTCCTTGGGTGCCCTGCCTCACCTCGAGAAGCGTCCCTTTGGCCCTGCCAAGCCTCGAAGAGATTCCTGAGGTGTCCCTCGTTACTAGACAGGAGTCCTGACGTCACTGAAGAAACTCGTGTTTTGAAGGGCCATCCCCGCCGTAAGTCGAGAACATACCCCAGGTCCCCGCCGCAACTCGAGAAAAACCATGAGACTTCCCCCTAGAGGCGAGATGAGGCCCCATTCCCCTGCAGTGCATGCAGAGCTATTCCGTGACCCCATTCAAACAAGTCAGGAGCTTCGACTTGCTTAATGGATCTCGAGACAGTCCCCAAGAACACTGTCACCAGTCTAGACGGACCCTGAGGTCACCCCAGCAACGCAAAGCAGCTCCATGTGCCCCAAATCAACTCGAGATGAGGCCCGATTCCCCTGCATTGACTCCAGAGCCATTCCCCGTTCCCCATTCAACACGACCGGTGGCTCGACTTCCTTCAGGCAACTCCAGAGATGCCCCGAGAACACTGTCCCAAGTCTAGAGGAACACCAACTTTAGCACAGCAACTCGAGGAATGCTCCGTGTACCCCAAATCGTCTCGAGATGCGAGCTGATTCCCTGGCTTAGGCTCAAGACGTATGCCAACTTCCCAGAAGCACCTCAGGAGGGGGCTTCTCTCAGCAATAGGTATGTGGGAGGGACCCCGAGTTTGCTGCCTCAAGGGGAATATACAGCGAGAAGCCCTAACTTGAAAGGAGGCCGGATTTCCTTGCAGTGGCTTGAATACAGGCTCGTCTTTCATCTCACAACATGAAGGGATGTCTGAATCCCCTGTGGAGACCTTAGAGAAAGCCCTAGGTCCCTGCCTCATTTTGACGGAATGCCTCACATCCCGCTGACACATCGAGAGGCACGCGGAGTTCATTGCTTCAAAAGGTGACGATGCCTGACTCCTCTTGAATACTGATAGGAATCCCAAAATCCCTGTGGCTACTGGAAAGGGTCCTTGGGTGCCCTGCCTCACCTCGAGAAGAGTCCCTTTTGCCCTGCCAAGCCTCGAAGAGATTCCTGAGGTGTCCCTCGTTACTAGACAGGAGTCCTGACGTCACTGAAGAAACTCGTGTTTTGAAGGGCCATCCCCGCCGTAAGTCGAGAACATACCCCAGGTCCCCGCCGCAACTCGAGAAAAACCATGAGACTTCCCCCTAGAGGCGAGATGAGGCCCCATTCCCCTGCAGTGCATGCAGAGCTATTCTGTGATCCCATTCAAACAAGTCAGGAGCTTCGACTTGCTTAATGGATCTCGAGACAGTCCCCAAGAACACTGTCACCAGTCTAGACGGACCCTGAGGTCACCCCAGCAACGCAAAGCAGCTCCATGTGCCCCAAATCAACTCGAGATGAGGCCCGATTCCCGTGCATTGACTCCAGAGCCATTCCCCGTTCCCCATTCAACACGACCGGTGGCTCGACTTCCTTCAGGCAACTCCAGAGATGCCCCGAGAACACTGTCCCAAGTCTAGAGGAACACCAACTTCAGCCCAGCAACTCGAGGAATGCTCCGTGTACCCCAAATCGTCTCGAGATGCGAGCTGATTCCCTGGCTTAGGCTCAAGACGTATGCCAACTTCCCAGAAGCACCTCAGGAGGAGGCTTCTCTCAGCAATAGGTATGTGGGAGGGACCCCGAGTTTGCTGCCTCAAGGGGAATATACAGCGAGAAGCCCTAACTTGAAAGGAGGCCGGATTTCCTTGCAGTGGCTTGAATACAGGCTCGTCTTTCATCTCACAACATGAAGGGATGTCTGAATCCCCTGTGGAGACCTTAGAGAAAGCCCTAGGTCCCTGCCTCATTTTGACGGAATGCCTCACATCCCGCTGACACCTCGAGAGGCACGCGGAGTTCATTGCTTCAAAAGGTGACGATGCCTGACTCCTCTTGAATACTGATAGGAATCCCAAAATCCCTGTGGCTACTGGAAAGGGTCCTTGGGTGCCCTGCCTCACCTCGAGAAGCGTCCCTTTGGCCCTGCCAAGCCTCGAAGAGATTCCTGAGGTGTCCCTCGTTACTAGACAGGAGTCCTGACGTCACTGAAGAAACTCGTGTTTTGAAGGGCCATCCCCGCCGTAAGTCGAGAACATACCTCAGGTCCCCGCCGCAACTCGAGAAAAACCATGAGACTTCCCCCTAGAGGCGAGATGAGGCCCCATTCCCCTGCAGTGCATGCAGAGCTATTCCGTGACCCCATTCAAACAAGTCAGGAGCTTCGACTTGCTTAATGGATCTCGAGACAGTCCCCAAGAACACTGTCACCAGTCTAGACGGACCCTGAGGTCACCCCAGCAACGCAAAGAGGCTCCATGTGCCCCAAATCAACTCGAGATGAGGCCCGATTCCCCTGCACTGACTCCAGAGCCATTCCCCGTTCCCCATTCAACACGACCGGTGGCTCGACTTCCTTCAGGCAACTCCAGAGATGCCCCGAGAACACTGTCCCAAGTCTAGAGGAACACCAACTTCAGCACAGCAACTCGAGGAATGCTCCGTGTACCCCAAATCGTCTCGAGATGCGAGCTGATTCCCTGGCTTAGGCTCAAGACGTATGCCAACTTCCCAGAAGCACCTCAGGAGGAGGCTTCTCTCAGCAATAGGTATGTGGGAGGGACCCCGAGTTTGCTGCCTCAAGGGGAATATACAGCGAGAAGCCCTAACTAGAAAGGAGGCCGGATTTCCTTGCAGTGGCTTGAATACAGGCTCGTCTTTCATCTCACAACATGAAGGGATGTCTGAATCCCCTGTGGAGGCCTTAGAGAAAGCCCTAGGTCCCTGCCTCATTTTGATGGAATGCCTCACATCCCGCTGACACCTCGAGAGGCACGCGGAGTTCATTGCTTCAAAAGGTGACGATGCCTGACTCCTCTTGAATACTGATAGGAATCCCAAAATCCCTGTGGCTACTGGAAAGGGTCCTTGGGTGCCCTGCCTCACCTCGAGAAGCGTCCCTTTGGCCCTGCCAAGCCTCGAAGAGATTCCTGAGGTGTCCCTCGTTACTAGACAGGAGTCCTGACGTCACTGAAGAAACTCGTGTTTTGAAGGGCCATCCCCGCCGTAAGTCGAGAACATACCCCAGGTCCCCGCCGCAACTCGAGAAAAACCATGAGACTTCCCCCTAGAGGCGAGATGAGGCCCCATTCCCTTGCAGTGCATGCAGAGCTATTCCGTGATCCCATTCAAACAAGTCAGGAGCTTCGACTTGCTTAATGGATCTCGAGACAGTCCCCAAGAACACTGTCACCAGTCTAGACGGACCCTGAGGTCACCCCAGCAACGCAAAGCAGCTCCATGTGCCCCAAATCAACTCGAGATGAGGCCCGATTCCCCTGCATTGACTCCAGAGCCATTCCCCGTTCCCCATTCAACACGACCGGTGGCTCGACTTCCTTCAGGCAACTCCAGAGATGCCCCGAGAACACTGTCCCAAGTCTAGAGGAACACCAACTTCAGCACAGCAACTCGAGGAATGCTCCGTGTACCCCAAATCGTCTCGAGATGCGAGCTGATTCCCTGGCTTAGGCTCAAGACATAGGCCAACTTCCCAGAAGCACCTCAGGAGGAGACTTCTCTCAGCAATAGGTATGTGGGAGGGACCCCGAGTTTGCTGCCTCAAAGGGAATATACAGCGAGAAGCCCTAACTTGAAAGGAGGCCGGATTTCCTTCCAGTGGCTTGAATACAGGCTCGTCTTTCATCTCACAACATGAAGGGATGTCTGAATCCCCTGTGGAGACCTTAGAGAAAGCCCTAGGTCCCTGCCTCATTTTGAGGGAATGCCTCACATCCCGCTGACACCTCGAGAGGCACGCGGAGTTCATTGCTTCAAAAGGTGACGATGCCTGACTCCTCTTGAATACTGATAGGAATCCCAAAATCCCTGTGGCTACTGGAAAGGGTCCTTGGGTGCCCTGCCTCACCTCGAGAAGCGTCCCTTTGGCCCTGCCAAGCCTCGAAGAGATTCCTGAGGTGTCCCTCGTTACTAGACAGGAGTCCTGACGTCACTGAAGAAACTCGTGTTTTGAAGGGCCATCCCCGCCGTAAGTCGAGAACATACCCCAGGTCCCCGCCGCAACTCGAGAAAAACCATGAGACTTCCCCCTAGAGGCGAGATGAGGCCCCATTCCCCTGCAGTGCATGCAGAGCTATTCCGTGATCCCATTCAAACAAGTCAGGAGCTTCGACTTGCTTAATGGATCTCGAGACAGTCCCCAAGAACACTGTCACCAGTCTAGACGGACCCTGAGGTCACCCCAGCAACGCAAAGCAGCTCCATGTGCCCCAAATCAACTCGAGATGAGGCCCGATTCCCCTGCATTGACTCCAGAGCCATTCCCCGTTCCCCATTCAACACGACCGGTGGCTCGACTTCCTTCAGGCAACTCCAGAGATGCCCCGAGAACACTGTCCCAAGTCTAGAGGAACACCAACTTCAGCACAGCAACTCGAGGAATGCTCCGTGTACCCCAAATCGTCTCGAGATGCGAGCTGATTCCCTGGCTTAGGCTCAAGACGTATGCCAACTTCCCAGAAGCACCTCAGGAGGAGGCTTCTCTCAGCAATAGGTATGTGGGAGGGACCCCGAGTTTGCTGCCTCAAGGGGAATATACAGCGAGAAGCCCTAACGTGAAAGGAGGCCGGATTTCCTTGCAGTGGCTTGAATACAGGCTCGTCTTTCATCTCACAACATGAAGGGATGTCTGAATCCCCTGTGGAGACCTTAGAGAAAGCCCTAGGTCCCTGCCTCATTTTGACGGAATGCCTCACATCCCGCTGACACCTCGAGAGGCACGCGGAGTTCATTGCTTCAAAAGGTGACGATGCCTGACTCCTCTTGAATACTGATAGGAATCCCAAAATCCCTGTGGCTACTGGAAAGGGTCCTTGGGTGCCCTGCCTCACCTCGAGAAGCGTCCCTTTGGCCCTGCCAAGCCTCGAAGAGATTCCTGAGGTGTCCCTCGTTACTAGACAGGAGTCCTGACGTCACTGAAGAAACTCGTGTTTTGAAGGGCCATCCCCGCCGTAAGTCGAGAACATACCCCAGGTCCCCGCCGCAACTCGAGAAAAACCATGAGACTTCCCCCTAGAGGCGAGATGAGGCCCCATTCCCCTGCAGTGCATGCAGAGCTATTCCGTGACCCCATTCAAACAAGTCAGGAGCTTCGACTTGCTTAATGGATCTCGAGACAGTCCCCAAGAACACTGTCACCAGTCTAGACGGACCCTGAGGTCACCCCAGCAACGCAAAGCAGCTCCATGTGCCCCAAATCAACTCGAGATGAGGCCCGATTCCCCTGCATTGACTCCAGAGCCATTCCCCGTTCCCCATTCAACACGACCGGTGGCTCGACTTCCTTCAGGCAACTCCAGAGATGCCCCGAGAACACTGTCCCAAGTCTAGAGGAACACCAACTTCAGCCCAGCAACTCGAGGAATGCTCCGTGTACCCCAAATCGTCTCGAGATGCGAGCTGATTCCCTGGCTTAGGCTCAAGACGTATGCCAACTTCCCAGAAGCACCTCAGGAGGAGGCTTCTCTCAGCAATAGGTATGTGGGAGGGACCCCGAGTTTGCTGCCTCAAGGGGAATATACAGCGAGAAGCCCTAACTTGAAAGGAGGCCGGATTTAATTGCAGTGGCTTGAATACAGGCTCGTCTTTCATCTCACAACATGAAGGGATGTCTGAATCCCCTGTGGAGACCTTAGAGAAAGCCCTAGGTCCCTGCCTCATTTTGACGGAATGCCTCACATCCCGCTGACACCTCGAGAGGCACGCGGAGTTCATTGCTTCAAAAGGTGACGATGCCTGACTCCTCTTGAATACTGATAGGAATCCCAAAATCCCTGTGGCTACTGGAAAGGGTCCTTGGGTGCCCTGCCTCACCTCGAGAAGCGTCCCTTTGGCCCTGCCAAGCCTCGAAGAGATTCCTGAGGTGTCCCTCGTTACTAGACAGGAGTCCTGACGTCACTGAAGAAACTCGTGTTTTGAAGGGCCATCCCCGCCGTAAGTCGAGAACATACCCCAGGTCCCCGCCGCAACTCGAGAAAAACCATGAGACTTCCCCCTAGAGGCGAGATGAGGCCCCATTCCCCTGCAGTGCATGCAGAGCTATTCCGTGACCCCATTCAAAGAAGTCAGGAGCTTCGACTTGCTTAATGGATCTCGAGACAGTCCCCAAGAACACTGTCACCAGTCTAGACGGACCCTGAGGTCACCCCAGCAACGCAAAGCAGCTCCATGTGCCCCAAATCAACTCGAGATGAGGCCCGATTCCCCTGCATTGACTCCAGAGCCATTCCCCGTTCCCCATTCAACACGACCGGTGGCTCGACTTCCTTCAGGCAACTCCAGAGATGCCCCGAGAACACTGTCCCAAGTCTAGAGGAACACCAACTTTAGCACAGCAACTCGAGGAATGCTCCGTGTACCCCAAATCGTCTCGAGATGCGAGCTGATTCCCTGGCTTAGGCTCAAGACGTATGCCAACTTCCCAGAAGCACCTCAGGAGGGGGCTTCTCTCAGCAATAGGTATGTGGGAGGGACCCCGAGTTTGCTGCCTCAAGGGGAATATACAGCGAGAAGCCCTAACTTGAAAGGAGGCCGGATTTCCTTGCAGTGGCTTGAATACAGGCTCGTCTTTCATCTCACAACATGAAGGGATGTCTGAATCCCCTGTGGAGACCTTAGAGAAAGCCCTAGGTCCCTGCCTCATTTTGACGGAATGCCTCACATCCCGCTGACACATCGAGAGGCACGCGGAGTTCATTGCTTCAAAAGGTGACGATGCCTGACTCCTCTTGAATACTGATAGGAATCCCAAAATCCCTGTGGCTACTGGAAAGGGTCCTTGGGTGCCCTGCCTCACCTCGAGAAGCGTCCCTTTGGCCCTGCCAAGCCTCGAAGAGATTCCTGAGGTGTCCCTCGTTACTAGACAGGAGTCCTGACGTCACTGAAGAAACTCGTGTTTTGAAGGGCCATCCCCGCCGTAAGTCGAGAACATACCCCAGGTCCCCGCCGCAACTCGAGAAAAACCATGAGACTTCCCCCTAGAGGCGAGATGAGGCCCCATTCCCCTGCAGTGCATGCAGAGCTATTCTGTGATCCCATTCAAACAAGTCAGGAGCTTCGACTTGCTTAATGGATCTCGAGACAGTCCCCAAGAACACTGTCACCAGTCTAGACGGACCCTGAGGTCACCCCAGCAACGCAAAGCAGCTCCATGTGCCCCAAATCAACTCGAGATGAGGCCCGATTCCCCTGCATTGACTCCAGAGCCATTCCCCGTTCCCCATTCAACACGACCGGTGGCTCGACTTCCTTCAGGCAACTCCAGAGATGCCCCGAGAACACTGTCCCAAGTCTAGAGGAACACCAACTTCAGCCCAGCAACTCGAGGAATGCTCCGTGTACCCCAAATCGTCTCGAGATGCGAGCTGATTCCCTGGCTTAGGCTCAAGACGTATGCCAACTTCCCAGAAGCACCTCAGGAGGAGGCTTCTCTCAGCAATAGGTATGTGGGAGGGACCCCGAGTTTGCTGCCTCAAGGGGAATATACAGCGAGAAGCCCTAACTTGAAAGGAGGCCGGATTTCCTTGCAGTGGCTTGAATACAGGCTCGTCTTTCATCTCACAACATGAAGGGATGTCTGAATCCCCTGTGGAGACCTTAGAGAAAGCCCTAGGTCCCTGCCTCATTTTGACGGAATGCCTCACATCCCGCTGACACCTCGAGAGGCACGCGGAGTTCATTGCTTCAAAAGGTGACGATGCCTGACTCCTCTTGAATACTGATAGGAATCCCAAAATCCCTGTGGCTACTGGAAAGGGTCCTTGGGTGCCCTGCCTCACCTCGAGAAGCGTCCCTTTGGCCCTGCCAAGCCTCGAAGAGATTCCTGAGGTGTCCCTCGTTACTAGACAGGAGTCCTGACGTCACTGAAGAAACTCGTGTTTTGAAGGGCCATCCCCGCCGTAAGTCGAGAACATACCCCAGGTCCCCGCCGCAACTCGAGAAAAACCATGAGACTTCCCCCTAGAGGCGAGATGAGGCCCCATTCCCCTGCAGTGCATGCAGAGCTATTCCGTGACCCCATTCAAACAAGTCAGGAGCTTCGACTTGCTTAATGGATCTCGAGACAGTCCCCAAGAACACTGTCACCAGTCTAGACGGACCCTGAGGTCACCCCAGCAACGCAAAGAGGCTCCATGTGCCCCAAATCAACTCGAGATGAGGCCCGATTCCCCTGCACTGACTCCAGAGCCATTCCCCGTTCCCCATTCAACACGACCGGTGGCTCGACGTCCTTCAGGCAACTCCAGAGATGCCCCGAGAACACTGTCCCAAGTCTAGAGGAACACCAACTTCAGCACAGCAACTCGAGGAATGCTCCGTGTACCCCAAATCGTCTCGAGATGCGAGCTGATTCCCTGGCTTAGGCTCAAGACGTATGCCAACTTCCCAGAAGCACCTGAGGAGGAGGCTTCTCTCAGCAATAGGTATGTGGGAGGGACCCCGAGTTTGCTGCCTCAAGGGGAATATACAGCGAGAAGCCCTAACTAGAAAGGAGGCCGGATTTCCTTGCAGTGGCTTGAATACAGGCTCGTCTTTCATCTCACAACATGAAGGGATGTCTGAATCCCCTGTGGAGACCTTAGAGAAAGCCCTAGGTCCCTGCCTCATTTTGATGGAATGCCTCACATCCCGCTGACACCTCGAGAGGCACGCGGAGTTCATTGCTTCAAAAAGTGACGATGCCTGACTCCTCTTGAATACTGATAGGAATCCCAAAATCCCTGTGGCTACTGGAAAGGGTCCTTGGGTGCCCTGCCTCACCTCGAGAAGCGTCCCTTTGGCCCTGCCAAGCCTCGAAGAGATTCCTGAGGTGTCCCTCGTTACTAGACAGGAGTCCTGACGTCACTGAAGAAACTCGTGTTTTGAAGGGCCATCCCCGCCGTAAGTCGAGAACATACCCCAGGTCCCTGCCGCAACTCGAGAAAAACCATGAGACTTCCCCCTAGAGGCGAGATGAGGCCCCATTCCCTTGCAGTGCATGCAGAGCTATTCCGTGATCCCATTCAAACAAGTCAGGAGCTTCGACTTGCTTAATGGATCTCGAGACAGTCCCCAAGAACACTGTCACCAGTCTAGACGGACCCTGAGGTCACCCCAGCAACGCAAAGCAGCTCCATGTGCCCCAAATCAACTCGAGATGAGGCCCGATTCCCCTGCATTGACTCCAGAGCCATTCCCCGTTCCCCATTCAACACGACCGGTGGCTCGACTTCCTTCAGGCAACTCCAGAGATGCCCCGAGAACACTGTCCCAAGTCTAGAGGAACACCAACTTCAGCACAGCAACTCGAGGAATGCTCCGTGTACCCCAAATCGTCTCGAGATGCGAGCTGATTCCCTGGCTTAGGCTCAAGACATAGGCCAACTTCCCAGAAGCACCTCAGGAGGAGACTTCTCTCAGCAATAGGTATGTGGGAGGGACCCCGAGTTTGCTGCCTCAAAGGGAATATACAGCGAGAAGCCCTAACTTGAAAGGAGGCCGGATTTCCTTCCAGTGGCTTGAATACAGGCTCGTCTTTCATCTCACAACATGAAGGGATGTCTGAATCCCCTGTGGAGACCTTAGAGAAAGCCCTAGGTCCCTGCCTCATTTTGACGGAATGCCTCACATCCCGCTGACACCTCGAGAGGCACGCGGAGTTCATTGCTTCCAAAGGTGACGATGCCTGACTCCTCTTGAATACTGATAGGAATCCCAAAATCCCTGTGGCTACTGGAAAGGGTCCTTGGGTGCCCTGCCTCACCTCGAGAAGCGTCCCTTTGGCCCTGCCAAGCCTCGAAGAGATTCCTGAGGTGTCCCTCGTTACTAGACAGGAGTCCTGACGTCACTGAAGAAACTCGTGTTTTGAAGGGCCATCCCCGCCGTAAGTCGAGAACATACCCCAGGTCCCCGCCGCAACTCGAGAAAAACCATGAGACTTCCCCCTAGAGGCGAGATGAGGCCCCATTCCCCTGCAGTGCATGCAGAGCTATTCCGTGATCCCATTCAAACAAGTCAGGAGCTTCGACTTGCTTAATGGATCTCGAGACAGTCCCCAAGAACACTGTCACCAGTCTAGACGGACCCTGAGGTCACCCCAGCAACGCAAAGCAGCTCCATGTGCCCCAAATCAACTCGAGATGAGGCCCGATTCCCCTGCATTGACTCCAGAGCCATTCCCCGTTCCCCATTCAACACGACCGGTGGCTCGACTTCCTTCAGGCAACTCCAGAGATGCCCCGAGAACACTGTCCCAAGTCTAGAGGAACACCAACTTCAGCCCAGCAACTCGAGGAATGCTCCGTGTACCCCAAATCGTCTCGAGATGCGAGCTGATTCCCTGGCTTAGGCTCAAGACGTATGCCAACTTCCCAGAAGCACCTCAGGAGGAGGCTTCTCTCAGCAATAGGTATGTGGGAGGGACCCCGAGTTTGCTGCCTCAAGGGGAATATACAGCGAGAAGCCCTAACGTGAAAGGAGGCCGGATTTCCTTGCAGTGGCTTGAATACAGGCTCGTCTTTCATCTCACAACATGAAGGGATGTCTGAATCCCCTGTGGAGACCTTAGAGAAAGCCCTAGGTCCCTGCCTCATTTTGACGGAATGCCTCACATCCCGCTGACACCTCGAGAGGCACGCGGAGTTCATTGCTTCAAAAGGTGACGATGCCTGACTCCTCTTGAATACTGATAGGAATCCCAAAATCCCTGTGGCTACTGGAAAGGGTCCTTGGGTGCCCTGCCTCACCTCGAGAAGCGTCCCTTTGGCCCTGCCAAGCCTCGAAGAGATTCCTGAGGTGTCCCTCGTTACTAGACAGGAGTCCTGACGTCACTGAAGAAACTCGTGTTTTGAAGGGCCATCCCCGCCGTAAGTCGAGAACATACCCCAGGTCCCCGCCGCAACTCGAGAAAAACCATGAGACTTCCCCCTAGAGGCGAGATGAGGCCCCATTCCCCTGCAGTGCATGCAGAGCTATTCCGTGATCCCATTCAAACAAGTCAGGAGCTTCGACTTGCTTAATGGATCTCGAGACAGTCCCCAAGAACACTGTCACCAGTCTAGACGGACCCTGAGGTCACCCCAGCAACGCAAAGCAGCTCCATGTGCCCCAAATCAACTCGAGATGAGGCCCGATTCCCCTGCATTGACTCCAGAGCCATTCCCCGTTCCCCATTCAACACGACCGGTGGCTCGACTTCCTTCAGGCAACTCCAGAGATGCCCCGAGAACACTGTCCCAAGTCTAGAGGAACACCAACTTCAGCACAGCAACTCGAGGAATGCTCCGTGTACCCCAAATCGTCTCGAGATGCGAGCTGATTCCCTGGCTTAGGCTCAAGACGTATGCCAACTTCCCAGAAGCACCTCAGGAGGAGGCTTCTCTCAGCAATAGGTATGTGGGAGGGACCCCGAGTTTGCTGCCTCAAGGGGAATATACAGCGAGAAGCCCTAACTTGAAAGGAGGCCGGATTTCCTTGCAGTGGCTTGAATACAGGCTCGTCTTTCATCTCACAACATGAAGGGATGTCTGAATCCCCTGTGGAGACCTTAGAGAAAGCCCTAGGTCCCTGCCTCATTTTGACGGAATGCCTCACATCCCGCTGACACCTCGAGAGGCACGCGGAGTTCATTGCTTCAAAAGGTGACGATGCCTGACTCCTCTTGAATACTGATAGGAATCCCAAAATCCCTGTGGCTACTGGAAAGGGTCCTTGGGTGCCCTGCCTCACCTCGAGAAGCGTCCCTTTGGCCCTGCCAAGCCTCGAAGAGATTCCTGAGGTGTCCCTCGTTACTAGACAGGAGTCCTGACGTCACTGAAGAAACTCGTGTTTTGAAGGGCCATCCCCGCCGTAAGTCGAGAACATACCCCAGGTCCCCGCCGCAACTCGAGAAAAACCATGAGACTTCCCCCTAGAGGCGAGATGAGGCCCCATTCCCCTGCAGTGCATGCAGAGCTATTCCGTGATCCCATTCAAACAAGTCAGGAGCTTCGACTTGCTTAATGGATCTCGAGACAGTCCCCAAGAACACTGTCACCAGTCTAGACGGACCCTGAGGTCACCCCAGCAACGCAAAGCAGCTCCATGTGCCCCAAATCAACTCGAGATGAGGCCCGATTCCCCTGCATTGACTCCAGAGCCATTCCCCGTTCCCCATTCAACACGACCGGTGGCTCGACTTCCTTCAGGCAACTCCAGAGATGCCCCGAGAACACTGTCCCAAGTCTAGAGGAACACCAACTTCAGCACAGCAACTCGAGGAATGCTCCGTGTACCCCAAATCGTCTCGAGATGCGAGCTGATTCCCTGGCTTAGGCTCAAGACGTATGCCAACTTCCCAGAAGCACCTCAGGAGGAGGCTTCTCTCAGCAATAGGTATGTGGGAGGGACCCCGAGTTTGCTGCCTCAAGGGGAATATACAGCGAGAAGCCCTAACTTGAAAGGAGGCCGGATTTCCTTGCAGTGGCTTGAATACAGGCTCGTCTTTCATCTCACAACATGAAGGGATGTCTGAATCCCCTGTGGAGACCTTAGAGAAAGCCCTAGGTCCCTGCCTCATTTTGACGGAATGCCTCACATCCCGCTGACACCTCGAGAGGCACGCGGAGTTCATTGCTTCAAAAGGTGACGATGCCTGACTCCTCTTGAATACTGATAGGAATCCCAAAATCCCTGTGGCTACTGGAAAGGGTCCTTGGGTGCCCTGCCTCACCTCGAGAAGCGTCCCTTTGGCCCTGCCAAGCCTCGAAGAGATTCCTGAGGTGTCCCTCGTTACTAGACAGGAGTCCTGACGTCACTGAAGAAACTCGTGTTTTGAAGGGCCATCCCCGCCGTAAGTCGAGAACATACCCCAGGTCCCCGCCGCAACTCGAGAAAAACCATGAGACTTCCCCCTAGAGGCGAGATGAGGCCCCATTCCCCTGCAGTGCATGCAGAGCTATTCCGTGATCCCATTCAAACAAGTCAGGAGCTTCGACTTGCTTAATGGATCTCGAGACAGTCCCCAAGAACACTGTCACCAGTCTAGACGGACCCTGAGGTCACCCCAGCAACGCAAAGCAGCTCCATGTGCCCCAAATCAACTCGAGATGAGGCCCGATTCCCCTGCATTGACTCCAGAGCCATTCCCCGTTCCCCATTCAACACGACCGGTGGCTCGACTTCCTTCAGGCAACTCCAGAGATGCCCCGAGAACACTGTCCCAAGTCTAGAGGAACACCAACTTCAGCACAGCAACTCGAGGAATGCTCCGTGTACCCCAAATCGTCTCGAGATGCGAGCTGATTCCCTGGCTTAGGCTCAAGACATAGGCCAACTTCCCAGAAGCACCTCAGGAGGAGACTTCTCTCAGCAATAGGTATGTGGGAGGGACCCCGAGTTTGCTGCCTCAAAGGGAATATACAGCGAGAAGCCCTAACTTGAAAGGAGGCCGGATTTCCTTGCAGTGGCTTGAATACAGGCTCGTCTTTCATCTCACAACATGAAGGGATGTCTGAATCCCCTGTGGAGACCTTAGAGAAAGCCCTAGGTCCCTGCCTCATTTTGACGGAATGCCTCACATCCCGCTGACACCTCGAGAGGCACGCGGAGTTCATTGCTTCAAAAGGTGACGATGCCTGACTCCTCTTGAATACTGATAGGAATCCCAAAATCCCTGTGGCTACTGGAAAGGGTCCTTGGGTGCCCTGCCTCACCTCGAGAAGCGTCCCTTTGGCCCTGCCAAGCCTCGAAGAGATTCCTGAGGTGTCCCTCGTTACTAGACAGGAGTCCTGACGTCACTGAAGAAACTCGTGTTTTGAAGGGCCATCCCCGCCGTAAGTCGAGAACATACCCCAGGTCCCCGCCGCAACTCGAGAAAAACCATGAGACTTCCCCCTAGAGGCGAGATGAGGCCCCATTCCCCTGCAGTGCATGCAGAGCTATTCCGTGACCCCATTCAAACAAGTCAGGAGCTTCGACTTGCTTAATGGATCTCGAGACAGTCCCCAAGAACACTGTCACCAGTCTAGACGGACCCTGAGGTCACCCCAGCAACGCAAAGCAGCTCCATGTGCCCCAAATCAACTCGAGATGAGGCCCGATTCCCCTGCATTGACTCCAGAGCCATTCCCCGTTCCCCATTCAACACGACCGGTGGCTCGACTTCCTTCAGGCAACTCCAGAGATGCCCCGAGAACACTGTCCCAAGTCTAGAGGAACACCAACTTCAGCACAGCAACTCGAGGAATGCTCCGTGTACCCCAAATCGTCTCGAGATGCGAGCTGATTCCCTGGCTTAGGCTCAAAACGTATGCCAACTTCCCAGAAGCACCTCAGGAGGAGGCTTCTCTCAGCAATAGGTATGTGGGAGGGACCCCGAGTTTGCTGCCTCAAGGGGAATATACAGCGAGAAGCCCTAACGTGAAAGGAGGCCGGATTTCCTTGCAGTGGCTTGAATACAGGCTCGTCTTTCATCTCACAACATGAAGGGATGTCTGAATCCCCTGTGGAGACCTTAGAGAAAGCCCTAGGTCCCTGCCTCATTTTGACGGAATGCCTCACATCCCGCTGACACCTCGAGAGGCACGCGGAGTTCATTGCTTCAAAAGGTGACGATGCCTGACTCCTCTTGAATACTGATAGGAATCCCAAAATCCCTGTGGCTACTGGAAAGGGTCCTTGGGTGCCCTGCCTCACCTCGAGAAGCGTCCCTTTGGCCCTGCCAAGCCTCGAAGAGATTCCTGAGGTGTCCCTCGTTACTAGACAGGAGTCCTGACGTCACTGAAGAAACTCGTGTTTTGAAGGGCCATCCCCGCCGTAAGTCGAGAACATACCCCAGGTCCCCGCCGCAACTCGAGAAAAACCATGAGACTTCCCCCTAGAGGCGAGATGAGGCCCCATTCCCTTGCAGTGCATGCAGAGCTATTCCGTGATCCCATTCAAACAAGTCAGGAGCTTCGACTTGCTTAATGGATCTCGAGACAGTCCCCAAGAACACTGTCACCAGTCTAGACGGACCCTGAGGTCACCCCAGCAACGCAAAGCAGCTCCATGTGCCCCAAATCAACTCGAGATGAGGCCCGATTCCCCTGCATTGACTCCAGAGCCATTCCCCGTTCCCCATTCAACACGACCGGTGGCTCGACTTCCTTCAGGCAACTCCAGAGATGCCCCGAGAACACTGTCCCAAGTCTAGAGGAACACCAACTTCAGCACAGCAACTCGAGGAATGCTCCGTGTACCCCAAATCGTCTCGAGATGCGAGCTGATTCCCTGGCTTAGGCTCAAGACATAGGCCAACTTCCCAGAAGCACCTCAGGAGGAGACTTCTCTCAGCAATAGGTATGTGGGAGGGACCCCGAGTTTGCTGCCTCAAAGGGAATATACAGCGAGAAGCCCTAACTTGAAAGGAGGCCGGATTTCCTTCCAGTGGCTTGAATACAGGCTCGTCTTTCATCTCACAACATGAAGGGATGTCTGAATCCCCTGTGGAGACCTTAGAGAAAGCCCTAGGTCCCTGCCTCATTTTGACGGAATGCCTCACATCCCGCTGACACCTCGAGAGGCACGCGGAGTTCATTGCTTCCAAAGGTGACGATGCCTGACTCCTCTTGAATACTGATAGGAATCCCAAAATCCCTGTGGCTACTGGAAAGGGTCCTTGGGTGCCCTGCCTCACCTCGAGAAGCGTCCCTTTGGCCCTGCCAAGCCTCGAAGAGATTCCTGAGGTGTCCCTCGTTACTAGACAGGAGTCCTGACGTCACTGAAGAAACTCGTGTTTTGAAGGGCCATCCCCGCCGTAAGTCGAGAACATACCCCAGGTCCCCGCCGCAACTCGAGAAAAACCATGAGACTTCCCCCTAGAGGCGAGATGAGGCCCCATTCCCCTGCAGTGCATGCAGAGCTATTCCGTGATCCCATTCAAACAAGTCAGGAGCTTCGACTTGCTTAATGGATCTCGAGACAGTCCCCAAGAACACTGTCACCAGTCTAGACGGACCCTGAGGTCACCCCAGCAACGCAAAGCAGCTCCATGTGCCCCAAATCAACTCGAGATGAGGCCCGATTCCCCTGCATTGACTCCAGAGCCATTCCCCGTTCCCCATTCAACACGACCGGTGGCTCGACTTCCTTCAGGCAACTCCAGAGATGCCCCGAGAACACTGTCCCAAGTCTAGAGGAACACCAACTTCAGCCCAGCAACTCGAGGAATGCTCCGTGTACCCCAAATCGTCTCGAGATGCGAGCTGATTCCCTGGCTTAGGCTCAAGACGTATGCCAACTTCCCAGAAGCACCTCAGGAGGAGGCTTCTCTCAGCAATAGGTATGTGGGAGGGACCCCGAGTTTGCTGCCTCAAGGGGAATATACAGCGAGAAGCCCTAACGTGAAAGGAGGCCGGATTTCCTTGCAGTGGCTTGAATACAGGCTCGTCTTTCATCTCACAACATGAAGGGATGTCTGAATCCCCTGTGGAGACCTTAGAGAAAGCCCTAGGTCCCTGCCTCATTTTGACGGAATGCCTCACATCCCGCTGACACCTCGAGAGGCACGCGGAGTTCATTGCTTCAAAAGGTGACGATGCCTGACTCCTCTTGAATACTGATAGGAATCCCAAAATCCCTGTGGCTACTGGAAAGGGTCCTTGGGTGCCCTGCCTCACCTCGAGAAGCGTCCCTTTGGCCCTGCCAAGCCTCGAAGAGATTCCTGAGGTGTCCCTCGTTACTAGACAGGAGTCCTGACGTCACTGAAGAAACTCGTGTTTTGAAGGGCCATCCCCGCCGTAAGTCGAGAACATACCCCAGGTCCCCGCCGCAACTCGAGAAAAACCATGAGACTTCCCCCTAGAGGCGAGATGAGGCCCCATTCCCCTGCAGTGCATGCAGAGCTATTCCGTGATCCCATTCAAACAAGTCAGGAGCTTCGACTTGCTTAATGGATCTCGAGACAGTCCCCAAGAACACTGTCACCAGTCTAGACGGACCCTGAGGTCACCCCAGCAACGCAAAGCAGCTCCATGTGCCCCAAATCAACTCGAGATGAGGCCCGATTCCCCTGCATTGACTCCAGAGCCATTCCCCGTTCCCCATTCAACACGACCGGTGGCTCGACTTCCTTCAGGCAACTCCAGAGATGCCCCGAGAACACTGTCCCAAGTCTAGAGGAACACCAACTTCAGCACAGCAACTCGAGGAATGCTCCGTGTACCCCAAATCGTCTCGAGATGCGAGCTGATTCCCTGGCTTAGGCTCAAGACGTATGCCAACTTCCCAGAAGCACCTCAGGAGGAGGCTTCTCTCAGCAATAGGTATGTGGGAGGGACCCCGAGTTTGCTGCCTCAAGGGGAATATACAGCGAGAAGCCCTAACTTGAAAGGAGGCCGGATTTCCTTGCAGTGGCTTGAATACAGGCTCGTCTTTCATCTCACAACATGAAGGGATGTCTGAATCCCCTGTGGAGACCTTAGAGAAAGCCCTAGGTCCCTGCCTCATTTTGACGGAATGCCTCACATCCCGCTGACACCTCGAGAGGCACGCGGAGTTCATTGCTTCAAAAGGTGACGATGCCTGACTCCTCTTGAATACTGATAGGAATCCCAAAATCCCTGTGGCTACTGGAAAGGGTCCTTGGGTGCCCTGCCTCACCTCGAGAAGCGTCCCTTTGGCCCTGCCAAGCCTCGAAGAGATTCCTGAGGTGTCCCTCGTTACTAGACAGGAGTCCTGACGTCACTGAAGAAACTCGTGTTTTGAAGGGCCATCCCCGCCGTAAGTCGAGAACATACCCCAGGTCCCCGCCGCAACTCGAGAAAAACCATGAGACTTCCCCCTAGAGGCGAGATGAGGCCCCATTCCCCTGCAGTGCATGCAGAGCTATTCCGTGATCCCATTCAAACAAGTCAGGAGCTTCGACTTGCTTAATGGATCTCGAGACAGTCCCCAAGAACACTGTCACCAGTCTAGACGGACCCTGAGGTCACCCCAGCAACGCAAAGCAGCTCCATGTGCCCCAAATCAACTCGAGATGAGGCCCGATTCCCCTGCATTGACTCCAGAGCCATTCCCCGTTCCCCATTCAACACGACCGGTGGCTCGACTTCCTTCAGGCAACTCCAGAGATGCCCCGAGAACACTGTCCCAAGTCTAGAGGAACACCAACTTCAGCACAGCAACTCGAGGAATGCTCCGTGTACCCCAAATCGTCTCGAGATGCGAGCTGATTCCCTGGCTTAGGCTCAAGACGTATGCCAACTTCCCAGAAGCACCTCAGGAGGAGGCTTCTCTCAGCAATAGGTATGTGGGAGGGACCCCGAGTTTGCTGCCTCAAGGGGAATATACAGCGAGAAGCCCTAACTTGAAAGGAGGCCGGATTTCCTTGCAGTGGCTTGAATACAGGCTCGTCTTTCATCTCACAACATGAAGGGATGTCTGAATCCCCTGTGGAGACCTTAGAGAAAGCCCTAGGTCCCTGCCTCATTTTGACGGAATGCCTCACATCCCGCTGACACCTCGAGAGGCACGCGGAGTTCATTGCTTCAAAAGGTGACGATGCCTGACTCCTCTTGAATACTGATAGGAATCCCAAAATCCCTGTGGCTACTGGAAAGGGTCCTTGGGTGCCCTGCCTCACCTCGAGAAGCGTCCCTTTGGCCCTGCCAAGCCTCGAAGAGATTCCTGAGGTGTCCCTCGTTACTAGACAGGAGTCCTGACGTCACTGAAGAAACTCGTGTTTTGAAGGGCCATCCCCGCCGTAAGTCGAGAACATACCCCAGGTCCCCGCCGCAACTCGAGAAAAACCATGAGACTTCCCCCTAGAGGCGAGATGAGGCCCCATTCCCCTGCAGTGCATGCAGAGCTATTCCGTGATCCCATTCAAACAAGTCAGGAGCTTCGACTTGCTTAATGGATCTCGAGACAGTCCCCAAGAACACTGTCACCAGTCTAGACGGACCCTGAGGTCACCCCAGCAACGCAAAGCAGCTCCATGTGCCCCAAATCAACTCGAGATGAGGCCCGATTCCCCTGCATTGACTCCAGAGCCATTCCCCGTTCCCCATTCAACACGACCGGTGGCTCGACTTCCTTCAGGCAACTCCAGAGATGCCCCGAGAACACTGTCCCAAGTCTAGAGGAACACCAACTTCAGCACAGCAACTCGAGGAATGCTCCGTGTACCCCAAATCGTCTCGAGATGCGAGCTGATTCCCTGGCTTAGGCTCAAGACATAGGCCAACTTCCCAGAAGCACCTCAGGAGGAGACTTCTCTCAGCAATAGGTATGTGGGAGGGACCCCGAGTTTGCTGCCTCAAAGGGAATATACAGCGAGAAGCCCTAACTTGAAAGGAGGCCGGATTTCCTTGCAGTGGCTTGAATACAGGCTCGTCTTTCATCTCACAACATGAAGGGATGTCTGAATCCCCTGTGGAGACCTTAGAGAAAGCCCTAGGTCCCTGCCTCATTTTGACGGAATGCCTCACATCCCGCTGACACCTCGAGAGGCACGCGGAGTTCATTGCTTCAAAAGGTGACGATGCCTGACTCCTCTTGAATACTGATAGGAATCCCAAAATCCCTGTGGCTACTGGAAAGGGTCCTTGGGTGCCCTGCCTCACCTCGAGAAGCGTCCCTTTGGCCCTGCCAAGCCTCGAAGAGATTCCTGAGGTGTCCCTCGTTACTAGACAGGAGTCCTGACGTCACTGAAGAAACTCGTGTTTTGAAGGGCCATCCCCGCCGTAAGTCGAGAACATACCCCAGGTCCCCGCCGCAACTCGAGAAAAACCATGAGACTTCCCCCTAGAGGCGAGATGAGGCCCCATTCCCCTGCAGTGCATGCAGAGCTATTCCGTGACCCCATTCAAACAAGTCAGGAGCTTCGACTTGCTTAATGGATCTCGAGACAGTCCCCAAGAACACTGTCACCAGTCTAGACGGACCCTGAGGTCACCCCAGCAACGCAAAGCAGCTCCATGTGCCCCAAATCAACTCGAGATGAGGCCCGATTCCCCTGCATTGACTCCAGAGCCATTCCCCGTTCCCCATTCAACACGACCGGTGGCTCGACTTCCTTCAGGCAACTCCAGAGATGCCCCGAGAACACTGTCCCAAGTCTAGAGGAACACCAACTTCAGCACAGCAACTCGAGGAATGCTCCGTGTACCCCAAATCGTCTCGAGATGCGAGCTGATTCCCTGGCTTAGGCTCAAAACGTATGCCAACTTCCCAGAAGCACCTCAGGAGGAGGCTTCTCTCAGCAATAGGTATGTGGGAGGGACCCCGAGTTTGCTGCCTCAAGGGGAATATACAGCGAGAAGCCCTAACGTGAAAGGAGGCCGGATTTCCTTGCAGTGGCTTGAATACAGGCTCGTCTTTCATCTCACAACATGAAGGGATGTCTGAATCCCCTGTGGAGACCTTAGAGAAAGCCCTAGGTCCCTGCCTCATTTTGACGGAATGCCTCACATCCCGCTGACACCTCGAGAGGCACGCGGAGTTCATTGCTTCAAAAGGTGACGATGCCTGACTCCTCTTGAATACTGATAGGAATCCCAAAATCCCTGTGGCTACTGGAAAGGGTCCTTGGGTGCCCTGCCTCACCTCGAGAAGCGTCCCTTTGGCCCTGCCAAGCCTCGAAGAGATTCCTGAGGTGTCCCTCGTTACTAGACAGGAGTCCTGACGTCACTGAAGAAACTCGTGTTTTGAAGGGCCATCCCCGCCGTAAGTCGAGAACATACCCCAGGTCCCCGCCGCAACTCGAGAAAAACCATGAGACTTCCCCCTAGAGGCGAGATGAGGCCCCATTCCCCTGCAGTGCATGCAGAGCTATTCCGTGACCCCATTCAAACAAGTCAGGAGCTTCGACTTGCTTAATGGATCTCGAGACAGTCCCCAAGAACACTGTCACCAGTCTAGACGGACCCTGAGGTCACCCCAGCAACGCAAAGCAGCTCCATGTGCCCCAAATCAACTCGAGATGAGGCCCGATTCCCCTGCATTGACTCCAGAGCCATTCCCCGTTCCCCATTCAACACGACCGGTGGCTCGACTTCCTTCAGGCAACTCCAGAGATGCCCGGAGAACACTGTCCCAAGTCTAGAGGAACACCAACTTCAGCACAGCAACTCGAGGAATGCTCCGTGTACCCCAAATCGTCTCGAGATGCGAGCTGATTCCCTGGCTTAGGCTCAAAACGTATGCCAACTTCCCAGAAGCACCTCAGGAGGAGGCTTCTCTCAGCAATAGGTATGTGGGAGGGACCCCGAGTTTGCTGCCTCAAGGGGAATATACAGCGAGAAGCCCTAACGTGAAAGGAGGCCGGATTTCCTTGCAGTGGCTTGAATACAGGCTCGTCTTTCATCTCACAACATGAAGGGATGTCTGAATCCCCTGTGGAGACCTTAGAGAAAGCCCTAGGTCCCTGCCTCATTTTGACGGAATGCCTCACATCCCGCTGACACCTCGAGAGGCACGCAGAGTTCATTGCTTCAAAAGGTGACGATGCCTGACTCCTCTTGAATACTGATAGGAATCCCAAAATCCCTGTGGCTACTGGAAAGGGTCCTTGGGTGCCCTGCCTCACCTCGAGAAGCGTCCCTTTGGCCCTGCCAAGCCTCGAAGAGATTCCTGAGGTGTCCCTCGTTACTAGACAGGAGTCCTGACGTCACTGAAGAAACTCGTGTTTTGAAGGGCCATCCCCGCCGTAAGTCGAGAACATACCCCAGGTCCCCGCCGCAACTCGAGAAAAACCATGAGACTTCCCCCTAGAGGCGAGATGAGGCCCCATTCCCCTGCAGTGCATGCAGAGCTATTCCGTGATCCCATTCAAACAAGTCAGGAGCTTCGACTTGCTTAATGGATCTCGAGACAGTCCCCAAGAACACTGTCACCAGTCTAGACGGACCCTGAGGTCACCCCAGCAACGCAAAGCAGCTCCATGTGCCCCAAATCAACTCGAGATGAGGCCCGATTCCCCTGCATTGACTCCAGAGCCATTCCCCGTTCCCCATTCAACACGACCGGTGGCTCGACTTCCTTCAGGCAACTCCAGAGATGCCCCGAGAACACTGTCCCAAGTCTAGAGGAACACCAACTTCAGCCCAGCAACTCGAGGAATGCTCCGTGTACCCTAAATCGTCTCGAGATGCGAGCTGATTCCCTGGCTTAGGCTCAAGACGTATGCCAACTTCCCAGAAGCACCTCAGGAGGAGGCTTCTCTCAGCAATAGGTATGTGGGAGGGACCCCGAGTTTGCTGCCTCAAGGGGAATATACAGCGAGAAGCCCTATCTAGAAAGGAGGCCGGATTTCCTTGCAGTGGCTTGAATACAGGCTCGTCTTTCATCTCACAACATGAAGGGATGTCTGAATCCCCTGTGGAGACCTTAGAGAAAGCCCTAGGTCCCTGCCTCATTTTGACGGAATGCCTCACATCCCGCTGACACCTCGAGAGGCACGCGGAGTTCATTGCTTCAAAAGGTGACGATGCCTGACTCCTCTTGAATACTGATAGGAATCCCAAAATCCCTGTGGCTACTGGAAAGGGTCCTTGGGTGCCCTGCCTCACCTCGAGAAGCGTCCCTTTGGCCCTGCCAAGCCTCGAAGAGATTCCTGAGGTGTCCCTCGTTACTAGACAGGAGTCCTGACGTCACTGAAGAAACTCGTGTTTTGAAGGGCCATCCCCGCCGTAAGTCGAGAACATACCCCAGGTCCCCGCCGCAACTCGAGAAAAACCATGAGACTTCCCCCTAGAGGCGAGATGAGGCCCCATTCCCCTGCAGTGCATGCAGAGCTATTCCGTGATCCCATTCAAACAAGTCAGGAGCTTCGACTTGCTTAATGGATCTCGAGACAGTCCCCAAGAACACTGTCACCAGTCTAGACGGACCCTGAGGTCACCCCAGCAACGCAAAGCAGCTCCATGTGCCCCAAATCAACTCGAGATGAGGCCCGATTCCCCTGCATTGACTCCAGAGCCATTCCCCGTTCCCCATTCAACACGACCGGTGGCTCGACTTCCTTCAGGCAACTCCAGAGATGCCCCGAGAACACTGTCCCAAGTCTAGAGGAACACCAACTTCAGCCCAGCAACTCGAGGAATGCTCCGTGTACCCCAAATCGTCTCGAGATGCGAGCTGATTCCCTGGCTTAGGCTCAAGACGTATGCCAACTTCCCAGAAGCACCTCAGGAGGAGGCTTCTCTCAGCAATAGGTATGTGGGAGGGACCCCGAGTTTGCTGCCTCAAGGGGAATATACAGCGAGAAGCCCTAACGTGAAAGGAGGCCGGATTTCCTTGCAGTGGCTTGAATACAGGCTCGTCTTTCATCTCACAACATGAAGGGATGTCTGAATCCCCTGTGGAGACCTTAGAGAAAGCCCTAGGTCCCTGCCTCATTTTGACGGAATGCCTCACATCCCGCTGACACCTCGAGAGGCACGCGGAGTTCATTGCTTCCAAAGGTGACGATGCCTGACTCCTCTTGAATACTGATAGGAATCCCAAAATCCCTGTGGCTACTGGAAAGGGTCCTTGGGTGCCCTGCCTCACCTCGAGAAGCGTCCCTTTGGCCCTGCCAAGCCTCGAAGAGATTCCTGAGGTGTCCCTCGTTACTAGACAGGAGTCCTGACGTCACTGAAGAAACTCGTGTTTTGAAGGGCCATCCCCGCCGTAAGTCGAGAACATACCCCAGGTCCCCGCCGCAACTCGAGAAAAACCATGAGACTTCCCCCTAGAGGCGAGATGAGGCCCCATTCCCCTGCAGTGCATGCAGAGCTATTCCGTGATCCCATTCAAACAAGTCAGGAGCTTCGACTTGCTTAATGGATCTCGAGACAGTCCCCAAGAACACTGTCACCAGTCTAGACGGACCCTGAGGTCACCCCAGCAACGCAAAGCAGCTCCATGTGCCCCAAATCAACTCGAGATGAGGCCCGATTCCCCTGCATTGACTCCAGAGCCATTCCCCGTTCCCCATTCAACACGACCGGTGGCTCGACTTCCTTCAGGCAACTCCAGAGATGCCCCGAGAACACTGTCCCAAGTCTAGAGGAACACCAACTTCAGCACAGCAACTCGAGGAATGCTCCGTGTACCCCAAATCGTCTCGAGATGCGAGCTGATTCCCTGGCTTAGGCTCAAGACGTATGCCAACTTCCCAGAAGCACCTCAGGAGGAGGCTTCTCTCAGCAATAGGTATGTGGGAGGGACCCCGAGTTTGCTGCCTCAAGGGGAATATACAGCGAGAAGCCCTAACTAGAAAGGAGGCCGGATTTCCTTGCAGTGGCTTGAATACAGGCTCGTCTTTCATCTCACAACATGAAGGGATGTCTGAATCCCCTGTGGAGACCTTAGAGAAAGCCCTAGGTCCCTGCCTCATTTTGACGGAATGCCTCACATCCCGCTGACACCTCGAGAGGCACGCGGAGTTCATTGCTTCAAAAGGTGACGATGCCTGACTCCTCTTGAATACTGATAGGAATCCCAAAATCCCTGTGGCTACTGGAAAGGGTCCTTGGGTGCCCTGCCTCACCTCGAGAAGCGTCCCTTTGGCCCTGCCAAGCCTCGAAGAGATTCCTGAGGTGTCCCTCGTTACTAGACAGGAGTCCTGACGTCACTGAAGAAACTCGTGTTTTGAAGGGCCATCCCCGCCGTAAGTCGAGAACATACCCCAGGTCCCCGCCGCAACTCGAGAAAAACCATGAGACTTCCCCCTAGAGGCGAGATGAGGCCCCATTCCCCTGCAGTGCATGCAGAGCTATTCCGTGATCCCATTCAAACAAGTCAGGAGCTTCGACTTGCTTAATGGATCTCGAGACAGTCCCCAAGAACACTGTCACCAGTCTAGACGGACCCTGAGGTCACCCCAGCAACGCAAAGCAGCTCCATGTGCCCCAAATCAACTCGAGATGAGGCCCGATTCCCCTGCATTGACTCCAGAGCCATTCCCCGTTCCCCATTCAACACGACCGGTGGCTCGACTTCCTTCAGGCAACTCCAGAGATGCCCCGAGAACACTGTCCCAAGTCTAGAGGAACACCAACTTCAGCACAGCAACTCGAGGAATGCTCCGTGTACCCCAAATCATCTCGAGATGCGAGCTGATTCCCTGGCTTAGGCTCAAAACGTATGCCAACTTCCCAGAAGCACCTCAGGAGGAGGCTTCTCTCAGCAATAGGTATGTGGGAGGGACCCCGAGTTTGCTGCCTCAAGGGGAATATACAGCGAGAAGCCCTAACGTGAAAGGAGGCCGGATTTCCTTGCAGTGGCTTGAATACAGGCTCGTCTTTCATCTCACAACATGAAGGGATGTCTGAATCCCCTGTGGAGACCTTAGAGAAAGCCCTAGGTCCCTGCCTCATTTTGACGGAATGCCTCCCATCCCGCTGACACCTCGAGAGGCACGCGGAGTTCATTGCTTCAAAAGGTGACGATGCCTGACTCCTCTTGAATACTGATAGGAATCCCAAAATCCCTGTGGCTACTGGAAAGGGTCCTTGGGTGCCCTGCCTCACCTCGAGAAGCGTCCCTTTGGCCCTGCCAAGCCTCGAAGAGATTCCTGAGGTGTCCCTCGTTACTAGACAGGAGTCCTGACGTCACTGAAGAAACTCGTGTTTTGAAGGGCCATCCCCGCCGTAAGTCGAGAACATACCCCAGGTCCCCGCCGCAACTCGAGAAAAACCATGAGACTTCCCCCTAGAGGCGAGATGAGGCCCCATTCCCCTGCAGTGCATGCAGAGCTATTCCGTGACCCCATTCAAACAAGTCAGGAGCTTCGACTTGCTTAATGGATCTCGAGACAGTCCCCAAGAACACTGTCACCAGTCTAGACGGACCCTGAGGTCACCCCAGCAACGCAAAGCAGCTCCATGTGCCCCAAATCAACTCGAGATGAGGCCCGATTCCCCTGCCTTGACTCCAGAGCCATTCCCCGTTCCCCATTCAACACGACCGGTGGCTCGACTTCCTTCAGGCAACTCCAGAGATGCCCCGAGAACACTGTCCCAAGTCTAGAGGAACACCAACTTCAGCACAGCAACTCGAGGAATGCTCCGTGTACCCCAAATCATCTCGAGATGCGAGCTGATTCCCTGGCTTAGGCTCAAAACGTATGCCAACTTCCCAGAAGCACCTCAGGAGGAGGCTTCTCTCAGCAATAGGTATGTGGGAGGGACCCCGAGTTTGCTGCCTCAAGGGGAATATACAGCGAGAAGCCCTAACGTGAAAGGAGGCCGGATTTCCTTGCAGTGGCTTGAATACAGGCTCGTCTTTCATCTCACAACATGAAGGGATGTCTGAATCCCCTGTGGAGACCTTAGAGAAAGCCCTAGGTCCCTGCCTCATTTTGACGGAATGCCTCACATCCCGCTGACACCTCGAGAGGCACGCGGAGTTCATTGCTTCCAAAGGTGACGATGCCTGACTCCTCTTGAATACTGATAGGAATCCCAAAATCCCTGTGGCTACTGGAAAGGGTCCTTGGGTGCCCTGCCTCACCTCGAGAAGCGTCCCTTTGGCCCTGCCAAGCCTCGAAGAGATTCCTGAGGTGTCCCTCGTTACTAGACAGGAGTCCTGACGTCACTGAAGAAACTCGTGTTTTGAAGGGCCATCCCCGCCGTAAGTCGAGAACATACCCCAGGTCCCCGCCGCAACTCGAGAAAAACCATGAGACTTCCCCCTAGAGGCGAGATGAGGCCCCATTCCCCTGCAGTGCATGCAGAGCTATTCCGTGATCCCATTCAAACAAGTCAGGAGCTTCGACTTGCTTAATGGATCTCGAGACAGTCCCCAAGAACACTGTCACCAGTCTAGACGGACCCTGAGGTCACCCCAGCAACGCAAAGCAGCTCCATGTGCCCCAAATCAACTCGAGATGAGGCCCGATTCCCCTGCATTGACTCCAGAGCCATTCCCCGTTCCCCATTCAACACGACCGGTGGCTCGACTTCCTTCAGGCAACTCCAGAGATGCCCCGAGAACACTGTCCCAAGTCTAGAGGAACACCAACTTCAGCACAGCAACTCGAGGAATGCTCCGTGTACCCCAAATCGTCTCGAGATGCGAGCTGATTCCCTGGCTTAGGCTCAAGACGTATGCCAACTTCCCAGAAGCACCTCAGGAGGAGGCTTCTCTCAGCAATAGGTATGTGGGAGGGACCCCGAGTTTGCTGCCTCAAGGGGAATATACAGCGAGAAGCCCTAACTAGAAAGGAGGCCGGATTTCCTTGCAGTGGCTTGAATACAGGCTCGTCTTTCATCTCACAACATGAAGGGATGTCTGAATCCCCTGTGGAGACCTTAGAGAAAGCCCTAGGTCCCTGCCTCATTTTGACGGAATGCCTCACATCCCGCTGACACCTCGAGAGGCACGCGGAGTTCATTGCTTCAAAAGGTGACGATGCCTGACTCCTCTTGAATACTGATAGGAATCCCAAAATCCCTGTGGCTACTGGAAAGGGTCCTTGGGTGCCCTGCCTCACCTCGAGAAGCGTCCCTTTGGCCCTGCCAAGCCTCGAAGAGATTCCTGAGGTGTCCCTCGTTACTAGACAGGAGTCCTGACGTCACTGAAGAAACTCGTGTTTTGAAGGGCCATCCCCGCCGTAAGTCGAGAACATACCCCAGGTCCCCGCCGCAACTCGAGAAAAACCATGAGACTTCCCCCTAGAGGCGAGATGAGGCCCCATTCCCCTGCAGTGCATGCAGAGCTATTCCGTGATCCCATTCAAACAAGTCAGGAGCTTCGACTTGCTTAATGGATCTCGAGACAGTCCCCAAGAACACTGTCACCAGTCTAGACGGACCCTGAGGTCACCCCAGCAACGCAAAGCAGCTCCATGTGCCCCAAATCAACTCGAGATGAGGCCCGATTCCCCTGCATTGACTCCAGAGCCATTCCCCGTTCCCCATTCAACACGACCGGTGGCTCGACTTCCTTCAGGCAACTCCAGAGATGCCCCGAGAACACTGTCCCAAGTCTAGAGGAACACCAACTTCAGCACAGCAACTCGAGGAATGCTCCGTGTACCCCAAATCATCTCGAGATGCGAGCTGATTCCCTGGCTTAGGCTCAAAACGTATGCCAACTTCCCAGAAGCACCTCAGGAGGAGGCTTCTCTCAGCAATAGGTATGTGGGAGGGACCCCGAGTTTGCTGCCTCAAGGGGAATATACAGCGAGAAGCCCTAACGTGAAAGGAGGCCGGATTTCCTTGCAGTGGCTTGAATACAGGCTCGTCTTTCATCTCACAACATGAAGGGATGTCTGAATCCCCTGTGGAGACCTTAGAGAAAGCCCTAGGTCCCTGCCTCATTTTGACGGAATGCCTCCCATCCCGCTGACACCTCGAGAGGCACGCGGAGTTCATTGCTTCAAAAGGTGACGATGCCTGACTCCTCTTGAATACTGATAGGAATCCCAAAATCCCTGTGGCTACTGGAAAGGGTCCTTGGGTGCCCTGCCTCACCTCGAGAAGCGTCCCTTTGGCCCTGCCAAGCCTCGAAGAGATTCCTGAGGTGTCCCTCGTTACTAGACAGGAGTCCTGACGTCACTGAAGAAACTCGTGTTTTGAAGGGCCATCCCCGCCGTAAGTCGAGAACATACCCCAGGTCCCCGCCGCAACTCGAGAAAAACCATGAGACTTCCCCCTAGAGGCGAGATGAGGCCCCATTCCCCTGCAGTGCATGCAGAGCTATTCCGTGACCCCATTCAAACAAGTCAGGAGCTTCGACTTGCTTAATGGATCTCGAGACAGTCCCCAAGAACACTGTCACCAGTCTAGACGGACCCTGAGGTCACCCCAGCAACGCAAAGCAGCTCCATGTGCCCCAAATCAACTCGAGATGAGGCCCGATTCCCCTGCCTTGACTCCAGAGCCATTCCCTGTTCCCCATTCAACACGACCGGTGGCTCGACTTCCTTCAGGCAACTCCAGAGATGCCCCGAGAACACTGTCCCAAGTCTAGAGGAACACCAACTTCAGCACAGCAACTCGAGGAATGCTCCGTGTACCCCAAATCATCTCGAGATGCGAGCTGATTCCCTGGCTTAGGCTCAAAACGTATGCCAACTTCCCAGAAGCACCTCAGGAGGAGGCTTCTCTCAGCAATAGGTATGTGGGAGGGACCCCGAGTTTGCTGCCTCAAGGGGAATATACAGCGAGAAGCCCTAACGTGAAAGGAGGCCGGATTTCCTTGCAGTGGCTTGAATACAGGCTCGTCTTTCATCTCACAACATGAAGGGATGTCTGAATCCCCTGTGGAGACCTTAGAGAAAGCCCTAGGTCCCTGCCTCATTTTGACGGAATGCCTCACATCCCGCTGACACCTCGAGAGGCACGCGGAGTTCATTGCTTCAAAAGGTGACGATGCCTGACTCCTCTTGAATACTGATAGGAATCCCAAAATCCCTGTGGCTACTGGAAAGGGTCCTTGGGTGCCCTGCCTCACCTCGAGAAGCGTCCCTTTGGCCCTGCCAAGCCTCGAAGAGATTCCTGAGGTGTCCCTCGTTACTAGACAGGAGTCCTGACGTCACTGAAGAAACTCGTGTTTTGAAGGGCCATCCCCGCCGTAAGTCGAGAACATACCCCAGGTCCCCGCCGCAACTCGAGAAAAACCATGAGACTTCCCCCTAGAGGCGAGATGAGGCCCCATTCCCCTGCAGTGCATGCAGAGCTATTCCGTGACCCCATTCAAACAAGTCAGGAGCTTCGACTTGCTTAATGGATCTCGAGACAGTCCCCAAGAACACTGTCACCAGTCTAGACGGACCCTGAGGTCACCCCAGCAACGCAAAGCAGCTCCATGTGCCCCAAATCAACTCGAGATGAGGCCCGATTCCCCTGCCTTGACTCCAGAGCCATTCCCCGTTCCCCATTCAACACGACCGGTGGCTCGACTTCCTTCAGGCAACTCCAGAGATGCCCCGAGAACACTGTCCCAAGTCTAGAGGAACACCAACTTCAGCACAGCAACTCGAGGAATGCTCCGTGTACCCCAAATCGTCTCGAGATGCGAGCTGATTCCCTGGCTTAGGCTCAAGACGTATGCCAACTTCCCAGAAGCACCTCAGGAGGAGGCTTCTCTCAGCAATAGGTATGTGGGAGGGACCCCGAGTTTGCTGCCTCAAGGGGAATATACAGCGAGAAGCCCTAACTAGAAAGAAGGCCGGATTTCCTTGCAGTGGCTTGAATACAGGCTCGTCTTTCATCTCACAACATGAAGGGATGTCTGAATCCCCTGTGGAGACCTTAGAGAAAGCCCTAGGTCCCTGCCTCATTTTGACGGAATGCCTCACATCCCGCTGACACCTCGAGAGGCACGCGGAGTTCATTGCTTCAAAAGGTGACGATGCCTGACTCCTCTTGAATACTGATAGGAATCCCAAAATCCCTGTGGCAACTGGAAAGGGTCCTTGGGTGCCCTGCCTCACCTCGAGAAGCGTCCCTTTGGCCCTGCCAAGCCTCGAAGAGATTCCTGAGGTGTCCCTCGTTACTAGACAGGAGTCCTGACGTCACTGAAGAAACTCGTGTTTTGAAGGGCCATCCCCGCCGTAAGTCGAGAACATACCCCAGGTCCCCGCCGCAACTCGAGAAAAACCATGAGACTTCCCCCTAGAGGCGAGATGAGGCCCCATTCCCCTGCAGTGCATGCAGAGCTATTCCGTGATCCCATTCAAACAAGTCAGGAGCTTCGACTTGCTTAATGGATCTCGAGACAGTCCCCAAGAACACTGTCACCAGTCTAGACGGACCCTGAGGTCACCCCAGCAACGCAAAGCAGCTCCATGTGCCCCAAATCAACTCGAGATGAGGCCCGATTCCCCTGCATTGACTCCAGAGCCATTCCCCGTTCCCCATTCAACACGACCGGTGGCTCGACTTCCTTCAGGCAACTCCAGAGATGCCCCGAGAACACTGTCCCAAGTCTAGAGGAACACCAACTTCAGCACAGCAACTCGAGGAATGCTCCGTGTACCCCAAATCGTCTCGAGATGCGAGCTGATTCCCTGGCTTAGGCTCAAGACATAGGCCAACTTCCCAGAAGCACCTCAGGAGGAGACTTCTCTCAGCAATAGGTATGTGGGAGGGACCCCGAGTTTGCTGCCTCAAAGGGAATATACAGCGAGAAGCCCTAACTTGAAAGGAGGCCGGATTTCCTTCCAGTGGCTTGAATACAGGCTCGTCTTTCATCTCACAACATGAAGGGATGTCTGAATCCCCTGTGGAGACCTTAGAGAAAGCCCTAGGTCCCTGCCTCATTTTGACGGAATGCCTCACATCCCGCTGACACCTCGAGAGGCACGCGGAGTTCATTGCTTCAAAAGGTGACGATGCCTGACTCCTCTTGAATACTGATAGGAATCCCAAAATCCCTGTGGCTACTGGAAAGGGTCCTTGGGTGCCCTGCCTCACCTCGAGAAGCGTCCCTTTGGCCCTGCCAAGCCTCGAAGAGATTCCTGAGGTGTCCCTCGTTACTAGACAGGAGTCCTGACGTCACTGAAGAAACTCGTGTTTTGAAGGGCCATCCCCGCCGTAAGTCGAGAACATACCCCAGGTCCCCGCCGCAACTCGAGAAAAACCATGAGACTTCCCCCTAGAGGCGAGATGAGGCCCCATTCCCCTGCAGTGCATGCAGAGCTATTCCGTGATCCCATTCAAACAAGTCAGGAGCTTCGACTTGCTTAATGGATCTCGAGACAGTCCCCAAGAACACTGTCACCAGTCTAGACGGACCCTGAGGTCACCCCAGCAACGCAAAGCAGCTCCATGTGCCCCAAATCAACTCGAGATGAGGCCCGATTCCCCTGCATTGACTCCAGAGCCATTTCCCGTTCCCCATTCAACACGACCGGTGGCTCGACTTCCTTCAGGCAACTCCAGAGATGCCCCGAGAACACTGTCCCAAGTCTAGAGGAACACCAACTTCAGCCCAGCAACTCGAGGAATGCTCCGTGTACCCCAAATCGTCTCGAGATGCGAGCTGATTCCCTGGCTTAGGCTCAAAACGTATGCCAACTTCCCAGAAGCACCTCAGGAGGAGGCTTCTCTCAGCAATAGGTATGTGGGAGGGACCCCGAGTTTGCTGCCTCAAGGGGAATATACAGCGAGAAGCCCTAACGTGAAAGGAGGCCGGATTTCCTTGCAGTGGCTTGAATACAGGATCGTCTTTCATCTCACAACATGAAGGGATGTCTGAATCCCCTGTGGAGACCTTAGAGAAAGCCCTAGGTCCCTGCCTCATTTTGACGGAATGCCTCACATCCTGCTGACACCTCGAGAGGCACGCGGAGTTCATTGCTTCAAAAGGTGACGATGCCTGACTCCTCTTGAATACTGATAGGAATCCCAAAATCCCTGTGGCTACTGGAAAGGGTCCTTGGGTGCCCTGCCTCACCTCGACAAGCGTCCCTTTGGCCCTGCCAAGCCTCGAAGAGATTCCTGAGGTGTCCCTCGTTACTAGACAGGAGTCCTGACGTCACTGAAGAAACTCGTGTTTTGAAGGGCCATCCCCGCCGTAAGTCGAGAACATACCCCAGGTCCCCGCCGCAACTCGAGAAAAACCATGAGACTTCCCCCTAGAGGCGAGATGAGGCCCCATTCCCCTGCAGTGCATGCAGAGCTATTCCGTGATCCCATTCAAACAAGTCAGGAGCTTCGACTTGCTTAATGGATCTCGAGACAGTCCCCAAGCACACTGTCACCAGTCTAGACGGACCCTGAGGTCACCCCAGCAACGCAAAGCAGCTCCATGTGCCCCAAATCAACTCGAGATGAGGCCCGATTCCCCTGCATTGACTCCAGAGCCATTCCCCGTTCCCCATTCAACACGACCGGTGGCTCGACTTCCTTCAGGCAACTCCAGAGATGCCCCGAGAACACTGTCCCAAGTCTAGAGGAACACCAACTTCAGCCCAGCAACTCGAGGAATGCTCCGTGTACCCTAAATCGTCTCGAGATGCGAGCTGATTCCCTGGCTTAGGCTCAAGACGTATGCCAACTTCCCAGAAGCACCTCAGGAGGAGGCTTCTCTCAGCAATAGGTATGTGGGAGGGACCCCGAGTTTGCTGCCTCAAGGGGAATATACAGCGAGAAGCCCTATCTAGAAAGGAGGCCGGATTTCCTTGCAGTGGCTTGAATACAGGCTCGTCTTTCATCTCACAACATGAAGGGATGTCTGAATCCCCTGTGGAGACCTTAGAGAAAGCCCTAGGTCCCTGCCTCATTTTGACGGAATGCCTCACATCCCGCTGACACCTCGAGAGGCACGCGGAGTTCATTGCTTCAAAAGGTGACGATGCCTGACTCCTCTTGAATACTGATAGGAATCCCAAAATCCCTGTGGCTACTGGAAAGGGTCCTTGGGTGCCCTGCCTCACCTCGAGAAGCGTCCCTTTGGCCCTGCCAAGCCTCGAAGAGATTCCTGAGGTGTCCCTCGTTACTAGACAGGAGTCCTGACGTCACTGAAGAAACTCGTGTTTTGAAGGGCCATCCCCGCCGTAAGTCGAGAACATACCCCAGGTCCCCGCCGCAACTCGAGAAAAACCATGAGACTTCCCCCTAGAGGCGAGATGAGGCCCCATTCCCCTGCAGTGCATGCAGAGCTATTCCGTGATCCCATTCAAACAAGTCAGGAGCTTCGACTTGCTTAATGGATCTCGAGACAGTCCCCAAGAACACTGTCACCAGTCTAGACGGACCCTGAGGTCACCCCAGCAACGCAAAGCAGGTCCATGTGCCCCAAATCAACTCGAGATGAGGCCCGATTCCCCTGCATTGACTCCAGAGCCATTCCCCGTTCCCCATTCAACACGACCGGTGGCTCGACTTCCTTCAGGCAACTCCAGAGATGCCCCGAGAACACTGTCCCAAGTCTAGAGGAACACCAACTTCAGCACAGCAACTCGAGGAATGCTCCGTGTACCCCAAATCGTCTCGAGATGCGAGCTGATTCCCTGGCTTAGGCTCAAGACGTATGCCAACTTCCCAGAAGCACCTCAGGAGGGGGCTTCTCTCAGCAATAGGTATGTGGGAGGGACCCCGAGTTTGCTGCCTCAAGGGGAATATACAGCGAGAAGCCCTAACTTGAAAGGAGGCCGGATTTCCTTGCAGTGGCTTGAATATAGGCTCGTCTTTCATCTCACAACATGAAGGGATGTCTGAATCCCCTGTGGAGACCTTAGAGAAAGCCCTAGGTCCCTGCCTCATTTTGACGGAATGCCTCACATCCCGCTGACACCTCGAGAGGCACGCGGAGTTCATTGCTTCAAAAGGTGACGATGCCTGACTCCTCTTGAATACTGATAGGAATCCCAAAATCCCTGTGGCTACTGGAAAGGGTCCTTGGGTGCCCTGCCTCACCTCGAGAAGCGTCCCTTTGGCCCTGCCAAGCCTCGAAGAGATTCCTGAGGTGTCCCTCGTTACTAGACAGGAGTCCTGACGTCACTGAAGAAACTCGTGTTTTGAAGGGCCATCCCCGCCGTAAGTCGAGAACATACCCCAGGTCCCCGCCGCAACTCGAGAAAAACCATGAGACTTCCCCCTAGAGGCGAGATGAGGCCCCATTCCCCTGCAGTGCATGCAGAGCTATTCCGTGATCCCATTCAAACAAGTCAGGAGCTTCGACTTGCTTAATGGATCTCGAGACAGTCCCCAAGAACACTGTCACCAGTCTAGACGGACCCTGAGGTCACCCCAGCAACGCAAAGCAGCTCCATGTGCCCCAAATCAACTCGAGATGAGGCCCGATTCCCCTGCATTGACTCCAGAGCCATTCCCCGTTCCCCATTCAACACGACCGGTGGCTCGACTTCCTTCAGGCAACTCCAGAGATGCCCCGAGAACACTGTCCCAAGTCTAGAGGAACACCAACTTCAGCACAGCAACTCGAGGAATGCTCCGTGTACCCCAAATCGTCTCGAGATGCGAGCTGATTCCCTGGCTTAGGCTCAAGACGTATGCCAACTTCCCAGAAGCACCTCAGGAGGAGGCTTCTCTGAGCAATAGGTATGTGGGAGGGACCCCGAGTTTGCTGCCTCAAGGGGAATATACAGCGAGAAGCCCTAACTTGAAAGGAGGCCGGATTTCCTTGCAGTGGCTTGAATACAGGCTCGTCTTTCATCTCACAACATGAAGGGATGTCTGAATCCCCTGTGGAGACCTTAGAGAAAGCCCTAGGTCCCTGCCTCATTTTGACGGAATGCCTCACATCCCGCTGACACCTCGAGAGGCACGCGGAGTTCATTGCTTCAAAAGGTGACGATGCCTGACTCCTCTTGAATACTGATAGGAATCCCAAAATCCCTGTGGCTACTGGAAAGGGTCCTTGGGTGCCCTGCCTCACCTCGAGAAGCGTCCCTTTGGCCCTGCCAAGCCTCGAAGAGATTCCTGAGGTGTCCCTCGTTACTAGACAGGAGTCCTGACGTCACTGAAGAAACTCGTGTTTTGAAGGGCCATCCCCGCCGTAAGTCGAGAACATACCCCAGGTCCCCGCCGCAACTCGAGAAAAACCATGAGACTTCCCCCTAGAGGCGAGATGAGGCCCCATTCCCCTGCAGTGCATGCAGAGCTATTCCGTGACCCCATTCAAACAAGTCAGGAGCTTCGACTTGCTTAATGGATCTCGAGACAGTCCCCAAGAACACTGTCACCAGTCTAGACGGACCCTGAGGTCACCCCAGCAACGCAAAGCAGCTCCATGTGCCCCAAATCAACTCGAGATGAGGCCCGATTCCCCTGCCTTGACTCCAGAGCCATTCCCCGTTCCCCATTCAACACGACCGGTGGCTCGACTTCCTTCAGGCAACTCCAGAGATGCCCCGAGAACACTGTCCCAAGTCTAGAGGAACACCAACTTCAGCACAGCAACTCGAGGAATGCTCCGTGTACCCCAAATCGTCTCGAGATGCGAGCTGATTCCCTGGCTTAGGCTCAAGACGTATGCCAACTTCCCAGAAGCACCTCAGGAGGAGGCTTCTCTCAGCAATAGGTATGTGGGAGGGACCCCGAGTTTGCTGCCTCAAGGGGAATATACAGCGAGAAGCCCTAACTAGAAAGAAGGCCGGATTTCCTTGCAGTGGCTTGAATACAGGCTCGTCTTTCATCTCACAACATGAAGGGATGTCTGAATCCCCTGTGGAGACCTTAGAGAAAGCCCTAGGTCCCTGCCTCATTTTGACGGAATGCCTCACATCCCGCTGACACCTCGAGAGGCACGCGGAGTTCATTGCTTCAAAAGGTGACGATGCCTGACTCCTCTTGAATACTGATAGGAATCCCAAAATCCCTGTGGCAACTGGAAAGGGTCCTTGGGTGCCCTGCCTCACCTCGAGAAGCGTCCCTTTGGCCCTGCCAAGCCTCGAAGAGATTCCTGAGGTGTCCCTCGTTACTAGACAGGAGTCCTGACGTCACTGAAGAAACTCGTGTTTTGAAGGGCCATCCCCGCCGTAAGTCGAGAACATACCCCAGGTCCCCGCCGCAACTCGAGAAAAACCATGAGACTTCCCCCTAGAGGCGAGATGAGGCCCCATTCCCCTGCAGTGCATGCAGAGCTATTCCGTGATCCCATTCAAACAAGTCAGGAGCTTCGACTTGCTTAATGGATCTCGAGACAGTCCCCAAGAACACTGTCACCAGTCTAGACGGACCCTGAGGTCACCCCAGCAACGCAAAGCAGCTCCATGTGCCCCAAATCAACTCGAGATGAGGCCCGATTCCCCTGCATTGACTCCAGAGCCATTCCCCGTTCCCCATTCAACACGACCGGTGGCTCGACTTCCTTCAGGCAACTCCAGAGATGCCCCGAGAACACTGTCCCAAGTCTAGAGGAACACCAACTTCAGCCCAGCAACTCGAGGAATGCTCCGTGTACCCCAAATCGTCTCGAGATGCGAGCTGATTCCCTGGCTTAGGCTCAAAACGTATGCCAACTTCCCAGAAGCACCTCAGGAGGAGGCTTCTCTCAGCAATAGGTATGTGGGAGGGACCCCGAGTTTGCTGCCTCAAGGGGAATATACAGCGAGAAGCCCTAACGTGAAAGGAGGCCGGATTTCCTTGCAGTGGCTTGAATACAGGATCGTCTTTCATCTCACAACATGAAGGGATGTCTGAATCCCCTGTGGAGACCTTAGAGAAAGCCCTAGGTCCCTGCCTCATTTTGACGGAATGCCTCACATCCTGCTGACACCTCGAGAGGCACGCGGAGTTCATTGCTTCAAAAGGTGACGATGCCTGACTCCTCTTGAATACTGATAGGAATCCCAAAATCCCTGTGGCTACTGGAAAGGGTCCTTGGGTGCCCTGCCTCACCTCGACAAGCGTCCCTTTGGCCCTGCCAAGCCTCGAAGAGATTCCTGAGGTGTCCCTCGTTACTAGACAGGAGTCCTGACGTCACTGAAGAAACTCGTGTTTTGAAGGGCCATCCCCGCCGTAAGTCGAGAACATACCCCAGGTCCCCGCCGCAACTCGAGAAAAACCATGAGACTTCCCCCTAGAGGCGAGATGAGGCCCCATTCCCCTGCAGTGCATGCAGAGCTATTCCGTGATCCCATTCAAACAAGTCAGGAGCTTCGACTTGCTTAATGGATCTCGAGACAGTCCCCAAGCACACTGTCACCAGTCTAGACGGACCCTGAGGTCACCCCAGCAACGCAAAGCAGCTCCATGTGCCCCAAATCAACTCGAGATGAGGCCCGATTCCCCTGCATTGACTCCAGAGCCATTCCCCGTTCCCCATTCAACACGACCGGTGGCTCGACTTCCTTCAGGCAACTCCAGAGATGCCCCGAGAACACTGTCCCAAGTCTAGAGGAACACCAACTTCAGCCCAGCAACTCGAGGAATGCTCCGTGTACCCTAAATCGTCTCGAGATGCGAGCTGATTCCCTGGCTTAGGCTCAAGACGTATGCCAACTTCCCAGAAGCACCTCAGGAGGAGGCTTCTCTCAGCAATAGGTATGTGGGAGGGACCCCGAGTTTGCTGCCTCAAGGGGAATATACAGCGAGAAGCCCTATCTAGAAAGGAGGCCGGATTTCCTTGCAGTGGCTTGAATACAGGCTCGTCTTTCATCTCACAACATGAAGGGATGTCTGAATCCCCTGTGGAGACCTTAGAGAAAGCCCTAGGTCCCTGCCTCATTTTGACGGAATGCCTCACATCCCGCTGACACCTCGAGAGGCACGCGGAGTTCATTGCTTCAAAAGGTGACGATGCCTGACTCCTCTTGAATACTGATAGGAATCCCAAAATCCCTGTGGCTACTGGAAAGGGTCCTTGGGTGCCCTGCCTCACCTCGAGAAGCGTCCCTTTGGCCCTGCCAAGCCTCGAAGAGATTCCTGAGGTGTCCCTCGTTACTAGACAGGAGTCCTGACGTCACTGAAGAAACTCGTGTTTTGAAGGGCCATCCCCGCCGTAAGTCGAGAACATACCCCAGGTCCCCGCCGCAACTCGAGAAAAACCATGAGACTTCCCCCTAGAGGCGAGATGAGGCCCCATTCCCCTGCAGTGCATGCAGAGCTATTCCGTGATCCCATTCAAACAAGTCAGGAGCTTCGACTTGCTTAATGGATCTCGAGACAGTCCCCAAGAACACTGTCACCAGTCTAGACGGACCCTGAGGTCACCCCAGCAACGCAAAGCAGGTCCATGTGCCCCAAATCAACTCGAGATGAGGCCCGATTCCCCTGCATTGACTCCAGAGCCATTCCCCGTTCCCCATTCAACACGACCGGTGGCTCGACTTCCTTCAGGCAACTCCAGAGATGCCCCGAGAACACTGTCCCAAGTCTAGAGGAACACCAACTTCAGCACAGCAACTCGAGGAATGCTCCGTGTACCCCAAATCGTCTCGAGATGCGAGCTGATTCCCTGGCTTAGGCTCAAGACGTATGCCAACTTCCCAGAAGCACCTCAGGAGGGGGCTTCTCTCAGCAATAGGTATGTGGGAGGGACCCCGAGTTTGCTGCCTCAAGGGGAATATACAGCGAGAAGCCCTAACTTGAAAGGAGGCCGGATTTCCTTGCAGTGGCTTGAATATAGGCTCGTCTTTCATCTCACAACATGAAGGGATGTCTGAATCCCCTGTGGAGACCTTAGAGAAAGCCCTAGGTCCCTGCCTCATTTTGACGGAATGCCTCACATCCCGCTGACACCTCGAGAGGCACGCGGAGTTCATTGCTTCAAAAGGTGACGATGCCTGACTCCTCTTGAATACTGATAGGAATCCCAAAATCCCTGTGGCTACTGGAAAGGGTCCTTGGGTGCCCTGCCTCACCTCGAGAAGCGTCCCTTTGGCCCTGCCAAGCCTCGAAGAGATTCCTGAGGTGTCCCTCGTTACTAGACAGGAGTCCTGACGTCACTGAAGAAACTCGTGTTTTGAAGGGCCATCCCCGCCGTAAGTCGAGAACATACCCCAGGTCCCCGCCGCAACTCGAGAAAAACCATGAGACTTCCCCCTAGAGGCGAGATGAGGCCCCATTCCCCTGCAGTGCATGCAGAGCTATTCCGTGATCCCATTCAAACAAGTCAGGAGCTTCGACTTGCTTAATGGATCTCGAGACAGTCCCCAAGAACACTGTCACCAGTCTAGACGGACCCTGAGGTCACCCCAGCAACGCAAAGCAGCTCCATGTGCCCCAAATCAACTCGAGATGAGGCCCGATTCCCCTGCATTGACTCCAGAGCCATTCCCCGTTCCCCATTCAACACGACCGGTGGCTCGACTTCCTTCAGGCAACTCCAGAGATGCCCCGAGAACACTGTCCCAAGTCTAGAGGAACACCAACTTCAGCACAGCAACTCGAGGAATGCTCCGTGTACCCCAAATCGTCTCGAGATGCGAGCTGATTCCCTGGCTTAGGCTCAAGACGTATGCCAACTTCCCAGAAGCACCTCAGGAGGAGGCTTCTCTGAGCAATAGGTATGTGGGAGGGACCCCGAGTTTGCTGCCTCAAGGGGAATATACAGCGAGAAGCCCTAACTTGAAAGGAGGCCGGATTTCCTTGCAGTGGCTTGAATACAGGCTCGTCTTTCATCTCACAACATGAAGGGATGTCTGAATCCCCTGTGGAGACCTTAGAGAAAGCCCTAGGTCCCTGCCTCATTTTGACGGAATGCCTCACATCCCGCTGACACCTCGAGAGGCACGCGGAGTTCATTGCTTCAAAAGGTGACGATGCCTGACTCCTCTTGAATACTGATAGGAATCCCAAAATCCCTGTGGCTACTGGAAAGGGTCCTTGGGTGCCCTGCCTCACCTCGAGAAGCGTCCCTTTGGCCCTGCCAAGCCTCGAAGAGATTCCTGAGGTGTCCCTCGTTACTAGACAGGAGTCCTGACGTCACTGAAGAAACTCGTGTTTTGAAGGGCCATCCCCGCCGTAAGTCGAGAACATACCCCAGGTCCCCGCCGCAACTCGAGAAAAACCATGAGACTTCCCCCTAGAGGCGAGATGAGGCCCCATTCCCCTGCAGTGCATGCAGAGCTATTCCGTGATCCCATTCAAACAAGTCAGGAGCTTCGACTTGCTTAATTGATCTCGAGACAGTCCCCAAGAACACTGTCACCAGTCTAGACGGACCCTGAGGTCACCCCAGCAACGCAAAGCAGGTCCATGTGCCCCAAATCAACTCGAGATGAGGCCCGATTCCCCTGCATTGACTCCAGAGCCATTCCCCGTTCCCCATTCAACACGACCGGTGGCTCGACTTCCTTCAGGCAACTCCAGAGATGCCCCGAGAACACTGTCCCAAGTCTAGAGGAACACCAACTTCAGCACAGCAACTCGAGGAATGCTCCGTGTACCCCAAATCGTCTCGAGATGCGAGCTGATTCCCTGGCTTAGGCTCAAGACGTATGCCAACTTCCCAGAAGCACCTCAGGAGGGGGCTTCTCTCAGCAATAGGTATGTGGGAGGGACCCCGAGTTTGCTGCCTCAAGGGGAATATACAGCGAGAAGCGCTAACTTGAAAGGAGGCCGGATTTCCTTGCAGTGGCTTGAATATAGGCTCGTCTTTCATCTCACAACATGAAGGGATGTCTGAATCCCCTGTGGAGACCTTAGAGAAAGCCCTAGGTCCCTGCCTCATTTTGACGGAATGCCTCACATCCCGCTGACACCTCGAGAGGCACGCGGAGTTCATTGCTTCAAAAGGTGACGATGCCTGACTCCTCTTGAATACTGATAGGAATCCCAAAATCCCTGTGGCTACTGGAAAGGGTCCTTGGGTGCCCTGCCTCACCTCGAGAAGCGTCCCTTTGGCCCTGCCAAGCCTCGAAGAGATTCCTGAGGTGTCCCTCGTTACTAGACAGGAGTCCTGACGTCACTGAAGAAACTCGTGTTTTGAAGGGCCATCCCCGCCGTAAGTCGAGAACATACCCCAGGTCCCCGCCGCAACTCGAGAAAAACCATGAGACTTCCCCCTAGAGGCGAGATGAGGCCCCATTCCCCTGCAGTGCATGCAGAGCTATTCCGTGATCCCATTCAAACAAGTCAGGAGCTTCGACTTGCTTAATGGATCTCGAGACAGTCCCCAAGAACACTGTCACCAGTCTAGACGGACCCTGAGGTCACCCCAGCAACGCAAAGCAGCTCCATGTGCCCCAAATCAACTCGAGATGAGGCCCGATTCCCCTGCATTGACTCCAGAGCCATTCCCCGTTCCCCATTCAACACGACCGGTGGCTCGACTTCCTTCAGGCAACTCCAGAGATGCCCCGAGAACACTGTCCCAAGTCTAGAGGAACACCAACTTCAGCACAGCAACTCGAGGAATGCTCCGTGTACCCCAAATCGTCTCGAGATGCGAGCTGATTCCCTGGCTTAGGCTCAAGACATAGGCCAACTTCCCAGAAGCACCTCAGGAGGAGACTTCTCTCAGCAATAGGTATGTGGGAGGGACCCCGAGTTTGCTGCCTCAAAGGGAATATACAGCGAGAAGCCCTAACTTGAAAGGAGGCCGGATTTCCTTGCAGTGGCTTGAATACAGGCTCGTCTTTCATCTCACAACATGAAGGGATGTCTGAATCCCCTGTGGAGACCTTAGAGAAAGCCCTAGGTCCCTGCCTCATTTTGACGGAATGCCTCACATCCCGCTGACACCTCGAGAGGCACGCGGAGTTCATTGCTTCAAAAGGTGACGATGCCTGACTCCTCTTGAATACTGATAGGAATCCCAAAATCCCTGTGGCTACTGGAAAGGGTCCTTGGGTGCCCTGCCTCACCTCGAGAAGCGTCCCTTTGGCCCTGCCAAGCCTCGAAGAGATTCCTGAGGTGTCCCTCGTTACTAGACAGGAGTCCTGACGTCACTGAAGAAACTCGTGTTTTGAAGGGCCATCCCCGCCGTAAGTCGAGAACATACCCCAGGTCCCCGCCGCAACTCGAGAAAAACCATGAGACTTCCCCCTAGAGGCGAGATGAGGCCCCATTCCCCTGCAGTGCATGCAGAGCTATTCCGTGATCCCATTCAAACAAGTCAGGAGCTTCGACTTGCTTAATGGATCTCGAGACAGTCCCCAAGAACACTGTCACCAGTCTAGACGGACCCTGAGGTCACCCCAGCAACGCAAAGCAGCTCCATGTGCCCCAAATCAACTCGAGATGAGGCCCGATTCCCCTGCATTGACTCCAGAGCCATTCCCCGTTCCCCATTCAACACGACCGGTGGCTCGACTTCCTTCAGGCAACTCCAGAGATGCCCCGAGAACACTGTCCCAAGTCTAGAGGAACACCAACTTCAGCCCAGCAACTCGAGGAATGCTCCGTGGACCCCAAATCGTCTCGAGATGCGAGCTGATTCCCTGGCTTAGGCTCAAAACGTATGCCAACTTCCCAGAAGCACCTCAGGAGGAGGCTTCTCTCAGCAATAGGTATGTGGGAGGGACCCCGAGTTTGCTGCCTCAAGGGGAATATACAGCGAGAAGCCCTAACGTGAAAGGAGGCCGGATTTCCTTGCAGTGGCTTGAATACAGGATCGTCTTTCATCTCACAACATGAAGGGATGTCTGAATCCCCTGTGGAGACCTTAGAGAAAGCCCTAGGTCCCTGCCTCATTTTGACGGAATGCCTCACATCCCGCTGACACCTCGAGAGGCACGCGGAGTTCATTGCTTCAAAAGGTGACGATGCCTGACTCCTCTTGAATACTGATAGGAATCCCAAAATCCCTGTGGCTACTGGAAAGGGTCCTTGGGTGCCCTGCCTCACCTCGACAAGCGTCCCTTTGGCCCTGCCAAGCCTCGAAGAGATTCCTGAGGTGTCCCTCATTACTAGACAGGAGTCCTGACGTCACTGAAGAAACTCGTGTTTTGAAGGGCCATCCCCGCCGTAAGTCGAGAACATACCCCAGGTCCCCGCCGCAACTCGAGAAAAACCATGAGACTTCCCCCTAGAGGCGAGATGAGGCCCCATTCCCCTGCAGTGCATGCAGAGCTATTCCGTGATCCCATTCAAACAAGTCAGGAGCTTCGACTTGCTTAATGGATCTCGAGACAGTCCCCAAGAACACTGTCACCAGTCTAGACGGACCCTGAGGTCACCCCAGCAACGCAAAGCAGCTCCATGTGCCCCAAATCAACTCGAGATGAGGCCCGATTCCCCTGCATTGACTCCAGAGCCATTCCCCGTTCCCCATTCAACACGACCGGTGGCTCGACTTCCTTCAGGCAACTCCAGAGATGCCCCGAGAACACTGTCCCAAGTCTAGAGGAACACCAACTTCAGCCCAGCAACTCGAGGAATGCTCCGTGTACCCTAAATCGTCTCGAGATGCGAGCTGATTCCCTGGCTTAGGCTCAAGACGTATGCCAACTTCCCAGAAGCACCTCAGGAGGAGGCTTCTCTCAGCAATAGGTATGTGGGAGGGACCCCGAGTTTGCTGCCTCAAGGGGAATATACAGCGAGAAGCCCTATCTAGAAAGGAGGCCGGATTTCCTTGCAGTGGCTTGAATACAGGCTCGTCTTTCATCTCACAACATGAAGGGATGTCTGAATCCCCTGTGGAGACCTTAGAGAAAGCCCTAGGTCCCTGCCTCATTTTGACGGAATGCCTCACATCCCGCTGACACCTCGAGAGGCACGCGGAGTTCATTGCTTCAAAAGGTGACGATGCCTGACTCCTCTTGAATACTGATAGGAATCCCAAAATCCCTGTGGCTACTGGAAATGGTCCTTGGGTGCCCTGCCTCACCTCGAGAAGCGTCCCTTTGGCCCTGCCAAGCCTCGAAGAGATTCCTGAGGTGTCCCTCGTTACTAGACAGGAGTCCTGACGTCACTGAAGAAACTCGTGTTTTGAAGGGCCATCCCCGCCGTAAGTCGAGAACATACCCCAGGTCCCCGCCGCAACTCGAGAAAAACCATGAGACTTCCCCCTAGAGGCGAGATGAGGCCCCATTCCCCTGCAGTGCATGCAGAGCTATTCCGTGACCCCATTCAAACAAGTCAGGAGCTTCGACTTGCTTAATGGATCTCGAGACAGTCCCCAAGAACACTGTCACCAGTCTAGACGGACCCTGAGGTCACCCCAGCAACGCAAAGCAGCTCCATGTGCCCCAAATCAACTCGAGATGAGGCCCGATTCCCCTGCATTGACTCCAGAGCCATTCCCCGTTCCCCATTCAACACGACCGGTGGCTCGACTTCCTTCAGGCAACTCCAGAGATGCCCCGAGAACACTGTCCCAAGTCTAGAGGAACACCAACTTCAGCACAGCAACTCGAGGAATGCTCCGTGTACCCCAAATCGTCTCGAGATGCGAGCTGATTCCCTGGCTTAGGCTCAAGACGTATGCCAACTTCCCAGAAGCACCTCAGGAGGAGGCTTCTCTCAGCAATAGGTATGTGGGAGGGACCCCGAGTTTGCTGCCTCAAGGGGAATATACAGCGAGAAGCCCTAACTTGAAAGGAGGCCGGATTTCCTTGCAGTGGCTTGAATACAGGCTCGTCTTTCATCTCACAACATGAAGGGATGTCTGAATCCCCTGTGGAGACCTTAGAGAAAGCCCTAGGTCCCTGCCTCATTTTGACGGAATGCCTCACATCCCGCTGACACCTCGAGAGGCACGCGGAGTTCATTGCTTCAAAAGGTGACGATGCCTGACTCCTCTTGAATACTGATAGGAATCCCAAAATCCCTGTGGCTACTGGAAAGGGTCCTTGGGTGCCCTGCCTCACCTCGAGAAGCGTCCCTTTGGCGCTGCCAAGCCTCGAAGAGATTCCTGAGGTGTCCCTCGTTACTAGACAGGAGTCCTGAGGTCACTGAAGAAACTCGTGTTTTGAAGGGCCATCCCCGCCGTAAGTCGAGAACATACCCCAGGTCCCCGCCGCAACTCGAGAAAAACCATGAGACTTCCCCCTAGAGGCGAGATGAGGCCCCATTCCCCTGCAGTGCATGCAGAGCTATTCCGTGATCCCATTCAAACAAGTCAGGAGCTTCGACTTGCTTAATGGATCTCGAGACAGTCCCCAAGAACACTGTCACCAGTCTAGACGGACCCTGAGGTCACCCCAGCAACGCAAAGCAGGTCCATGTGCCCCAAATCAACTCGAGATGAGGCCCGATTCCGCTGCATTGACTCCAGAGCCATTCCCCGTTCCCCATTCAACACGACCGGTGGCTCGACTTCCTTCAGGCAACTCCAGAGATGCCCCGAGAACACTGTCCCAAGTCTAGAGGAACACCAACTTCAGCACAGCAACTCGAGGAATGCTCCGTGTACCCCAAATCGTCTCGAGATGCGAGCTGATTCCCTGGCTTAGGCTCAAGACGTATGCCAACTTCCCAGAAGCACCTCAGGAGGGGGCTTCTCTCAGCAATAGGTATGTGGGAGGGACCCCGAGTTTGCTGCCTCAAGGGGAATATACAGCGAGAAGCCCTAACTTGAAAGGAGGCCGGATTTCCTTGCAGTGGCTTGAATATAGGCTCGTCTTTCATCTCACAACATGAAGGGATGTCTGAATCCCCTGTGGAGACCTTAGAGAAAGCCCTAGGTCCCTGCCTCATTTTGACGGAATGCCTCACATCCCGCTGACACCTCGAGAGGCACGCGGAGTTCATTGCTTCAAAAGGTGACGATGCCTGACTCCTCTTGAATACTGATAGGAATCCCAAAATCCCTGTGGCTACTGGAAAGGGTCCTTGGGTGCCCTGCCTCACCTCGAGAAGCGTCCCTTTGGCCCTGCCAAGCCTCGAAGAGATTCCTGAGGTGTCCCTCGTTACTAGACAGGAGTCCTGACGTCACTGAAGAAACTCGTGTTTTGAAGGGCCATCCCCGCCGTAAGTCGAGAACATACCCCAGGTCCCCGCCGCAACTCGAGAAAAACCATGAGACTTCCCCCTAGAGGCGAGATGAGGCCCCATTCCCCTGCAGTGCATGCAGAGCTATTCCGTGACCCCATTCAAACAAGTCAGGAGCTTCGACTTGCTTAATGGATCTCGAGACAGTCCCCAAGAACACTGTCACCAGTCTAGACGGACCCTGAGGTCACCCCAGCAACGCAAAGCAGCTCCATGTGCCCCAAATCAACTCGAGATGAGGCCCAATTCCCCTGCATTGACTCCAGAGCCATTCCCCGTTCCCCATTCAACACGACCGGTGGCTCGACTTCCTTCAGGCAACTCCAGAGATGCCCCGAGAACACTGTCCCAAGTCTAGAGGAACACCAACTTTAGCACAGCAACTCGAGGAATGCTCCGTGTACCCCAAATCGTCTCGAGATGCGAGCTGATTCCCTGGCTTAGGCTCAAGACGTATGCCAACTTCCCAGAAGCACCTCAGGAGGGGGCTTCTCTCAGCAATAGGTATGTGGGAGGGACCCCGAGTTTGCTGCCTCAAGGGGAATATAGAGCCAGAAGCCCTAACTTGAAAGGAGGCCGGATTTCCTTGCAGTGGCTTGAATACAGGCTCGTCTTTCATCTCACAACATGAAGGGATGTCTGAATCCCCTGTGGAGACCTTAGAGAAAGCCCTAGGTCCCTGCCTCATTTTGACGGAATGCCTCACATCCCGCTGACACATCGAGAGGCACGCGGAGTTCATTGCTTCAAAAGGTGACGATGCCTGACTCCTCTTGAATACTGATAGGAATCCCAAAATCCCTGTGGCTACTGGAAAGGGTCCTTGGGTGCCCTGCCTCACCTCGAGAAGCGTCCCTTTAGCCCTGCCAAGCCTCGAAGAGATTCCTGAGGTGTCCCTCGTTACTAGACAGGAGTCCTGACGTCACTGAAGAAACTCGTGTTTTGAAGGGCCATCCCCGCCGTAAGTCGAGAACATACCCCAGGTCCCCGCCGCAACTCGAGAAAAACCATGAGACTTCCCCCTAGAGGCGAGATGAGGCCCCATTCCCCTGCAGTGCATGCAGAGCTATTCCGTGATCCCATTCAAACAAGTCAGGAGCTTCGACTTGCTTAATGGATCTCGAGACAGTCCCCAAGAACACTGTCACCAGTCTAGACGGACCCTGAGGTCACCCCAGCAACGCAAAGCAGCTCCATGTGCCCCAAATCAACTCGAGATGAGGCCCGATTCCCCTGCATTGACTCCAGAGCCATTCCCCGTTCCCCATTCAACACGACCGGTGGCTCGACTTCCTTCAGGCAACTCCAGAGATGCCCCGAGAACACTGTCCCAAGTCTAGAGGAACACCAACTTCAGCACAGCAACTCGAGGAATGCTCCGTGTACCCCAAATCGTCTCGAGATGCGAACTGATTCCCTGGCTTAGGCTCAAGACGTATGCCAACTTCCCAGAAGCACCTCAGGAGGGGGCTTCTCTGAGCAATAGGTATGTGGGAGGGACCCCGAGTTTGCTGCCTCAAGGGGAATATACAGCGAGAAGCCCTAACTTGAAAGGAGGCCGGATTTCCTTGCAGTGGCTTGAATATAGGCTCGTCTTTCATCTCACAACATGAAGGGATGTCTGAATCCCCTGTGGAGACCTTAGAGAAAGCCCTAGGTCCCTGCCTCATTTTGACGGAATGCCTCACATCCCGCTGACACCTCGAGAGGCACGCGGAGTTCATTGCTTCAAAAGGTGACGATGCCTGACTCCTCTTGAATACTGATAGGAATCCCAAAATCCCTGTGGCTACTGGAAAGGGTCCTTGGGTGCCCTGCCTCACCTCGAGAAGCGTCCCTTTGGCCCTGCCAAGCCTCGAAGAGATTCCTGAGGTGTCCCTCGTTACTAGACAGGAGTCCTGACGTCACTGAAGAAACTCGTGTCTTGAAGGGCCATCCCCGCCGTAAGTCGAGAACATACCCCAGGTCCCCGCCGCAACTCGAGAAAAACCATGAGACTTCCCCCTAGAGGCGAGATGAGGCCCCATTCCCCTGCAGTGCATGCAGAGCTATTCCGTGACCCCATTCAAACAAGTCAGGAGCTTCGACTTGCTTAATGGATCTCGAGACAGTCCCCAAGAACACTGTCACCAGTCTAGACGGACCCTGAGGTCACCCCAGCAACGCAAAGCAGCTCCATGTGCCCCAAATCAACTCGAGATGAGGCCCGATTCCCCTGCATTGACTCCAGAGCCATTCCCCGTTCCCCATTCAACACGACCGGTGGCTCGACTTCCTTCAGGCAACTCCAGAGATGCCCCGAGAACACTGTCCCAAGTCTAGAGGAACACCAACTTCAGCACAGCAACTCGAGAAATGCTCCGTGTACCCCAAATCGTCTCGAGATGCGAGCTGATTCCCTGGCTTAGGCTCAAGACGTATGCCAACTTCCCAGAAGCACCTCAGGAGGGGGCTTCTCTCAGCAATAGGTATGTGGGAGGGACCCCGAGTTTGCTGCCTCAAGGGGAATATACAGCGAGAAGCCCTAACTTGAAAGGAGGCCGGATTTCCTTGCAGTGGCTTGAATACAGGCTCGTCTTTCATCTCACAACATGAAGGGATGTCTGAATCCCCTGTGGAGACCTTAGAGAAAGCCCTAGGTCCCTGCCTCATTTTGACGGAATGCCTCACATCCCGCTGACACCTCGAGAGGCACGCGGAGTTCATTGCTTCAAAAGGTGACGATGCCTGACTCCTCTTGAATACTGATAGGAATCCCAAAATCCCTGTGGCTACTGGAAAGGGTCCTTGGGTGCCCTGCCTCACCTCGAGAAGCGTCCCTTTGGCCCTGCCAAGCCTCGAAGAGATTCCTGAGGTGTCCCTCGTTACTAGACAGGAGTCCTGACGTCACTGAAGAAACTCGTGTTTTGAAGGGCCATCCCCGCCGTAAGTCGAGAACATACCCCAGGTCCCCGCCGCAACTCGAGAAAAACCATGAGACTTCCCCCTAGAGGCGAGATGAGGCCCCATTCCCCTGCAGTGCATGCAGAGCTATTCCGTGACCCCATTCAAACAAGTCAGGAGCTTCGACTTGCTTAATGGATCTCGAGACAGTCCCCAAGAACACTGTCACCAGTCTAGACGGACCCTGAGGTCACCCCAGCAACGCAAAGCAGCTCCATGTGCCCCAAATCAACTCGAGATGAGGCCCGATTCCCCTGCATTGACTCCAGAGCCATTCCCCGTTCCCCATTCAACACGACCGGTGGCTCGACTTCCTTCAGGCAACTCCAGAGATGCCCCGAGAACACTGTCCCAAGTCTAGAGGAACACCAACTTTAGCACAGCAACTCGAGGAATGCTCCGTGTACCCCAAATCGTCTCGAGATGCGAGCTGATTCCCTGGCTTAGGCTCAAGACGTATGCCAACTTCCCAGAAGCACCTCAGGAGGGGGCTTCTCTCAGCAATAGGTATGTGGGAGGGACCCCGAGTTTGCTGCCTCAAGGGGAATATACAGCGAGAAGCCCTAACTTGAAAGGAGGCCGGATTTCCTTGCAGTGGCTTGAATACAGGCTCGTCTTTCATCTCACAACATGAAGGGATGTCTGAATCCCCTGTGGAGACCTTAGAGAAAGCCCTAGGTCCCTGCCTCATTTTGACGGAATGCCTCACATCCCGCTGACACATCGAGAGGCACGCGGAGTTCATTGCTTCAAAAGGTGACGATGCCTGACTCCTCTTGAATACTGATAGGAATCCCAAAATCCCTGTGGCTACTGGAAATGGTCCTTGGGTGCCCTGCCTCACCTCGAGAAGAGTCCCTTTTGCCCTGCCAAGCCTCGAAGAGATTCCTGAGGTGTCCCTCGTTACTAGACAGGAGTCCTGACGTCACTGAAGAAACTCGTGTTTTGAAGGGCCATCCCCGCCGTAAGTCGAGAACATACCCCAGGTCCCCGCCGCAACTCGAGAAAAACCATGAGACTTCCCCCTAGAGGCGAGATGAGGCCCCATTCCCCTGCAGTGCATGCAGAGCTATTCTGTGATCCCATTCAAACAAGTCAGGAGCTTCGACTTGCTTAATGGATCTCGGGACAGTCCCCAAGAACACTGTCACCAGTCTAGACGGACCCTGAGGTCACCCCAGCAACGCAAAGCAGCTCCATGTGCCCCAAATCAACTCGAGATGAGGCCCGATTCCCCTGCATTGACTCCAGAGCCATTCCCCGTTCCCCATTCAACACGACCGGTGGCTCGACTTCCTTCAGGCAACTCCAGAGATGCCCCGAGAACACTGTCCCAAGTCTAGAGGAACACCAACTTCAGCCCAGCAACTCGAGGAATGCTCCGTGTACCCCAAATCGTCTCGAGATGCGAGCTGATTCCCTGGCTTAGGCTCAAGACGTATGCCAACTTCCCAGAAGCACCTCAGGAGGAGGCTTCTCTCAGCAATAGGTATGTGGGAGGGACCCCGAGTTTGCTGCCTCAAGGGGAATATACAGCGAGAAGCCCTAACTTGAAAGGAGGCCGGATTTCCTTGCAGTGGCTTGAATACAGGCTCGTCTTTCATCTCACAACATGAAGGGATGTCTGAATCCCCTGTGGAGACCTTAGAGAAAGCCCTAGGTCCCTGCCTCATTTTGACGGAATGCCTCACATCCCGCTGACACCTCGAGAGGCACGCGGAGTTCATTGCTTCAAAAGGTGACGATGCCTGACTCCTCTTGAATACTGATAGGAATCCCAAAATCCCTGTGGCTACTGGAAAGGGTCCTTGGGTGCCCTGCCTCACCTCGAGAAGCGTCCCTTTGGCCCTGCCAAGCCTCGAAGAGATTCCTGAGGTGTCCCTCGTTACTAGACAGGAGTCCTGACGTCACTGAAGAAACTCGTGTTTTGAAGGGCCATCCCCGCCGTAAGTCGAGAACATACCCCAGGTCCCCGCCGCAACTCGAGAAAAACCATGAGACTTCCCCCTAGAGGCGAGATGAGGCCCCATTCCCCTGCAGTGCATGCAGAGCTATTCCGTGACCCCATTCAAACAAGTCAGGAGCTTCGACTTGCTTAATGGATCTCGAGACAGTCCCCAAGAACACTGTCACCAGTCTAGACGGACCCTGAGGTCACCCCAGCAACGCAAAGAGGCTCCATGTGCCCCAAATCAACTCGAGATGAGGCCCGATTCCCCTGCACTGACTCCAGAGCCATTCCCCGTTCCCCATTCAACACGACCGGTGGCTCGACGTCCTTCAGGCAACTCCAGAGATGCCCCGAGAACACTGTCCCAAGTCTAGAGGAACACCAACTTCAGCACAGCAACTCGAGGAATGCTCCGTGTACCCCAAATCGTCTCGAGATGCGAGCTGATTCCCTGGCTTAGGCTCAAGACGTATGCCAACTTCCCAGAAGCACCTCAGGAGGAGGCTTCTCTCAGCAATAGGTATGTGGGAGGGACCCCGAGTTTGCTGCCTCAAGGGGAATATACAGCGAGAAGCCCTAACTAGAAAGGAGGCCGGATTTCCTTGCAGTGGCTTGAATACAGGCTCGTCTTTCATCTCACAACATGAAGGGATGTCTGAATCCCCTGTGGAGACCTTAGAGAAAGCCCTAGGTCCCTGCCTCATTTTGATGGAATGCCTCACATCCCGCTGACACCTCGAGAGGCACGCGGAGTTCATTGCTTCAAAAGGTGACGATGCCTGACTCCTCTTGAATACTGATAGGAATCCCAAAATCCCTGTGGCTACTGGAAAGGGTCCTTGGGTGCCCTGCCTCACCTCGAGAAGCGTCCCTTTGGCCCTGCCAAGCCTCGAAGAGATTCCTGAGGTGTCCCTCGTTACTAGACAGGAGTCCTGACGTCACTGAAGAAACTCGTGTTTTGAAGGGCCATCCCCGCCGTAAGTCGAGAACATACCCCAGGTCCCCGCCGCAACTCGAGAAAAACCATGAGACTTCCCCCTAGAGGCGAGATGAGGCCCCATTCCCTTGCAGTGCATGCAGAGCTATTCCGTGGTCCCATTCAAACAAGTCAGGAGCTTCGACTTGCTTAATGGATCTCGAGACAGTCCCCAAGAACACTGTCACCAGTCTAGACGGACCCTGAGGTCACCCCAGCAACGCAAAGCAGCTCCATGTGCCCCAAATCAACTCGAGATGAGGCCCGATTCCCCTGCATTGACTCCAGAGCCATTCCCCGTTCCCCATTCAACACGACCGGTGGCTCGACTTCCTTCAGGCAACTCCAGAGATGCCCCGAGAACACTGTCCCAAGTCTAGAGGAACACCAACTTCAGCACAGCAACTCGAGGAATGCTCCGTGTACCCCAAATCGTCTCGAGATGCGAGCTGATTCCCTGGCTTAGGCTCAAGACATAGGCCAACTTCCCAGAAGCACCTCAGGAGGAGACTTCTCTCAGCAATAGGTATGTGGGAGGGACCCCGAGTTTGCTGCCTCAAAGGGAATATACAGCGAGAAGCCCTAACTTGAAAGGAGGCCGGATTTCCTTCCAGTGGCTTGAATACAGGCTCGTCTTTCATCTCACAACATGAAGGGATGTCTGAATCCCCTGTGGAGACCTTAGAGAAAGCCCTAGGTCCCTGCCTCATTTTGACGGAATGCCTCACATCCCGCTGACACCTCGAGAGACACGCGGAGTTCATTGCTTCAAAAGGTGACGATGCCTGACTCCTCTTGAATACTGATAGGAATCCCAAAATCCCTGTGGCTACTGGAAAGGGTCCTTGGGTGCCCTGCCTCACCTCGAGAAGCGTCCCTTTGGCCCTGCCAAGCCTCGAAGAGATTCCTGAGGTGTCCCTCGTTACTAGACAGGAGTCCTGACGTCACTGAAGAAACTCGTGTTTTGAAGGGCCATCCCCGCCGTAAGTCGAGAACATACCCCAGGTCCCCGCCGCAACTCGAGAAAAACCATGAGACTTCCCCCTAGAGGCGAGATGAGGCCCCATTCCCCTGCAGTGCATGCAGAGCTATTCCGTGATCCCATTCAAACAAGTCAGGAGCTTCGACTTGCTTAATGGATCTCGAGACAGTCCCCAAGAACACTGTCACCAGTCTAGACGGACCCTGAGGTCACCCCAGCAACGCAAAGCAGCTCCATGTGCCCCAAATCAACTCGAGATGAGGCCCGATTCCCCTGCATTGACTCCAGAGCCATTCCCCGTTCCCCATTCAACACGACCGGTGGCTCGACTTCCTTCAGGCAACTCCAGAGATGCCCCGAGAACACTGTCCCAAGTCTAGAGGAACACCAACTTCAGCCCAGCAACTCGAGGAATGCTCCGTGTACCCCAAATCGTCTCGAGATGCGAGCTGATTCCCTGGCTTAGGCTCAAGACGTATGCCAACTTCCCAGAAGCACCTCAGGAGGAGGCTTCTCTCAGCAATAGGTATGTGGGAGGGACCCCGAGTTTGCTGCCTCAAGGGGAATATACAGCGAGAAGCCCTAACGTGAAAGGAGGCCGGATTTCCTTGCAGTGGCTTGAATACAGGCTCGTCTTTCATCTCACAACATGAAGGGATGTCTGAATCCCCTGTGGAGACCTTAGAGAAAGCCCTAGGTCCCTGCCTCATTTTGACGGAATGCCTCACATCCCGCTGACACCTCGAGAGGCACGCGGAGTTCATTGCTTCAAAAGGTGACGATGCCTGACTCCTCTTGAATACTGATAGGAATCCCAAAATCCCTGTGGCTACTGGAAAGGGTCCTTGGGTGCCCTGCCTCACCTCGAGAAGCGTCCCTTTGGCCCTGCCAAGGCTCGAAGAGATTCCTGAGGTGTCCCTCGTTACTAGACAGGAGTCCTGACGTCACTGAAGAAACTCGTGTTTTGAAGGGCCATCCCCGCCGTAAGTCGAGAACATACCCCAGGTCCCCGCCGCAACTCGAGAAAAACCATGAGACTTCCCCCTAGAGGCGAGATGAGGCCCCATTCCCCTGCAGTGCATGCAGAGCTATTCCGTGACCCCATTCAAACAAGTCAGGAGCTTCGACTTGCTTAATGGATCTCGAGACAGTCCCCAAGAACACTGTCACCAGTCTAGACGGACCCTGAGGTCACCCCAGCAACGCAAAGCAGCTCCATGTGCCCCAAATCAACTCGAGATGAGGCCCGATTCCCCTGCATTGACTCCAGAGCCATTCCCCGTTCCCCATTCAACACGACCGGTGGCTCGACTTCCTTCAGGCAACTCCAGAGATGCCCCGAGAACACTGTCCCAAGTCTAGAGGAACACCAACTTCAGCACAGCAACTCGAGGAATGCTCCGTGTACCCCAAATCGTCTCGAGATGCGAGCTGATTCCCTGGCTTAGGCTCAAAACGTATGCCAACTTCCCAGAAGCACCTCAGGAGGAGGCTTCTCTCAGCAATAGGTATGTGGGAGGGACCCCGAGTTTGCTGCCTCAAGGGGAATATACAGCGAGAAGCCCTAACGTGAAAGGAGGCCGGATTTCCTTGCAGTGGCTTGAATACAGGCTCGTCTTTCATCTCACAACATGAAGGGATGTCTGAATCCCCTGTGGAGACCTTAGAGAAAGCCCTAGGTCCCTGCCTCATTTTGACGGAATGCCTCACATCCCGCTGACACCTCGAGAGGCACGCGGAGTTCATTGCTTCAAAAGGTGACGATGCCTGACTCCTCTTGAATACTGATAGGAATCCCAAAATCCCTGTGGCTACTGGAAAGGGTCCTTGGGTGCCCTGCCTCACCTCGAGAAGCGTCCCTTTGGCCCTGCCAAGCCTCGAAGAGATTCCTGAGGTGTCCCTCGTTACTAGACAGGAGTCCTGACGTCACTGAAGAAACTCGTGTTTTGAAGGGCCATCCCCGCCGTAAGTCGAGAACATACCCCAGGTCCCCGCCGCAACTCGAGAAAAACCATGAGACTTCCCCCTAGAGGCGAGATGAGGCCCCATTCCCCTGCAGTGCATGCAGAGCTATTCCGTGATCCCATTCAAACAAGTCAGGAGCTTCGACTTGCTTAATGGATCTCGAGACAGTCCCCAAGAACACTGTCACCAGTCTAGACGGACCCTGAGGTCACCCCAGCAACGCAAAGCAGCTCCATGTGCCCCAAATCAACTCGAGATGAGGCCCGATTCCCCTGCATTGACTCCAGAGCCATTCCCCGTTCCCCATTCAACACGACCGGTGGCTCGACTTCCTTCAGGCAACTCCAGAGATGCCCCGAGAACACTGTCCCAAGTCTAGAGGAACACCAACTTCAGCACAGCAACTCGAGGAATGCTCCGTGTACCACAAATCGTCTCGAGATGCGAGCTGATTCCCTGGCTTAGGCTCAAGACATAGGCCAACTTCCCAGAAGCACCTCAGGAGGAGACTTCTCTCAGCAATAGGTATGTGGGAGGGACCCCGAGTTTGCTGCCTCAAAGGGAATATACAGCGAGAAGCCCTAACTTGAAAGGAGGCCGGATTTCCTTCCAGTGGCTTGAATACAGGCTCGTCTTTCATCTCACAACATGAAGGGATGTCTGAATCCCCTGTGGAGACCTTAGAGAAAGCCCTAGGTCCCTGCCTCATTTTGACGGAATGCCTCACATCCCGCTGACACCTCGAGAGGCACGCGGAGTTCATTGCTTCAAAAGGTGACGATGCCTGACTCCTCTTGAATACTGATAGGAATCCCAAAATCCCTGTGGCTACTGGAAAGGGTCCTTGGGTGCCCTGCCTCACCTCGAGAAGCGTCCCTTTGGCCCTGCCAAGCCTCGAAGAGATTCCTGAGGTGTCCCTCGTTACTAGACAGGAGTCCTGACGTCACTGAAGAAACTCGTGTTTTGAAGGGCCATCCCTGCCGTAAGTCGAGAACATACCCCAGGTCCCCGCCGCAACTCGAGAAAAACCATGAGACTTCCCCCTAGAGGCGAGATGAGGCCCCATTCCCCTGCAGTGCATGCAGAGCTATTCCGTGATCCCATTCAAACAAGTCAGGAGCTTCGACTTGCTTAATGGATCTCGAGACAGTCCCCAAGAACACTGTCACCAGTCTAGACGGACCCTGAGGTCACCCCAGCAACGCAAAGCAGCTCCATGTGCCCCAAATCAACTCAAGATGAGGCCCGATTCCCCTGCATTGACTCCAGAGCCATTCCCCGTTCCCCATTCAACACGACCGGTGGCTCGACTTCCTTCAGGCAACTCCAGAGATGCCCCGAGAACACTGTCCCAAGTCTAGAGGAACACCAACTTCAGCCCAGCAACTCGAGGAATGCTCCGTGTACCCCAAATCGTCTCGAGATGCGAGCTGATTCCCTGGCTTAGGCTCAAAACGTATGCCAACTTCCCAGAAGCACCTCAGGAGGAGGCTTCTCTCAGCAATAGGTATGTGGGAGGGACCCCGAGTTTGCTGCCTCAAGGGGAATATACAGCGAGAAGCCCTAACGTGAAAGGAGGCCGGATTTCCTTGCAGTGGCTTGAATACAGGCTCGTCTTTCATCTCACAACATGAAGGGATGTCTGAATCCCCTGTGGAGACCTTAGAGAAAGCCCTAGGTCCCTGCCTCATTTTGACGGAATGCCTCACATCCCGCTGACACCTCGAGAGGCACGCGGACTTCATTGCTTCAAAAGGTGACGATGCCTGACTCCTCTTGAATACTGATAGGAATCCCAAAATCCCTGTGGCTACTGGAAAGGGTCCTTGGGTGCCCTGCCTCACCTCGAGAAGCGTCCCTTTGGCCCTGCCAAGCCTCGAAGAGATTCCTGAGGTGTCCCTCGTTACTAGACAGGAGTCCTGACGTCACTGAAGAAACTCGTGTTTTGAAGGGCCATCCCCGCCGTAAGTCGAGAACATACCCCAGGTCCCCGCCGCAACTCGAGAAAAACCATGAGACTTCCCCCTAGAGGCGAGATGAGGCCCCATTCCCCTGCAGTGCATGCAGAGCTATTCCGTGATCCCATTCAAACAAGTCAGGAGCTTCGACTTGCTTAATGGATCTCGAGACAGTCCCCAAGAACACTGTCACCAGTCTAGACGGACCCTGAGGTCACCCCAGCAACGCAAAGCAGCTCCATGTGCCCCAAATCAACTCGAGATGAGGCCCGATTCCCCTGCATTGACTCCAGAGCCATTCCCCGTTCCCCATTCAACACGACCGGTGGCTCGACTTCCTTCAGGCAACTCCAGAGATGCCCCGAGAACACTGTCCCAAGTCTAGAGGAACACCAACTTCAGCACAGCAACTCGAGGAATGCTCCGTGTACCCCAAATCGTCTCGAGATGCGAGCTGATTCCCTGGCTTAGGCTCAAGACATAGGCCAACTTCCCAGAAGCACCTCAGGAGGAGACTTCTCTCAGCAATAGGTATGTGGGAGGGACCCCGAGTTTGCTGCCTCAAAGGGAATATACAGCGAGAAGCCCTAACTTGAAAGGAGGCCGGATTTCCTTCCAGTGGCTTGAATACAGGCTCGTCTTTCATCTCACAACATGAAGGGATGTCTGAATCCCCTGTGGAGACCTTAGAGAAAGCCCTAGGTCCCTGCCTCATTTTGACGGAATGCCTCACATCCCGCTGACACCTCGAGAGGCACGCGGAGTTCATTGCTTCAAAAGGTGACGATGCCTGACTCCTCTTGAATACTGATAGGAATCCCAAAATCCCTGTGGCTACTGGAAAGGGTCCTTGGGTGCCCTGCCTCACCTCGAGAAGCGTCCCTTTGGCCCTGCCAAGCCTCGAAGAGATTCCTGAGGTGTCCCTCGTTACTAGACAGGAGTCCTGACGTCACTGAAGAAACTCGTGTTTTGAAGGGCCATCCCCGCCGTAAGTCGAGAACATACCCCAGGTCCCCGCCGCAACTCGAGAAAAACCATGAGACTTCCCCCTAGAGGCGAGATGAGGCCCCATTCCCCTGCAGTGCATGCAGAGCTATTCCGTGATCCCATTCAAACAAGTCAGGAGCTTCGACTTGCTTAATGGATCTCGAGACAGTCCCCAAGAACACTGTCACCAGTCTAGACGGACCCTGAGGTCACCCCAGCAACGCAAAGCAGCTCCATGTGCCCCAAATCAACTCGAGATGAGGCCCGATTCCCCTGCATTGACTCCAGAGCCATTCCCCGTTCCCCATTCAACACGACCGGTGGCTCGACTTCCTTCAGGCAACTCCAGAGATGCCCCGAGAACACTGTCCCAAGTCTAGAGGAACACCAACTTCAGCACAGCAACTCGAGGAATGCTCCGTGTACCCTAAATCGTCTCGAGATGCGAGCTGATTCCCTGGCTTAGGCTCAAGACGTATGCCAACTTCCCAGAAGCACCTCAGGAGGAGGCTTCTCTCAGCAATAGGTATGTGGGAGGGACCCCGAGTTTGCTGCCTCAAGGGGAATATACAGCGAGAAGCCCTATCTAGAAAGGAGGCCGGATTTCCTTGCAGTGGCTTGAATACAGGCTCGTCTTTCATCTCACAACATGAAGGGATGTCTGAATCCCCTGTGGAGACCTTAGAGAAAGCCCTAGGTCCCTGCCTCATTTTGACGGAATGCCTCACATCCCGCTGACACCTCGAGAGGCACGCGGAGTTCATTGCTTCAAAAGGTGACGATGCCTGACTCCTCTTGAATACTGATAGGAATCCCAAAATCCCTGTGGCTACTGGAAAGGGTCCTTGGGTGCCCTGCCTCACCTCGAGAAGCGTCCCTTTGGCCCTGCCAAGCCTCGAAGAGATTCCTGAGGTGTCCCTCGTTACTAGACAGGAGTCCTGATGTCACTGAAGAAACTCGTGTTTTGAAGGGCCATCCCCGCCGTAAGTCGAGAACATACCCCAGGTCCCCGCCGCAACTCGAGAAAAACCATGAGACTTCCCCCTAGAGGCGAGATGAGGCCCCATTCCCCTGCAGTGCATGCAGAGCTATTCCGTGATCCCATTCAAACAAGTCAGGAGCTTCGACTTGCTTAATGGATCTCGAGACAGTCCCCAAGAACACTGTCACCAGTCTAGACGGACCCTGAGGTCACCCCAGCAACGCAAAGCAGCTCCATGTGCCCCAAATCAACTCGAGATGAGGCCCGATTCCCCTGCATTGACCCAAGAGCCATTCCCCGTTCCCCATTCAACACGACCGGTGGCTCGACTTCCTTCAGGCAACTCCAGAGATGCCCCGAGAACACTGTCCCAAGTCTAGAGGAACACCAACTTCAGCACAGCAACTCGAGGAATGCTCCGTGTACCCCAAATCGTCTCGAGATGCGAGCTGATTCCCTGGCTTAGGCTCAAGACGTATGCCAACTTCCCAGAAGCACCTCAGGAGGAGGCTTCTCTCAGCAATAGGTATGTGGGAGGGACCCCGAGTTTGCTGCCTCAAGGGGAATATACAGCGAGAAGCCCTAACGTGAAAGGAGGCCGGATTTCCTTGCAGTGGCTTGAATACAGGCTCGTCTTTCATCTCACAACATGAAGGGATGTCTGAATCCCCTGTGGAGACCTTAGAGAAAGCCCTAGGTCCCTGCCTCATTTTGACGGAATGCCTCACATCCCGCTGACACCTCGAGAGGCACGCGGAGTTCATTGCTTCAAAAGGTGACGATGCCTGACTCCTCTTGAATACTGATAGGAATCCCAAAATCCCTGTGGCTACTGGAAAGGGTCCTTGGGTGCCCTGCCTCACCTCGAGAAGCGTCCCTTTGGCCCTGCCAAGCCTCGAAGAGATTCCTGAGGTGTCCCTCGTTACTAGACAGGAGTCCTGACGTCACTGAAGAAACTCGTGTTTTGAAGGGCCATCCCCGCCGTAAGTCGAGAACATACCCCAGGTCCCCGCCGCAACTCGAGAAAAACCATGAGACTTCCCCCTAGAGGCGAGATGAGGCCCCATTCCCCTGCAGTGCATGCAGAGCTATTCCGTGATCCCATTCAAACAAGTCAGGAGCTTCGACTTGCTTAATGGATCTCGAGACAGTCCCCAAGAACACTGTCACCAGTCTAGACGGACCCTGAGGTCACCCCAGCAACGCAAAGCAGCTCCATGTGCCCCAAATCAACTCGAGATGAGGCCCGATTCCCCTGCATTGACTCCAGAGCCATTCCCCGTTCCCCATTCAACACGACCGGTGGCTCGACTTCCTTCAGGCAACTCCAGAGATGCCCCGAGAACACTGTCCCAAGTCTAGAGGAACACCAACTTCAGCACAGCAACTCGAGGAATGCTCCGTGTACCCCAAATCGTCTCGAGATGCGAGCTGATTCCCTGGCTTAGGCTCAAGACGTATGCCAACTTCCCAGAAGCACCTCAGGAGGAGGCTTCTCTCAGCAATAGGTATGTGGGAGGGACCCCGAGTTTGCTGCCTCAAGGGGAATATACAGCGAGAAGCCCTAACTAGAAAGGAGGCCGGATTTCCTTGCAGTGGCTTGAATACAGGCTCGTCTTTCATCTCACAACATGAAGGGATGTCTGAATCCCCTGTGGAGACCTTAGAGAAAGCCCTAGGTCCCTGCCTCATTTTGACGGAATGCCTCACATCCCGCTGACACCTCGAGAGGCACGCGGAGTTCATTGCTTCAAAAGGTGACGATGCCTGACTCCTCTTGAATACTGATAGGAATCCCAAAATCCCTGTGGCTACTGGAAAGGGTCCTTGGGTGCCCTGCCTCACCTCGAGAAGCGTCCCTTTGGCCCTGCCAAGCCTCGAAGAGATTCCTGAGGTGTCCCTCGTTACTAGACAGGAGTCCTGACGTCACTGAAGAAACTCGTGTTTTGAAGGGCCATCCCCGCCGTAAGTCGAGAACATACCCCAGGTCCCCGCCGCAACTCGAGAAAAACCATGAGACTTCCCCCTAGAGGCGAGATGAGGCCCCATTCCCCTGCAGTGCATGCAGAGCTATTCCGTGATCCCATTCAAACAAGTCAGGAGCTTCGACTTGCTTAATGGATCTCGAGACAGTCCCCAAGAACACTGTCACCAGTCTAGACGGACCCTGAGGTCACCCCAGCAACGCAAAGCAGCTCCATGTGCCCCAAATCAACTCGAGATGAGGCCCGATTCCCCTGAAATGACTCCAGAGCCATTCCCCGTTCCCCATTCAACACGACCGGTGGCTCGACTTCCTTCAGGCAACTCCAGAGATGCCCCGAGAACACTGTCCCAAGTCTAGAGGAACACCAACTTCAGCACAGCAACTCGAGGAATGCTCCGTGTACCCCAAATCGTCTCGAGATGCGAGCTGATTCCCTGGCTTAGGCTCAAGACGTATGCCAACTTCCCAGAAGCACCTCAGGAGGAGGCTTCTCTCAGCAATAGGTATGTGGGAGGGACCCCGAGTTTGCTGCCTCAAGGGGAATATACAGCGAGAAGCCCTAACGTGAAAGGAGGCCGGATTTCCTTGCAGTGGCTTGAATACAGGCTCGTCTTTCATCTCACAACATGAAGGGATGTCTGAATCCCCTGTGGAGACCTTAGAGAAAGCCCTAGGTCCCTGCCTCATTTTGACGGAATGCCTCACATCCCGCTGACACCTCGAGAGGCACGCGGAGTTCATTGCTTCAAAAGGTGACGATGCCTGACTCCTCTTGAATACTGATAGGAATCCCAAAATCCCTGTGGCTACTGGAAAGGGTCCTTGGGTGCCCTGCCTCACCTCGAGAAGCGTCCCTTTGGCCCTGCCAAGCCTCGAAGAGATTCCTGAGGTGTCCCTCGTTACTAGACAGGAGTCCTGACGTCACTGAAGAAACTCGTGTTTTGAAGGGCCATCCCCGCCGTAAGTCGAGAACATACCCCAGGTCCCCGCCGCAACTCGAGAAAAACCATGAGACTTCCCCCTAGAGGCGAGATGAGGCCCCATTCCCCTGCAGTGCATGCAGAGCTATTCCGTGACCCCATTCAAACAAGTCAGGAGCTTCGACTTGCTTAATGGATCTCGAGACAGTCCCCAAGAACACTGTCACCAGTCTAGACGGACCCTGAGGTCACCCCAGCAACGCAAAGCAGCTCCATGTGCCCCAAATCAACTCGAGATGAGGCCCGATTCCCCTGCATTGACTCCAGAGCCATTCCCCGTTCCCCATTCAACACGACCGGTGGCTCGACTTCCTTCAGGCAACTCCAGAGATGCCCCGAGAACACTGTCCCAAGTCTAGAGGAACACCAACTTCAGCACAGCAACTCGAGGAATGCTCCGTGTACCCCAAATCGTCTCGAGATGCGAGCTGATTCCCTGGCTTAGGCTCAAGACGTATGCCAACTTCCCAGAAGCACCTCAGGAGGAGGCTTCTCTCAGCAATAGGTATGTGGGAGGGACCCCGAGTTTGCTGCCTCAAGGGGAATATACAGCGAGAAGCCCTAACGTGAAAGGAGGCCGGATTTCCTTGCAGTGGCTTGAATACAGGCTCGTCTTTCATCTCACAACATGACGGGATGTCTGAATCCCCTGTGGAGACCTTAGAGAAAGCCCTAGGTCCCTGCCTCATTTTGACGGAATGCCTCACATCCCGCTGACACCTCGAGAGGCACGCGGAGTTCATTGCTTCAAAAGGTGACGATGCCTGACTCCTCTTGAATACTGATAGGAATCCCAAAATCCCTGTGGCTACTGGAAAGGGTCCTTGGGTGCCCTGCCTCACCTCGAGAAGCGTCCCTTTGGCCCTGCCAAGCCTCGAAGAGATTCCTGAGGTGTCCCTCGTTACTAGACAGGAGTCCTGACGTCACTGAAGAAACTCGTGTTTTGAAGGGCCATCCCCGCCGTAAGTCGAGAACATACCCCAGGTCCCCGCCGCAACTCGAGAAAAACCATGAGACTTCCCCCTAGAGGCGAGATGAGGCCCCATTCCCCTGCAGTGCATGCAGAGCTATTCCGTGATCCCATTCAAACAAGTCAGGAGCTTCGACTTGCTTAATGGATCTCGAGACAGTCCCCAAGAACACTGTCACCAGTCTAGACGGACCCTGAGGTCACCCCAGCAACGCAAAGCAGCTCCATGTGCCCCAAATCAACTCGAGATGAGGCCCGATTCCCCTGCATTGACTCCAGAGCCATTCCCCGTTCCCCATTCAACACGACCGGTGGCTCGACTTCCTTCAGGCAACTCCAGAGATGCCCCGAGAACACTGTCCCAAGTCTAGAGGAACACCAACTTCAGCCCAGCAACTCGAGGAATGCTCCGTGTACCCCAAATCGTCTCGAGATGCGAGCTGATTCCCTGGCTTAGGCTCAAAACGTATGCCAACTTCCCAGAAGCACCTCAGGAGGAGGCTTCTCTCAGCAATAGGTATGTGGGAGGGACCCCGAGTTTGCTGCCTCAAGGGGAATATACAGCGAGAAGCCCTAACTTGAAAGGAGGCCGGATTTCCTTGCAGTGGCTTGAATACAGGCTCGTCTTTCATCTCACAAGATGAAGGGATGTCTGAATCCCCTGTGGAGACCTTAGAGAAAGCCCTAGGTCCCTGCCTCATTTTGACGGAATGCCTCACATCCCGCTGACACCTCGAGAGGCACGCGGAGTTCATTGCTTCAAAAGGTGACGATGCCTGACTCCTCTTGAATACTGATAGGAATCCCAAAATCCCTGTGGCTACTGGAAAGGGTCCTTGGGTGCCCTGCCTCACCTCGAGAAGCGTCCCTTTGGCCCTGCCAAGCCTCGAAGAGATTCCTGAGGTGTCCCTCATTACTAGACAGGAGTCCTGACGTCACTGAAGAAACTCGTGTTTTGAAGGGCCATCCCCGCCGTAAGTCGAGAACATACCCCAGGTCCCCGCCGCAACTCGAGAAAAACCATGAGACTTCCCCCTAGAGGCGAGATGAGGCCCCATTCCCCTGCAGTGCATGCAGAGCTATTCCGTGATCCCATTCAAACAAGTCAGGAGCTTCGACTTGCTTAATGGATCTCGAGACAGTCCCCAAGAACACTGTCACCAGTCTAGACGGACCCTGAGGTCACCCCAGCAACGCAAAGCAGCTCCATGTGCCCCAAATCAACTCGAGATGAGGCCCGATTCCCCTGCATTGACTCCAGAGCCATTCCCCGTTCCCCATTCAACACGACCGGTGGCTCGACTTCCTTCAGGCAACTCCAGAGATGCCCCGAGAACACTGTCCCAAGTCTAGAGGAACACCAACTTCAGCCCAGCAACTCGAGGAATGCTCCGTGTACCCTAAATCGTCTCGAGATGCGAGCTGATTCCCTGGCTTAGGCTCAAGACGTATGCCAACTTCCCAGAAGCACCTCAGGAGGAGGCTTCTCTCAGCAATAGGTATGTGGGAGGGACCCCGAGTTTGCTGCCTCAAGGGGAATATACAGCGAGAAGCCCTATCTAGAAAGGAGGCCGGATTTCCTTGCAGTGGCTTGAATACAGGCTCGTCTTTCATCTCACAACATGAAGGGATGTCTGAATCCCCTGTGGAGACCTTAGAGAAAGCCCTAGGTCCCTGCCTCATTTTGACGGAATGCCTCACATCCCGCTGACACCTCGAGAGGCACGCGGAGTTCATTGCTTCAAAAGGTGACGATGCCTGACTCCTCTTGAATACTGATAGGAATCCCAAAATCCCTGTGGCTACTGGAAAGGGTCCTTGGGTGCCCTGCCTCACCTCGAGAAGCGTCCCTTTGGCCCTGCCAAGCCTCGAAGAGATTCCTGAGGTGTCCCTCGTTACTAGACAGGAGTCCTGACGTCACTGAAGAAACTCGTGTTTTGAAGGGCCATCCCCGCCGTAAGTCGAGAACATACCCCAGGTCCCCGCCGCAACTCGAGAAAAACCATGAGACTTCCCCCTAGAGGCGAGATGAGGCCCCATTCCCCTGCAGTGCATGCAGAGCTATTCCGTGATCCCATTCAAACAAGTCAGGAGCTTCGACTTGCTTAATGGATCTCGAGACAGTCCCCAAGAACACTGTCACCAGTCTAGACGGACCCTGAGGTCACCCCAGCAACGCAAAGCAGCTCCATGTGCCCCAAATCAACTCGAGATGAGGCCCGATTCCCCTGAAATGACTCCAGAGCCATTCCCCGTTCCCCATTCAACACGACCGGTGGCTCGACTTCCTTCAGGCAACTCCAGAGATGCCCCGAGAACACTGTCCCAAGTCTAGAGGAACACCAACTTCAGCACAGCAACTCGAGGAATGCTCCGTGTACCACAAATCGTCTCGAGATGCGAGCTGATTCCCTGGCTTAGGCTCAAGACGTATGCCAACTTCCCAGAAGCACCTCAGGAGGAGGCTTCTCTGAGCAATAGGTATGTGGGAGGGACCCCGAGTTTGCTGCCTCAAGGGGAATATACAGCGAGAAGCCCTAACTTGAAAGGAGGCCGGATTTCCTTGCAGTGGCTTGAATACAGGCTCGTCTTTCATCTCACAACATGAAGGGATGTCTGAATCCCCTGTGGAGACCTTAGAGAAAGCCCTAGGTCCCTGCCTCATTTTGACGGAATGCCTCACATCCCGCTGACACCTCGAGAGGCACGCGGAGTTCATTGCTTCAAAAGGTGACGATGCCTGACTCCTCTTGAATACTGATAGGAATCCCAAAATCCCTGTGGCTACTGGAAAGGGTCCTTGGGTGCCCTGCCTCACCTCGAGAAGCGTCCCTTTGGCCCTGCCAAGCCTCGAAGAGATTCCTGAGGTGTCCCTCGTTACTAGAGAGGAGTCCTGACGTCACTGAAGAAACTCGTGTTTTGAAGGGCCATCCCCGCCGTAAGTCGAGAACATACCCCAGGTCCCCGCCGCAACTCGAGAAAAACCATGAGACTTCCCCCTAGAGGCGAGATGAGGCCCCATTCCCCTGCAGTGCATGCAGAGCTATTCCGTGACCCCATTCAAACAAGTCAGGAGCTTCGACTTGCTTAATGGATCTCGAGACAGTCCCCAAGAACACTGTCACCAGTCTAGACGGACCCTGAGGTCACCCCAGCAACGCAAAGCAGCTCCATGTGCCCCAAATCAACTCGAGATGAGGCCCGATTCCCCTGCACTGACTCCAGAGCCATTCCCCGTTCCCCATTCAACACGACCGGTGGCTCGACTTCCTTCAGGCAACTCCAGAGATGGCCCGAGAACACTGTCCCAAGTCTAGAGGAACACCAACTTCAGCACAGCAACTCGAGGAATGCTCCGTGTACCCCAAATCGTCTCGAGATGCGAGCTGATTCCCTGGCTTAGGCTCAAGACGTATGCCAACTTCCCAGAAGCACCTCAGGAGGGGGCTTCTCTCAGCAATAGGTATGTGGGAGGGACCCCGAGTTTGCTGCCTCAAGGGGAATATACAGCGAGAAGCCCTAACGTGAAAGGAGGCCGGATTTCCTTGCAGTGGCTTGAATACAGGCTCGTCTTTCATCTCACAACATGAAGGGATGTCTGAATCCCCTGTGGAGACCTTAGAGAAAGCCCTAGGTCCCTGCCTCATTTTGACGGAATGCCTCACATCCCGCTGACACCTCGAGAGGCACGCGGAGTTCATTGCTTCAAAAGGTGACGATGCCTGACTCCTCTTGAATACTGATAGGAATCCCAAAATCCCTGTGGCTACTGGAAAGGGTCCTTGGGTGCCCTGCCTCACCTCGAGAAGCGTCCCTTTGGCCCTGCCAAGCCTCGAAGAGATTCCTGAGGTGTCCCTCGTTACTAGACAGGAGTCCTGACGTCACTGAAGAAACTCGTGTTTTGAAGGGCCATCCCCGCCGTAAGTCGAGAACATACCCCAGGTCCCCGCCGCAACTCGAGAAAAACCATGAGACTTCCCCCTAGAGGCGAGATGAGGCCCCATTCCCCTGCAGTGCATGCAGAGCTATTCCGTGACCCCATTCAAACAAGTCAGGAGCTTCGACTTGCTTAATGGATCTCGAGACAGTCCCCAAGAACACTGTCACCAGTCTAGACGGACCCTGAGGTCACCCCAGCAACGCAAAGCAGCTCCATGTGCCCCAAATCAACTCGAGATGAGGCCCGATTCCCCTGCATTGACTCCAGAGCCATTCCCCGTTCCCCATTCAACACGACCGGTGGCTCGACTTCCTTCAGGCAACTCCAGAGATGCCCCGAGAACACTGTCCCAAGTCTAGAGGAACACCAACTTCAGCACAGCAACTCGAGGAATGCTCCGTGTACCCCAAATCGTCTCGAGATGCGAGCTGATTCCCTGGCTTAGGCTCAAGACGTATGCCAACTTCCCAGAAGCACCTCAGGAGGAGGCTTCTCTCAGCAATAGGTATGTGGGAGGGACCCCGAGTTTGCTGCCTCAAGGGGAATATACAGCGAGAAGCCCTAACGTGAAAGGAGGCCGGATTTCCTTGCAGTGGCTTGAATACAGGCTCGTCTTTCATCTCACAACATGACGGGATGTCTGAATCCCCTGTGGAGACCTTAGAGAAAGCCCTAGGTCCCTGCCTCATTTTGACGGAATGCCTCACATCCCGCTGACACCTCGAGAGGCACGCGGAGTTCATTGCTTCAAAAGGTGACGATGCCTGACTCCTCTTGAATACTGATAGGAATCCCAAAATCCCTGTGGCTACTGGAAAGGGTCCTTGGGTGCCCTGCCTCACCTCGAGAAGCGTCCCTTTGGCCCTGCCAAGCCTCGAAGAGATTCCTGAGGTGTCCCTCGTTACTAGACAGGAGTCCTGACGTCACTGAAGAAACTCGTGTTTTGAAGGGCCATCCCCGCCGTAAGTCGAGAACATACCCCAGGTCCCCGCCGCAACTCGAGAAAAACCATGAGACTTCCCCCTAGAGGCGAGATGAGGCCCCATTCCCCTGCAGTGCATGCAGAGCTATTCCGTGATCCCATTCAAACAAGTCAGGAGCTTCGACTTGCTTAATGGATCTCGAGACAGTCCCCAAGAACACTGTCACCAGTCTAGACGGACCCTGAGGTCACCCCAGCAACGCAAAGCAGCTCCATGTGCCCCAAATCAACTCGAGATGAGGCCCGATTCCCCTGCATTGACTCCAGAGCCATTCCCCGTTCCCCATTCAACACGACCGGTGGCTCGACTTCCTTCAGGCAACTCCAGAGATGCCCCGAGAACACTGTCCCAAGTCTAGAGGAACACCAACTTCAGCCCAGCAACTCGAGGAATGCTCCGTGTACCCCAAATCGTCTCGAGATGCGAGCTGATTCCCTGGCTTAGGCTCAAAACGTATGCCAACTTCCCAGAAGCACCTCAGGAGGAGGCTTCTCTCAGCAATAGGTATGTGGGAGGGACCCCGAGTTTGCTGCCTCAAGGGGAATATACAGCGAGAAGCCCTAACTTGAAAGGAGGCCGGATTTCCTTGCAGTGGCTTGAATACAGGCTCGTCTTTCATCTCACAAGATGAAGGGATGTCTGAATCCCCTGTGGAGACCTTAGAGAAAGCCCTAGGTCCCTGCCTCATTTTGACGGAATGCCTCACATCCCGCTGACACCTCGAGAGGCACGCGGAGTTCATTGCTTCAAAAGGTGACGATGCCTGACTCCTCTTGAATACTGATAGGAATCCCAAAATCCCTGTGGCTACTGGAAAGGGTCCTTGGGTGCCCTGCCTCACCTCGACAAGCGTCCCTTTGGCCCTGCCAAGCCTCGAAGAGATTCCTGAGGTGTCCCTCATTACTAGACAGGAGTCCTGACGTCACTGAAGAAACTCGTGTTTTGAAGGGCCATCCCCGCCGTAAGTCGAGAACATACCCCAGGTCCCCGCCGCAACTCGAGAAAAACCATGAGACTTCCCCCTAGAGGCGAGATGAGGCCCCATTCCCCTGCAGTGCATGCAGAGCTATTCCGTGATCCCATTCAAACAAGTCAGGAGCTTCGACTTGCTTAATGGATCTCGAGACAGTCCCCAAGAACACTGTCACCAGTCTAGACGGACCCTGAGGTCACCCCAGCAACGCAAAGCAGCTCCATGTGCCCCAAATCAACTCGAGATGAGGCCCGATTCCCCTGCATTGACTCCAGAGCCATTCCCCGTTCCCCATTCAACACGACCGGTGGCTCGACTTCCTTCAGGCAACTCCAGAGATGCCCCGAGAACACTGTCCCAAGTCTAGAGGAACACCAACTTCAGCCCAGCAACTCGAGGAATGCTCCGTGTACCCTAAATCGTCTCGAGATGCGAGCTGATTCCCTGGCTTAGGCTCAAGACGTATGCCAACTTCCCAGAAGCACCTCAGGAGGAGGCTTCTCTCAGCAATAGGTATGTGGGAGGGACCCCGAGTTTGCTGCCTCAAGGGGAATATACAGCGAGAAGCCCTATCTAGAAAGGAGGCCGGATTTCCTTGCAGTGGCTTGAATACAGGCTCGTCTTTCATCTCACAACATGAAGGGATGTCTGAATCCCCTGTGGAGACCTTAGAGAAAGCCCTAGGTCCCTGCCTCATTTTGACGGAATGCCTCACATCCCGCTGACACCTCGAGAGGCACGCGGAGTTCATTGCTTCAAAAGGTGACGATGCCTGACTCCTCTTGAATACTGATAGGAATCCCAAAATCCCTGTGGCTACTGGAAAGGGTCCTTGGGTGCCCTGCCTCACCTCGAGAAGCGTCCCTTTGGCCCTGCCAAGCCTCGAAGAGATTCCTGAGGTGTCCCTCGTTACTAGACAGGAGTCCTGACGTCACTGAAGAAACTCGTGTTTTGAAGGGCCATCCCCGCCGTAAGTCGAGAACATACCCCAGGTCCCCGCCGCAACTCGAGAAAAACCATGAGACTTCCCCCTAGAGGCGAGATGAGGCCCCATTCCCCTGCAGTGCATGCAGAGCTATTCCGTGATCCCATTCAAACAAGTCAGGAGCTTCGACTTGCTTAATGGATCTCGAGACAGTCCCCAAGAACACTGTCACCAGTCTAGACGGACCCTGAGGTCACCCCAGCAACGCAAAGCAGCTCCATGTGCCCCAAATCAACTCGAGATGAGGCCCGATTCCCCTGAAATGACTCCAGAGCCATTCCCCGTTCCCCATTCAACACGACCGGTGGCTCGACTTCCTTCAGGCAACTCCAGAGATGCCCCGAGAACACTGTCCCAAGTCTAGAGGAACACCAACTTCAGCACAGCAACTCGAGGAATGCTCCGTGTACCACAAATCGTCTCGAGATGCGAGCTGATTCCCTGGCTTAGGCTCAAGACGTATGCCAACTTCCCAGAAGCACCTCAGGAGGAGGCTTCTCTGAGCAATAGGTATGTGGGAGGGACCCCGAGTTTGCTGCCTCAAGGGGAATATACAGCGAGAAGCCCTAACTTGAAAGGAGGCCGGATTTCCTTGCAGTGGCTTGAATACAGGCTCGTCTTTCATCTCACAACATGAAGGGATGTCTGAATCCCCTGTGGAGACCTTAGAGAAAGCCCTAGGTCCCTGCCTCATTTTGACGGAATGCCTCACATCCCGCTGACACCTCGAGAGGCACGCGGAGTTCATTGCTTCAAAAGGTGACGATGCCTGACTCCTCTTGAATACTGATAGGAATCCCAAAATCCCTGTGGCTACTGGAAAGGGTCCTTGGGTGCCCTGCCTCACCTCGAGAAGCGTCCCTTTGGCCCTGCCAAGCCTCGAAGAGATTCCTGAGGTGTCCCTCGTTACTAGAGAGGAGTCCTGACGTCACTGAAGAAACTCGTGTTTTGAAGGGCCATCCCCGCCGTAAGTCGAGAACATACCCCAGGTCCCCGCCGCAACTCGAGAAAAACCATGAGACTTCCCCCTAGAGGCGAGATGAGGCCCCATTCCCCTGCAGTGCATGCAGAGCTATTCCGTGACCCCATTCAAACAAGTCAGGAGCTTCGACTTGCTTAATGGATCTCGAGACAGTCCCCAAGAACACTGTCACCAGTCTAGACGGACCCTGAGGTCACCCCAGCAACGCAAAGCAGCTCCATGTGCCCCAAATCAACTCGAGATGAGGCCCGATTCCCCTGCACTGACTCCAGAGCCATTCCCCGTTCCCCATTCAACACGACCGGTGGCTCGACTTCCTTCAGGCAACTCCAGAGATGGCCCGAGAACACTGTCCCAAGTCTAGAGGAACACCAACTTCAGCACAGCAACTCGAGGAATGCTCCGTGTACCCCAAATCGTCTCGAGATGCGAGCTGATTCCCTGGCTTAGGCTCAAGACGTATGCCAACTTCCCAGAAGCACCTCAGGAGGGGGCTTCTCTCAGCAATAGGTATGTGGGAGGGACCCCGAGTTTGCTGCCTCAAGGGGAATATACAGCGAGAAGCCCTAACTTGAAAGGAGGCCGGATTTCCTTGCAGTGGCTTGAATACAGGCTCGTCTTTCATCTCACAACATGAAGGGATGTCTGAATCCCCTGTGGAGACCTTAGAGAAAGCCCTAGGTCCCTGCCTCATTTTGACGGAATGCCTCACATCCCGCTGACACCTCGAGAGGCACGCGGAGTTCATTGCTTCAAAAGGTGACGATGCCTGACTCCTCTTGAATACTGATAGGAATCCCAAAATCCCTGTGGCTACTGGAAAGGGTCCTTGGGTGCCCTGCCTCACCTCGAGAAGCGTCCCTTTGGCCCTGCCAAGCCTCGAAGAGATTCCTGAGGTGTCCCTTGTTACTAGACAGGAGTCCTGACGTCACTGAAGAAACTCGTGTTTTGAAGGGCCATCCCCGCCGTAAGTCGAGAACATACCCCAGGTCCCCGCCGCAACTCGAGAAAAACCATGAGACTTCCCCCTACAGGCGAGATGAGGCCCCCTTCCCCTGCAGTGCATGCAGAGCTATTCCGTGACCCCATTCAAACAAGTCAGGAGCTTCGACTTGCTTAATGGATCTCGAGACAGTCCCCAAGAACACTGTCACCAGTCTAGACGGACCCTGAGGTCACCCCAGCAACGCAAAGCAGCTCCATGTGCCCCAAATGAACTCGAGATGAGGCCCGATTCCCCTGCATTGACTCCAGAGCCATTCCCCGTTCCCCATTCAACACGACCGGTGGCTCGACTTCCTTCAGGCAACTCCAGAGATGCCCCGAGAACACTGTCCCAAGTCTAGAGGAACACCAACTTCAGCACAGCAACTCGAGGAATGCTCCGTGTACCACAAATCGTCTCGAGATGCGAGCTGATTCCCTGGCTTAGGCTCAAGACGTATGCCAACTTCCCAGAAGCACCTCAGGAGGGGGCTTCTCTCAGCAATAGGTATGTGGGAGGGACCCCGAGTTTGCTGCCTCAAGGGGAATATACAGCGAGAAGCCCTAACTTGAAAGGAGGCCGGATTTCCTTGCAGTGGCTTGAATACAGGCTCGTCTTTCATCTCACAACATGAAGGGATGTCTGAATCCCCTGTGGAGACCTTAGAGAAAGCCCTAGGTCCCTGCCTCATTTTGACGGAATGCCTCACATCCCGCTGACACCTCGAGAGGCACGCGGAGTTCATTTCTTCAAAAGGTGACGATGCCTGACTCCTCTTGAATACTGATAGGAATCCCAAAATCCCTGTGGCTACTGGAAAGGGTCCTTGGGTGCCCTGCCTCACCTCGAGAAGCGTCCCTTTGGCCCTGCCAAGCCTCGAAGAGATTCCTGAGGTGTCCCTCGTTACTAGACAGGAGTCCTGACGTCACTGAAGAAACTCGTGTTTTGAAGGGCCATCCCCGCCGTAAGTCGAGAACATACCCCAGGTCCCCGCCGCAACTCGAGAAAAACCATGAGACTTCCCCCTAGAGGCGAGATGAGGCCCCATTCCCCTGCAGTGCATGCAGAGCTATTCCGTGATCCCATTCAAACAAGTCAGGAGCTTCGACTTGCTTAATGGATCTCGAGACAGTCCCCAAGAACACTGTCACCAGTCTAGACGGACCCTGAGGTCACCCCAGCAACGCAAAGCAGCTCCATGTGCCCCAAATCAACTCGAGATGAGGCCCGATTCCCCTGCATTGACTCCAGAGCCATTCCCCGTTCCCCATTCAACACGACCGGTGGCTCGACTTCCTTCAGGCAACTCCAGAGATGCCCCGAGAACACTGTCCCAAGTCTAGAGGAACACCAACTTCAGCCCAGCAACTCGAGGAATGCTCCGTGTACCCCAAATCGTCTCGAGATGCGAGCTGATTCCCTGGCTTAGGCTCAAGACATAGGCCAACTTCCCAGAAGCACCTCAGGAGGAGACTTCTCTCAGCAATAGGTATGTGGGAGGGACCCCGAGTTTGCTGCCTCAAAGGGAATATACAGCGAGAAGCCCTAACTTGAAAGGAGGCCGGATTTCCTTCCAGTGGCTTGAATACAGGCTCGTCTTTCATCTCACAACATGAAGGGATGTCTGAATCCCCTGTGGAGACCTTAGAGAAAGCCCTAGGTCCCTGCCTCATTTTGACGGAATGCCTCACATCCCGCTGACACCTCGAGAGGCACGCGGAGTTCATTTCTTCAAAAGGTGACGATGCCTGACTCCTCTTGAATACTGATAGGAATCCCAAAATCCCTGTGGCTACTGGAAAGGGTCCTTGGGTGCCCTGCCTCACCTCGAGAAGCGTCCCTTTGGCCCTGCCAAGCCTCGAAGAGATTCCTGAGGTGTCCCTCGTTACTAGACAGGAGTCCTGACGTCACTGAAGAAACTCGTGTTTTGAAGGGCCATCCCCGCCGTAAGTCGAGAACATACCCCAGGTCCCCGCCGCAACTCGAGAAAAACCATGAGACTTCCCCCTAGAGGCGAGATGAGGCCCCATTCCCCTGCAGTGCATGCAGAGCTATTCCGTGATCCCATTCAAACAAGTCAGGAGCTTCGACTTGCTTAATGGATCTCGAGACAGTCCCCAAGAACACTGTCACCAGTCTAGACGGACCCTGAGGTCACCCCAGCAACGCAAAGCAGCTCCATGTGCCCCAAATCAACTCGAGATGAGGCCCGATTCCCCTGCATTGACTCCAGAGCCATTCCCCGTTCCCCATTCAACACGACCGGTGGCTCGACTTCCTTCAGGCAACTCCAGAGATGCCCCGAGAACACTGTCCCAAGTCTAGAGGAACACCAACTTCAGCACAGCAACTCGAGGAATGCTCCGTGTACCCCAAATCGTCTCGAGATGCGAGCTGATTCCCTGGCTTAGGCTCAAGACATAGGCCAACTTCCCAGAAGCACCTCAGGAGGAGACTTCTCTCAGCAATAGGTATGTGGGAGGGACCCCGAGTTTGCTGCCTCAAAGGGAATATACAGCGAGAAGCCCTAACTTGAAAGGAGGCCGGATTTCCTTCCAGTGGCTTGAATACAGGCTCGTCTTTCATCTCACAACATGAAGGGATGTCTGAATCCCCTGTGGAGACCTTAGAGAAAGCCCTAGGTCCCTGCCTCATTTTGACGGAATGCCTCACATCCCGCTGACACCTCGAGAGGCACGCGGAGTTCATTGCTTCAAAAGGTGACGATGCCTGACTCCTCTTGAATACTGATAGGAATCCCAAAATCCCTGTGGCTACTGGAAAGGGTCCTTGGGTGCCCTGCCTCACCTCGAGAAGCGTCCCTTTGGCCCTGCCAAGCCTCGAAGAGATTCCTGAGGTGTCCCTCGTTACTAGACAGGAGTCCTGACGTCACTGAAGAAACTCGTGTTTTGAAGGGCCATCCCCGCCGTAAGTCGAGAACATACCCCAGGTCCCCGCCGCAACTCGAGAAAAACCATGAGACTTCCCCCTAGAGGCGAGATGAGGCCCCATTCCCCTGCAGTGCATGCAGAGCTATTCCGTGATCCCATTCAAACAAGTCAGGAGCTTCGACTTGCTTAATGGATCTCGAGACAGTCCCCAAGAACACTGTCACCAGTCTAGACGGACCCTGAGGTCACCCCAGCAACGCAAAGCAGCTCCATGTGCCCCAAATCAACTCGAGATGAGGCCCGATTCCCCTGCATTGACTCCAGAGCCATTCCCCGTTCCCCATTCAACACGACCGGTGGCTCGACTTCCTTCAGGCAACTCCAGAGATGCCCCGAGAACACTGTCCCAAGTCTAGAGGAACACCAACTTCAGCCCAGCAACTCGAGGAATGCTCCGTGTACCCCAAATCGTCTCGAGATGCGAGCTGATTCCCTGGCTTAGGCTCAAAACGTATGCCAACTTCCCAGAAGCACCTCAGGAGGAGGCTTCTCTCAGCAATAGGTATGTGGGAGGGACCCCGAGTTTGCTGCCTCAAGGGGAATATACAGCGAGAAGCCCTAACTTGAAAGGAGGCCGGATTTCCTTGCAGTGGCTTGAATACAGGCTCGTCTTTCATCTCACAACATGAAGGGATGTCTGAATCCCCTGTGGAGACCTTAGAGAAAGCCCTAGGTCCCTGCCTCATTTTGACGGAATGCCTCACATCCCGCTGACACCTCGAGAGGCACGCGGAGTTCATTGCTTCAAAAGGTGACGATGCCTGACTCCTCTTGAATACTGATAGGAATCCCAAAATCCCTGTGGCTACTGGAAAGGGTCCTTGGGTGCCCTGCCTCACCTCGAGAAGCGTCCCTTTGGCCCTGCCAAGCCTCGAAGAGATTCCTGAGGTGTCCCTCGTTACTAGACAGGAGTCCTGACGTCACTGAAGAAACTCGTGTTTTGAAGGGCCATCCCCGCCGTAAGTCGAGAACATACCCCAGGTCCCCGCCGCAACTCGAGAAAAACCATGAGACTTCCCCCTAGAGGCGAGATGAGGCCCCATTCCCCTGCAGTGCATGCAGAGCTATTCCGTGATCCCATTCAAACAAGTCAGGAGCTTCGACTTGCTTAATGGATCTCGAGACAGTCCCCAAGAACACTGTCACCAGTCTAGACGGACCCTGAGGTCACCCCAGCAACGCAAAGCAGCTCCATGTGCCCCAAATCAACTCGAGATGAGGCCCGATTCCCCTGAAATGACTCCAGAGCCATTCCCCGTTCCCCATTCAACACGACCGGTGGCTCGACTTCCTTCAGGCAACTCCAGAGATGCCCCGAGAACACTGTCCCAAGTCTAGAGGAACACCAACTTCAGCACAGCAACTCGAGGAATGCTCCGTGTACCACAAATCGTCTCGAGATGCGAGCTGATTCCCTGGCTTAGGCTCAAGACGTATGCCAACTTCCCAGAAGCACCTCAGGAGGAGGCTTCTCTGAGCAATAGGTATGTGGGAGGGACCCCGAGTTTGCTGCCTCAAGGGGAATATACAGCGAGAAGCCCTAACTTGAAAGGAGGCCGGATTTCCTTGCAGTGGCTTGAATACAGGCTCGTCTTTCATCTCACAACATGAAGGGATGTCTGAATCCCCTGTGGAGACCTTAGAGAAAGCCCTAGGTCCCTGCCTCATTTTGACGGAATGCCTCACATCCCGCTGACACCTCGAGAGGCACGCGGAGTTCATTGCTTCAAAAGGTGACGATGCCTGACTCCTCTTGAATACTGATAGGAATCCCAAAATCCCTGTGGCTACTGGAAAGGGTCCTTGGGTGCCCTGCCTCACCTCGAGAAGCGTCCCTTTGGCCCTGCCAAGCCTCGAAGAGATTCCTGAGGTGTCCCTCGTTACTAGACAGGAGTCCTGACGTCACTGAAGAAACTCGTGTTTTGAAGGGCCATCCCCGCCGTAAGTCGAGAACATACCCCAGGTCCCCGCCGCAACTCGAGAAAAACCATGAGACTTCCCCCTAGAGGCGAGATGAGGCCCCATTCCCCTGCAGTGCATGCAGAGCTATTCCGTGATCCCATTCAAACAAGTCAGGAGCTTCGACTTGCTTAATGGATCTCGAGACAGTCCCCAAGAACACTGTCACCAGTCTAGACGGACCCTGAGGTCACCCCAGCAACGCAAAGCAGCTCCATGTGCCCCAAATCAACTCGAGATGAGGCCCGATTCCCCTGCATTGACTCCAGAGCCATTCCCCGTTCCCCATTCAACACGACCGGTGGCTCGACTTCCTTCAGGCAACTCCAGAGATGCCCCGAGAACACTGTCCCAAGTCTAGAGGAACACCAACTTCAGCACAGCAACTCGAGGAATGCTCCGTGTACCCCAAATCGTCTCGAGATGCGAGCTGATTCCCTGGCTTAGGCTCAAGACGTATGCCAACTTCCCAGAAGCACCTCAGGAGGGGGCTTCTCTCAGCAATAGGTATGTGGGAGGGACCCCGAGTTTGCTGCCTCAAGGGGAATATACAGCGAGAAGCCCTAATTTGAAAGGAGGCCGGATTTCCTTGCAGTGGCTTGAATATAGGCTCGTCTTTCATCTCACAACATGAAGGGATGTCTGAATCCCCTGTGGAGACCTTAGAGAAAGCCCTAGGTCCCTGCCTCATTTTGACGGAATGCCTCACATCCCGCTGACACCTCGAGAGGCACGCGGAGTTCATTGCTTCAAAAGGTGACGATGCCTGACTCCTCTTGAATACTGATAGGAATCCCAAAATCCCTGTGGCTACTGGAAAGGGTCCTTGGGTGCCCTGCCTCACCTCGAGAAGCGTCCCTTTGGCCCTGCCAAGCCTCGAAGAGATTCCTGAGGTGTCCCTCGTTACTAGACAGGAGTCCTGACGTCACTGAAGAAACTCGTGTTTTGAAGGGCCATCCCCGCCGTAAGTCGAGAACATACCCCAGGTCCCCGCCGCAACTCGAGAAAAACCATGAGACTTCCCCCTAGAGGCGAGATGAGGCCCCATTCCCCTGCAGTGCATGCAGAGCTATTCCGTGACCCCATTCAAACAAGTCAGGAGCTTCGACTTGCTTAATGGATCTCGAGACAGTCCCCAAGAACACTGTCACCAGTCTAGACGGACCCTGAGGTCACCCCAGCAACGCAAAGCAGCTCCATGTGCCCCAAATCAACTCGAGATGAGGCCCGATTCCCCTGCATTGACTCCAGAGCCATTCCCCGTTCCCCATTCAACACGACCGGTGGCTCGACTTCCTTCAGGCAACTCCAGAGATGCCCCGAGAACACTGTCCCAAGTCTAGAGGAACACCAACTTCAGCACAGCAACTCGAGGAATGCTCCGTGTACCCCAAATCGTCTCGAGATGCGAGCTGATTCCCTGGCTTAGGCTCAAGACGTATGCCAACTTCCCAGAAGCACCTCAGGAGGGGGCTTCTCTCAGCAATAGGTATGTGGGAGGGACCCCGAGTTTGCTGCCTCAAGGGGAATATACAGCGAGAAGCCCTAACTTGAAAGGAGGCCGGATTTCCTTGCAGTGGCTTGAATACAGGCTCGTCTTTCATCTCACAACATGAAGGGATGTCTGAATCCCCTGTGGAGACCTTAGAGAAAGCCCTAGGTCCCTGCCTCATTTTGACGGAATGCCTCACATCCCGCTGACACCTCGAGAGGCACGCGGAGTTCATTGCTTCAAAAGGTGACGATGCCTGACTCCTCTTGAATACTGATAGGAATCCCAAAATCCCTGTGGCTACTGGAAAGGGTCCTTGGGTGCCCTGCCTCACCTCGAGAAGCGTCCCTTTGGCCCTGCCAAGCCTCGAAGAGATTCCTGAGGTGTCCCTCGTTACTAGACAGGAGTCCTGACGTCACTGAAGAAACTCGTGTTTTGAAGGGCCATCCCCGCCGTAAGTCGAGAACATACCCCAGGTCCCCGCCGCAACTCGAGAAAAACCATGAGACTTCCCCCTAGAGGCGAGATGAGGCCCCATTCCCCTGCAGTGCATGCAGAGCTATTCCGTGATCCCATTCAAACAAGTCAGGAGCTTCGACTTGCTTAATGGATCTCGAGACAGTCCCCAAGAACACTGTCACCAGTCTAGACGGACCCTGAGGTCACCCCAGCAACGCAAAGCAGCTCCATGTGCCCCAAATCAACTCGAGATGAGGCCCGATTCCCCTGCATTGACTCCAGAGCCATTCCCCGTTCCCCATTCAACACGACCGGTGGCTCGACTTCCTTCAGGCAACTCCAGAGATGCCCCGAGAACACTGTCCCATGTCTAGAGGAACACCAACTTCAGCACAGCAACTCGAGGAATGCTCCGTGTACCCCAAATCGTCTCGAGATGCGAGCTGATTCCCTGGCTTAGGCTCAAGACATAGGCCAACTTCCCAGAAGCACCTCAGGAGGAGACTTCTCTCAGCAATAGGTATGTGGGAGGGACCCCGAGTTTGCTGCCTCAAGGGGAATATACAGCGAGAAGCCCTAACTTGAAAGGACGCCGGATTTCCTTGCAGTGGCTTGAATACAGGCTCGTCTTTCATCTCACAACATGAAGGGATGTCTGAATCCCCTGTGGAGACCTTAGAGAAAGCCCTAGGTCCCTGCCTCATTTTGACGGAATGCCTCACATCCCGCTGACACCTCGAGAGGCACGCGGAGTTCATTGCTTCAAAAGGTGACGATGCCTGACTCCTCTTGAATACTGATAGGAATCCCAAAATCCCTGTGGCTACTGGAAAGGGTCCTTGGGTGCCCTGCCTCACCTCGAGAAGCGTCCCTTTGGCCCTGCCAAGCCTCGAAGAGATTCCTGAGGTGTCCCTCGTTACTAGACAGGAGTCCTGACGTCACTGAAGAAACTCGTGTTTTGAAGGGCCATCCCCGCCGTAAGTCGAGAACATACCCCAGGTCCCCGCCGCAACTCGAGAAAAACCATGAGACTTCCCCCTAGAGGCGAGATGAGGCCCCATTCCCCTGCAGTGCATGCAGAGCTATTCCGTGATCCCATTCAAACAAGTCAGGAGCTTCGACTTGCTTAATGGATCTCGAGACAGTCCCCAAGAACACTGTCACCAGTCTAGACGGACCCTGAGGTCACCCCAGCAACGCAAAGCAGCTCCATGTGCCCCAAATCAACTCGAGATGAGGCCCGATTCCCCTGCATTGACTCCAGAGCCATTCCCCGTTCCCCATTCAACACGACCGGTGGCTCGACTTCCTTCAGGCAACTCCAGAGATGCCCCGAGAACACTGTCCCAAGTCTAGAGGAACACCAACTTCAGCACAGCAACTCGAGGAATGCTCCGTGTACCCCAAATCGTCTCGAGATGCGAGCTGATTCCCTGGCTTAGGCTCAAGACGTATGCCAACTTCCCAGAAGCACCTCAGGAGGAGGCTTCTCTCAGCAATAGGTATGTGGGAGGGACCCCGAGTTTGCTGCCTCAAGGGGAATATACAGCGAGAAGCCCTAACGTGAAAGGAGGCCGGATTTCCTTGCAGTGGCTTGAATACAGGCTCGTCTTTCATCTCACAACATGAAGGGATGTCTGAATCCCCTGTGGAGACCTTAGAGAAAGCCCTAGGTCCCTGCCTCATTTTGACGGAATGCCTCACATCCCGCTGACACCTCGAGAGGCACGCGGAGTTCATTGCTTCAAAAGGTGACGATGCCTGACTCCTCTTGAATACTGATAGGAATCCCAAAATCCCTGTGGCTACTGGAAAGGGTCCTTGGGTGCCCTGCCTCACCTCGAGAAGCGTCCCTTTGGCCCTGCCAAGCCTCGAAGAGATTCCTGAGGTGTCCCTCGTTACTAGACAGGAGTCCTGACGTCACTGAAGAAACTCGTGTTTTGAAGGGCCATCCCCGCCGTAAGTCGAGAACATACCCCAGGTCCCCGCCGCAACTCGAGAAAAACCATGAGACTTCCCCCTAGAGGCGAGATGAGGCCCCATTCCCCTGCAGTGCATGCAGAGCTATTCCGTGACCCCATTCAAACAAGTCAGGAGCTTCGACTTGCTTAATGGATCTCGAGACAGTCCCCAAGAACACTGTCACCAGTCTAGACGGACCCTGAGGTCACCCCAGCAACGCAAAGCAGCTCCATGTGCCCCAAATCAACTCGAGATGAGGCCCGATTCCCCTGCATTGACTCCAGAGCCATTCCCCGTTCCCCATTCAACACGACCGGTGGCTCGACTTCCTTCAGGCAACTCCAGAGATGCCCCGAGAACACTGTCCCAAGTCTAGAGGAACACCAACTTCAGCACAGCAACTCGAGGAATGCTCCGTGTACCCCAAATCGTCTCGAGATGCGAGCTGATTCCCTGGCTTAGGCTCAAGACGTATGCCAACTTCCCAGAAGCACCTCAGGAGGGGGCTTCTCTCAGCAATAGGTATGTGGGAGGGACCCCGAGTTTGCTGCCTCAAGGGGAATATACAGCGAGAAGCCCTAACTTGAAAGGAGGCCGGATTTCCTTGCAGTGGCTTGAATACAGGCTCGTCTTTCATCTCACAACATGAAGGGATGTCTGAATCCCCTGTGGAGACCTTAGAGAAAGCCCTAGGTCCCTGCCTCATTTTGACGGAATGCCTCACATCCCGCTGACACCTCGAGAGGCACGCGGAGTTCATTGCTTCAAAAGGTGACGATGCCTGACTCCTCTTGAATACTGATAGGAATCCCAAAATCCCTGTGGCTACTGGAAAGGGTCCTTGGGTGCCCTGCCTCACCTCGAGAAGCGTCCCTTTGGCCCTGCCAAGCCTCGAAGAGATTCCTGAGGTGTCCCTCGTTACTAGACAGGAGTCCTGACGTCACTGAAGAAACTCGTGTTTTGAAGGGCCATCCCCGCCGTAAGTCGAGAACATACCCCAGGTCCCCGCCGCAACTCGAGAAAAACCATGAGACTTCCCCCTAGAGGCGAGATGAGGCCCCATTCCCCTGCAGTGCATGCAGAGCTATTCCGTGATCCCATTCAAACAAGTCAGGAGCTTCGACTTGCTTAATGGATCTCGAGACAGTCCCCAAGAACACTGTCACCAGTCTAGACGGACCCTGAGGTCACCCCAGCAACGCAAAGCAGCTCCATGTGCCCCAAATCAACTCGAGATGAGGCCCGATTCCCCTGCATTGACTCCAGAGCCATTCCCCGTTCCCCATTCAACACGACCGGTGGCTCGACTTCCTTCAGGCAACTCCAGAGATGCCCCGAGAACACTGTCCCAAGTCTAGAGGAACACCAACTTCAGCACAGCAACTCGAGGAATGCTCCGTGTACCCCAAATCGTCTCGAGATGCGAGCTGATTCCCTGGCTTAGGCTCAAAACGTATGCCAACTTCCCAGAAGCACCTCAGGAGGAGGCTTCTCTCAGCAATAGGTATGTGGGAGGGACCCCGAGTTTGCTGCCTCAAGGGGAATATACAGCGAGAAGCCCTAACGTGAAAGGAGGCCGGATTTCCTTGCAGTGGCTTGAATACAGGCTCGTCTTTCATCTCACAACATGAAGGGATGTCTGAATCCCCTGTGGAGACCTTAGAGAAAGCCCTAGGTCCCTGCCTCATTTTGACGGAATGCCTCACATCCCGCTGACACCTCGAGAGGCACGCGGAGTTCATTGCTTCAAAAGGTGACGATGCCTGACTCCTCTTGAATACTGATAGGAATCCCAAAATCCCTGTGGCTACTGGAAAGGGTCCTTGGGTGCCCTGCCTCACCTCGAGAAGCGTCCCTTTGGCCCTGCCAAGCCTCGAAGAGATTCCTGAGGTGTCCCTCGTTACTAGACAGGAGTCCTGACGTCACTGAAGAAACTCGTGTTTTGAAGGGCCATCCCCGCCGTAAGTCGAGAACATACCCCAGGTCCCCGCCGCAACTCGAGAAAAACCATGAGACTTCCCCCTAGAGGCGAGATGAGGCCCCATTCCCCTGCAGTGCATGCAGAGCTATTCCGTGATCCCATTCAAACAAGTCAGGAGCTTCGACTTGCTTAATGGATCTCGAGACAGTCCCCAAGAACACTGTCACCAGTCTAGACGGACCCTGAGGTCACCCCAGCAACGCAAAGCAGCTCCATGTGCCCCAAATCAACTCGAGATGAGGCCCGATTCCCCTGCATTGACTCCAGAGCCATTCCCCGTTCCCCATTCAACACGACCGGTGGCTCGACTTCCTTCAGGCAACTCCAGAGATGCCCCGAGAACACTGTCCCAAGTCTAGAGGAACACCAACTTCAGCACAGCAACTCGAGGAATGCTCCGTGTACCCCAAATCGTCTCGAGATGCGAGCTGATTCCCTGGCTTAGGCTCAAGACGTATGCCAACTTCCCAGAAGCACCTCAGGAGGAGGCTTCTCTCAGCAATAGGTATGTGGGAGGGACCCCGAGTTTGCTGCCTCAAGGGGAATATACAGCGAGAAGCCCTAACTTGAAAGGAGGCCTGATTTCCTTGCAGTGGCTTGAATACAGGCTCGTCTTTCATCTCACAACATGAAGGGATGTCTGAATCCCCTGTGGAGACCTTAGAGAAAGCCCTAGGTCCCTGCCTCATTTTGACGGAATGCCTCACATCCCGCTGACACCTCGAGAGGCACGCGGAGTTCATTGCTTCAAAAGGTGACGATGCCTGACTCCTCTTGAATACTGATAGGAATCCCAAAATCCCTGTGGCTACTGGAAAGGGTCCTTGGGTGCCCTGCCTCACCTCGAGAAGCGTCCCTTTGGCCCTGCCAAGCCTCGAAGAGATTCCTGAGGTGTCCCTCGTTACTAGACAGGAGTCCTGACGTCACTGAAGAAACTCGTGTTTTGAAGGGCCATCCCCGCCGTAAGTCGAGAACATACCCCAGGTCCCCGCCGCAACTCGAGAAAAACCATGAGACTTCCCCCTAGAGGCGAGATGAGGCCCCATTCCCCTGCAGTGCATGCAGAGCTATTCCGTGACCCCATTCAAACAAGTCAGGAGCTTCGACTTGCTTAATGGATCTCGAGACAGTCCCCAAGAACACTGTCACCAGTCTAGACGGACCCTGAGGTCACCCCAGCAACGCAAAGCAGCTCCATGTGCCCCAAATCAACTCGAGATGAGGCCCGATTCCCCTGCATTGACTCCAGAGCCATTCCCCGTTCCCCATTCAACACGACCGGTGGCTCGACTTCCTTCAGGCAACTCCAGAGATGCCCCGAGAACACTGTCCCAAGTCTAGAGGAACACCAACTTCAGCACAGCAACTCGAGGAATGCTCCGTGTACCCCAAATCGTCTCGAGATGCGAGCTGATTCCCTGGCTTAGGCTCAAGACGTATGCCAACTTCCCAGAAGCACCTCAGGAGGGGGCTTCTCTCAGCAATAGGTATGTGGGAGGGACACCGAGTTTGCTGCCTCAAGGGGAATATACAGCGAGAAGCCCTAACTTGAAAGGAGGCCGGATTTCCTTGCAGTGGCTTGAATACAGGCTCGTCTTTCATCTCACAACATGAAGGGATGTCTGAATCCCCTGTGGAGACCTTAGAGAAAGCCCTAGGTCCCTGCCTCATTTTGACGGAATGCCTCACATCCCGCTGACACCTCGAGAGGCACGCGGAGTTAATTGCTTCAAAAGGTGACGATGCCTGACTCCTCTTGAATACTGATAGGAATCCCAAAATCCCTGTGGCTACTGGAAAGGGTCCTTGGGTGCCCTGCCTCACCTCGAGAAGCGTCCCTTTGGCCCTGCCAAGCCTCGAAGAGATTCCTGAGGTGTCCCTCGTTACTAGACAGGAGTCCTGACGTCACTGAAGAAACTCGTGTTTTGAAGGGCCATCCCCGCCGTAAGTCGAGAACATACCCCAGGTCCCCGCCGCAACTCGAGAAAAACCATGAGACTTCCCCCTAGAGGCGAGATGAGGCCCCATTCCCCTGCAGTGCATGCAGAGCTATTCCGTGACCCCATTCAAACAAGTCAGGAGCTTCGACTTGCTTAATGGATCTCGAGACAGTCCCCAAGAACACTGTCACCAGTCTAGACGGACCCTGAGGTCACCCCAGCAACGCAAAGCAGCTCCATGTGCCCCAAATCAACTCGAGATGAGGCCCGATTCCCCTGCATTGACTCCAGAGCCATTCCCCGGTCCCCATTCAACACGACCGGTGGCTCGACTTCCTTCAGGCAACTCCAGAGATGCCCCGAGAACACTGTCCCAAGTCTAGAGGAACACCAACTTCAGCACAGCAACTCGAGGAATGCTCCGTGTACCCCAAATCGTCTCGAGATGCGAGCTGATTCCCTGGCTTAGGCTCAAGACGTATGCCAACTTCCCAGAAGCACCTCAGGAGGGGGCTTCTCTCAGCAATAGGTATGTGGGAGGGACCCCGAGTTTGCTGCCTCAAGGGGAATATACAGCGAGAAGCCCTAACTTGAAAGGAGGCCGGATTTCCTTGCAGTGGCTTGAATACAGGCTCGTCTTTCATCTCACAACATGAAGGGATGTCTGAATCCCCTGTGGAGACCTTAGAGAAAGCCCTAGGTCCCTGCCTCATTTTGACGGAATCCTCACATCCCGCTGACACCTCGAGAGGCACGCGGAGTTCATTGCTTCAAAAGGTGACGATGCCTGACTCCTCTTGAATACTGATAGGAATCCCAAAATCCCTGTGGCTACTGGAAAGGGTCCTTGGGTGCCCTGCCTCACCTCGAGAAGCGTCCCTTTGGCCCTGCCAAGCCTCGGAGAGATTCCTGAGGTGTCCCTCATTACTAGACAGGAGTCCTGACGTCACTGAAGAAACTCGTGTTTTGAAGGGCCATCCCCGCCGTAAGTCGAGAACATACCCCAGGTCCCCGCCGCAACTCGAGAAAAACCATGAGACTTCCCCCTAGAGGCGAGATGAGGCCCCATTCCCCTGCAGTGCATGCAGAGCTATTCCATGACCCCATTCAAACAAGTCAGGAGCTTCGACTTGCTTAATGGATCTCGAGACAGTCCCCAAGAACACTGTCACCAGTCTAGACGGACCCTGAGGTCACCCCAGCAACGCAAAGCAGCTCCATGTGCCCCAAATCAACTCGAGATGAGGCCCGATTCCCCTGCATTGACTCCAGAGCCATTCCCCGGTCCCCATTCAACACGACCGGTGGCTCGACTTCCTTCAGGCAACTCCAGAGATGCCCCGAGAACACTGTCCCAAGTCTAGAGGAACACCAACTTCAGCACAGCAACTCGAGGAATGCTCCGTGTACCCCAAATCGTCTCGAGATGCGAGCTGATTCCCTGGCTTAGGCTCAAGACGTATGCCAACTTCCCAGAAGCACCTCAGGAGGGGGCTTCTCTCAGCAATAGGTATGTGGGAGGGACCCCGAGTTTGCTGCCTCAAGGGGAATATACAGCGAGAAGCCCTAACTTGAAAGGAGGCCGGATTTCCTTGCAGTGGCTTGAATACAGGCTCGTCTTTCATCTCACAACATGAAGGGATGTCTGAATCCCCTGTGGAGACCTTAGAGAAAGCCCTAGGTCCCTGCCTCATTTTGACGGAATGCCTCACATCCCGCTGACACCTCGAGAGGCACGCGGAGTTCATTGCTTCAAAAGGTGACAATGCCTGACTCCTCTTGAATACTGATAGGAATCCCAAAATCCCTGTGGCTACTGGAAAGGGTCCTTGGGTGCCCTGCCTCACCTCGAGAAGCGTCCCTTTGGCCCTGCCAAGCCTCGAAGAGATTCCTGAGGTGTCCCTCGTTACTAGACAGGAGTCCTGACGTCACTGAAGAAACTCGTGTTTTGAAGGGCCATCCCCGCCGTAAGTCGAGAACATACCCCAGGTCCCCGCCGCAACTCGAGAAAAACCATGAGACTTCCCCCTAGAGGCGAGATGAGGCCCCATTCCCCTGCAGTGCATGCAGAGCTATTCCGTGATCCCATTCAAACAAGTCAGGAGCTTCGACTTGCTTAATGGATCTCGAGACAGTCCCCAAGAACACTGTCACCAGTCTAGACGGACCCTGAGGTCACCCCAGCAACGCAAAGCAGCTCCATGTGCCCCAAATCAACTCGAGATGAGGCCCGATTCCCCTGCATTGACTCCAGAGCCATTCCCCGGTCCCCATTCAACACGACCGGTGGCTCGACTTCCTTCAGGCAACTCCAGAGATGCCCCGAGAACACTGTCCCAAGTCTAGAGGAACACCAACTTCAGCACAGCAACTCGAGGAATGCTCCGTGTACCCCAAATCGTCTCGAGATGCGAGCTGATTCCCTGGCTTAGGCTCAAGACGTATGCCAACTTCCCAGAAGCACCTCAGGAGGGGGCTTCTCTCAGCAATAGGTATGTGGGAGGGACCCCGAGTTTGCTGCCTCAAGGGGAATATACAGCGAGAAGCCCTAACTTGAAAGGAGGCCGGATTTCCTTGCAGTGGCTTGAATACAGGCTCGTCTTTCATCTCACAACATGAAGGGATGTCTGAATCCCCTGTGGAGACCTTAGAGAAAGCCCTAGGTCCCTGCCTCATTTTGACGGAATCCTCACATCCCGCTGACACCTCGAGAGGCACGCGGAGTTCATTGCTTCAAAAGGTGACGATGCCTGACTCCTCTTGAATACTGATAGGAATCCCAAAATCCCTGTGGCTACTGGAAAGGGTCCTTGGGTGCCCTGCCTCACCTCGAGAAGCGTCCCTTTGGCCCTGCCAAGCCTCGGAGAGATTCCTGAGGTGTCCCTCATTACTAGACAGGAGTCCTGACGTCACTGAAGAAACTCGTGTTTTGAAGGGCCATCCCCGCCGTAAGTCGAGAACATACCCCAGGTCCCCGCCGCAACTCGAGAAAAACCATGAGACTTCCCCCTAGAGGCGAGATGAGGCCCCATTCCCCTGCAGTGCATGCAGAGCTATTCCGTGACCCCATTCAAACAAGTCAGGAGCTTCGACTTGCTTAATGGATCTCGAGACAGTCCCCAAGAACACTGTCACCAGTCTAGACGGACCCTGAGGTCACCCCAGCAACGCAAAGCAGCTCCATGTGCCCCAAATCAACTCGAGATGAGGCCCGATTCCCCTGCATTGACTCCAGAGCCATTCCCCGGTCCCCATTCAACACGACCGGTGGCTCGACTTCCTTCAGGCAACTCCAGAGATGCCCCGAGAACACTGTCCCAAGTCTAGAGGAACACCAACTTCAGCACAGCAACTCGAGGAATGCTCCGTGTACCCCAAATCGTCTCGAGATGCGAGCTGATTCCCTGGCTTAGGCTCAAGACGTATGCCAACTTCCCAGAAGCACCTCAGGAGGGGGCTTCTCTCAGCAATAGGTATGTGGGAGGGACCCCGAGTTTGCTGCCTCAAGGGGAATATACAGCGAGAAGCCCTAACTTGAAAGGAGGCCGGATTTCCTTGCAGTGGCTTGAATACAGGCTCGTCTTTCATCTCACAACATGAAGGGATGTCTGAATCCCCTGTGGAGACCTTAGAGAAAGCCCTAGGTCCCTGCCTCATTTTGACGGAATGCCTCACATCCCGCTGACACCTCGAGAGGCACGCGGAGTTCATTGCTTCAAAAGGTGACAATGCCTGACTCCTCTTGAATACTGATAGGAATCCCAAAATCCCTGTGGCTACTGGAAAGGGTCCTTGGGTGCCCTGCCTCACCTCGAGAAGCGTCCCTTTGGCCCTGCCAAGCCTCGAAGAGATTCCTGAGGTGTCCCTCGTTACTAGACAGGAGTCCTGACGTCACTGAAGAAACTCGTGTTTTGAAGGGCCATCCCCGCCGTAAGTCGAGAACATACCCCAGGTCCCCGCCGCAACTCGAGAAAAACCATGAGACTTCCCCCTAGAGGCGAGATGAGGCCCCATTCCCCTGCAGTGCATGCAGAGCTATTCCGTGATCCCATTCAAACAAGTCAGGAGCTTCGACTTGCTTAATGGATCTCGAGACAGTCCCCAAGAACACTGTCACCAGTCTAGACGGACCCTGAGGTCACCCCAGCAACGCAAAGCAGCTCCATGTGCCCCAAATCAACTCGAGATGAGGCCCGATTCCCCTGCATTGACTCCAGAGCCATTCCCCGTTCCCCATTCAACACGACCGGTGGCTCGACTTCCTTCAGGCAACTCCAGAGATGCCCCGAGAACACTGTCCCAAGTCTAGAGGAACACCAACTTCAGCACAGCAACTCGAGGAATGCTCCGTGTACCCCAAATCGTCTCGAGATGCGAGCTGATTCCCTGGCTTAGGCTCAAGACGTATGCCAACTTCCCAGAAGCACCTCAGGAGGAGGCTTCTCTCAGCAATAGGTATGTGGGAGGGACACCGAGTTTGCTGCCTCAAGGGGAATATACAGCGAGAAGCCCTAACTTGAAAGGAGGCCGGATTTCCTTGCAGTGGCTTGAATACAGGCTCGTCTTTCATCTCACAACATGAAGGGATGTCTGAATCCCCTGTGGAGACCTTAGAGAAAGCCCTAGGTCCCTGCCTCATTTTGACGGAATGCCTCACATCCCGCTGACACCTCGAGAGGCACGCGGAGTTCATTGCTTCAAAAGGTGACGATGCCTGACTCCTCTTGAATACTGATAGGAATCCCAAAATCCCTGTGGCTACTGGAAAGGGTCCTTGGGTGCCCTGCCTCACCTCGAGAAGCGTCCCTTTGGCCCTGCCAAGCCTCGAAGAGATTCCTGAGGTGTCCCTCGTTACTAGACAGGAGTCCTGACGTCACTGAAGAAACTCGTGTTTTGAAGGGCCATCCCCGCCGTAAGTCGAGAACATACCCCAGGTCCCCGCCGCAACTCGAGAAAAACCATGAGACTTCCCCCTAGAGGCGAGATGAGGCCCCATTCCCCTGCAGTGCATGCAGAGCTATTCCGTGACCCCATTCAAACAAGTCAGGAGCTTCGACTTGCTTAATGGATCTCGAGACAGTCCCCAAGAACACTGTCACCAGTCTAGACGGACCCTGAGGTCACCCCAGCAACGCAAAGCAGCTCCATGTGCCCCAAATCAACTCGAGATGAGGCCCGATTCCCCTGCATTGACTCCAGAGCCATTCCCCGTTCCCCATTCAACACGACCGGTGGCTCGACTTCCTTCAGGCAACTCCAGAGATGCCCCGAGAACACTGTCCCAAGTCTAGAGGAACACCAACTTCAGCACAGCAACTCGAGGAATGCTCCGTGTACCCCAAATCGTCTCGAGATGCGAGCTGATTCCCTGGCTTAGGCTCAAGACGTATGCCAACTTCCCAGAAGCACCTCAGGAGGAGGCTTCTCTCAGCAATAGGTACGTGGGAGGGACCCCGAGTTTGCTGCCTCAAGGGGAATATACAGCGAGAAGCCCTAACTTGAAAGGAGGCCGGATTTCCTTGCAGTGGCTTGAATACAGGCTCGTCTTTCATCTCACAACATGAAGGGATGTCTGAATCCCCTGTGGAGACCTTAGAGAAAGCCCTAGGTCCCTGCCTCATTTTGACGGAATGCCTCACATCCCGCTGACACCTCGAGAGGCACGCGGAGTTCATTGCTTCAAAAGGTGACGATGCCTGACTCCTCTTGAATACTGATAGGAATCCCAAAATCCCTGTGGCTACTGGAAAGGGTCCTTGGGTGCCCTGCCTCACCTCGAGAAGCGTCCCTTTGGCCCTGCCAAGCCTCGAAGAGATTCCTGAGGTGTCCCTCGTTACTAGACAGGAGTCCTGACGTCACTGAAGAAACTCGTGTTTTGAAGGGCCATCCCCGCCGTAAGTCGAGAACATACCCCAGGTCCCCGCCGCAACTCGAGAAAAACCATGAGACTTCCCCCTAGAGGCGAGATGAGGCCCCATTCCCCTGCAGTGCATGCAGAGCTATTCCGTGATCCCATTCAAACAAGTCAGGAGCTTCGACTTGCTTAATGGATCTCGAGACAGTCCCCAAGAACACTGTCACCAGTCTAGACGGACCCTGAGGTCACCCCAGCAACGCAAAGCAGCTCCATGTGCCCCAAATCAACTCGAGATGAGGCCCGATTCCCCTGCATTGACTCCAGAGCCATTCCCCGTTCCCCATTCAACACGACCGGTGGCTCGACTTCCTTCAGGCAACTCCAGAGATGCCCCGAGAACACTGTCCCAAGTCTAGAGGAACACCAACTTCAGCACAGCAACTCGAGGAATGCTCCGTGTACCCCAAATCGTCTCGAGATGCGAGCTGATTCCCTGGCTTAGGCTCAAGACGTATGCCAACTTCCCAGAAGCACCTCAGGAGGAGGCTTCTCTCAGCAATAGGTATGTGGGAGGGACCCCGAGTTTGCTGCCTCAAGGGGAATATACAGCGAGAAGCCCTAACTTGAAAGGAGGCCGGATTTCCTTGCAGTGGCTTGAATACAGGCTCGTCTTTCATCTCACAACATGAAGGGATGTCTGAATCCCCTGTGGAGACCTTAGAGAAAGCCCTAGGTCCCTGCCTCATTTTGACGGAATGCCTCACATCCCGCTGACACCTCGAGAGGCACGCGGAGTTCATTGCTTCAAAAGGTGACGATGCCTGACTCCTCTTGAATACTGATAGGAATCCCAAAATCCCTGTGGCTACTGGAAAGGGTCCTTGGGTGCCCTGCCTCACCTCGAGAAGCGTCCCTTTGGCCCTGCCAAGCCTCGAAGAGATTCCTGAGGTGTCCCTCGTTACTAGACAGGAGTCCTGACGTCACTGAAGAAACTCGTGTTTTGAAGGGCCATCCCCGCCGTAAGTCGAGAACATACCCCAGGTCCCCGCCGCAACTCGAGAAAAACCATGAGACTTCCCCCTAGAGGCGAGATGAGGCCCCATTATCCTGCAGTGCATGCAGAGCTATTCCGTGACCCCATTCAAACAAGTCAGGAGCTTCGACTTGCTTAATGGATCTCGAGACAGTCCCCAAGAACACTGTCACCAGTCTAGACGGACCCTGAGGTCACCCCAGCAACGCAAAGCAGCTCCATGTGCCCCAAATCAACTCGAGATGAGGCCCGATTCCCCTGCATTGACTCCAGAGCCATTCCCCGTTCCCCATTCAACACGACCGGTGGCTCGACTTCCTTCAGGCAACTCCAGAGATGCCCCGAGAACACTGTCCCAAGTCTAGAGGAACACCAACTTCAGCACAGCACCTCGAGGAATGCTCCGTGTACCACAAATCGTCTCGAGATGCGAGCTGATTCCCTGGCTTAGGCTCAAGACATAGGCCAACTTCCCAGAAGCACCTCAGGAGGAGACTTCTCTCAGCAATAGGTATGTGGGAGGGACCCCGAGTTTGCTGCCTCAAAGGGAATATACAGCGAGAAGCCCTAACTTGAAAGGAGGCCGGATTTCCTTGCAGTGGCTTGAATACAGGCTCGTCTTTCATCTCACAACATGAAGGGATGTCTGAATCCCCTGTGGAGACCTTAGAGAAAGCCCTAGGTCCCTGCCTCATTTTGACGGAATGCCTCACATCCCGCTGACACCTCGAGAGGCACGCGGAGTTCATTGCTTCAAAAGGTGACGATGCCTGACTCCTCTTGAATACTGATAGGAATCCCAAAATCCCTGTGGCTACTGGAAAGGGTCCTTGGGTGCCCTGCCTCACCTCGAGAAGCGTCCCTTTGGCCCTGCCAAGCCTCGAAGAGATTCCTGAGGTGTCCCTCGTTACTAGACAGGAGTCCTGACGTCACTGAAGAAACTCGTGTTTTGAAGGGCCATCCCCGCCGTAAGTCGAGAACATACCCCAGGTCCCCGCCGCAACTCGAGAAAAACCATGAGACTTCCCCCTAGAGGCGAGATGAGGCCCCATTCCCCTGCAGTGCATGCAGAGCTATTCCGTGATCCCATTCAAACAAGTCAGGAGCTTCGACTTGCTTAATGGATCTCGAGACAGTCCCCAAGAACACTGTCACCAGTCTAGACGGACCCTGAGGTCACCCCAGCAACGCAAAGCAGCTCCATGTGCCCCAAATCAACTCGAGATGAGGCCCGATTCCCCTGCATTGACTCCAGAGCCATTCCCCGTTCCCCATTCAACACGACCGGTGGCTCGACTTCCTTCAGGCAACTCCAGAGATGCCCCGAGAACACTGTCCCAAGTCTAGAGGAACACCAACTTCAGCACAGCAACTCGAGGAATGCTCCGTGTACCCCAAATCGTCTCGAGATGCGAGCTGATTCCCTGGCTTAGGCTCAAGACGTATGCCAACTTCCCAGAAGCACCTCAGGAGGAGGCTTCTCTCAGCAATAGGTATGTGGGAGGGACCCCGAGTTTGCTGCCTCAAGGGGAATATACAGCGAGAAGCCCTAACTTGAAAGGAGGCCGGATTTCCTTGCAGTGGCTTGAATACAGGCTCGTCTTTCATCTCACAACATGAAGGGATGTCTGAATCCCCTGTGGAGACCTTAGAGAAAGCCCTAGGTCCCTGCCTCATTTTGACGGAATGCCTCACATCCCGCTGACACCTCGAGAGGCACGCGGAGTTCATTGCTTCAAAAGGTGACGATGCCTGACTCCTCTTGAATACTGATAGGAATCCCAAAATCCCTGTGGCTACTGGAAAGGGTCCTTGGGTGCCCTGCCTCACCTCGAGAAGCGTCCCTTTGGCCCTGCCAAGCCTCGAAGAGATTCCTGAGGTGTCCCTCGTTACTAGACAGGAGTCCTGACGTCACTGAAGAAACTCGTGTTTTGAAGGGCCATCCCCGCCGTAAGTCGAGAACATACCCCAGGTTCCCGCCGCAACTCGAGAAAAACCATGAGACTTCCCCCTAGAGGCGAGATGAGGCCCCATTATCCTGCAGTGCATGCAGAGCTATTCCGTGACCCCATTCAAACAAGTCAGGAGCTTCGACTTGCTTAATGGATCTCGAGACAGTCCCCAAGAACACTGTCACCAGTCTAGACGGACCCTGAGGTCACCCCAGCAACGCAAAGCAGCTCCATGTGCCCCAAATCAACTCGAGATGAGGCCCGATTCCCCTGCATTGACTCCAGAGCCATTCCCCGTTCCCCATTCAACACGACCGGTGGCAAGACTTCCTTCAGGCAACTCCAGAGATGCCCCGAGAACACTGTCCCAAGTCTAGAGGAACACCAACTTCAGCACAGCAACTCGAGGAATGCTCCGTGTACCACAAATCGTCTCGAGATGCGAGCTGATTCCCTGGCTTAGGCTCAAGACGTATGCCAACTTCCCAGAAGCACATCAGGAGGGGGCTTCTCTCAGCAATAGGTATGTGGGAGGGACCCCGAGTTTGCTGCCTCAAGGGGAATATACAGCGAGAAGCCCTAACTTGAAAGGAGGCCGGATTTCCTTGCAGTGGCTTGAATACAGGCTCGTCTTTCATCTCACAACATGAAGGGATGTCTGAATCCCCTGTGGAGACCTTAGAGAAAGCCCTAGGTCCCTGCCTCATTTTGACGGAATGCCTCACATCCCGCTGACACCTCGAGAGGCACGCGGAGTTCATTTCTTCAAAAGGTGACGATGCCTGACTCCTCTTGAATACTGATAGGAATCCCAAAATCCCTGTGGCTACTGGAAAGGGTCCTTGGGTGCCCTGCCTCACCTCGAGAAGCGTCCCTTTGGCCCTGCCAAGCCTCGAAGAGATTCCTGAGGTGTCCCTCGTTACTAGACAGGAGTCCTGACGTCACTGAAGAAACTCGTGTTTTGAAGGGCCATCCCCGCCGTAAGTCGAGAACATACCCCAGGTCCCCGCCGCAACTCGAGAAAAACCATGAGACTTCCCCCTAGAGGCGAGATGAGGCCCCATTCCCCTGCAGTGCATGCAGAGCTATTCCGTGATCCCATTCAAACAAGTCAGGAGCTTCGACGTGCTTAATGGATCTCGAGACAGTCCCCAAGAACACTGTCACCAGTCTAGACGGACCCTGAGGTCACCCCAGCAACGCAAAGCAGCTCCATGTGCCCCAAATCAACTCGAGATGAGGCCCGATTCCCCTGCATTGACTCCAGAGCCATTCCCCGTTCCCCATTCAACACGACCGGTGGCTCGACTTCCTTCAGGCAACTCCAGAGATGCCCCGAGAACACTGTCCCAAGTCTAGAGGAACACCAACTTCAGCCCAGCAACTCGAGGAATGCTCCGTGTACCCCAAATCGTCTCGAGATGCGAGCTGATTCCCTGGCTTAGGCTCAAGACGTATGCCAACTTCCCAGAAGCACCTCAGGAGGGGGCTTCTCTCAGCAATAGGTATGTGGGAGGGACCCCGAGTTTGCTGCCTCAAGGGGAATATACAGCGAGAAGCCCTAACTTGAGAGGAGGCCGGATTTCCTTGCAGTGGCTTGAATACAGGCTCGTCTTTCATCTCACAACATGAAGGGATGTCTGAATCCCCTGTGGAGACCTTAGAGAAAGCCCTAGGTCCCTGCCTCATTTTGACGGAATGCCTCACATCCCGCTGACACCTCGAGAGGCACGCGGAGTTCATTGCTTCAAAAGGTGACGATGCCTGACTCCTCTTGAATACTGATAGGAATCCCAAAATCCCTGTGGCTACTGGAAAGGGTCCTTGGGTGCCCTGCCTCACCTCGAGAAGCGTCCCTTTGGCCCTGCCAAGCCTCGAAGAGATTCCTGAGGTGTCCCTCGTTACTAGACAGGAGTCCTGACGTCACTGAAGAAACTCGTGTTTTGAACGGCCATCCCCGCCGTAAGTCGAGAACATACCCCAGGTCCCCGCCGCAACTCGAGAAAAACCATGAGACTTCCCCCTAGAGGCGAGATGAGGCCCCATTCCCCTGCAGTGCATGCAGAGCTATTCCGTGACCCCATTCAAACAAGTCAGGAGCTTCGACTTGCTTAATGGATCTCGAGACAGTCCCCAAGAACACTGTCACCAGTCTAGACGGACCCTGAGGTCACCCCAGCAACGCAAAGCAGCTTCATGTGCCCCAAATCAACTCGAGATGAGGCCCGATTCCCCTGCATTGACTCCAGAGCCATTCCCCGTTCCCCATTCAACACGACCGGTGGCTCGACTTCCTTCAGGCAACTCCAGAGATGCCCCGAGAACACTGTCCCAAGTCTAGAGGAACACCAACTTCAGCACAGCAACTCGAGGAATGCTCCGTGTACCCCAAATCGTCTCGAGATGCGAGCTGATTCCCTGGCTTAGGCTCAAGACGTATGCCAACTTCCCAGAAGCACCTCAGGAGGGGGCTTCTCTCAGCAATAGGTATGTGGGAGGGACACCGAGTTTGCTGCCTCAAGGGGAATATACAGCGAGAAGCCCTAACTTGAAAGGAGGCCGGATTTCCTTGCAGTGGCTTGAATACAGGCTCGTCTTTCATCTCACAACATGAAGGGATGTCTGAATCCCCTGTGGAGACCTTAGAGAAAGCCCTAGGTCCCTGCCTCATTTTGACGGAATGCCTCACATCCCGCTGACACCTCGAGAGGCACGCGGAGTTCATTGCTTCAAAAGGTGACGATGCCTGACTCCTCTTGAATACTGATAGGAATCCCAAAATCCCTGTGGCTACTGGAAAGGGTCCTTGGGTGCCCTGCCTCACCTCGAGAAGCGTCCCTTTGGCCCTGCCAAGCCTCGAAGATTCCTGAGGTGTCCCTCGTTACTAGACAGGAGTCCTGACGTCACTGAAGAAACTCGTGTTTTGAAGGGCCATCCCCGCCGTAAGTCGAGAACATACCCCAGGTCCCCGCCGCAACTCGAGAAAAACCATGAGACTTCCCCCTAGAGGCGAGATGAGGCCCCATTCCCCTGCAGTGCATGCAGAGCTATTCCGTGATCCCATTCAAACAAGTCAGGAGCTTCGACTTGCTTAATGGATCTCGAGACAGTCCCCAAGAACACTGTCACCAGTCTAGACGGACCCTGAGGTCACCCCAGCAACGCAAAGCAGCTCCATGTGCCCCAAATCAACTCGAGATGAGGCCCGATTCCCCTGCACTGACGCCAGAGCCATTCCCCGTTCCCCATTCAACACGACCGGTGGCTCGACTTCCTTCAGGCAACTTCAGAGATGCCCCGAGAACACTGTCCCAAGTCTAGAGGAACACGAACTTCAGCACAGCAACTCGAGGAATGCTCCGTGTACCCCAAATCGTCTCGAGATGCGAGCTGATTCCCTGGCTTATGCTCAAGACGTATGCCAACTTCCCAGAAGCACCTCAGGAGGAGGCTTCTCTCAGCAATAGGTATGTGGGAGGGACCCCGAGTTTGCTGCCTCAAGGGGAATATACAGCGAGAAGCCCTAACTTGAAAGGACGCCGGATTTCCTTGCAGTGGCTTGAATACAGGCTCGTCTTTCATCTCACAACATGAAGGGATGTCTGAATCCCCTGTGGAGAACTTAGAGAAAGCCCTAGGTCCCTGCCTCATTTTGACGGAATGCCTCACATCCCGCTGACACCTCGAGAGGCACGCGGAGTTCATTGCTTCAAAAGGTGACGATGCCTGACTCCTCTTGAATACTGATAAGAATCCCAAAATCCCTGTGGCTACTGGAAAGGGTCCTTGGGTGCCCTGCCTCACCTCGAGAAGCGTCCCTTTGGCCCTGCCAAGCCTCGAAGAGATTCCTGAGGTGTCCCTCGTTACTAGACAGGAGTCCTGACGTCACTGAAGAAACTCGTGTTTTGAAGGGCCATCCCCGCCGTAAGTCGAGAACATACCCCAGGTCCCCGCCGCAACTCGAGAAAAACCATGAGACTTCCCCCTAGAGGCGAGATGAGGCCCCATTCCCCTGCAGTGCATGCAGAGCTATTCCGTGAACCCATTCAAACAAGTCAGGAGCTTCGACTTGCTTAATGGATCTCGAGACAGTCCCCAAGATCACTGTCACCAGTCTAGACGGACCCTGAGGTCACCCCAGCAACGCAAAGCAGCTCCATGTGCCCCAAATCAACTCGAGATGAGGCCCGATTCCCCTGCATTGACTCCAGAGCCATTCCCCGGTCCCCATTCAACACGACCGGTGGCTCGACTTCCTTCAGGCAACTCCAGAGATGCCCCGAGAACACTGTCCCAAGTCTAGAGGAACACCAACTTCAGCACAGCAACTCGAGGAATGCTCCGTGTACCCCAAATCGTCTCGAGATGCGAGCTGATTCCCTGGCTTAGGCTCAAGACGTATGCCAACTTCCCAGAAGCACCTCAGGAGGGGGCTTCTCTCAGCAATAGGTATGTGGGAGGGACCCCGAGTTTGCTGCCTCATGGGGAATATACAGCGAGAAGCCCTAACTTGAAAGGAGGCCGGATTTCCTTGCAGTGGCTTGAATACAGGCTCGTCTTTCATCTCACAACATGAAGGGATGTCTGAATCCCCTGTGGAGACCTTAGAGAAAGCCCTAGGTCCCTGCCTCATTTTGACGGAATGCCTCACATCCCGCTGACACCTCGAGAGGCACGCGGAGTTCATTGCTTCAAAAGGTGACGATGCCTGACTCCTCTTGAATACTGATAGGAATCCCAAAATCCCTGTGGCTACTGGAAAGGGTCCTTGGGTGCCCTGCCTCACCTCGAGAAGCGTCCCTTTGGCCCTGCCAAGCCTCGAAGAGATTCCTGAGGTGTCCCTCGTTACTAGACAGGAGTCCTGACGTCACTGAAGAAACTCGTGTTTTGAAGGGCCATCCCCGCCGTAAGTCGAGAACATACCCCAGGTCCCCGCCGCAACTCGAGAAAAACCATGAGACTTCCCCCTAGAGGCGAGATGAGGCCCCATTCCCCTGCAGTGCATGCAGAGCTATTCCGTGATCCCATTCAAACAAGTCAGGAGCTTCGACTTGCTTAATGGATCTCGAGACAGTCCCCAAGAACACTGTCACCAGTCTAGACGGACCCTGAGGTCACCCCAGCAACGCAAAGCAGCTCCATGTGCCCCAAATCAACTCGAGATGAGGCCCGATTCCCCTGCATTGACTCCAGAGCCATTCCCCGTTCCCCATTCAACACGACCGGTGGCTCGACTTCCTTCAGGCAACTCCAGAGATGCCCCGAGAACACTGTCCCAAGTCTAGAGGAACACCAACTTCAGCACAGCAACTCGAGGAATGCTCCGTGTACCCCAAATCGTCTCGAGATGCGAGCTGATTCCCTGGCTTAGGCTCAAGACGTATGCCAACTTCCCAGAAGCACCTCAGGAGGAGGCTTGTCTCAGCAATAGGTATGTGGCAGGGACCCCGAGTTTGCTGCCTCAAGGGGAATATACAGCGAGAAGCCCTAACTTGAAAGGAGGCCGGATTTCCTTGCAGTGGCTTGAATACAGGCTCGTCTTTCATCTCACAACATGAAGGGATGTCTGAATCCCCTGTGGAGACCTTAGAGAAAGCCCTAGGTCCCTGCCTCATTTTGACGGAATGCCTCACATCCCGCTGACACCTCGAGAGGCACGCGGAGTTCATTGCTTCAAAAGGTGACGATGCCTGACTCCTCTTGAATACTGATAGGAATCCCAAAATCCCTGTGGCTACTGGAAAGGGTCCTTGGGTGCCCTGCCTCACCTCGAGAAGCGTCCCTTTGGCCCTGCCAAGCCTCGAAGAGATTCCTGAGGTGTCCCTCGTTACTAGACAGGAGTCCTGACGTCACTGAAGAAACTCGTGTTTTGAAGGGCCATCCCCGCCGTAAGTCGAGAACATACCCCAGGTCCCCGCCGCAACTCGAGAAAAACCATGAGACTTCCCCCTAGAGGCGAGATGAGGCCCCATTCCCCTGCAGTGCATGCAGAGCTATTCCGTGACCCCATTCAAACAAGTCAGGAGCTTCGACTTGCTTAATGGATCTCGAGACAGTCCCCAAGAACACTGTCACCAGTCTAGACGGACCCTGAGGTCACCCCAGCAACGCAAAGCAGCTCCATGTGCCCCAAATCAACTCGAGATGAGGCCCGATTCCCCTGCATTGACTCCAGAGCCATTCCCCGTTCCCCATTCAACACGACCGGTGGCTCGACTTCCTTCAGGCAACTCCAGAGATGCCCCGAGAACACTGTCCCAAGTCTAGAGGAACACCAACTTCAGCACAGCAACTCGAGGAATGCTCCGTGTACCCCAAATCGTCTCGAGATGCGAGCTGATTCCCTGGCTTAGGCTCAAGACGTATGCCAACTTCCCAGAAGCACCTCAGGAGGGGGCTTCTCTCAGCAATAGGTATGTGGGAGGGACCCCGAGTTTGCTGCCTCAAGGGGAATATACAGCGAGAAGCCCTAACTAGAAAGGAGGCCGGATTTCCTTGCAGTGGCTTGAATACAGGCTCGTCTTTCATCTCACAACATGAAGGGATGTCTGAATCCCCTGTGGAGACCTTAGAGAAAGCCCTAGGTCCCTGCCTCATTTTGACGGAATGCCTCACATCCCGCTGACACCTCGAGAGGCACGCGGAGTTCATTGCTTCAAAAGGTGACGATGCCTGACTCCTCTTGAATACTGATAGGAATCCCAAAATCCCTGTGGCTACTGGAAAGGGTCCTTGGGTGCCCTGCCTCTCCTCGAGAAGCGTCCCTTTGGCCCTGCCAAGCCTCGAAGAGATTCCTGAGGTGTCCCTCGTTACTAGACAGGAGTCCTGACGTCACTGAAGAAACTCGTGTTTTGAAGGGCCATCCCCGCCGTAAGTCGAGAACATACCCCAGGTCCCCGCCGCAACTCGAGAAAAACCATGAGACTTCCCCCTAGAGGCGAGATGAGGCCCCATTCCCCTGCAGTGCATGCAGAGCTATTCCGTGATCCCATTCAAACAAGTCAGGAGCTTCGACTTGCTTAATGGATCTCGAGACAGTCCCCAAGAACACTGTCACCAGTCTAGACGGACCCTGAGGTCACCCCAGCAACGCAAAGCAGCTCCATGTGCCCCAAATCAACTCGAGATGAGGCCCGATTCCCCTGCATTGACTCCAGAGCCATTCCCCGTTCCCCATTCAACACGACCGGTGGCTCGACTTCCTTCAGGCAACTCCAGAGATGCCCCGAGAACACTGTCCCAAGTCTAGAGGAACACCAACTTCAGCACAGCAACTCGAGGAATGCTCCGTGTACCCCAAATCGTCTCGAGATGCGAGCTGATTCCCTGGCTTAGGCTCAAGACGTATGCCAACTTCCCAGAAGCACCTCAGGAGGGGGCTTCTCTCAGCAATAGGTATGTGGGAGGGACACCGAGTTTGCTGCCTCAAGGGGAATATACAGCGAGAAGCCCTAACTTGAAAGGAGGCCGGATTTCCTTGCAGTGGCTTGAATACAGGCTCGTCTTTCATCTCACAACATGAAGGGATGTCTGAATCCCCTGTGGAGACCTTAGAGAAAGCCCTAGGTCCCTGCCTCATTTTGACGGAATGCCTCACATCCCGCTGACACCTCGAGAGGCACGCGGAGTTCATTGCTTCAAAAGGTGACGATGCCTGACTCCTCTTGAATACTGATAGGAATCCCAAAATCCCTGTGGCTACTGGAAAGGGTCCTTGGGTGCCCTGCCTCACCTCGAGAAGCGTCCCTTTGGCCCTGCCAAGCCTCGAAGATTCCTGAGGTGTCCCTCGTTACTAGACAGGAGTCCTGACGTCACTGAAGAAACTCGTGTTTTGAAGGGCCATCCCCGCCGTAAGTCGAGAACATACCCCAGGTCCCCGCCGCAACTCGAGAAAAACCATGAGACTTCCCCCTAGAGGCGAGATGAGGCCCCATTCCCCTGCAGTGCATGCAGAGCTATTCCGTGATCCCATTCAAACAAGTCAGGAGCTTCGACTTGCTTAATGGATCTCGAGACAGTCCCCAAGAACACTGTCACCAGTCTAGACGGACCCTGAGGTCACCCCAGCAACGCAAAGCAGCTCCATGTGCCCCAAATCAACTCAAGATGAGGCCCGATTCCCCTGCACTGACTCCAGAGCCATTCCCCGTTCCCCATTCAACACGACCGGTGGCTCGACTTCCTTCAGGCAACTTCAGAGATGCCCCGAGAACACTGTCCCAAGTCTAGAGGAACACGAACTTCAGCACAGCAACTCGAGGAATGCTCCGTGTACCCCAAATCGTCTCGAGATGCGAGCTGATTCCCTGGCTTATGCTCAAGACGTATGCCAACTTCCCAGAAGCACCTCAGGAGGAGGCTTCTCTCAGCAATAGGTATGTGGGAGGGACCCCGAGTTTGCTGCCTCAAGGGGAATATACAGCGAGAAGCCCTAACTTGAAAGGACGCCGGATTTCCTTGCAGTGGCTTGAATACAGGCTCGTCTTTCATCTCACAACATGAAGGGATGTCTGAATCCCCTGTGGAGACCTTAGAGAAAGCCCTAGTTCCCTGCCTCATTTTGACGGAATGCCTCACATCCCGCTGACACCTCGAGAGGCACGCGGAGTTCATTGCTTCAAAAGGTGACGATGCCTGACTCCTCTTGAATACTGATAAGAATCCCAAAATCCCTGTGGCTACTGGAAAGGGTCCTTGGGTGCCCTGCCTCACCTCGAGAAGCGTCCCTTTGGCCCTGCCAAGCCTCGAAGAGATTCCTGAGGTGTCCCTCGTTACTAGACAGGAGTCCTGACGTCACTGAAGAAACTCGTGTTTTGAAGGGCCATCCCCGCCGTAAGTCGAGAACATACCCCAGGTCCCCGCCGCAACTCGAGAAAAACCATGAGACTTCCCCCTAGAGGCGAGATGAGGCCCCATTCCCCTGCAGTGCATGCAGAGCTATTCCGTGAACCCATTCAAACAAGTCAGGAGCTTCGACTTGCTTAATGGATCTCGAGACAGTCCCCAAGAACACTGTCACCAGTCTAGACGGACCCTGAGGTCACCCCAGCAACGCAAAGCAGCTCCATGTGCCCCAAATCAACTCGAGATGAGGCCCGATTCCCCTGCATTGACTCCAGAGCCATTCCCCGTTCCCCATTCAACACGACCGGTGGCTCGACTTCCTTCAGGCAACTTCAGAGATGCCCCGAGAACACTGTCCCAAGTCTAGAGGAACACCAACTTCAGCCCAGCAACTCGAGGAATGCTCCGTGTACCCCAAATCGTCTCGAGATGCGAGCTGATTCCCTGGCTTAGGCTCAAAACGTATGCCAACTTCCCAGAAGCACCTCAGGAGGAGGCTTCTCTCAGCAATAGGTATGTGGGAGGGACCCCGAGTTTGCTGCCTCAAGGGGAATATACAGCGAGAAGCCCTAACTTGAAAGGAGGCCGGATTTCCTTGCAGTGGCTTGAATACAGGCTCGTCTTTCATCTCACAACATGAAGGGATGTCTGAATCCCCTGTGGAGACCTTAGAGAAAGCCCTAGGTCCCTGCCTCATTTTGACGGAATGCCTCACATCCCGCTGACACCTCGAGAGGCACGCGGAGTTCATTGCTTCCAAAGGTGACGATGCCTGACTCCTCTTGAATACTGATAGGAATCCCAAAATCCCTGTGGCTACTGGAAAGGGTCCTTGGGTGCCCTGCCTCACCTCGAGAAGCGTCCCTTTGGCCCTGCCAAGCCTCGAAGAGATTCCTGAGGTGTCCCTCGTTACTAGACAGGAGTCCTGACGTCACTGAAGAAACTTGTGTTTTGAAGGGCCATCCCCGCCATAAGTCGAGAACATACCCCAGGTCCCCGCCGCAACTCGAGAAAAACCATGAGACTTCCCCCTAGAGGCGAGATGAGGCCCCATTCCCCTGCAGTGCATGCAGAGCTATTCCGTGATCCCATTCAAACAAGTCAGGAGCTTCGACTTGCTTAATGGATCTCGAGACAGTCCCCAAGAACACTGTCACCAGTCTAGACGGACCCTGAGGTCACCCCAGCAACGCAAAGCAGCTCCATGTGCCCCAAATCAACTCGAGATGAGGCCCGATTCCCCTGCATTGACTCCAGAGCCATTCCCCGTTCCCCATTCAACACGACCGGTGGCTCGACTTCCTTCAGGCAACTCCAGAGATGCCCCGAGAACACTGTCCCAAGTCTAGAGGAACACCAACTTCAGCACAGCAACTCGAGGAATGCTCCGTGTACCCCAAATCGTCTCGAGATGCGAGCTGATTCCCTGGCTTAGGCTCAAGACGTATGCCAACTTCCCAGAAGCACCTCAGGAGGAGGCTTCTCTCAGCAATAGGTATGTGGGAGGGACCCCGAGTTTCCTGCCTCAAGGGGAATATACAGCGAGAAGCCCTAACTTGAAAGGAGGCCGGATTTCCTTGCAGTGGCTTGAATACAGGCTCGTCTTTCATCTCACAACATGAAGGGATGTCTGAATCCCCTGTGGAGACCTTAGAGAAAGCCCTAGGTCCCTGCCTCATTTTGACGGAATGCCTCACATCCCGCTGACACCTCGAGAGGCACGCGGAGTTCATTGCTTCAAAAGGTGACGATGCCTGACTCCTCTTGAATACTGATAGGAATCCCAAAATCCCTGTGGCTACTGGAAAGGGTCCTTGGGTGCCCTGCCTCACCTCGAGAAGCGTCCCTTTGGCCCTGCCAAGCCTCGAAGAGATTCCTGAGGTGTCCCTCGTTACTAGACAGGAGTCCTGACGTCACTGAAGAAACTCGTGTTTTGAACGGCCATCCCCGCCGTAAGTCGAGAACATACCCCAGGTCCCCGCCGCAACTCGAGAAAAACCATGAGACTTCCCCCTAGAGGCGAGATGAGGCCCCATTCCCCTGCAGTGCATGCAGAGCTATTCCGTGACCCCATTCAAACAAGTCAGGAGCTTCGACTTGCTTAATGGATCTCGAGACAGTCCCCAAGAACACTGTCAGCAGTCTAGACGGACCCTGAGGTCACCCCAGCAACGCAAAGCAGCTCCATGTGCCCCAAATCAACTCGAGATGAGGCCCGATTCCCCTGCATTGACTCCAGAGCCATTCCCCGTTCCCCATTCAACACGACCGGTGGCTCGACTTCCTTCAGGCAACTCCAGAGATGCCCCGAGAACACTGTCCCAAGTCTAGAGGAACACCAACTTCAGCACAGCAACTCGAGGAATGCTCCGTGTACCCCAAATCGTCTCGAGATGCGAGCTGATTCCCTGGCTTAGGCTCAAGACGTATGCCAACTTCCCAGAAGCACCTCAGGAGGGGGCTTCTCTCAGCAATAGGTATGTGGGAGGGACACCGAGTTTGCTGCCTCAAGGGGAATATACAGCGAGAAGCCCTAACTTGAAAGGAGGCCGGATTTCCTTGCAGTGGCTTGAATACAGGCTCGTCTTTCATCTCACAACATGAAGGGATGTCTGAATCCCCTGTGGAGACCTTAGAGAAAGCCCTAGGTCCCTGCCTCATTTTGACGGAATGCCTCACATCCCGCTGACACCTCGAGAGGCACGCGGAGTTCATTGCTTCAAAAGGTGACGATGCCTGACTCCTCTTGAATACTGATAGGAATCCCAAAATCCCTGTGGCTACTGGAAAGGGTCCTTGGGTGCCCTGCCTCACCTCGAGAAGCGTCCCTTTGGCCCTGCCAAGCCTCGAAGATTCCTGAGGTGTCCCTCGTTACTAGACAGGAGTCCTGACGTCACTGAAGAAACTCGTGTTTTGAAGGGCCATCCCCGCCGTAAGTCGAGAACATACCCCAGGTCCCCGCCGCAACTCGAGAAAAACCATGAGACTTCCCCCTAGAGGCGAGATGAGGCCCCATTCCCCTGCAGTGCATGCAGAGCTATTCCGTGATCCCATTCAAACAAGTCAGGAGCTTCGACTTGCTTAATGGATCTCGAGACAGTCCCCAAGAACACTGTCACCAGTCTAGACGGACCCTGAGGTCACCCCAGCAACGCAAAGCAGCTCCATGTGCCCCAAATCAACTCGAGATGAGGCCCGATTCCCCTGCACTGACTCCAGAGCCATTCCCCGTTCCCCATTCAACACGACCGGTGGCTCGACTTCCTTCAGGCAACTTCAGAGATGCCCCGAGAACACTGTCCCAAGTCTAGAGGAACACGAACTTCAGCACAGCAACTCGAGGAATGCTCCGTGTACCCCAAATCGTCTCGAGATGCGAGCTGATTCCCTGGCTTACGCTCAAGACGTATGCCAACTTCCCAGAAGCACCTCAGGAGGAGGCTTCTCTCAGCAATAGGTATGTGGGAGGGACCCCGAGTTTGCTGCCTCAAGGGGAATATACAGCGAGAAGCCCTAACTTGAAAGGACGCCGGATTTCCTTGCAGTGGCTTGAATACAGGCTCGTCTTTCATCTCACAACATGAAGGGATGTCTGAATCCCCTGTGGAGACCTTAGAGAAAGCCCTAGGTCCCTGCCTCATTTTGACGGAATGCCTCACATCCCGCTGACACCTCGAGAGGCACGCGGAGTTCATTGCTTCAAAAGGTGACGATGCCTGACTCCTCTTGAATACTGATAAGAATCCCAAAATCCCTGTGGCTACTGGAAAGGGTCCTTGGGTGCCCTGCCTCACCTCGAGAAGCGTCCCTTTGGCCCTGCCAAGCCTCGAAGAGATTCCTGAGGTGTCCCTCGTTACTAGACAGGAGTCCTGACGTCACTGAAGAAACTCGTGTTTTGAAGGGCCATCCCCGCCGTAAGTCGAGAACATACCCCAGGTCCCCGCCGCAACTCGAGAAAAACCATGAGACTTCCCCCTAGAGGCGAGATGAGGCCCCATTCCCCTGCAGTGCATGCAGAGCTATTCCGTGAACCCATTCAAACAAGTCAGGAGCTTCGACTTGCTTAATGGATCTCGAGACAGTCCCCAAGAACACTGTCACCAGTCTAGACGGACCCTGAGGTCACCCCAGCAACGCAAAGCAGCTCCATGTGCCCCAAATCAACTCGAGATGAGGCCCGATTCCCCTGCATTGACTCCAGAGCCATTCCCCGGTCCCCATTCAACACGACCGGTGGCTCGACTTCCTTCAGGCAACTCCAGAGATGCCCCGAGAACACTGTCCCAAGTCTAGAGGAACACCAACTTCAGCACAGCAACTCGAGGAATGCTCCGTGTACCCCAAATCGTCTCGAGATGCGAGCTGATTCCCTGGCTTAGGCTCAAGACGTATGCCAACTTCCCAGAAGCACCTCAGGAGGGGGCTTCTCTCAGCAATAGGTATGTGGGAGGGACCCCGAGTTTGCTGCCTCATGGGGAATATACAGCGAGAAGCCCTAACTTGAAAGGAGGCCGGATTTCCTTGCAGTGGCTTGAATACAGGCTCGTCTTTCATCTCACAACATGAAGGGATGTCTGAATCCCCTGTGGAGACCTTAGAGAAAGCCCTAGGTCCCTGCCTCATTTTGACGGAATGCCTCACATCCCGCTGACACCTCGAGAGGCACGCGGAGTTCATTGCTTCAAAAGGTGACGATGCCTGACTCCTCTTGAATACTGATAGGAATCCCAAAATCCCTGTGGCTACTGGAAAGGGTCCTTGGGTGCCCTGCCTCACCTCGAGAAGCGTCCCTTTGGCCCTGCCAAGCCTCGAAGAGATTCCTGAGGTGTCCCTCGTTACTAGACAGGAGTCCTGACGTCACTGAAGAAACTCGTGTTTTGAAGGGCCATCCCCGCCGTAAGTCGAGAACATACCCCAGGTCCCCGCCGCAACTCGAGAAAAACCATGAGACTTCCCCCTAGAGGCGAGATGAGGCCCCATTCCCCTGCAGTGCATGCAGAGCTATTCCGTGATCCCATTCAAACAAGTCAGGAGCTTCGACTTGCTTAATGGATCTCGAGACAGTCCCCAAGAACACTGTCACCAGTCTAGACGGACCCTGAGGTCACCCCAGCAACGCAAAGCAGCTCCATGTGCCCCAAATCAACTCGAGATGAGGCCCGATTCCCCTGCATTGACTCCAGAGCCATTCCCCGTTCCCCATTCAACACGACCGGTGGCTCGACTTCCTTCAGGCAACTCCAGAGATGCCCCGAGAACACTGTCCCAAGTCTAGAGGAACACCAACTTCAGCACAGCAACTCGAGGAATGCTCCGTGTACCCCAAATCGTCTCGAGATGCGAGCTGATTCCCTGGCTTAGGCTCAAGACGTATGCCAACTTCCCAGAAGCACCTCAGGAGGAGGCTTGTCTCAGCAATAGGTATGTGGCAGGGACCCCGAGTTTGCTGCCTCAAGGGGAATATACAGCGAGAAGCCCTAACTTGAAAGGAGGCCGGATTTCCTTGCAGTGGCTTGAATACAGGCTCGTCTTTCATCTCACAACATGAAGGGATGTCTGAATCCCCTGTGGAGACCTTAGAGAAAGCCCTAGGTCCCTGCCTCATTTTGACGGAATGCCTCACATCCCGCTGACACCTCGAGAGGCACGCGGAGTTCATTGCTTCAAAAGGTGACGATGCCTGACTCCTCTTGAATACTGATAGGAATCCCAAAATCCCTGTGGCTACTGGAAAGGGTCCTTGGGTGCCCTGCCTCACCTCGAGAAGCGTCCCTTTGGCCCTGCCAAGCCTCGAAGAGATTCCTGAGGTGTCCCTCGTTACTAGACAGGAGTCCTGACGTCACTGAAGAAACTCGTGTTTTGAAGGGCCATCCCCGCCGTAAGTCGAGAACATACCCCAGGTCCCCGCCGCAACTCGAGAAAAACCATGAGACTTCCCCCTAGAGGCGAGATGAGGCCCCATTCCCCTGCAGTGCATGCAGAGCTATTCCGTGACCCCATTCAAACAAGTCAGGAGCTTCGACTTGCTTAATGGATCTCGAGACAGTCCCCAAGAACACTGTCACCAGTCTAGACGGACCCTGAGGTCACCCCAGCAACGCAAAGCAGCTCCATGTGCCCCAAATCAACTCGAGATGAGGCCCGATTCCCCTGCATTGACTCCAGAGCCATTCCCCGTTCCCCATTCAACACGACCGGTGGCTCGACTTCCTTCAGGCAACTCCAGAGATGCCCCGAGAACACTGTCCCAAGTCTAGAGGAACACCAACTTCAGCACAGCAACTCGAGGAATGCTCCGTGTACCCCAAATCGTCTCGAGATGCGAGCTGATTCCCTGGCTTAGGCTCAAGACGTATGCCAACTTCCCAGAAGCACCTCAGGAGGGGGCTTCTCTCAGCAATAGGTATGTGGGAGGGACCCCGAGTTTGCTGCCTCAAGGGGAATATACAGCGAGAAGCCCTAACTAGAAAGGAGGCCGGATTTCCTTGCAGTGGCTTGAATACAGGCTCGTCTTTCATCTCACAACATGAAGGGATGTCTGAATCCCCTGTGGAGACCTTAGAGAAAGCCCTAGGTCCCTGCCTCATTTTGACGGAATGCCTCACATCCCGCTGACACCTCGAGAGGCACGCGGAGTTCATTGCTTCAAAAGGTGACGATGCCTGACTCCTCTTGAATACTGATAGGAATCCCAAAATCCCTGTGGCTACTGGAAAGGGTCCTTGGGTGCCCTGCCTCTCCTCGAGAAGCGTCCCTTTGGCCCTGCCAAGCCTCGAAGAGATTCCTGAGGTGTCCCTCGTTACTAGACAGGAGTCCTGACGTCACTGAAGAAACTCGTGTTTTGAAGGGCCATCCCCGCCGTAAGTCGAGAACATACCCCAGGTCCCCGCCGCAACTCGAGAAAAACCATGAGACTTCCCCCTAGAGGCGAGATGAGGCCCCATTCCCCTGCAGTGCATGCAGAGCTATTCCGTGATCCCATTCAAACAAGTCAGGAGCTTCGACTTGCTTAATGGATCTCGAGACAGTCCCCAAGAACACTGTCACCAGTCTAGACGGACCCTGAGGTCACCCCAGCAACGCAAAGCAGCTCCATGTGCCCCAAATCAACTCGAGATGAGGCCCGATTCCCCTGCATTGACTCCAGAGCCATTCCCCGGTCCCCATTCAACACGACCGGTGGCTCGACTTCCTTCAGGCAACTCCAGAGATGCCCCGAGAACACTGTCCCAAGTCTAGAGGAACACCAACTTCAGCACAGCAACTCGAGGAATGCTCCGTGTACCCCAAATCGTCTCGAGATGCGAGCTGATTCCCTGGCTTAGGCTCAAGACGTATGCCAACTTCCCAGAAGCACCTCAGGAGGAGGCTTCTCTCAGCAATAGGTATGTGGGAGGGACCCCGAGTTTGCTGCCTCAAGGGGAATATACAGCGAGAAGCCCTAACGTGAAAGGAGGCCGGATTTCCTTGCAGTGGCTTGAATACAGGCTCGTCTTTCATCTCACAACATGACGGGATGTCTGAATCCCCTGTGGAGACCTTAGAGAAAGCCCTAGGTCCCTGCCTCATTTTGACGGAATGCCTCACATCCCGCTGACACCTCGAGAGGCACGCGGAGTTCATTGCTTCAAAAGGTGACGATGCCTGACTCCTCTTGAATACTGATAGGAATCCCAAAATCCCTGTGGCTACTGGAAAGGGTCCTTGGGTGCCCTGCCTCACCTCGAGAAGCGTCCCTTTGGCCCTGCCAAGGCTCGAAGAGATTCCTGAGGTGTCCCTCGTTACTAGACAGGAGTCCTGACGTCACTGAAGAAACTCGTGTTTTGAAGGGCCATCCCCGCCGTAAGTCGAGAACATACCCCAGGTCCCCGCCGCAACTCGAGAAAAACCATGAGACTTCCCCCTAGAGGCGAGATGAGGCCCCATTCCCCTGCAGTGCATGCAGAGCTATTCCGTGATCCCATTCAAACAAGTCAGGAGCTTCGACTTGCTTAATGGATCTCGAGACAGTCCCCAAGAACACTGTCACCAGTCTAGACGGACCCTGAGGTCACCCCAGCAACGCAAAGCAGCTCCATGTGCCCCAAATCAACTCGAGATGAGGCCCGATTCCCCTGCATTGACTCCAGAGCCATTCCCCGTTCCCCATTCAACACGACCGGTGGCTCGACTTCCTTCAGGCAACTCCAGAGATGCCCCGAGAACACTGTCCCAAGTCTAGAGGAACACCAACTTCAGCCCAGCAACTCGAGGAATGCTCCGTGTACCCCAAATCGTCTCGAGATGCGAGCTGATTCCCTGGCTTAGGCTCAAAACATATGCCAACTTCCCAGAAGCACCTCAGGAGGAGGCTTCTCTCAGCAATAGGTATGTGGGAGGGACCCCGAGTTTGCTGCCTCAAGGGGAATATACAGCGAGAAGCCCTAACTTGAAAGGAGGCCGGATTTCCTTGCAGTGGCTTGAATACAGGCTCGTCTTTCATCTCACAAGATGAAGGGATGTCTGAATCCCCTGTGGAGACCTTAGAGAAAGCCCTAGGTCCCTGCCTCATTTTGACGGAATGCCTCACATCCCGCTGACACCTCGAGAGGCACGCGGAGTTCATTGCTTCAAAAGGTGACGATGCCTGACTCCTCTTGAATACTGATAGGAATCCCAAAATCCCTGTGGCTACTGGAAAGGGTCCTTGGGTGCCCTGCCTCACCTCGACAAGCGTCCCTTTGGCCCTGCCAAGCCTCGAAGAGATTCCTGAGGTGTCCCTCGTTACTAGACAGGAGTCCTGACGTCACTGAAGAAACTCGTGTTTTGAAGGGCCATCCCCGCCGTAAGTCGAGAACATACCCCAGGTCCCCGCCGCAACTCGAGAAAAACCATGAGACTTCCCCCTAGAGGCGAGATGAGGCCCCATTCCCCTGCAGTGCATGCAGAGCTATTCCGTGATCCCATTCAAACAAGTCAGGAGCTTCGACTTGCTTAATGGATCTCGAGACAGTCCCCAAGAACACTGTCACCAGTCTAGACGGACCCTGAGGTCACCCCAGCAACGCAAAGCAGCTCCATGTGCCCCAAATCAACTCGAGATGAGGCCCGATTCCCCTGCATTGACTCCAGAGCCATTCCCCGTTCCCCATTCAACACGACCGGTGGCTCGACTTCCTTCAGGCAACTCCAGAGATGCCCCGAGAACACTGTCCCAAGTCTAGAGGAACACCAACTTCAGCACAGCAACTCGAGGAATGCTCCGTGTACCCCAAATCGTCTCGAGATGCGAGCTGATTCCCTGGCTTAGGCTCAAGACGTATGCCAACTTCCCAGAAGCACCTCAGGAGGAGGCTTCTCTCAGCAATAGGTATGTGGGAGGGACCCCGAGTTTGCTGCCTCAAGGGGAATATACAGCGAGAAGCCCTAACGTGAAAGGAGGCCGGATTTCCTTGCAGTGGCTTGAATACAGGCTCGTCTTTCATCTCACAACATGACGGGATGTCTGAATCCCCTGTGGAGACCTTAGAGAAAGCCCTAGGTCCCTGCCTCATTTTGACGGAATGCCTCACATCCCGCTGACACCTCGAGAGGCACGCGGAGTTCATTGCTTCAAAAGGTGACGATGCCTGACTCCTCTTGAATACTGATAGGAATCCCAAAATCCCTGTGGCTACTGGAAAGGGTCCTTGGGTGCCCTGCCTCACCTCGAGAAGCGTCCCTTTGGCCCTGCCAAGCCTCGAAGAGATTCCTGAGGTGTCCCTCGTTACTAGACAGGAGTCCTGACGTCACTGAAGAAACTCGTGTTTTGAAGGGCCATCCCCGCCGTAAGTCGAGAACATACCCCAGGTCCCCGCCGCAACTCGAGAAAAACCATGAGACTTCCCCCTAGAGGCGAGATGAGGCCCCATTCCCCTGCAGTGCATGCAGAGCTATTCCGTGATCCCATTCAAACAAGTCAGGAGCTTCGACTTGCTTAATGGATCTCGAGACAGTCCCCAAGAACACTGTCACCAGTCTAGACGGACCCTGAGGTCACCCCAGCAACGCAAAGCAGCTCCATGTGCCCCAAATCAACTCGAGATGAGGCCCGATTCCCCTGCATTGACTCCAGAGCCATTCCCCGTTCCCCATTCAACACGACCGGTGGCTCGACTTCCTTCAGGCAACTCCAGAGATGCCCCGAGAACACTGTCCCAAGTCTAGAGGAACACCAACTTCAGCCCAGCAACTCGAGGAATGCTCCGTGTACCCCAAATCGTCTCGAGATGCGAGCTGATTCCCTGGCTTAGGCTCAAAACGTATGCCAACTTCCCAGAAGCACCTCAGGAGGAGGCTTCTCTCAGCAATAGGTATGTGGGAGGGACCCCGAGTTTGCTGCCTCAAGGGGAATATACAGCGAGAAGCCCTAACTTGAAAGGAGGCCGGATTTCCTTGCAGTGGCTTGAATACAGGCTCGTCTTTCATCTCACAAGATGAAGGGATGTCTGAATCCCCTGTGGAGACCTTAGAGAAAGCCCTAGGTCCCTGCCTCATTTTGACGGAATGCCTCACATCCCGCTGACACCTCGAGAGGCACGCGGAGTTCATTGCTTCAAAAGGTGACGATGCCTGACTCCTCTTGAATACTGATAGGAATCCCAAAATCCCTGTGGCTACTGGAAAGGGTCCTTGGGTGCCCTGCCTCACCTCGACAAGCGTCCCTTTGGCCCTGCCAAGCCTCGAAGAGATTCCTGAGGTGTCCCTCATTACTAGACAGGAGTCCTGACGTCACTGAAGAAACTCGTGTTTTGAAGGGCCATCCCCGCCGTAAGTCGAGAACATACCCCAGGTCCCCGCCGCAACTCGAGAAAAACCATGAGACTTCCCCCTAGAGGCGAGATGAGGCCCCATTCCCCTGCAGTGCATGCAGAGCTATTCCGTGATCCCATTCAAACAAGTCAGGAGCTTCGACTTGCTTAATGGATCTCGAGACAGTCCCCAAGAACACTGTCACCAGTCTAGACGGACCCTGAGGTCACCCCAGCAACGCAAAGCAGCTCCATGTGCCCCAAATCAACTCGAGATGAGGCCCGATTCCCCTGCATTGACTCCAGAGCCATTCCCCGTTCCCCATTCAACACGACCGGTGGCTCGACTTCCTTCAGGCAACTCCAGAGATGCCCCGAGAACACTGTCCCAAGTCTAGAGGAACACCAACTTCAGCCCAGCAACTCGAGGAATGCTCCGTGTACCCTAAATCGTCTCGAGATGCGAGCTGATTCCCTGGCTTAGGCTCAAGACGTATGCCAACTTCCCAGAAGCACCTCAGGAGGAGGCTTCTCTCAGCAATAGGTATGTGGGAGGGACCCCGAGTTTGCTGCCTCAAGGGGAATATACAGCGAGAAGCCCTATCTAGAAAGGAGGCCGGATTTCCTTGCAGTGGCTTGAATACAGGCTCGTCTTTCATCTCACAACATGAAGGGATGTCTGAATCCCCTGTGGAGACCTTAGAGAAAGCCCTAGGTCCCTGCCTCATTTTGACGGAATGCCTCACATCCCGCTGACACCTCGAGAGGCACGCGGAGTTCATTGCTTCAAAAGGTGACGATGCCTGACTCCTCTTGAATACTGATAGGAATCCCAAAATCCCTGTGGCTACTGGAAAGGGTCCTTGGGTGCCCTGCCTCACCTCGAGAAGCGTCCCTTTGGCCCTGCCAAGCCTCGAAGAGATTCCTGAGGTGTCCCTCGTTACTAGACAGGAGTCCTGACGTCACTGAAGAAACTCGTGTTTTGAAGGGCCATCCCCGCCGTAAGTCGAGAACATACCCCAGGTCCCCGCCGCAACTCGAGAAAAACCATGAGACTTCCCCCTAGAGGCGAGATGAGGCCCCATTCCCCTGCAGTGCATGCAGAGCTATTCCGTGATCCCATTCAAACAAGTCAGGAGCTTCGACTTGCTTAATGGATCTCGAGACAGTCCCCAAGAACACTGTCACCAGTCTAGACGGACCCTGAGGTCACCCCAGCAACGCAAAGCAGCTCCATGTGCCCCAAATCAACTCGAGATGAGGCCCGATTCCCCTGAAATGACTCCAGAGCCATTCCCCGTTCCCCATTCAACACGACCGGTGGCTCGACTTCCTTCAGGCAACTCCAGAGATGCCCCGAGAACACTGTCCCAAGTCTAGAGGAACACCAACTTCAGCACAGCAACTCGAGGAATGCTCCGTGTACCACAAATCGTCTCGAGATGCGAGCTGATTCCCTGGCTTAGGCTCAAGACGTATGCCAACTTCCCAGAAGCACCTCAGGAGGAGGCTTCTCTGAGCAATAGGTATGTGGGAGGGACCCCGAGTTTGCTGCCTCAAGGGGAATATACAGCGAGAAGCCCTAACTTGAAAGGAGGCCGGATTTCCTTGCAGTGGCTTGAATACAGGCTCGTCTTTCATCTCACAACATGAAGGGATGTCTGAATCCCCTGTGGAGACCTTAGAGAAAGCCCTAGGTCCCTGCCTCATTTTGACGGAATGCCTCACATCCCGCTGACACCTCGAGAGGCACGCGGAGTTCATTGCTTCAAAAGGTGACGATGCCTGACTCCTCTTGAATACTGATAGGAATCCCAAAATCCCTGTGGCTACTGGAAAGGGTCCTTGGGTGCCCTGCCTCACCTCGAGAAGCGTCCCTTTGGCCCTGCCAAGCCTCGAAGAGATTCCTGAGGTGTCCCTCGTTACTAGAGAGGAGTCCTGACGTCACTGAAGAAACTCGTGTTTTGAAGGGCCATCCCCGCCGTAAGTCGAGAACATACCCCAGGTCCCCGCCGCAACTCGAGAAAAACCATGAGACTTCCCCCTAGAGGCGAGATGAGGCCCCATTCCCCTGCAGTGCATGCAGAGCTATTCCGTGACCCCATTCAAACAAGTCAGGAGCTTCGACTTGCTTAATGGATCTCGAGACAGTCCCCAAGAACACTGTCACCAGTCTAGACGGACCCTGAGGTCACCCCAGCAACGCAAAGCAGCTCCATGTGCCCCAAATCAACTCGAGATGAGGCCCGATTCCCCTGCACTGACTCCAGAGCCATTCCCCGTTCCCCATTCAACACGACCGGTGGCTCGACTTCCTTCAGGCAACTCCAGAGATGGCCCGAGAACACTGTCCCAAGTCTAGAGGAACACCAACTTCAGCACAGCAACTCGAGGAATGCTCCGTTTACCCCAAATCGTCTCGAGATGCGAGCTGATTCCCTGGCTTAGGCTCAAGACGTATGCCAACTTCCCAGAAGCACCTCAGGAGGGGGCTTCTCTCAGCAATAGGTATGTGGGAGGGACCCCGAGTTTGCTGCCTCAAGGGGAATATACAGCGAGAAGCCCTAACTTGAAAGGAGGCCGGATTTCCTTGCAGTGGCTTGAATACAGGCTCGTCTTTCATCTCACAACATGAAGGGATGTCTGAATCCCCTGTGGAGACCTTAGAGAAAGCCCTAGGTCCCTGCCTCATTTTGACGGAATGCCTCACATCCCGCTGACACCTCGAGAGGCACGCGGAGTTCATTGCTTCAAAAGGTGACGATGCCTGACTCCTCTTGAATACTGATAGGAATCCCAAAATCCCTGTGGCTACTGGAAAGGGTCCTTGGGTGCCCTGCCTCACCTCGAGAAGCGTCCCTTTGGCCCTGCCAAGCCTCGAAGAGATTCCTGAGGTGTCCCTTGTTACTAGACAGGAGTCCTGACGTCACTGAAGAAACTCGTGTTTTGAAGGGCCATCCCCGCCGTAAGTCGAGAACATACCCCAGGTCCCCGCCGCAACTCGAGAAAAACCATGAGACTTCCCCCTACAGGCGAGATGAGGCCCCCTTCCCCTGCAGTGCATGCAGAGCTATTCCGTGACCCCATTCAAACAAGTCAGGAGCTTCGACTTGCTTAATGGATCTCGAGACAGTCCCCAAGAACACTGTCACCAGTCTAGACGGACCCTGAGGTCACCCCAGCAACGCAAAGCAGCTCCATGTGCCCCAAATGAACTCGAGATGAGGCCCGATTCCCCTGCATTGACTCCAGAGCCATTCCCCGTTCCCCATTCAACACGACCGGTGGCTCGACTTCCTTCAGGCAACTCCAGAGATGCCCCGAGAACACTGTCCCAAGTCTAGAGGAACACCAACTTCAGCACAGCAACTCGAGGAATGCTCCGTGTACCACAAATCGTCTCGAGATGCGAGCTGATTCCCTGGCTTAGGCTCAAGACGTATGCCAACTTCCCAGAAGCACCTCAGGAGGGGGCTTCTCTCAGCAATAGGTATGTGGGAGGGACCCCGAGTTTGCTGCCTCAAGGGGAATATACAGCGAGAAGCCCTAACGTGAAAGGAGGCCGGATTTCCTTGCAGTGGCTTGAATACAGGCTCGTCTTTCATCTCACAACATGAAGGGATGTCTGAATCCCCTGTGGAGACCTTAGAGAAAGCCCTAGGTCCCTGCCTCATTTTGACGGAATGCCTCACATCCCGCTGACACCTCGAGAGGCACGCGGAGTTCATTGCTTCAAAAGGTGACGATGCCTGACTCCTCTTGAATACTGATAGGAATCCCAAAATCCCTGTGGCTACTGGAAAGGGTCCTTGGGTGCCCTGCCTCACCTCGAGAAGCGTCCCTTTGGCCCTGCCAAGCCTCGAAGAGATTCCTGAGGTGTCCCTCGTTACTAGACAGGAGTCCTGACGTCACTGAAGAAACTCGTGTTTTGAAGGGCCATCCCCGCCGTAAGTCGAGAACATACCCCAGGTCCCCGCCGCAACTCGAGAAAAACCATGAGACTTCCCCCTAGAGGCGAGATGAGGCCCCATTCCCCTGCAGTGCATGCAGAGCTATTCCGTGACCCCATTCAAACAAGTCAGGAGCTTCGACTTGCTTAATGGATCTCGAGACAGTCCCCAAGAACACTGTCACCAGTCTAGACGGACCCTGAGGTCACCCCAGCAACGCAAAGCAGCTCCATGTGCCCCAAATCAACTCGAGATGAGGCCCGATTCCCCTGCATTGACTCCAGAGCCATTCCCCGTTCCCCATTCAACACGACCGGTGGCTCGACTTCCTTCAGGCAACTCCAGAGATGCCCCGAGAACACTGTCCCAAGTCTAGAGGAACACCAACTTCAGCACAGCAACTCGAGGAATGCTCCGTGTACCCCAAATCGTCTCGAGATGCGAGCTGATTCCCTGGCTTAGGCTCAAGACGTATGCCAACTTCCCAGAAGCACCTCAGGAGGAGGCTTCTCTCAGCAATAGGTATGTGGGAGGGACCCCGAGTTTGCTGCCTCAAGGGGAATATACAGCGAGAAGCCCTAACGTGAAAGGAGGCCGGATTTCCTTGCAGTGGCTTGAATACAGGCTCGTCTTTCATCTCACAACATGACGGGATGTCTGAATCCCCTGTGGAGACCTTAGAGAAAGCCCTAGGTCCCTGCCTCATTTTGACGGAATGCCTCACATCCCGCTGACACCTCGAGAGGCACGCGGAGTTCATTGCTTCAAAAGGTGACGATGCCTGACTCCTCTTGAATACTGATAGGAATCCCAAAATCCCTGTGGCTACTGGAAAGGGTCCTTGGGTGCCCTGCCTCACCTCGAGAAGCGTCCCTTTGGCCCTGCCAAGCCTCGAAGAGATTCCTGAGGTGTCCCTCGTTACTAGACAGGAGTCCTGACGTCACTGAAGAAACTCGTGTTTTGAAGGGCCATCCCCGCCGTAAGTCGAGAACATACCCCAGGTCCCCGCCGCAACTCGAGAAAAACCATGAGACTTCCCCCTAGAGGCGAGATGAGGCCCCATTCCCCTGCAGTGCATGCAGAGCTATTCCGTGATCCCATTCAAACAAGTCAGGAGCTTCGACTTGCTTAATGGATCTCGAGACAGTCCCCAAGAACACTGTCACCAGTCTAGACGGACCCTGAGGTCACCCCAGCAACGCAAAGCAGCTCCATGTGCCCCAAATCAACTCGAGATGAGGCCCGATTCCCCTGCATTGACTCCAGAGCCATTCCCCGTTCCCCATTCAACACGACCGGTGGCTCGACTTCCTTCAGGCAACTCCAGAGATGCCCCGAGAACACTGTCCCAAGTCTAGAGGAACACCAACTTCAGCCCAGCAACTCGAGGAATGCTCCGTGTACCCCAAATCGTCTCGAGATGCGAGCTGATTCCCTGGCTTAGGCTCAAAACGTATGCCAACTTCCCAGAAGCACCTCAGGAGGAGGCTTCTCTCAGCAATAGGTATGTGGGAGGGACCCCGAGTTTGCTGCCTCAAGGGGAATATACAGCGAGAAGCCCTAACTTGAAAGGAGGCCGGATTTCCTTGCAGTGGCTTGAATACAGGCTCGTCTTTCATCTCACAAGATGAAGGGATGTCTGAATCCCCTGTGGAGACCTTAGAGAAAGCCCTAGGTCCCTGCCTCATTTTGACGGAATGCCTCACATCCCGCTGACACCTCGAGAGGCACGCGGAGTTCATTGCTTCAAAAGGTGACGATGCCTGACTCCTCTTGAATACTGATAGGAATCCCAAAATCCCTGTGGCTACTGGAAAGGGTCCTTGGGTGCCCTGCCTCACCTCGACAAGCGTCCCTTTGGCCCTGCCAAGCCTCGAAGAGATTCCTGAGGTGTCCCTCATTACTAGACAGGAGTCCTGACGTCACTGAAGAAACTCGTGTTTTGAAGGGCCATCCCCGCCGTAAGTCGAGAACATACCCCAGGTCCCCGCCGCAACTCGAGAAAAACCATGAGACTTCCCCCTAGAGGCGAGATGAGGCCCCATTCCCCTGCAGTGCATGCAGAGCTATTCCGTGATCCCATTCAAACAAGTCAGGAGCTTCGACTTGCTTAATGGATCTCGAGACAGTCCCCAAGAACACTGTCACCAGTCTAGACGGACCCTGAGGTCACCCCAGCAACGCAAAGCAGCTCCATGTGCCCCAAATCAACTCGAGATGAGGCCCGATTCCCCTGCATTGACTCCAGAGCCATTCCCCGTTCCCCATTCAACACGACCGGTGGCTCGACTTCCTTCAGGCAACTCCAGAGATGCCCCGAGAACACTGTCCCAAGTCTAGAGGAACACCAACTTCAGCCCAGCAACTCGAGGAATGCTCCGTGTACCCTAAATCGTCTCGAGATGCGAGCTGATTCCCTGGCTTAGGCTCAAGACGTATGCCAACTTCCCAGAAGCACCTCAGGAGGAGGCTTCTCTCAGCAATAGGTATGTGGGAGGGACCCCGAGTTTGCTGCCTCAAGGGGAATATACAGCGAGAAGCCCTATCTAGAAAGGAGGCCGGATTTCCTTGCAGTGGCTTGAATACAGGCTCGTCTTTCATCTCACAACATGAAGGGATGTCTGAATCCCCTGTGGAGACCTTAGAGAAAGCCCTAGGTCCCTGCCTCATTTTGACGGAATGCCTCACATCCCGCTGACACCTCGAGAGGCACGCGGAGTTCATTGCTTCAAAAGGTGACGATGCCTGACTCCTCTTGAATACTGATAGGAATCCCAAAATCCCTGTGGCTACTGGAAAGGGTCCTTGGGTGCCCTGCCTCACCTCGAGAAGCGTCCCTTTGGCCCTGCCAAGCCTCGAAGAGATTCCTGAGGTGTCCCTCGTTACTAGACAGGAGTCCTGACGTCACTGAAGAAACTCGTGTTTTGAAGGGCCATCCCCGCCGTAAGTCGAGAACATACCCCAGGTCCCCGCCGCAACTCGAGAAAAACCATGAGACTTCCCCCTAGAGGCGAGATGAGGCCCCATTCCCCTGCAGTGCATGCAGAGCTATTCCGTGATCCCATTCAAACAAGTCAGGAGCTTCGACTTGCTTAATGGATCTCGAGACAGTCCCCAAGAACACTGTCACCAGTCTAGACGGACCCTGAGGTCACCCCAGCAACGCAAAGCAGCTCCATGTGCCCCAAATCAACTCGAGATGAGGCCCGATTCCCCTGAAATGACTCCAGAGCCATTCCCCGTTCCCCATTCAACACGACCGGTGGCTCGACTTCCTTCAGGCAACTCCAGAGATGCCCCGAGAACACTGTCCCAAGTCTAGAGGAACACCAACTTCAGCACAGCAACTCGAGGAATGCTCCGTGTACCACAAATCGTCTCGAGATGCGAGCTGATTCCCTGGCTTAGGCTCAAGACGTATGCCAACTTCCCAGAAGCACCTCAGGAGGAGGCTTCTCTGAGCAATAGGTATGTGGGAGGGACCCCGAGTTTGCTGCCTCAAGGGGAATATACAGCGAGAAGCCCTAACTTGAAAGGAGGCCGGATTTCCTTGCAGTGGCTTGAATACAGGCTCGTCTTTCATCTCACAACATGAAGGGATGTCTGAATCCCCTGTGGAGACCTTAGAGAAAGCCCTAGGTCCCTGCCTCATTTTGACGGAATGCCTCACATCCCGCTGACACCTCGAGAGGCACGCGGAGTTCATTGCTTCAAAAGGTGACGATGCCTGACTCCTCTTGAATACTGATAGGAATCCCAAAATCCCTGTGGCTACTGGAAAGGGTCCTTGGGTGCCCTGCCTCACCTCGAGAAGCGTCCCTTTGGCCCTGCCAAGCCTCGAAGAGATTCCTGAGGTGTCCCTCGTTACTAGAGAGGAGTCCTGACGTCACTGAAGAAACTCGTGTTTTGAAGGGCCATCCCCGCCGTAAGTCGAGAACATACCCCAGGTCCCCGCCGCAACTCGAGAAAAACCATGAGACTTCCCCCTAGAGGCGAGATGAGGCCCCATTCCCCTGCAGTGCATGCAGAGCTATTCCGTGACCCCATTCAAACAAGTCAGGAGCTTCGACTTGCTTAATGGATCTCGAGACAGTCCCCAAGAACACTGTCACCAGTCTAGACGGACCCTGAGGTCACCCCAGCAACGCAAAGCAGCTCCATGTGCCCCAAATCAACTCGAGATGAGGCCCGATTCCCCTGCACTGACTCCAGAGCCATTCCCCGTTCCCCATTCAACACGACCGGTGGCTCGACTTCCTTCAGGCAACTCCAGAGATGGCCCGAGAACACTGTCCCAAGTCTAGAGGAACACCAACTTCAGCACAGCAACTCGAGGAATGCTCCGTGTACCCCAAATCGTCTCGAGATGCGAGCTGATTCCCTGGCTTAGGCTCAAGACGTATGCCAACTTCCCAGAAGCACCTCAGGAGGGGGCTTCTCTCAGCAATAGGTATGTGGGAGGGACCCCGAGTTTGCTGCCTCAAGGGGAATATACAGCGAGAAGCCCTAACTTGAAAGGAGGCCGGATTTCCTTGCAGTGGCTTGAATACAGGCTCGTCTTTCATCTCACAACATGAAGGGATGTCTGAATCCCCTGTGGAGACCTTAGAGAAAGCCCTAGGTCCCTGCCTCATTTTGACGGAATGCCTCACATCCCGCTGACACCTCGAGAGGCACGCGGAGTTCATTGCTTCAAAAGGTGACGATGCCTGACTCCTCTTGAATACTGATAGGAATCCCAAAATCCCTGTGGCTACTGGAAAGGGTCCTTGGGTGCCCTGCCTCACCTCGAGAAGCGTCCCTTTGGCCCTGCCAAGCCTCGAAGAGATTCCTGAGGTGTCCCTTGTTACTAGACAGGAGTCCTGACGTCACTGAAGAAACTCGTGTTTTGAAGGGCCATCCCCGCCGTAAGTCGAGAACATACCCCAGGTCCCCGCCGCAACTCGAGAAAAACCATGAGACTTCCCCCTACAGGCGAGATGAGGCCCCCTTCCCCTGCAGTGCATGCAGAGCTATTCCGTGACCCCATTCAAACAAGTCAGGAGCTTCGACTTGCTTAATGGATCTCGAGACAGTCCCCAAGAACACTGTCACCAGTCTAGACGGACCCTGAGGTCACCCCAGCAACGCAAAGCAGCTCCATGTGCCCCAAATGAACTCGAGATGAGGCCCGATTCCCCTGCATTGACTCCAGAGCCATTCCCCGTTCCCCATTCAACACGACCGGTGGCTCGACTTCCTTCAGGCAACTCCAGAGATGCCCCGAGAACACTGTCCCAAGTCTAGAGGAACACCAACTTCAGCACAGCAACTCGAGGAATGCTCCGTGTACCACAAATCGTCTCGAGATGCGAGCTGATTCCCTGGCTTAGGCTCAAGACGTATGCCAACTTCCCAGAAGCACCTCAGGAGGGGGCTTCTCTCAGCAATAGGTATGTGGGAGGGACCCCGAGTTTGCTGCCTCAAGGGGAATATACAGCGAGAAGCCCTAACTTGAAAGGAGGCCGGATTTCCTTGCAGTGGCTTGAATACAGGCTCGTCTTTCATCTCACAACATGAAGGGATGTCTGAATCCCCTGTGGAGACCTTAGAGAAAGCCCTAGGTCCCTGCCTCATTTTGACGGAATGCCTCACATCCCGCTGACACCTCGAGAGGCACGCGGAGTTCATTTCTTCAAAAGGTGACGATGCCTGACTCCTCTTGAATACTGATAGGAATCCCAAAATCCCTGTGGCTACTGGAAAGGGTCCTTGGGTGCCCTGCCTCACCTCGAGAAGCGTCCCTTTGGCCCTGCCAAGCCTCGAAGAGATTCCTGAGGTGTCCCTCGTTACTAGACAGGAGTCCTGACGTCACTGAAGAAACTCGTGTTTTGAAGGGCCATCCCCGCCGTAAGTCGAGAACATACCCCAGGTCCCCGCCGCAACTCGAGAAAAACCATGAGACTTCCCCCTAGAGGCGAGATGAGGCCCCATTCCCCTGCAGTGCATGCAGAGCTATTCCGTGATCCCATTCAAACAAGTCAGGAGCTTCGACTTGCTTAATGGATCTCGAGACAGTCCCCAAGAACACTGTCACCAGTCTAGACGGACCCTGAGGTCACCCCAGCAACGCAAAGCAGCTCCATGTGCCCCAAATCAACTCGAGATGAGGCCCGATTCCCCTGCATTGACTCCAGAGCCATTCCCCGTTCCCCATTCAACACGACCGGTGGCTCGACTTCCTTCAGGCAACTCCAGAGATGCCCCGAGAACACTGTCCCAAGTCTAGAGGAACACCAACTTCAGCACAGCAACTCGAGGAATGCTCCGTGTACCCCAAATCGTCTCGAGATGCGAGCTGATTCCCTGGCTTAGGCTCAAGACATAGGCCAACTTCCCAGAAGCACCTCAGGAGGAGACTTCTCTCAGCAATAGGTATGTGGGAGGGACCCCGAGTTTGCTGCCTCAAAGGGAATATACAGCGAGAAGCCCTAACTTGAAAGGAGGCCGGATTTCCTTCCAGTGGCTTGAATACAGGCTCGTCTTTCATCTCACAACATGAAGGGATGTCTGAATCCCCTGTGGAGACCTTAGAGAAAGCCCTAGGTCCCTGCCTCATTTTGACGGAATGCCTCACATCCCGCTGACACCTCGAGAGGCACGCGGAGTTCATTTCTTCAAAAGGTGACGATGCCTGACTCCTCTTGAATACTGATAGGAATCCCAAAATCCCTGTGGCTACTGGAAAGGGTCCTTGGGTGCCCTGCCTCACCTCGAGAAGCGTCCCTTTGGCCCTGCCAAGCCTCGAAGAGATTCCTGAGGTGTCCCTCGTTACTAGACAGGAGTCCTGACGTCACTGAAGAAACTCGTGTTTTGAAGGGCCATCCCCGCCATAAGTCGAGAACATACCCCAGGTCCCCGCCGCAACTCGAGAAAAACCATGAGACTTCCCCCTAGAGGCGAGATGAGGCCCCATTCCCCTGCAGTGCATGCAGAGCTATTCCGTGATCCCATTCAAACAAGTCAGGAGCTTCGACTTGCTTAATGGATCTCGAGACAGTCCCCAAGAACACTGTCACCAGTCTAGACGGACCCTGAGGTCACCCCAGCAACGCAAAGCAGCTCCATGTGCCCCAAATCAACTCGAGATGAGGCCCGATTCCCCTGCATTGACTCCAGAGCCATTCCCCGTTCCCCATTCAACACGACCGGTGGCTCGACTTCCTTCAGGCAACTCCAGAGATGCCCCGAGAACACTGTCCCAAGTCTAGAGGAACACCAACTTCAGCACAGCAACTCGAGGAATGCTCCGTGTACCCCAAATCGTCTCGAGATGCGAGCTGATTCCCTGGCTTAGGCTCAAGACATAGGCCAACTTCCCAGAAGCACCTCAGGAGGAGACTTCTCTCAGCAATAGGTATGTGGGAGGGACCCCGAGTTTGCTGCCTCAAAGGGAATATACAGCGAGAAGCCCTAACTTGAAAGGAGGCCGGATTTCCTTCCAGTGGCTTGAATACAGGCTCGTCTTTCATCTCACAACATGAAGGGATGTCTGAATCCCCTGTGGAGACCTTAGAGAAAGCCCTAGGTCCCTGCCTCATTTTGACGGAATGCCTCACATCCCGCTGACACCTCGAGAGGCACGCGGAGTTCATTGCTTCAAAAGGTGACGATGCCTGACTCCTCTTGAATACTGATAGGAATCCCAAAATCCCTGTGGCTACTGGAAAGGGTCCTTGGGTGCCCTGCCTCACCTCGAGAAGCGTCCCTTTGGCCCTGCCAAGCCTCGAAGAGATTCCTGAGGTGTCCCTCGTTACTAGACAGGAGTCCTGACGTCACTGAAGAAACTCGTGTTTTGAAGGGCCATCCCCGCCGTAAGTCGAGAACATACCCCAGGTCCCCGCCGCAACTCGAGAAAAACCATGAGACTTCCCCCTAGAGGCGAGATGAGGCCCCATTCCCCTGCAGTGCATGCAGAGCTATTCCGTGATCCCATTCAAACAAGTCAGGAGCTTCGACTTGCTTAATGGATCTCGAGACAGTCCCCAAGAACACTGTCACCAGTCTAGACGGACCCTGAGGTCACCCCAGCAACGCAAAGCAGCTCCATGTGCCCCAAATCAACTCGAGATGAGGCCCGATTCCCCTGCATTGACTCCAGAGCCATTCCCCGTTCCCCATTCAACACGACCGGTGGCTCGACTTCCTTCAGGCAACTCCAGAGATGCCCCGAGAACACTGTCCCAAGTCTAGAGGAACACCAACTTCAGCCCAGCAACTCGAGGAATGCTCCGTGTACCCCAAATCGTCTCGAGATGCGAGCTGATTCCCTGGCTTAGGCTCAAAACGTATGCCAACTTCCCAGAAGCACCTCAGGAGGAGGCTTCTCTCAGCAATAGGTATGTGGGAGGGACCCCGAGTTTGCTGCCTCAAGGGGAATATACAGCGAGAAGCCCTAACTTGAAAGGAGGCCGGATTTCCTTGCAGTGGCTTGAATACAGGCTCGTCTTTCATCTCACAACATGAAGGGATGTCTGAATCCCCTGTGGAGACCTTAGAGAAAGCCCTAGGTCCCTGCCTCATTTTGACGGAATGCCTCACATCCCGCTGACACCTCGAGAGGCACGCGGAGTTCATTGCTTCAAAAGGTGACGATGCCTGACTCCTCTTGAATACTGATAGGAATCCCAAAATCCCTGTGGCTACTGGAAAGGGTCCTTGGGTGCCCTGCCTCACCTCGAGAAGCGTCCCTTTGGCCCTGCCAAGCCTCGAAGAGATTCCTGAGGTGTCCCTCGTTACTAGACAGGAGTCCTGACGTCACTGAAGAAACTCGTGTTTTGAAGGGCCATCCCCGCTGTAAGTCGAGAACATACCCCAGGTCCCCGCCGCAACTCGAGAAAAACCATGAGACTTCCCCCTAGAGGCGAGATGAGGCCCCATTCCCCTGCAGTGCATGCAGAGCTATTCCGTGATCCCATTCAAACAAGTCAGGAGCTTCGACTTGCTTAATGGATCTCGAGACAGTCCCCAAGAACACTGTCACCAGTCTAGACGGACCCTGAGGTCACCCCAGCAACGCAAAGCAGCTCCATGTGCCCCAAATCAACTCGAGATGAGGCCCGATTCCCCTGAAATGACTCCAGAGCCATTCCCCGTTCCCCATTCAACACGACCGGTGGCTCGACTTCCTTCAGGCAACTCCAGAGATGCCCCGAGAACACTGTCCCAAGTCTAGAGGAACACCAACTTCAGCACAGCAACTCGAGGAATGCTCCGTGTACCACAAATCGTCTCGAGATGCGAGCTGATTCCCTGGCTTAGGCTCAAGACGTATGCCAACTTCCCAGAAGCACCTCAGGAGGAGGCTTCTCTGAGCAATAGGTATGTGGGAGGGACCCCGAGTTTGCTGCCTCAAGGGGAATATACAGCGAGAAGCCCTAACTTGAAAGGAGGCCGGATTTCCTTGCAGTGGCTTGAATACAGGCTCGTCTTTCATCTCACAACATGAAGGGATGTCTGAATCCCCTGTGGAGACCTTAGAGAAAGCCCTAGGTCCCTGCCTCATTTTGACGGAATGCCTCACATCCCGCTGACACCTCGAGAGGCACGCGGAGTTCATTGCTTCAAAAGGTGACGATGCCTGACTCCTCTTGAATACTGATAGGAATCCCAAAATCCCTGTGGCTACTGGAAAGGGTCCTTGGGTGCCCTGCCTCACCTCGAGAAGCGTCCCTTTGGCCCTGCCAAGCCTCGAAGAGATTCCTGAGGTGTCCCTCGTTACTAGACAGGAGTCCTGACGTCACTGAAGAAACTCGTGTTTTGAAGGGCCATCCCCGCCGTAAGTCGAGAACATACCCCAGGTCCCCGCCGCAACTCGAGAAAAACCATGAGACTTCCCCCTAGAGGCGAGATGAGGCCCCATTCCCCTGCAGTGCATGCAGAGCTATTCCGTGATCCCATTCAAACAAGTCAGGAGCTTCGACTTGCTTAATGGATCTCGAGACAGTCCCCAAGAACACTGTCACCAGTCTAGACGGACCCTGAGGTCACCCCAGCAACGCAAAGCAGCTCCATGTGCCCCAAATCAACTCGAGATGAGGCCCGATTCCCCTGCATTGACTCCAGAGCCATTCCCCGTTCCCCATTCAACACGACCGGTGGCTCGACTTCCTTCAGGCAACTCCAGAGATGCCCCGAGAACACTGTCCCAAGTCTAGAGGAACACCAACTTCAGCACAGCAACTCGAGGAATGCTCCGTGTACCCCAAATCGTCTCGAGATGCGAGCTGATTCCCTGGCTTAGGCTCAAGACGTATGCCAACTTCCCAGAAGCACCTCAGGAGGGGGCTTCTCTCAGCAATAGGTATGTGGGAGGGACCCCGAGTTTGCTGCCTCAAGGGGAATATACAGCGAGAAGCCCTAATTTGAAAGGAGGCCGGATTTCCTTGCAGTGGCTTGAATATAGGCTCGTCTTTCATCTCACAACATGAAGGGATGTCTGAATCCCCTGTGGAGACCTTAGAGAAAGCCCTAGGTCCCTGCCTCATTTTGACGGAATGCCTCACATCCCGCTGACACCTCGAGAGGCACGCGGAGTTCATTGCTTCAAAAGGTGACGATGCCTGACTCCTCTTGAATACTGATAGGAATCCCAAAATCCCTGTGGCTACTGGAAAGGGTCCTTGGGTGCCCTGCCTCACCTCGAGAAGCGTCCCTTTGGCCCTGCCAAGCCTCGAAGAGATTCCTGAGGTGTCCCTCGTTACTAGACAGGAGTCCTGACGTCACTGAAGAAACTCGTGTTTTGAAGGGCCATCCCCGCCGTAAGTCGAGAACATACCCCAGGTCCCCGCCGCAACTCGAGAAAAACCATGAGACTTCCCCCTAGAGGCGAGATGAGGCCCCATTCCCCTGCAGTGCATGCAGAGCTATTCCGTGACCCCATTCAAACAAGTCAGGAGCTTCGACTTGCTTAATGGATCTCGAGACAGTCCCCAAGAACACTGTCACCAGTCTAGACGGACCCTGAGGTCACCCCAGCAACGCAAAGCAGCTCCATGTGCCCCAAATCAACTCGAGATGAGGCCCGATTCCCCTGCATTGACTCCAGAGCCATTCCCCGTTCCCCATTCAACACGACCGGTGGCTCGACTTCCTTCAGGCAACTCCAGAGATGCCCCGAGAACACTGTCCCAAGTCTAGAGGAACACCAACTTCAGCACAGCAACTCGAGGAATGCTCCGTGTACCCCAAATCGTCTCGAGATGCGAGCTGATTCCCTGGCTTAGGCTCAAGACGTATGCCAACTTCCCAGAAGCACCTCAGGAGGGGGCTTCTCTCAGCAATAGGTATGTGGGAGGGACCCCGAGTTTGCTGCCTCAAGGGGAATATACAGCGAGAAGCCCTAACTTGAAAGGAGGCCGGATTTCCTTGCAGTGGCTTGAATACAGGCTCGTCTTTCATCTCACAACATGAAGGGATGTCTGAATCCCCTGTGGAGACCTTAGAGAAAGCCCTAGGTCCCTGCCTCATTTTGACGGAATGCCTCACATCCCGCTGACACCTCGAGAGGCACGCGGAGTTCATTGCTTCAAAAGGTGACGATGCCTGACTCCTCTTGAATACTGATAGGAATCCCAAAATCCCTGTGGCTACTGGAAAGGGTCCTTGGGTGCCCTGCCTCACCTCGAGAAGCGTCCCTTTGGCCCTGCCAAGCCTCGAAGAGATTCCTGAGGTGTCCCTCGTTACTAGACAGGAGTCCTGACGTCACTGAAGAAACTCGTGTTTTGAAGGGCCATCCCCGCCGTAAGTCGAGAACATACCCCAGGTCCCCGCCGCAACTCGAGAAAAACCATGAGACTTCCCCCTAGAGGCGAGATGAGGCCCCATTCCCCTGCAGTGCATGCAGAGCTATTCCGTGATCCCATTCAAACAAGTCAGGAGCTTCGACTTGCTTAATGGATCTCGAGACAGTCCCCAAGAACACTGTCACCAGTCTAGACGGACCCTGAGGTCACCCCAGCAACGCAAAGCAGCTCCATGTGCCCCAAATCAACTCGAGATGAGGCCCGATTCCCCTGCATTGACTCCAGAGCCATTCCCCGTTCCCCATTCAACACGACCGGTGGCTCGACTTCCTTCAGGCAACTCCAGAGATGCCCCGAGAACACTGTCCCATGTCTAGAGGAACACCAACTTCAGCACAGCAACTCGAGGAATGCTCCGTGTACCCCAAATCGTCTCGAGATGCGAGCTGATTCCCTGGCTTAGGCTCAAGACATAGGCCAACTTCCCAGAAGCACCTCAGGAGGAGACTTCTCTCAGCAATAGGTATGTGGGAGGGACCCCGAGTTTGCTGCCTCAAGGGGAATATACAGCGAGAAGCCCTAACTTGAAAGGACGCCGGATTTCCTTGCAGTGGCTTGAATACAGGCTCGTCTTTCATCTCACAACATGAAGGGATGTCTGAATCCCCTGTGGAGACCTTAGAGAAAGCCCTAGGTCCCTGCCTCATTTTGACGGAATGCCTCACATCCCGCTGACACCTCGAGAGGCACGCGGAGTTCATTGCTTCAAAAGGTGACGATGCCTGACTCCTCTTGAATACTGATAGGAATCCCAAAATCCCTGTGGCTACTGGAAAGGGTCCTTGGGTGCCCTGCCTCACCTCGAGAAGCGTCCCTTTGGCCCTGCCAAGCCTCGAAGAGATTCCTGAGGTGTCCCTCGTTACTAGACAGGAGTCCTGACGTCACTGAAGAAACTCGTGTTTTGAAGGGCCATCCCCGCCGTAAGTCGAGAACATACCCCAGGTCCCCGCCGCAACTCGAGAAAAACCATGAGACTTCCCCCTAGAGGCGAGATGAGGCCCCATTCCCCTGCAGTGCATGCAGAGCTATTCCGTGATCCCATTCAAACAAGTCAGGAGCTTCGACTTGCTTAATGGATCTCGAGACAGTCCCCAAGAACACTGTCACCAGTCTAGACGGACCCTGAGGTCACCCCAGCAACGCAAAGCAGCTCCATGTGCCCCAAATCAACTCGAGATGAGGCCCGATTCCCCTGCATTGACTCCAGAGCCATTCCCCGTTCCCCATTCAACACGACCGGTGGCTCGACTTCCTTCAGGCAACTCCAGAGATGCCCCGAGAACACTGTCCCAAGTCTAGAGGAACACCAACTTCAGCACAGCAACTCGAGGAATGCTCCGTGTACCCCAAATCGTCTCGAGATGCGAGCTGATTCCCTGGCTTAGGCTCAAGACGTATGCCAACTTCCCAGAAGCACCTCAGGAGGAGGCTTCTCTCAGCAATAGGTATGTGGGAGGGACCCCGAGTTTGCTGCCTCAAGGGGAATATACAGCGAGAAGCCCTAACGTGAAAGGAGGCCGGATTTCCTTGCAGTGGCTTGAATACAGGCTCGTCTTTCATCTCACAACATGAAGGGATGTCTGAATCCCCTGTGGAGACCTTAGAGAAAGCCCTAGGTCCCTGCCTCATTTTGACGGAATGCCTCACATCCCGCTGACACCTCGAGAGGCACGCGGAGTTCATTGCTTCAAAAGGTGACGATGCCTGACTCCTCTTGAATACTGATAGGAATCCCAAAATCCCTGTGGCTACTGGAAAGGGTCCTTGGGTGCCCTGCCTCACCTCGAGAAGCGTCCCTTTGGCCCTGCCAAGCCTCGAAGAGATTCCTGAGGTGTCCCTCGTTACTAGACAGGAGTCCTGACGTCACTGAAGAAACTCGTGTTTTGAAGGGCCATCCCCGCCGTAAGTCGAGAACATACCCCAGGTCCCCGCCGCAACTCGAGAAAAACCATGAGACTTCCCCCTAGAGGCGAGATGAGGCCCCATTCCCCTGCAGTGCATGCAGAGCTATTCCGTGACCCCATTCAAACAAGTCAGGAGCTTCGACTTGCTTAATGGATCTCGAGACAGTCCCCAAGAACACTGTCACCAGTCTAGACGGACCCTGAGGTCACCCCAGCAACGCAAAGCAGCTCCATGTGCCCCAAATCAACTCGAGATGAGGCCCGATTCCCCTGCATTGACTCCAGAGCCATTCCCCGTTCCCCATTCAACACGACCGGTGGCTCGACTTCCTTCAGGCAACTCCAGAGATGCCCCGAGAACACTGTCCCAAGTCTAGAGGAACACCAACTTCAGCACAGCAACTCGAGGAATGCTCCGTGTACCCCAAATCGTCTCGAGATGCGAGCTGATTCCCTGGCTTAGGCTCAAGACGTATGCCAACTTCCCAGAAGCACCTCAGGAGGGGGCTTCTCTCAGCAATAGGTATGTGGGAGGGACCCCGAGTTTGCTGCCTCAAGGGGAATATACAGCGAGAAGCCCTAACTTGAAAGGAGGCCGGATTTCCTTGCAGTGGCTTGAATACAGGCTCGTCTTTCATCTCACAACATGAAGGGATGTCTGAATCCCCTGTGGAGACCTTAGAGAAAGCCCTAGGTCCCTGCCTCATTTTGACGGAATGCCTCACATCCCGCTGACACCTCGAGAGGCACGCGGAGTTCATTGCTTCAAAAGGTGACGATGCCTGACTCCTCTTGAATACTGATAGGAATCCCAAAATCCCTGTGGCTACTGGAAAGGGTCCTTGGGTGCCCTGCCTCACCTCGAGAAGCGTCCCTTTGGCCCTGCCAAGCCTCGAAGAGATTCCTGAGGTGTCCCTCGTTACTAGACAGGAGTCCTGACGTCACTGAAGAAACTCGTGTTTTGAAGGGCCATCCCCGCCGTAAGTCGAGAACATACCCCAGGTCCCCGCCGCAACTCGAGAAAAACCATGAGACTTCCCCCTAGAGGCGAGATGAGGCCCCATTCCCCTGCAGTGCATGCAGAGCTATTCCGTGATCCCATTCAAACAAGTCAGGAGCTTCGACTTGCTTAATGGATCTCGAGACAGTCCCCAAGAACACTGTCACCAGTCTAGACGGACCCTGAGGTCACCCCAGCAACGCAAAGCAGCTCCATGTGCCCCAAATCAACTCGAGATGAGGCCCGATTCCCCTGCATTGACTCCAGAGCCATTCCCCGTTCCCCATTCAACACGACCGGTGGCTCGACTTCCTTCAGGCAACTCCAGAGATGCCCCGAGAACACTGTCCCAAGTCTAGAGGAACACCAACTTCAGCACAGCAACTCGAGGAATGCTCCGTGTACCCCAAATCGTCTCGAGATGCGAGCTGATTCCCTGGCTTAGGCTCAAAACGTATGCCAACTTCCCAGAAGCACCTCAGGAGGAGGCTTCTCTCAGCAATAGGTATGTGGGAGGGACCCCGAGTTTGCTGCCTCAAGGGGAATATACAGCGAGAAGCCCTAACGTGAAAGGAGGCCGGATTTCCTTGCAGTGGCTTGAATACAGGCTCGTCTTTCATCTCACAACATGAAGGGATGTCTGAATCCCCTGTGGAGACCTTAGAGAAAGCCCTAGGTCCCTGCCTCATTTTGACGGAATGCCTCACATCCCGCTGACACCTCGAGAGGCACGCGGAGTTCATTGCTTCAAAAGGTGACGATGCCTGACTCCTCTTGAATACTGATAGGAATCCCAAAATCCCTGTGGCTACTGGAAAGGGTCCTTGGGTGCCCTGCCTCACCTCGAGAAGCGTCCCTTTGGCCCTGCCAAGCCTCGAAGAGATTCCTGAGGTGTCCCTCGTTACTAGACAGGAGTCCTGACGTCACTGAAGAAACTCGTGTTTTGAAGGGCCATCCCCGCCGTAAGTCGAGAACATACCCCAGGTCCCCGCCGCAACTCGAGAAAAACCATGAGACTTCCCCCTAGAGGCGAGATGAGGCCCCATTCCCCTGCAGTGCATGCAGAGCTATTCCGTGATCCCATTCAAACAAGTCAGGAGCTTCGACTTGCTTAATGGATCTCGAGACAGTCCCCAAGAACACTGTCACCAGTCTAGACGGACCCTGAGGTCACCCCAGCAACGCAAAGCAGCTCCATGTGCCCCAAATCAACTCGAGATGAGGCCCGATTCCCCTGCATTGACTCCAGAGCCATTCCCCGTTCCCCATTCAACACGACCGGTGGCTCGACGTCCTTCAGGCAACTCCAGAGATGCCCCGAGAACACTGTCCCAAGTCTAGAGGAACACCAACTTCAGCACAGCAACTCGAGGAATGCTCCGTGTACCCCAAATCGTCTCGAGATGCGAGCTGATTCCCTGGCTTAGGCTCAAGACGTATGCCAACTTCCCAGAAGCACCTCAGGAGGAGGCTTCTCTCAGCAATAGGTATGTGGGAGGGACCCCGAGTTTGCTGCCTCAAGGGGAATATACAGCGAGAAGCCCTAACTTGAAAGGAGGCCTGATTTCCTTGCAGTGGCTTGAATACAGGCTCGTCTTTCATCTCACAACATGAAGGGATGTCTGAATCCCCTGTGGAGACCTTAGAGAAAGCCCTAGGTCCCTGCCTCATTTTGACGGAATGCCTCACATCCCGCTGACACCTCGAGAGGCACGCGGAGTTCATTGCTTCAAAAGGTGACGATGCCTGACTCCTCTTGAATACTGATAGGAATCCCAAAATCCCTGTGGCTACTGGAAAGGGTCCTTGGGTGCCCTGCCTCACCTCGAGAAGCGTCCCTTTGGCCCTGCCAAGCCTCGAAGAGATTCCTGAGGTGTCCCTCGTTACTAGACAGGAGTCCTGACGTCACTGAAGAAACTCGTGTTTTGAAGGGCCATCCCCGCCGTAAGTCGAGAACATACCCCAGGTCCCCGCCGCAACTCGAGAAAAACCATGAGACTTCCCCCTAGAGGCGAGATGAGGCCCCATTCCCCTGCAGTGCATGCAGAGCTATTCCGTGACCCCATTCAAACAAGTCAGGAGCTTCGACTTGCTTAATGGATCTCGAGACAGTCCCCAAGAACACTGTCACCAGTCTAGACGGACCCTGAGGTCACCCCAGCAACGCAAAGCAGCTCCATGTGCCCCAAATCAACTCGAGATGAGGCCCGATTCCCCTGCATTGACTCCAGAGCCATTCCCCGTTCCCCATTCAACACGACCGGTGGCTCGACTTCCTTCAGGCAACTCCAGAGATGCCCCGAGAACACTGTCCCAAGTCTAGAGGAACACCAACTTCAGCACAGCAACTCGAGGAATGCTCCGTGTACCCCAAATCGTCTCGAGATGCGAGCTGATTCCCTGGCTTAGGCTCAAGACGTATGCCAACTTCCCAGAAGCACCTCAGGAGGGGGCTTCTCTCAGCAATAGGTATGTGGGAGGGACACCGAGTTTGCTGCCTCAAGGGGAATATACAGCGAGAAGCCCTAACTTGAAAGGAGGCCGGATTTCCTTGCAGTGGCTTGAATACAGGCTCGTCTTTCATCTCACAACATGAAGGGATGTCTGAATCCCCTGTGGAGACCTTAGAGAAAGCCCTAGGTCCCTGCCTCATTTTGACGGAATGCCTCACATCCCGCTGACACCTCGAGAGGCACGCGGAGTTCATTGCTTCAAAAGGTGACGATGCCTGACTCCTCTTGAATACTGATAGGAATCCCAAAATCCCTGTGGCTACTGGAAAGGGTCCTTGGGTGCCCTGCCTCACCTCGAGAAGCGTCCCTTTGGCCCTGCCAAGCCTCGAAGAGATTCCTGAGGTGTCCCTCGTTACTAGACAGGAGTCCTGACGTCACTGAAGAAACTCGTGTTTTGAAGGGCCATCCCCGCCGTAAGTCGAGAACATACCCCAGGTCCCCGCCGCAACTCGAGAAAAACCATGAGACTTCCCCCTAGAGGCGAGATGAGGCCCCATTCCCCTGCAGTGCATGCAGAGCTATTCCGTGACCCCATTCAAACAAGTCAGGAGCTTCGACTTGCTTAATGGATCTCGAGACAGTCCCCAAGAACACTGTCACCAGTCTAGACGGACCCTGAGGTCACCCCAGCAACGCAAAGCAGCTCCATGTGCCCCAAATCAACTCGAGATGAGGCCCGATTCCCCTGCATTGACTCCAGAGCCATTCCCCGGTCCCCATTCAACACGACCGGTGGCTCGACTTCCTTCAGGCAACTCCAGAGATGCCCCGAGAACACTGTCCCAAGTCTAGAGGAACACCAACTTCAGCACAGCAACTCGAGGAATGCTCCGTGTACCCCAAATCGTCTCGAGATGCGAGCTGATTCCCTGGCTTAGGCTCAAGACGTATGCCAACTTCCCAGAAGCACCTCAGGAGGGGGCTTCTCTCAGCAATAGGTATGTGGGAGGGACCCCGAGTTTGCTGCCTCAAGGGGAATATACAGCGAGAAGCCCTAACTTGAAAGGAGGCCGGATTTCCTTGCAGTGGCTTGAATACAGGCTCGTCTTTCATCTCACAACATGAAGGGATGTCTGAATCCCCTGTGGAGACCTTAGAGAAAGCCCTAGGTCCCTGCCTCATTTTGACGGAATCCTCACATCCCGCTGACACCTCGAGAGGCACGCGGAGTTCATTGCTTCAAAAGGTGACGATGCCTGACTCCTCTTGAATACTGATAGGAATCCCAAAATCCCTGTGGCTACTGGAAAGGGTCCTTGGGTGCCCTGCCTCACCTCGAGAAGCGTCCCTTTGGCCCTGCCAAGCCTCGGAGAGATTCCTGAGGTGTCCCTCATTACTAGACAGGAGTCCTGACGTCACTGAAGAAACTCGTGTTTTGAAGGGCCATCCCCGCCGTAAGTCGAGAACATACCCCAGGTCCCCGCCGCAACTCGAGAAAAACCATGAGACTTCCCCCTAGAGGCGAGATGAGGCCCCATTCCCCTGCAGTGCATGCAGAGCTATTCCGTGACCCCATTCAAACAAGTCAGGAGCTTCGACTTGCTTAATGGATCTCGAGACAGTCCCCAAGAACACTGTCACCAGTCTAGACGGACCCTGAGGTCACCCCAGCAACGCAAAGCAGCTCCATGTGCCCCAAATCAACTCGAGATGAGGCCCGATTCCCCTGCATTGACTCCAGAGCCATTCCCCGGTCCCCATTCAACACGACCGGTGGCTCGACTTCCTTCAGGCAACTCCAGAGATGCCCCGAGAACACTGTCCCAAGTCTAGAGGAACACCAACTTCAGCACAGCAACTCGAGGAATGCTCCGTGTACCCCAAATCGTCTCGAGATGCGAGCTGATTCCCTGGCTTAGGCTCAAGACGTATGCCAACTTCCCAGAAGCACCTCAGGAGGGGGCTTCTCTCAGCAATAGGTATGTGGGAGGGACCCCGAGTTTGCTGCCTCAAGGGGAATATACAGCGAGAAGCCCTAACTTGAAAGGAGGCCGGATTTCCTTGCAGTGGCTTGAATACAGGCTCGTCTTTCATCTCACAACATGAAGGGATGTCTGAATCCCCTGTGGAGACCTTAGAGAAAGCCCTAGGTCCCTGCCTCATTTTGACGGAATGCCTCACATCCCGCTGACACCTCGAGAGGCACGCGGAGTTCATTGCTTCAAAAGGTGACAATGCCTGACTCCTCTTGAATACTGATAGGAATCCCAAAATCCCTGTGGCTACTGGAAAGGGTCCTTGGGTGCCCTGCCTCACCTCGAGAAGCGTCCCTTTGGCCCTGCCAAGCCTCGAAGAGATTCCTGAGGTGTCCCTCGTTACTAGACAGGAGTCCTGACGTCACTGAAGAAACTCGTGTTTTGAAGGGCCATCCCCGCCGTAAGTCGAGAACATACCCCAGGTCCCCGCCGCAACTCGAGAAAAACCATGAGACTTCCCCCTAGAGGCGAGATGAGGCCCCATTCCCCTGCAGTGCATGCAGAGCTATTCCGTGATCCCATTCAAACAAGTCAGGAGCTTCGACTTGCTTAATGGATCTCGAGACAGTCCCCAAGAACACTGTCACCAGTCTAGACGGACCCTGAGGTCACCCCAGCAACGCAAAGCAGCTCCATGTGCCCCAAATCAACTCGAGATGAGGCCCGATTCCCCTGCATTGACTCCAGAGCCATTCCCCGGTCCCCATTCAACACGACCGGTGGCTCGACTTCCTTCAGGCAACTCCAGAGATGCCCCGAGAACACTGTCCCAAGTCTAGAGGAACACCAACTTCAGCACAGCAACTCGAGGAATGCTCCGTGTACCCCAAATCGTCTCGAGATGCGAGCTGATTCCCTGGCTTAGGCTCAAGACGTATGCCAACTTCCCAGAAGCACCTCAGGAGGGGGCTTCTCTCAGCAATAGGTATGTGGGAGGGACCCCGAGTTTGCTGCCTCAAGGGGAATATACAGCGAGAAGCCCTAACTTGAAAGGAGGCCGGATTTCCTTGCAGTGGCTTGAATACAGGCTCGTCTTTCATCTCACAACATGAAGGGATGTCTGAATCCCCTGTGGAGACCTTAGAGAAAGCCCTAGGTCCCTGCCTCATTTTGACGGAATCCTCACATCCCGCTGACACCTCGAGAGGCACGCGGAGTTCATTGCTTCAAAAGGTGACGATGCCTGACTCCTCTTGAATACTGATAGGAATCCCAAAATCCCTGTGGCTACTGGAAAGGGTCCTTGGGTGCCCTGCCTCACCTCGAGAAGCGTCCCTTTGGCCCTGCCAAGCCTCGGAGAGATTCCTGAGGTGTCCCTCATTACTAGACAGGAGTCCTGACGTCACTGAAGAAACTCGTGTTTTGAAGGGCCATCCCCGCCGTAAGTCGAGAACATACCCCAGGTCCCCGCCGCAACTCGAGAAAAACCATGAGACTTCCCCCTAGAGGCGAGATGAGGCCCCATTCCCCTGCAGTGCATGCAGAGCTATTCCGTGACCCCATTCAAACAAGTCAGGAGCTTCGACTTGCTTAATGGATCTCGAGACAGTCCCCAAGAACACTGTCACCAGTCTAGACGGACCCTGAGGTCACCCCAGCAACGCAAAGCAGCTCCATGTGCCCCAAATCAACTCGAGATGAGGCCCGATTCCCCTGCATTGACTCCAGAGCCATTCCCCGGTCCCCATTCAACACGACCGGTGGCTCGACTTCCTTCAGGCAACTCCAGAGATGCCCCGAGAACACTGTCCCAAGTCTAGAGGAACACCAACTTCAGCACAGCAACTCGAGGAATGCTCCGTGTACCCCAAATCGTCTCGAGATGCGAGCTGATTCCCTGGCTTAGGCTCAAGACGTATGCCAACTTCCCAGAAGCACCTCAGGAGGGGGCTTCTCTCAGCAATAGGTATGTGGGAGGGACCCCGAGTTTGCTGCCTCAAGGGGAATATACAGCGAGAAGCCCTAACTTGAAAGGAGGCCGGATTTCCTTGCAGTGGCTTGAATACAGGCTCGTCTTTCATCTCACAACATGAAGGGATGTCTGAATCCCCTGTGGAGACCTTAGAGAAAGCCCTAGGTCCCTGCCTCATTTTGACGGAATGCCTCACATCCCGCTGACACCTCGAGAGGCACGCGGAGTTCATTGCTTCAAAAGGTGACAATGCCTGACTCCTCTTGAATACTGATAGGAATCCCAAAATCCCTGTGGCTACTGGAAAGGGTCCTTGGGTGCCCTGCCTCACCTCGAGAAGCGTCCCTTTGGCCCTGCCAAGCCTCGAAGAGATTCCTGAGGTGTCCCTCGTTACTAGACAGGAGTCCTGACGTCACTGAAGAAACTCGTGTTTTGAAGGGCCATCCCCGCCGTAAGTCGAGAACATACCCCAGGTCCCCGCCGCAACTCGAGAAAAACCATGAGACTTCCCCCTAGAGGCGAGATGAGGCCCCATTCCCCTGCAGTGCATGCAGAGCTATTCCGTGATCCCATTCAAACAAGTCAGGAGCTTCGACTTGCTTAATGGATCTCGAGACAGTCCCCAAGAACACTGTCACCAGTCTAGACGGACCCTGAGGTCACCCCAGCAACGCAAAGCAGCTCCATGTGCCCCAAATCAACTCGAGATGAGGCCCGATTCCCCTGCATTGACTCCAGAGCCATTCCCCGTTCCCCATTCAACACGACCGGTGGCTCGACTTCCTTCAGGCAACTCCAGAGATGCCCCGAGAACACTGTCCCAAGTCTAGAGGAACACCAACTTCAGCACAGCAACTCGAGGAATGCTCCGTGTACCCCAAATCGTCTCGAGATGCGAGCTGATTCCCTGGCTTAGGCTCAAGACGTATGCCAACTTCCCAGAAGCACCTCAGGAGGAGGCTTCTCTCAGCAATAGGTATGTGGGAGGGACACCGAGTTTGCTGCCTCAAGGGGAATATACAGCGAGAAGCCCTAACTTGAAAGGAGGCCGGATTTCCTTGCAGTGGCTTGAATACAGGCTCGTCTTTCATCTCACAACATGAAGGGATGTCTGAATCCCCTGTGGAGACCTTAGAGAAAGCCCTAGGTCCCTGCCTCATTTTGACGGAATGCCTCACATCCCGCTGACACCTCGAGAGGCACGCGGAGTTCATTGCTTCAAAAGGTGACGATGCCTGACTCCTCTTGAATACTGATAGGAATCCCAAAATCCCTGTGGCTACTGGAAAGGGTCCTTGGGTGCCCTGCCTCACCTCGAGAAGCGTCCCTTTGGCCCTGCCAAGCCTCGAAGAGATTCCTGAGGTGTCCCTCGTTACTAGACAGGAGTCCTGACGTCACTGAAGAAACTCGTGTTTTGAAGGGCCATCCCCGCCGTAAGTCGAGAACATACCCCAGGTCCCCGCCGCAACTCGAGAAAAACCATGAGACTTCCCCCTAGAGGCGAGATGAGGCCCCATTCCCCTGCAGTGCATGCAGAGCTATTCCGTGACCCCATTCAAACAAGTCAGGAGCTTCGACTTGCTTAATGGATCTCGAGACAGTCCCCAAGAACACTGTCACCAGTCTAGACGGACCCTGAGGTCACCCCAGCAACGCAAAGCAGCTCCATGTGCCCCAAATCAACTCGAGATGAGGCCCGATTCCCCTGCATTGACTCCAGAGCCATTCCCCGTTCCCCATTCAACACGACCGGTGGCTCGACTTCCTTCAGGCAACTCCAGAGATGCCCCGAGAACACTGTCCCAAGTCTAGAGGAACACCAACTTCAGCACAGCAACTCGAGGAATGCTCCGTGTACCCCAAATCGTCTCGAGATGCGAGCTGATTCCCTGGCTTAGGCTCAAGACGTATGCCAACTTCCCAGAAGCACCTCAGGAGGAGGCTTCTCTCAGCAATAGGTACGTGGGAGGGACCCCGAGTTTGCTGCCTCAAGGGGAATATACAGCGAGAAGCCCTAACTTGAAAGGAGGCCGGATTTCCTTGCAGTGGCTTGAATACAGGCTCGTCTTTCATCTCACAACATGAAGGGATGTCTGAATCCCCTGTGGAGACCTTAGAGAAAGCCCTAGGTCCCTGCCTCATTTTGACGGAATGCCTCACATCCCGCTGACACCTCGAGAGGCACGCGGAGTTCATTGCTTCAAAAGGTGACGATGCCTGACTCCTCTTGAATACTGATAGGAATCCCAAAATCCCTGTGGCTACTGGAAAGGGTCCTTGGGTGCCCTGCCTCACCTCGAGAAGCGTCCCTTTGGCCCTGCCAAGCCTCGAAGAGATTCCTGAGGTGTCCCTCGTTACTAGACAGGAGTCCTGACGTCACTGAAGAAACTCGTGTTTTGAAGGGCCATCCCCGCCGTAAGTCGAGAACATACCCCAGGTCCCCGCCGCAACTCGAGAAAAACCATGAGACTTCCCCCTAGAGGCGAGATGAGGCCCCATTCCCCTGCAGTGCATGCAGAGCTATTCCGTGATCCCATTCAAACAAGTCAGGAGCTTCGACTTGCTTAATGGATCTCGAGACAGTCCCCAAGAACACTGTCACCAGTCTAGACGGACCCTGAGGTCACCCCAGCAACGCAAAGCAGCTCCATGTGCCCCAAATCAACTCGAGATGAGGCCCGATTCCCCTGCATTGACTCCAGAGCCATTCCCCGTTCCCCATTCAACACGACCGGTGGCTCGACTTCCTTCAGGCAACTCCAGAGATGCCCCGAGAACACTGTCCCAAGTCTAGAGGAACACCAACTTCAGCACAGCAACTCGAGGAATGCTCCGTGTACCCCAAATCGTCTCGAGATGCGAGCTGATTCCCTGGCTTAGGCTCAAGACGTATGCCAACTTCCCAGAAGCACCTCAGGAGGAGGCTTCTCTCAGCAATAGGTATGTGGGAGGGACCCCGAGTTTGCTGCCTCAAGGGGAATATACAGCGAGAAGCCCTAACTTGAAAGGAGGCCGGATTTCCTTGCAGTGGCTTGAATACAGGCTCGTCTTTCATCTCACAACATGAAGGGATGTCTGAATCCCCTGTGGAGACCTTAGAGAAAGCCCTAGGTCCCTGCCTCATTTTGACGGAATGCCTCACATCCCGCTGACACCTCGAGAGGCACGCGGAGTTCATTGCTTCAAAAGGTGACGATGCCTGACTCCTCTTGAATACTGATAGGAATCCCAAAATCCCTGTGGCTACTGGAAAGGGTCCTTGGGTGCCCTGCCTCACCTCGAGAAGCGTCCCTTTGGCCCTGCCAAGCCTCGAAGAGATTCCTGAGGTGTCCCTCGTTACTAGACAGGAGTCCTGACGTCACTGAAGAAACTCGTGTTTTGAAGGGCCATCCCCGCCGTAAGTCGAGAACATACCCCAGGTCCCCGCCGCAACTCGAGAAAAACCATGAGACTTCCCCCTAGAGGCGAGATGAGGCCCCATTATCCTGCAGTGCATGCAGAGCTATTCCGTGACCCCATTCAAACAAGTCAGGAGCTTCGACTTGCTTAATGGATCTCGAGACAGTCCCCAAGAACACTGTCACCAGTCTAGACGGACCCTGAGGTCACCCCAGCAACGCAAAGCAGCTCCATGTGCCCCAAATCAACTCGAGATGAGGCCCGATTCCCCTGCATTGACTCCAGAGCCATTCCCCGTTCCCCATTCAACACGACCGGTGGCTCGACTTCCTTCAGGCAACTCCAGAGATGCCCCGAGAACACTGTCCCAAGTCTAGAGGAACACCAACTTCAGCACAGCACCTCGAGGAATGCTCCGTGTACCACAAATCGTCTCGAGATGCGAGCTGATTCCCTGGCTTAGGCTCAAGACATAGGCCAACTTCCCAGAAGCACCTCAGGAGGAGACTTCTCTCAGCAATAGGTATGTGGGAGGGACCCCGAGTTTGCTGCCTCAAAGGGAATATACAGCGAGAAGCCCTAACTTGAAAGGAGGCCGGATTTCCTTGCAGTGGCTTGAATACAGGCTCGTCTTTCATCTCACAACATGAAGGGATGTCTGAATCCCCTGTGGAGACCTTAGAGAAAGCCCTAGGTCCCTGCCTCATTTTGACGGAATGCCTCACATCCCGCTGACACCTCGAGAGGCACGCGGAGTTCATTGCTTCAAAAGGTGACGATGCCTGACTCCTCTTGAATACTGATAGGAATCCCAAAATCCCTGTGGCTACTGGAAAGGGTCCTTGGGTGCCCTGCCTCACCTCGAGAAGCGTCCCTTTGGCCCTGCCAAGCCTCGAAGAGATTCCTGAGGTGTCCCTCGTTACTAGACAGGAGTCCTGACGTCACTGAAGAAACTCGTGTTTTGAAGGGCCATCCCCGCCGTAAGTCGAGAACATACCCCAGGTCCCCGCCGCAACTCGAGAAAAACCATGAGACTTCCCCCTAGAGGCGAGATGAGGCCCCATTCCCCTGCAGTGCATGCAGAGCTATTCCGTGATCCCATTCAAACAAGTCAGGAGCTTCGACTTGCTTAATGGATCTCGAGACAGTCCCCAAGAACACTGTCACCAGTCTAGACGGACCCTGAGGTCACCCCAGCAACGCAAAGCAGCTCCATGTGCCCCAAATCAACTCGAGATGAGGCCCGATTCCCCTGCATTGACTCCAGAGCCATTCCCCGTTCCCCATTCAACACGACCGGTGGCTCGACTTCCTTCAGGCAACTCCAGAGATGCCCCGAGAACACTGTCCCAAGTCTAGAGGAACACCAACTTCAGCACAGCAACTCGAGGAATGCTCCGTGTACCCCAAATCGTCTCGAGATGCGAGCTGATTCCCTGGCTTAGGCTCAAGACGTATGCCAACTTCCCAGAAGCACCTCAGGAGGAGGCTTCTCTCAGCAATAGGTATGTGGGAGGGACCCCGAGTTTGCTGCCTCAAGGGGAATATACAGCGAGAAGCCCTAACTTGAAAGGAGGCCGGATTTCCTTGCAGTGGCTTGAATACAGGCTCGTCTTTCATCTCACAACATGAAGGGATGTCTGAATCCCCTGTGGAGACCTTAGAGAAAGCCCTAGGTCCCTGCCTCATTTTGACGGAATGCCTCACATCCCGCTGACACCTCGAGAGGCACGCGGAGTTCATTGCTTCAAAAGGTGACGATGCCTGACTCCTCTTGAATACTGATAGGAATCCCAAAATCCCTGTGGCTACTGGAAAGGGTCCTTGGGTGCCCTGCCTCACCTCGAGAAGCGTCCCTTTGGCCCTGCCAAGCCTCGAAGAGATTCCTGAGGTGTCCCTCGTTACTAGACAGGAGTCCTGACGTCACTGAAGAAACTCGTGTTTTGAAGGGCCATCCCCGCCGTAAGTCGAGAACATACCCCAGGTTCCCGCCGCAACTCGAGAAAAACCATGAGACTTCCCCCTAGAGGCGAGATGAGGCCCCATTATCCTGCAGTGCATGCAGAGCTATTCCGTGACCCCATTCAAACAAGTCAGGAGCTTCGACTTGCTTAATGGATCTCGAGACAGTCCCCAAGAACACTGTCACCAGTCTAGACGGACCCTGAGGTCACCCCAGCAACGCAAAGCAGCTCCATGTGCCCCAAATCAACTCGAGATGAGGCCCGATTCCCCTGCATTGACTCCAGAGCCATTCCCCGTTCCCCATTCAACACGACCGGTGGCAAGACTTCCTTCAGGCAACTCCAGAGATGCCCCGAGAACACTGTCCCAAGTCTAGAGGAACACCAACTTCAGCACAGCAACTCGAGGAATGCTCCGTGTACCACAAATCGTCTCGAGATGCGAGCTGATTCCCTGGCTTAGGCTCAAGACGTATGCCAACTTCCCAGAAGCACATCAGGAGGGGGCTTCTCTCAGCAATAGGTATGTGGGAGGGACCCCGAGTTTGCTGCCTCAAGGGGAATATACAGCGAGAAGCCCTAACTTGAAAGGAGGCCGGATTTCCTTGCAGTGGCTTGAATACAGGCTCGTCTTTCATCTCACAACATGAAGGGATGTCTGAATCCCCTGTGGAGACCTTAGAGAAAGCCCTAGGTCCCTGCCTCATTTTGACGGAATGCCTCACATCCCGCTGACACCTCGAGAGGCACGCGGAGTTCATTTCTTCAAAAGGTGACGATGCCTGACTCCTCTTGAATACTGATAGGAATCCCAAAATCCCTGTGGCTACTGGAAAGGGTCCTTGGGTGCCCTGCCTCACCTCGAGAAGCGTCCCTTTGGCCCTGCCAAGCCTCGAAGAGATTCCTGAGGTGTCCCTCGTTACTAGACAGGAGTCCTGACGTCACTGAAGAAACTCGTGTTTTGAAGGGCCATCCCCGCCGTAAGTCGAGAACATACCCCAGGTCCCCGCCGCAACTCGAGAAAAACCATGAGACTTCCCCCTAGAGGCGAGATGAGGCCCCATTCCCCTGCAGTGCATGCAGAGCTATTCCGTGATCCCATTCAAACAAGTCAGGAGCTTCGACTTGCTTAATGGATCTCGAGACAGTCCCCAAGAACACTGTCACCAGTCTAGACGGACCCTGAGGTCACCCCAGCAACGCAAAGCAGCTCCATGTGCCCCAAATCAACTCGAGATGAGGCCCGATTCCCCTGCATTGACTCCAGAGCCATTCCCCGTTCCCCATTCAACACGACCGGTGGCTCGACTTCCTTCAGGCAACTCCAGAGATGCCCCGAGAACACTGTCCCAAGTCTAGAGGAACACCAACTTCAGCCCAGCAACTCGAGGAATGCTCCGTGTACCCCAAATCGTCTCGAGATGCGAGCTGATTCCCTGGCTTAGGCTCAAGACGTATGCCAACTTCCCAGAAGCACCTCAGGAGGGGGCTTCTCTCAGCAATAGGTATGTGGGAGGGACCCCGAGTTTGCTGCCTCAAGGGGAATATACAGCGAGAAGCCCTAACTTGAGAGGAGGCCGGATTTCCTTGCAGTGGCTTGAATACAGGCTCGTCTTTCATCTCACAACATGAAGGGATGTCTGAATCCCCTGTGGAGACCTTAGAGAAAGCCCTAGGTCCCTGCCTCATTTTGACGGAATGCCTCACATCCCGCTGACACCTCGAGAGGCACGCGGAGTTCATTGCTTCAAAAGGTGACGATGCCTGACTCCTCTTGAATACTGATAGGAATCCCAAAATCCCTGTGGCTACTGGAAAGGGTCCTTGGGTGCCCTGCCTCACCTCGAGAAGCGTCCCTTTGGCCCTGCCAAGCCTCGAAGAGATTCCTGAGGTGTCCCTCGTTACTAGACAGGAGTCCTGACGTCACTGAAGAAACTCGTGTTTTGAAGGGCCATCCCCGCCGTAAGTCGAGAACATACCCCAGGTCCCCGCCGCAACTCGAGAAAAACCATGAGACTTCCCCCTAGAGGCGAGATGAGGCCCCATTCCCCTGCAGTGCATGCAGAGCTATTCCGTGACCCCATTCAAACAAGTCAGGAGCTTCGACTTGCTTAATGGATCTCGAGACAGTCCCCAAGAACACTGTCACCAGTCTAGACGGACCCTGAGGTCACCCCAGCAACGCAAAGCAGCTTCATGTGCCCCAAATCAACTCGAGATGAGGCCCGATTCCCCTGCATTGACTCCAGAGCCATTCCCCGTTCCCCATTCAACACGACCGGTGGCTCGACTTCCTTCAGGCAACTCCAGAGATGCCCCGAGAACACTGTCCCAAGTCTAGAGGAACACCAACTTCAGCACAGCAACTCGAGGAATGCTCCGTGTACCCCAAATCGTCTCGAGATGCGAGCTGATTCCCTGGCTTAGGCTCAAGACGTATGCCAACTTCCCAGAAGCACCTCAGGAGGGGGCTTCTCTCAGCAATAGGTATGTGGGAGGGACACCGAGTTTGCTGCCTCAAGGGGAATATACAGCGAGAAGCCCTAACTTGAAAGGAGGCCGGATTTCCTTGCAGTGGCTTGAATACAGGCTCGTCTTTCATCTCACAACATGAAGGGATGTCTGAATCCCCTGTGGAGACCTTAGAGAAAGCCCTAGGTCCCTGCCTCATTTTGACGGAATGCCTCACATCCCGCTGACACCTCGAGAGGCACGCGGAGTTCATTGCTTCAAAAGGTGACGATGCCTGACTCCTCTTGAATACTGATAGGAATCCCAAAATCCCTGTGGCTACTGGAAAGGGTCCTTGGGTGCCCTGCCTCACCTCGAGAAGCGTCCCTTTGGCCCTGCCAAGCCTCGAAGATTCCTGAGGTGTCCCTCGTTACTAGACAGGAGTCCTGACGTCACTGAAGAAACTCGTGTTTTGAAGGGCCATCCCCGCCGTAAGTCGAGAACATACCCCAGGTCCCCGCCGCAACTCGAGAAAAACCATGAGACTTCCCCCTAGAGGCGAGATGAGGCCCCATTCCCCTGCAGTGCATGCAGAGCTATTCCGTGATCCCATTCAAACAAGTCAGGAGCTTCGACTTGCTTAATGGATCTCGAGACAGTCCCCAAGAACACTGTCACCAGTCTAGACGGACCCTGAGGTCACCCCAGCAACGCAAAGCAGCTCCATGTGCCCCAAATCAACTCGAGATGAGGCCCGATTCCCCTGCACTGACTCCAGAGCCATTCCCCGTTCCCCATTCAACACGACCGGTGGCTCGACTTCCTTCAGGCAACTTCAGAGATGCCCCGAGAACACTGTCCCAAGTCTAGAGGAACACGAACTTCAGCACAGCAACTCGAGGAATGCTCCGTGTACCCCAAATCGTCTCGAGATGCGAGCTGATTCCCTGGCTTATGCTCAAGACGTATGCCAACTTCCCAGAAGCACCTCAGGAGGAGGCTTCTCTCAGCAATAGGTATGTGGGAGGGACCCCGAGTTTGCTGCCTCAAGGGGAATATACAGCGAGAAGCCCTAACTTGAAAGGACGCCGGATTTCCTTGCAGTGGCTTGAATACAGGCTCGTCTTTCATCTCACAACATGAAGGGATGTCTGAATCCCCTGTGGAGAACTTAGAGAAAGCCCTAGGTCCCTGCCTCATTTTGACGGAATGCCTCACATCCCGCTGACACCTCGAGAGGCACGCGGAGTTCATTGCTTCAAAAGGTGACGATGCCTGACTCCTCTTGAATACTGATAAGAATCCCAAAATCCCTGTGGCTACTGGAAAGGGTCCTTGGGTGCCCTGCCTCACCTCGAGAAGCGTCCCTTTGGCCCTGCCAAGCCTCGAAGAGATTCCTGAGGTGTCCCTCGTTACTAGACAGGAGTCCTGACGTCACTGAAGAAACTCGTGTTTTGAAGGGCCATCCCCGCCGTAAGTCGAGAACATACCCCAGGTCCCCGCCGCAACTCGAGAAAAACCATGAGACTTCCCCCTAGAGGCGAGATGAGGCCCCATTCCCCTGCAGTGCATGCAGAGCTATTCCGTGAACCCATTCAAACAAGTCAGGAGCTTCGACTTGCTTAATGGATCTCGAGACAGTCCCCAAGAACACTGTCACCAGTCTAGACGGACCCTGAGGTCACCCCAGCAACGCAAAGCAGCTCCATGTGCCCCAAATCAACTCGAGATGAGGCCCGATTCCCCTGCATTGACTCCAGAGCCATTCCCCGGTCCCCATTCAACACGACCGGTGGCTCGACTTCCTTCAGGCAACTCCAGAGATGCCCCGAGAACACTGTCCCAAGTCTAGAGGAACACCAACTTCAGCACAGCAACTCGAGGAATGCTCCGTGTACCCCAAATCGTCTCGAGATGCGAGCTGATTCCCTGGCTTAGGCTCAAGACGTATGCCAACTTCCCAGAAGCACCTCAGGAGGGGGCTTCTCTCAGCAATAGGTATGTGGGAGGGACCCCGAGTTTGCTGCCTCATGGGGAATATACAGCGAGAAGCCCTAACTTGAAAGGAGGCCGGATTTCCTTGCAGTGGCTTGAATACAGGCTCGTCTTTCATCTCACAACATGAAGGGATGTCTGAATCCCCTGTGGAGACCTTAGAGAAAGCCCTAGGTCCCTGCCTCATTTTGACGGAATGCCTCACATCCCGCTGACACCTCGAGAGGCACGCGGAGTTCATTGCTTCAAAAGGTGACGATGCCTGACTCCTCTTGAATACTGATAGGAATCCCAAAATCCCTGTGGCTACTGGAAAGGGTCCTTGGGTGCCCTGCCTCACCTCGAGAAGCGTCCCTTTGGCCCTGCCAAGCCTCGAAGAGATTCCTGAGGTGTCCCTCGTTACTAGACAGGAGTCCTGACGTCACTGAAGAAACTCGTGTTTTGAAGGGCCATCCCCGCCGTAAGTCGAGAACATACCCCAGGTCCCCGCCGCAACTCGAGAAAAACCATGAGACTTCCCCCTAGAGGCGAGATGAGGCCCCATTCCCCTGCAGTGCATGCAGAGCTATTCCGTGATCCCATTCAAACAAGTCAGGAGCTTCGACTTGCTTAATGGATCTCGAGACAGTCCCCAAGAACACTGTCACCAGTCTAGACGGACCCTGAGGTCACCCCAGCAACGCAAAGCAGCTCCATGTGCCCCAAATCAACTCGAGATGAGGCCCGATTCCCCTGCATTGACTCCAGAGCCATTCCCCGTTCCCCATTCAACACGACCGGTGGCTCGACTTCCTTCAGGCAACTCCAGAGATGCCCCGAGAACACTGTCCCAAGTCTAGAGGAACACCAACTTCAGCACAGCAACTCGAGGAATGCTCCGTGTACCCCAAATCGTCTCGAGATGCGAGCTGATTCCCTGGCTTAGGCTCAAGACGTATGCCAACTTCCCAGAAGCACCTCAGGAGGAGGCTTGTCTCAGCAATAGGTATGTGGCAGGGACCCCGAGTTTGCTGCCTCAAGGGGAATATACAGCGAGAAGCCCTAACTTGAAAGGAGGCCGGATTTCCTTGCAGTGGCTTGAATACAGGCTCGTCTTTCATCTCACAACATGAAGGGATGTCTGAATCCCCTGTGGAGACCTTAGAGAAAGCCCTAGGTCCCTGCCTCATTTTGACGGAATGCCTCACATCCCGCTGACACCTCGAGAGGCACGCGGAGTTCATTGCTTCAAAAGGTGACGATGCCTGACTCCTCTTGAATACTGATAGGAATCCCAAAATCCCTGTGGCTACTGGAAAGGGTCCTTGGGTGCCCTGCCTCACCTCGAGAAGCGTCCCTTTGGCCCTGCCAAGCCTCGAAGAGATTCCTGAGGTGTCCCTCGTTACTAGACAGGAGTCCTGACGTCACTGAAGAAACTCGTGTTTTGAAGGGCCATCCCCGCCGTAAGTCGAGAACATACCCCAGGTCCCCGCCGCAACTCGAGAAAAACCATGAGACTTCCCCCTAGAGGCGAGATGAGGCCCCATTCCCCTGCAGTGCATGCAGAGCTATTCCGTGACCCCATTCAAACAAGTCAGGAGCTTCGACTTGCTTAATGGATCTCGAGACAGTCCCCAAGAACACTGTCACCAGTCTAGACGGACCCTGAGGTCACCCCAGCAACGCAAAGCAGCTCCATGTGCCCCAAATCAACTCGAGATGAGGCCCGATTCCCCTGCATTGACTCCAGAGCCATTCCCCGTTCCCCATTCAACACGACCGGTGGCTCGACTTCCTTCAGGCAACTCCAGAGATGCCCCGAGAACACTGTCCCAAGTCTAGAGGAACACCAACTTCAGCACAGCAACTCGAGGAATGCTCCGTGTACCCCAAATCGTCTCGAGATGCGAGCTGATTCCCTGGCTTAGGCTCAAGACGTATGCCAACTTCCCAGAAGCACCTCAGGAGGGGGCTTCTCTCAGCAATAGGTATGTGGGAGGGACCCCGAGTTTGCTGCCTCAAGGGGAATATACAGCGAGAAGCCCTAACTAGAAAGGAGGCCGGATTTCCTTGCAGTGGCTTGAATACAGGCTCGTCTTTCATCTCACAACATGAAGGGATGTCTGAATCCCCTGTGGAGACCTTAGAGAAAGCCCTAGGTCCCTGCCTCATTTTGACGGAATGCCTCACATCCCGCTGACACCTCGAGAGGCACGCGGAGTTCATTGCTTCAAAAGGTGACGATGCCTGACTCCTCTTGAATACTGATAGGAATCCCAAAATCCCTGTGGCTACTGGAAAGGGTCCTTGGGTGCCCTGCCTCTCCTCGAGAAGCGTCCCTTTGGCCCTGCCAAGCCTCGAAGAGATTCCTGAGGTGTCCCTCGTTACTAGACAGGAGTCCTGACGTCACTGAAGAAACTCGTGTTTTGAAGGGCCATCCCCGCCGTAAGTCGAGAACATACCCCAGGTCCCCGCCGCAACTCGAGAAAAACCATGAGACTTCCCCCTAGAGGCGAGATGAGGCCCCATTCCCCTGCAGTGCATGCAGAGCTATTCCGTGATCCCATTCAAACAAGTCAGGAGCTTCGACTTGCTTAATGGATCTCGAGACAGTCCCCAAGAACACTGTCACCAGTCTAGACGGACCCTGAGGTCACCCCAGCAACGCAAAGCAGCTCCATGTGCCCCAAATCAACTCGAGATGAGGCCCGATTCCCCTGCATTGACTCCAGAGCCATTCCCCGTTCCCCATTCAACACGACCGGTGGCTCGACTTCCTTCAGGCAACTCCAGAGATGCCCCGAGAACACTGTCCCAAGTCTAGAGGAACACCAACTTCAGCACAGCAACTCGAGGAATGCTCCGTGTACCCCAAATCGTCTCGAGATGCGAGCTGATTCCCTGGCTTATGCTCAAGACGTATGCCAACTTCCCAGAAGCACCTCAGGAGGAGGCTTCTCTCAGCAATAGGTATGTGGGAGGGACCCCGAGTTTGCTGCCTCAAGGGGAATATACAGCGAGAAGCCCTAACTTGAAAGGACGCCGGATTTCCTTGCAGTGGCTTGAATACAGGCTCGTCTTTCATCTCACAACATGAAGGGATGTCTGAATCCCCTGTGGAGACCTTAGAGAAAGCCCTAGTTCCCTGCCTCATTTTGACGGAATGCCTCACATCCCGCTGACACCTCGAGAGGCACGCGGAGTTCATTGCTTCAAAAGGTGACGATGCCTGACTCCTCTTGAATACTGATAGGAATCCCAAAATCCCTGTGGCTACTGGAAAGGGTCCTTGGGTGCCCTGCCTCACCTCGAGAAGCGTCCCTTTGGCCCTGCCAAGCCTCGAAGAGATTCCTGAGGTGTCCCTCGTTACTAGACAGGAGTCCTGACGTCACTGAAGAAACTCGTGTTTTGAAGGGCCATCCCCGCCGTAAGTCGAGAACATACCCCAGGTCCCCGCCGCAACTCGAGAAAAACCATGAGACTTCCCCCTAGAGGCGAGATGAGGCCCCATTCCCCTGCAGTGCATGCAGAGCTATTCCGTGAACCCATTCAAACAAGTCAGGAGCTTCGACTTGCTTAATGGATCTCGAGACAGTCCCCAAGAACACTGTCACCAGTCTAGACGGACCCTGAGGTCACCCCAGCAACGCAAAGCAGCTCCATGTGCCCCAAATCAACTCGAGATGAGGCCCGATTCCCCTGCATTGACTCCAGAGCCATTCCCCGTTCCCCATTCAACACGACCGGTGGCTCGACTTCCTTCAGGCAACTCCAGAGATGCCCCGAGAACACTGTCCCAAGTCTAGAGGAACACCAACTTCAGCACAGCAACTCGAGGAATGCTCCGTGTACCACAAATCGTCTCGAGATGCGAGCTGATTCCCTGGCTTAGGCTCAAGACGTATGCCAACTTCCCAGAAGCACATCAGGAGGGGGCTTCTCTCAGCAATAGGTATGTGGGAGGGACCCCGAGTTTGCTGCCTCAAGGGGAATATACAGCGAGAAGCCCTAACTTGAAAGGAGGCCGGATTTCCTTGCAGTGGCTTGAATACAGGCTCGTCTTTCATCTCACAACATGAAGGGATGTCTGAATCCCCTGTGGAGACCTTAGAGAAAGCCCTAGGTCCCTGCCTCATTTTGACGGAATGCCTCACATCCCGCTGACACCTCGAGAGGCACGCGGAGTTCATTTCTTCAAAAGGTGACGATGCCTGACTCCTCTTGAATACTGATAGGAATCCCAAAATCCCTGTGGCTACTGGAAAGGGTCCTTGGGTGCCCTGCCTCACCTCGAGAAGCGTCCCTTTGGCCCTGCCAAGCCTCGAAGAGATTCCTGAGGTGTCCCTCGTTACTAGACAGGAGTCCTGACGTCACTGAAGAAACTCGTGTTTTGAAGGGCCATCCCCGCCGTAAGTCGAGAACATACCCCAGGTCCCCGCCGCAACTCGAGAAAAACCATGAGACTTCCCCCTAGAGGCGAGATGAGGCCCCATTCCCCTGCAGTGCATGCAGAGCTATTCCGTGATCCCATTCAAACAAGTCAGGAGCTTCGACTTGCTTAATGGATCTCGAGACAGTCCCCAAGAACACTGTCACCAGTCTAGACGGACCCTGAGGTCACCCCAGCAACGCAAAGCAGCTCCATGTGCCCCAAATCAACTCGAGATGAGGCCCGATTCCCCTGCATTGACTCCAGAGCCATTCCCCGTTCCCCATTCAACACGACCGGTGGCTCGACTTCCTTCAGGCAACTCCAGAGATGCCCCGAGAACACTGTCCCAAGTCTAGAGGAACACCAACTTCAGCACAGCAACTCGAGGAATGCTCCGTGTACCCCAAATCGTCTCGAGATGCGAGCTGATTCCCTGGCTTAGGCTCAAGACATAGGCCAACTTCCCAGAAGCACCTCAGGAGGAGACTTCTCTCAGCAATAGGTATGTGGGAGGGACCCCGAGTTTGCTGCCTCAAAGGGAATATACAGCGAGAAGCCCTAACTTGAAAGGAGGCCGGATTTCCTTCCAGTGGCTTGAATACAGGCTCGTCTTTCATCTCACAACATGAAGGGATGTCTGAATCCCCTGTGGAGACCTTAGAGAAAGCCCTAGGTCCCTGCCTCATTTTGACGGAATGCCTCACATCCCGCTGACACCTCGAGAGGCACGCGGAGTTCATTGCTTCAAAAGGTGACGATGCCTGACTCCTCTTGAATACTGATAGGAATCCCAAAATCCCTGTGGCTACTGGAAAGGGTCCTTGGGTGCCCTGCCTCACCTCGAGAAGCGTCCCTTTGGCCCTGCCAAGCCTCGAAGAGATTCCTGAGGTGTCCCTCGTTACTAGACAGGAGTCCTGACGTCACTGAAGAAACTCGTGTTTTGAAGGGCCATCCCCGCCGTAAGTCGAGAACATACCCCAGGTCCCCGCCGCAACTCGAGAAAAACCATGAGACTTCCCCCTAGAGGCGAGATGAGGCCCCATTCCCCTGCAGTGCATGCAGAGCTATTCCGTGATCCCATTCAAACAAGTCAGGAGCTTCGACTTGCTTAATGGATCTCGAGACAGTCCCCAAGAACACTGTCACCAGTCTAGACGGACCCTGAGGTCACCCCAGCAACGCAAAGCAGCTCCATGTGCCCCAAATCAACTCGAGATGAGGCCCGATTCCCCTGCATTGACTCCAGAGCCATTCCCCGTTCCCCATTCAACACGACCGGTGGCTCGACTTCCTTCAGGCAACTCCAGAGATGCCCCGAGAACACTGTCCCAAGTCTAGAGGAACACCAACTTCAGCCCAGCAACTCGAGGAATGCTCCGTGTACCCCAAATCGTCTCGAGATGCGAGCTGATTCCCTGGCTTAGGCTCAAAACGTATGCCAACTTCCCAGAAGCACCTCAGGAGGAGGCTTCTCTCAGCAATAGGTATGTGGGAGGGACCCCGAGTTTGCTGCCTCAAGGGGAATATACAGCGAGAAGCCCTAACTTGAAAGGACGCCGGATTTCCTTGCAGTGGCTTGAATACAGGCTCGTCTTTCATCTCACAACATGAAGGGATGTCTGAATCCCCTGTGGAGACCTTAGAGAAAGCCCTAGGTCCCTGCCTCATTTTGACGGAATGCCTCACATCCCGCTGACACCTCGAGAGGCACGCGGAGTTCATTGCTTCCAAAGGTGACGATGCCTGACTCCTCTTGAATACTGATAGGAATCCCAAAATCCCTGTGGCTACTGGAAAGGGTCCTTGGGTGCCCTGCCTCACCTCGAGAAGCGTCCCTTTGGCCCTGCCAAGCCTCGAAGAGATTCCTGAGGTGTCCCTCGTTACTAGACAGGAGTCCTGACGTCACTGAAGAAACTTGTGTTTTGAAGGGCCATCCCCGCCATAAGTCGAGAACATACCCCAGGTCCCCGCCGCAACTCGAGAAAAACCATGAGACTTCCCCCTAGAGGCGAGATGAGGCCCCATTCCCCTGCAGTGCATGCAGAGCTATTCCGTGATCCCATTCAAACAAGTCAGGAGCTTCGACTTGCTTAATGGATCTCGAGACAGTCCCCAAGAACACTGTCACCAGTCTAGACGGACCCTGAGGTCACCCCAGCAACGCAAAGCAGCTCCATGTGCCCCAAATCAACTCGAGATGAGGCCCGATTCCCCTGCATTGACTCCAGAGCCATTCCCCGTTCCCCATTCAACACGACCGGTGGCTCGACTTCCTTCAGGCAACTCCAGAGATGCCCCGAGAACACTGTCCCAAGTCTAGAGGAACACCAACTTCAGCACAGCAACTCGAGGAATGCTCCGTGTACCCCAAATCGTCTCGAGATGCGAGCTGATTCCCTGGCTTAGGCTCAAGACGTATGCCAACTTCCCAGAAGCACCTCAGGAGGAGGCTTCTCTCAGCAATAGGTATGTGGGAGGGACCCCGAGTTTCCTGCCTCAAGGGGAATATACAGCGAGAAGCCCTAACTTGAAAGGAGGCCGGATTTCCTTGCAGTGGCTTGAATACAGGCTCGTCTTTCATCTCACAACATGAAGGGATGTCTGAATCCCCTGTGGAGACCTTAGAGAAAGCCCTAGGTCCCTGCCTCATTTTGACGGAATGCCTCACATCCCGCTGACACCTCGAGAGGCACGCGGAGTTCATTGCTTCAAAAGGTGACGATGCCTGACTCCTCTTGAATACTGATAGGAATCCCAAAATCCCTGTGGCTACTGGAAAGGGTCCTTGGGTGCCCTGCCTCACCTCGAGAAGCGTCCCTTTGGCCCTGCCAAGCCTCGAAGAGATTCCTGAGGTGTCCCTCGTTACTAGACAGGAGTCCTGACGTCACTGAAGAAACTCGTGTTTTGAACGGCCATCCCCGCCGTAAGTCGAGAACATACCCCAGGTCCCCGCCGCAACTCGAGAAAAACCATGAGACTTCCCCCTAGAGGCGAGATGAGGCCCCATTCCCCTGCAGTGCATGCAGAGCTATTCCGTGACCCCATTCAAACAAGTCAGGAGCTTCGACTTGCTTAATGGATCTCGAGACAGTCCCCAAGAACACTGTCAGCAGTCTAGACGGACCCTGAGGTCACCCCAGCAACGCAAAGCAGCTCCATGTGCCCCAAATCAACTCGAGATGAGGCCCGATTCCCCTGCATTGACTCCAGAGCCATTCCCCGTTCCCCATTCAACACGACCGGTGGCTCGACTTCCTTCAGGCAACTCCAGAGATGCCCCGAGAACACTGTCCCAAGTCTAGAGGAACACCAACTTCAGCACAGCAACTCGAGGAATGCTCCGTGTACCCCAAATCGTCTCGAGATGCGAGCTGATTCCCTGGCTTAGGCTCAAGACGTATGCCAACTTCCCAGAAGCACCTCAGGAGGGGGCTTCTCTCAGCAATAGGTATGTGGGAGGGACACCGAGTTTGCTGCCTCAAGGGGAATATACAGCGAGAAGCCCTAACTTGAAAGGAGGCCGGATTTCCTTGCAGTGGCTTGAATACAGGCTCGTCTTTCATCTCACAACATGAAGGGATGTCTGAATCCCCTGTGGAGACCTTAGAGAAAGCCCTAGGTCCCTGCCTCATTTTGACGGAATGCCTCACATCCCGCTGACACCTCGAGAGGCACGCGGAGTTCATTGCTTCAAAAGGTGACGATGCCTGACTCCTCTTGAATACTGATAGGAATCCCAAAATCCCTGTGGCTACTGGAAAGGGTCCTTGGGTGCCCTGCCTCACCTCGAGAAGCGTCCCTTTGGCCCTGCCAAGCCTCGAAGATTCCTGAGGTGTCCCTCGTTACTAGACAGGAGTCCTGACGTCACTGAAGAAACTCGTGTTTTGAAGGGCCATCCCCGCCGTAAGTCGAGAACATACCCCAGGTCCCCGCCGCAACTCGAGAAAAACCATGAGACTTCCCCCTAGAGGCGAGATGAGGCCCCATTCCCCTGCAGTGCATGCAGAGCTATTCCGTGATCCCATTCAAACAAGTCAGGAGCTTCGACTTGCTTAATGGATCTCGAGACAGTCCCCAAGAACACTGTCACCAGTCTAGACGGACCCTGAGGTCACCCCAGCAACGCAAAGCAGCTCCATGTGCCCCAAATCAACTCGAGATGAGGCCCGATTCCCCTGCACTGACTCCAGAGCCATTCCCCGTTCCCCATTCAACACGACCGGTGGCTCGACTTCCTTCAGGCAACTTCAGAGATGCCCCGAGAACACTGTCCCAAGTCTAGAGGAACACGAACTTCAGCACAGCAACTCGAGGAATGCTCCGTGTACCCCAAATCGTCTCGAGATGCGAGCTGATTCCCTGGCTTATGCTCAAGACGTATGCCAACTTCCCAGAAGCACCTCAGGAGGAGGCTTCTCTCAGCAATAGGTATGTGGGAGGGACCCCGAGTTTGCTGCCTCAAGGGGAATATACAGCGAGAAGCCCTAACTTGAAAGGACGCCGGATTTCCTTGCAGTGGCTTGAATACAGGCTCGTCTTTCATCTCACAACATGAAGGGATGTCTGAATCCCCTGTGGAGAACTTAGAGAAAGCCCTAGGTCCCTGCCTCATTTTGACGGAATGCCTCACATCCCGCTGACACCTCGAGAGGCACGCGGAGTTCATTGCTTCAAAAGGTGACGATGCCTGACTCCTCTTGAATACTGATAAGAATCCCAAAATCCCTGTGGCTACTGGAAAGGGTCCTTGGGTGCCCTGCCTCACCTCGAGAAGCGTCCCTTTGGCCCTGCCAAGCCTCGAAGAGATTCCTGAGGTGTCCCTCGTTACTAGACAGGAGTCCTGACGTCACTGAAGAAACTCGTGTTTTGAAGGGCCATCCCCGCCGTAAGTCGAGAACATACCCCAGGTCCCCGCCGCAACTCGAGAAAAACCATGAGACTTCCCCCTAGAGGCGAGATGAGGCCCCATTCCCCTGCAGTGCATGCAGAGCTATTCCGTGAACCCATTCAAACAAGTCAGGAGCTTCGACTTGCTTAATGGATCTCGAGACAGTCCCCAAGAACACTGTCACCAGTCTAGACGGACCCTGAGGTCACCCCAGCAACGCAAAGCAGCTCCATGTGCCCCAAATCAACTCGAGATGAGGCCCGATTCCCCTGCATTGACTCCAGAGCCATTCCCCGGTCCCCATTCAACACGACCGGTGGCTCGACTTCCTTCAGGCAACTCCAGAGATGCCCCGAGAACACTGTCCCAAGTCTAGAGGAACACCAACTTCAGCACAGCAACTCGAGGAATGCTCCGTGTACCCCAAATCGTCTCGAGATGCGAGCTGATTCCCTGGCTTAGGCTCAAGACGTATGCCAACTTCCCAGAAGCACCTCAGGAGGGGGCTTCTCTCAGCAATAGGTATGTGGGAGGGACCCCGAGTTTGCTGCCTCATGGGGAATATACAGCGAGAAGCCCTAACTTGAAAGGAGGCCGGATTTCCTTGCAGTGGCTTGAATACAGGCTCGTCTTTCATCTCACAACATGAAGGGATGTCTGAATCCCCTGTGGAGACCTTAGAGAAAGCCCTAGGTCCCTGCCTCATTTTGACGGAATGCCTCACATCCCGCTGACACCTCGAGAGGCACGCGGAGTTCATTGCTTCAAAAGGTGACGATGCCTGACTCCTCTTGAATACTGATAGGAATCCCAAAATCCCTGTGGCTACTGGAAAGGGTCCTTGGGTGCCCTGCCTCACCTCGAGAAGCGTCCCTTTGGCCCTGCCAAGCCTCGAAGAGATTCCTGAGGTGTCCCTCGTTACTAGACAGGAGTCCTGACGTCACTGAAGAAACTCGTGTTTTGAAGGGCCATCCCCGCCGTAAGTCGAGAACATACCCCAGGTCCCCGCCGCAACTCGAGAAAAACCATGAGACTTCCCCCTAGAGGCGAGATGAGGCCCCATTCCCCTGCAGTGCATGCAGAGCTATTCCGTGATCCCATTCAAACAAGTCAGGAGCTTCGACTTGCTTAATGGATCTCGAGACAGTCCCCAAGAACACTGTCACCAGTCTAGACGGACCCTGAGGTCACCCCAGCAACGCAAAGCAGCTCCATGTGCCCCAAATCAACTCGAGATGAGGCCCGATTCCCCTGCATTGACTCCAGAGCCATTCCCCGTTCCCCATTCAACACGACCGGTGGCTCGACTTCCTTCAGGCAACTCCAGAGATGCCCCGAGAACACTGTCCCAAGTCTAGAGGAACACCAACTTCAGCACAGCAACTCGAGGAATGCTCCGTGTACCCCAAATCGTCTCGAGATGCGAGCTGATTCCCTGGCTTAGGCTCAAGACGTATGCCAACTTCCCAGAAGCACCTCAGGAGGAGGCTTGTCTCAGCAATAGGTATGTGGCAGGGACCCCGAGTTTGCTGCCTCAAGGGGAATATACAGCGAGAAGCCCTAACTTGAAAGGAGGCCGGATTTCCTTGCAGTGGCTTGAATACAGGCTCGTCTTTCATCTCACAACATGAAGGGATGTCTGAATCCCCTGTGGAGACCTTAGAGAAAGCCCTAGGTCCCTGCCTCATTTTGACGGAATGCCTCACATCCCGCTGACACCTCGAGAGGCACGCGGAGTTCATTGCTTCAAAAGGTGACGATGCCTGACTCCTCTTGAATACTGATAGGAATCCCAAAATCCCTGTGGCTACTGGAAAGGGTCCTTGGGTGCCCTGCCTCACCTCGAGAAGCGTCCCTTTGGCCCTGCCAAGCCTCGAAGAGATTCCTGAGGTGTCCCTCGTTACTAGACAGGAGTCCTGACGTCACTGAAGAAACTCGTGTTTTGAAGGGCCATCCCCGCCGTAAGTCGAGAACATACCCCAGGTCCCCGCCGCAACTCGAGAAAAACCATGAGACTTCCCCCTAGAGGCGAGATGAGGCCCCATTCCCCTGCAGTGCATGCAGAGCTATTCCGTGACCCCATTCAAACAAGTCAGGAGCTTCGACTTGCTTAATGGATCTCGAGACAGTCCCCAAGAACACTGTCACCAGTCTAGACGGACCCTGAGGTCACCCCAGCAACGCAAAGCAGCTCCATGTGCCCCAAATCAACTCGAGATGAGGCCCGATTCCCCTGCATTGACTCCAGAGCCATTCCCCGTTCCCCATTCAACACGACCGGTGGCTCGACTTCCTTCAGGCAACTCCAGAGATGCCCCGAGAACACTGTCCCAAGTCTAGAGGAACACCAACTTCAGCACAGCAACTCGAGGAATGCTCCGTGTACCCCAAATCGTCTCGAGATGCGAGCTGATTCCCTGGCTTAGGCTCAAGACGTATGCCAACTTCCCAGAAGCACCTCAGGAGGGGGCTTCTCTCAGCAATAGGTATGTGGGAGGGACCCCGAGTTTGCTGCCTCAAGGGGAATATACAGCGAGAAGCCCTAACTAGAAAGGAGGCCGGATTTCCTTGCAGTGGCTTGAATACAGGCTCGTCTTTCATCTCACAACATGAAGGGATGTCTGAATCCCCTGTGGAGACCTTAGAGAAAGCCCTAGGTCCCTGCCTCATTTTGACGGAATGCCTCACATCCCGCTGACACCTCGAGAGGCACGCGGAGTTCATTGCTTCAAAAGGTGACGATGCCTGACTCCTCTTGAATACTGATAGGAATCCCAAAATCCCTGTGGCTACTGGAAAGGGTCCTTGGGTGCCCTGCCTCTCCTCGAGAAGCGTCCCTTTGGCCCTGCCAAGCCTCGAAGAGATTCCTGAGGTGTCCCTCGTTACTAGACAGGAGTCCTGACGTCACTGAAGAAACTCGTGTTTTGAAGGGCCATCCCCGCCGTAAGTCGAGAACATACCCCAGGTCCCCGCCGCAACTCGAGAAAAACCATGAGACTTCCCCCTAGAGGCGAGATGAGGCCCCATTCCCCTGCAGTGCATGCAGAGCTATTCCGTGATCCCATTCAAACAAGTCAGGAGCTTCGACTTGCTTAATGGATCTCGAGACAGTCCCCAAGAACACTGTCACCAGTCTAGACGGACCCTGAGGTCACCCCAGCAACGCAAAGCAGCTCCATGTGCCCCAAATCAACTCGAGATGAGGCCCGATTCCCCTGCATTGACTCCAGAGCCATTCCCCGGTCCCCATTCAACACGACCGGTGGCTCGACTTCCTTCAGGCAACTCCAGAGATGCCCCGAGAACACTGTCCCAAGTCTAGAGGAACACCAACTTCAGCACAGCAACTCGAGGAATGCTCCGTGTACCCCAAATCGTCTCGAGATGCGAGCTGATTCCCTGGCTTAGGCTCAAGACGTATGCCAACTTCCCAGAAGCACCTCAGGAGGGGGCTTCTCTCAGCAATAGGTATGTGGGAGGGACACCGAGTTTGCTGCCTCAAGGGGAATATACAGCGAGAAGCCCTAACTTGAAAGGAGGCCGGATTTCCTTGCAGTGGCTTGAATACAGGCTCGTCTTTCATCTCACAACATGAAGGGATGTCTGAATCCCCTGTGGAGACCTTAGAGAAAGCCCTAGGTCCCTGCCTCATTTTGACGGAATGCCTCACATCCCGCTGACACCTCGAGAGGCACGCGGAGTTCATTGCTTCAAAAGGTGACGATGCCTGACTCCTCTTGAATACTGATAGGAATCCCAAAATCCCTGTGGCTACTGGAAAGGGTCCTTGGGTGCCCTGCCTCACCTCGAGAAGCGTCCCTTTGGCCCTGCCAAGCCTCGAAGATTCCTGAGGTGTCCCTCGTTACTAGACAGGAGTCCTGACGTCACTGAAGAAACTCGTGTTTTGAAGGGCCATCCCCGCCGTAAGTCGAGAACATACCCCAGGTCCCCGCCGCAACTCGAGAAAAACCATGAGACTTCCCCCTAGAGGCGAGATGAGGCCCCATTCCCCTGCAGTGCATGCAGAGCTATTCCGTGATCCCATTCAAACAAGTCAGGAGCTTCGACTTGCTTAATGGATCTCGAGACAGTCCCCAAGAACACTGTCACCAGTCTAGACGGACCCTGAGGTCACCCCAGCAACGCAAAGCAGCTCCATGTGCCCCAAATCAACTCAAGATGAGGCCCGATTCCCCTGCACTGACTCCAGAGCCATTCCCCGTTCCCCATTCAACACGACCGGTGGCTCGACTTCCTTCAGGCAACTTCAGAGATGCCCCGAGAACACTGTCCCAAGTCTAGAGGAACACGAACTTCAGCACAGCAACTCGAGGAATGCTCCGTGTACCCCAAATCGTCTCGAGATGCGAGCTGATTCCCTGGCTTATGCTCAAGACGTATGCCAACTTCCCAGAAGCACCTCAGGAGGAGGCTTCTCTCAGCAATAGGTATGTGGGAGGGACCCCGAGTTTGCTGCCTCAAGGGGAATATACAGCGAGAAGCCCTAACTTGAAAGGACGCCGGATTTCCTTGCAGTGGCTTGAATACAGGCTCGTCTTTCATCTCACAACATGAAGGGATGTCTGAATCCCCTGTGGAGACCTTAGAGAAAGCCCTAGGTCCCTGCCTCATTTTGACGGAATGCCTCACATCCCGCTGACACCTCGAGAGGCACGCGGAGTTCATTGCTTCAAAAGGTGACGATGCCTGACTCCTCTTGAATACTGATAAGAATCCCAAAATCCCTGTGGCTACTGGAAAGGGTCCTTGGGTGCCCTGCCTCACCTCGAGAAGCGTCCCTTTGGCCCTGCCAAGCCTCGAAGAGATTCCTGAGGTGTCCCTCGTTACTAGACAGGAGTCCTGACGTCACTGAAGAAACTCGTGTTTTGAAGGGCCATCCCCGCCGTAAGTCGAGAACATACCCCAGGTCCCCGCCGCAACTCGAGAAAAACCATGAGACTTCCCCCTAGAGGCGAGATGAGGCCCCATTCCCCTGCAGTGCATGCAGAGCTATTCCGTGACCCCATTCAAACAAGTCAGGAGCTTCGACTTGCTTAATGGATCTCGAGACAGTCCCCAAGAACACTGTCACCAGTCTAGACGGACCCTGAGGTCACCCCAGCAACGCAAAGCAGCTCCATGTGCCCCAAATCAACTCGAGATGAGGTCCGATTCCCCTGCATTGACTCCAGAGCCATTCCCCGTTCCCCATTCAACACGACCGGTGGCTCGACTTCCTTCAGGCAACTCCAGAGATGCCCCGAGAACACTGTCCCAAGTCTAGAGGAACACCAACTTCAGCACAGCAACTCGAGGAATGCTCCGTGTACCCCAAATCGTCTCGAGATGCGAGCTGATTCCCTGGCTTAGGCTCAAGACGTATGCCAACTTCCCAGAAGCACCTCAGGAGGGGGCTTCTCTCAGCAATAGGTATGTGGGAGGGACCCCGAGTTTGCTGCCTCAAGGGGAATATACAGCGAGAAGCCCTAACTTGAAAGGAGGCCGGATTTCCTTGCAGTGGCTTGAATACAGGCTCGTCTTTCATCTCACAACATGAAGGGATGTCTGAATCCCCTGTGGAGACCTTAGAGAAAGCCCTAGGTCCCTGCCTCATTTTGACGGAATGCCTCACATCCCGCTGACACCTCGAGAGGCACGCGGAGTTCATTGCTTCAAAAGGTGACGATGCCTGACTCCTCTTGAATACTGATAGGAATCCCAAAATCCCTGTGGCTACTGGAAAGGGTCCTTGGGTGCCCTGCCTCACCTCGAGAAGCGTCCCTTTGGCCCTGCCAAGCCTCGAAGAGATTCCTGAGGTGTCCCTCGTTACTAGAGAGGAGTCCTGACGTCACTGAAGAAACTCGTGTTTTGAAGGGCCATCCCCGCCGTAAGTCGAGAACATACCCCAGGTCCCCGCCGCAACTCGAGAAAAACCATGAGACTTCCCCCTAGAGGCGAGATGAGGCCCCATTCCCCTGCAGTGCATGCAGAGCTATTCCGTGACCCCATTCAAACAAGTCAGGAGCTTCGACTTGCTTAATGGATCTCGAGACAGTCCCCAAGAACACTGTCACCAGTCTAGACGGACCCTGAGGTCACCCCAGCAACGCAAAGCAGCTCCATGTGCCCCAAATCAACTCGAGATGAGGCCCGATTCCCCTGCACTGACTCCAGAGCCATTCCCCGTTCCCCATTCAACACGACCGGTGGCTCGACTTCCTTCAGGCAACTCCAGAGATGGCCCGAGAACACTGTCCCAAGTCTAGAGGAACACCAACTTCCGCACAGCAACTCGAGGAATGCTCCGTGTACCCCAAATCGTCTCGAGATGCGAGCTGATTCCCTGGCTTAGGCTCAAGACGTATGCCAACTTCAAAGAAGCACCTCAGGAGGGGGCTTCTCTCAGCAATAGGTATGTGGGAGGGACCCCGAGTTTGCTGCCTCAAGGGGAATATACAGCGAGAAGCCCTAACTTGAAAGGAGGCCGGATTTCCTTGCAGTGGCTTGAATACAGGCTCGTCTTTCATCTCACAACATGAAGGGATGTCTGAATCCCCTGTGGAGACCTTAGAGAAAGCCCTAGGTCCCTGCCTCATTTTGACGGAATGCCTCACATCCCGCTGACACCTCGAGAGGCACGCGGAGTTCATTGCTTCAAAAGGTGACGATGCCTGACTCCTCTTGAATACTGATAGGAATCCCAAAATCCCTGTGGCTACTGGAAAGGGTCCTTGGGTGCCCTGCCTCACCTCGAGAAGCGTCCCTTTGGCCCTGCCAAGCCTCGAAGAGATTCCTGAGGTGTCCCTTGTTACTAGACAGGAGTCCTGACGTCACTGAAGAAACTCGTGTTTTGAAGGGCCATCCCCGCCGTAAGTCGAGAACATACCCCAGGTCCCCGCCGCAACTCGAGAAAAACCATGAGACTTCCCCCTACAGGCGAGATGAGGCCCCCTTCCCCTGCAGTGCATGCAGAGCTATTCCGTGACCCCATTCAAACAAGTCAGGAGCTTCGACTTGCTTAATGGATCTCGAGACAGTCCCCAAGAACACTGTCACCAGTCTAGACGGACCCTGAGGTCACCCCAGCAACGCAAAGCAGCTCCATGTGCCCCAAATGAACTCGAGATGAGGCCCGATTCCCCTGCATTGACTCCAGAGCCATTCCCCGTTCCCCATTCAACACGACCGGTGGCTCGACTTCCTTCAGGCAACTCCAGAGATGCCCCGAGAACACTGTCCCAAGTCTAGAGGAACACCAACTTCAGCACAGCAACTCGAGGAATGCTCCGTGTACCACAAATCGTCTCGAGATGCGAGCTGATTCCCTGGCTTAGGCTCAAGACGTATGCCAACTTCCCAGAAGCACCTCAGGAGGGGGCTTCTCTCAGCAATAGGTATGTGGGAGGGACCCCGAGTTTGCTGCCTCAAGGGGAATATACAGCGAGAAGCCCTAACTTGAAAGGAGGCCGGATTTCCTTGCAGTGGCTTGAATACAGGCTCGTCTTTCATCTCACAACATGAAGGGATGTCTGAATCCCCTGTGGAGACCTTAGAGAAAGCCCTAGGTCCCTGCCTCATTTTGACGGAATGCCTCACATCCCGCTGACACCTCGAGAGGCACGCGGAGTTCATTTCTTCAAAAGGTGACGATGCCTGACTCCTCTTGAATACTGATAGGAATCCCAAAATCCCTGTGGCTACTGGAAAGGGTCCTTGGGTGCCCTGCCTCACCTCGAGAAGCGTCCCTTTGGCCCTGCCAAGCCTCGAAGAGATTCCTGAGGTGTCCCTTGTTACTAGACAGGAGTCCTGACGTCACTGAAGAAACTCGTGTTTTGAAGGGCCATCCCCGCCGTAAGTCGAGAACATACCCCAGGTCCCCGCCGCAACTCGAGAAAAACCATGAGACTTCCCCCTAGAGGCGAGATGAGGCCCCATTCCCCTGCAGTGCATGCAGAGCTATTCCGTGATCCCATTCAAACAAGTCAGGAGCTTCGACTTGCTTAATGGATCTCGAGACAGTCCCCAAGAACACTGTCACCAGTCTAGACGGACCCTGAGGTCACCCCAGCAACGCAAAGCAGCTCCATGTGCCCCAAATCAACTCGAGATGAGGCCCGATTCCCCTGCATTGACTCCAGAGCCATTCCCCGTTCCCCATTCAACACGACCGGTGGCTCGACTTCCTTCAGGCAACTCCAGAGATGCCCCGAGAACACTGTCCCAAGTCTAGAGGAACACCAACTTCAGCACAGCAACTCGAGGAATGCTCCGTGTACCCCAAATCGTCTCGAGATGCGAGCTGATTCCCTGGCTTAGGCTCAAGACATAGGCCAACTTCCCAGAAGCACCTCAGGAGGAGACTTCTCTCAGCAATAGGTATGTGGGAGGGACCCCGAGTTTGCTGCCTCAAAGGGAATATACAGCGAGAAGCCCTAACTTGAAAGGAGGCCGGATTTCCTTCCAGTGGCTTGAATACAGGCTCGTCTTTCATCTCACAACATGAAGGGATGTCTGAATCCCCTGTGGAGACCTTAGAGAAAGCCCTAGGTCCCTGCCTCATTTTGACGGAATGCCTCACATCCCGCTGACACCTCGAGAGGCACGCGGAGTTCATTGCTTCAAAAGGTGACGATGCCTGACTCCTCTTGAATACTGATAGGAATCCCAAAATCCCTGTGGCTACTGGAAAGGGTCCTTGGGTGCCCTGCCTCACCTCGAGAAGCGTCCCTTTGGCCCTGCCAAGCCTCGAAGAGATTCCTGAGGTGTCCCTCGTTACTAGACAGGAGTCCTGACGTCACTGAAGAAACTCGTGTTTTGAAGGGCCATCCCCGCCGTAAGTCGAGAACATACCCCAGGTCCCCGCCGCAACTCGAGAAAAACCATGAGACTTCCCCCTAGAGGCGAGATGAGGCCCCATTCCCCTGCAGTGCATGCAGAGCTATTCCGTGATCCCATTCAAACAAGTCAGGAGCTTCGACTTGCTTAATGGATCTCGAGACAGTCCCCAAGAACACTGTCACCAGTCTAGACGGACCCTGAGGTCACCCCAGCAACGCAAAGCAGCTCCATGTGCCCCAAATCAACTCGAGATGAGGCCCGATTCCCCTGCATTGACTCCAGAGCCATTCCCCGTTCCCCATTCAACACGACCGGTGGCTCGACTTCCTTCAGGCAACTCCAGAGATGCCCCGAGAACACTGTCCCAAGTCTAGAGGAACACCAACTTCAGCCCAGCAACTCGAGGAATGCTCCGTGTACCCCAAATCGTCTCGAGATGCGAGCTGATTCCCTGGCTTAGGCTCAAAACGTATGCCAACTTCCCAGAAGCACCTCAGGAGGAGGCTTCTCTCAGCAATAGGTATGTGGGAGGGACCCCGAGTTTGCTGCCTCAAGGGGAATATACAGCGAGAAGCCCTAACTTGAAAGGACGCCGGATTTCCTTGCAGTGGCTTGAATACAGGCTCGTCTTTCATCTCACAACATGAAGGGATGTCTGAATCCCCTGTGGAGACCTTAGAGAAAGCCCTAGGTCCCTGCCTCATTTTGACGGAATGCCTCACATCCCGCTGACACCTCGAGAGGCACGCGGAGTTCATTGCTTCCAAAGGTGACGATGCCTGACTCCTCTTGAATACTGATAGGAATCCCAAAATCCCTGTGGCTACTGGAAAGGGTCCTTGGGTGCCCTGCCTCACCTCGAGAAGCGTCCCTTTGGCCCTGCCAAGCCTCGAAGAGATTCCTGAGGTGTCCCTCGTTACTAGACAGGAGTCCTGACGTCACTGAAGAAACTCGTGTTTTGAAGGGCCATCCCCGCCGTAAGTCGAGAACATACCCCAGGTCCCCGCCGCAACTCGAGAAAAACCATGAGACTTCCCCCTAGAGGCGAGATGAGGCCCCATTCCCCTGCAGTGCATGCAGAGCTATTCCGTGATCCCATTCAAACAAGTCAGGAGCTTCGACTTGCTTAATGGATCTCGAGACAGTCCCCAAGAACACTGTCACCAGTCTAGACGGACCCTGAGGTCACCCCAGCAACGCAAAGCAGCTCCATGTGCCCCAAATCAACTCGAGATGAGGCCCGATTCCCCTGCATTGACTCCAGAGCCATTCCCCGTTCCACATTCAACACGACCGGTGGCTCGACTTCCTTCAGGCAACTCCAGAGATGCCCCGAGAACACTGTCCCAAGTCTAGAGGAACACCAACTTCAGCACAGCAACTCGAGGAATGCTCCGTGTACCCCAAATCGTCTCGAGATGCGAGCTGATTCCCTGGCTTAGGCTCAAGACGTATGCCAACTTCCCAGAAGCACCTCAGGAGGAGGCTTCTCTCAGCAATAGGTATGTGGGAGGGACCCCGAGTTTGCTGCCTCAAGGGGAATATACAGCGAGAAGCCCTAACTTGAAAGGAGGCCGGATTTCCTTGCAGTGGCTTGAATACAGGCTCGTCTTTCATCTCACAACATGAAGGGATGTCTGAATCCCCTGTGGAGACCTTAGAGAAAGCCCTAGGTCCCTGCCTCATTTTGACGGAATGCCTCACATCCCGCTGACACCTCGAGAGGCACGCGGAGTTCATTGCTTCAAAAGGTGACGATGCCTGACTCCTCTTGAATACTGATAGGAATCCCAAAATCCCTGTGGCTACTGGAAAGGGTCCTTGGGTGCCCTGCCTCACCTCGAGAAGCGTCCCTTTGGCCCTGCCAAGCCTCGAAGAGATTCCTGAGGTGTCCCTCGTTACTAGACAGGAGTCCTGACGTCACTGAAGAAACTCGTGTTTTGAACGGCCATCCCCGCCGTAAGTCGAGAACATACCCCAGGTCCCCGCCGCAACTCGAGAAAAACCATGAGACTTCCCCCTAGAGGCGAGATGAGGCCCCATTCCCCTGCAGTGCATGCAGAGCTATTCCGTGACCCCATTCAAACAAGTCAGGAGCTTCGACTTGCTTAATGGATCTCGAGACAGTCCCCAAGAACACTGTCACCAGTCTAGACGGACCCTGAGGTCACCCCAGCAACGCAAAGCAGCTTCATGTGCCCCAAATCAACTCGAGATGAGGCCCGATTCCCCTGCATTGACTCCAGAGCCATTCCCCGTTCCCCATTCAACACGACCGGTGGCTCGACTTCCTTCAGGCAACTCCAGAGATGCCCCGAGAACACTGTCCCAAGTCTAGAGGAACACCAACTTCAGCACAGCAACTCGAGGAATGCTCCGTGTACCCCAAATCGTCTCGAGATGCGAGCTGATTCCCTGGCTTAGGCTCAAGACGTATGCCAACTTCCCAGAAGCACCTCAGGAGGGGGCTTCTCTCAGCAATAGGTATGTGGGAGGGACACCGAGTTTGCTGCCTCAAGGGGAATATACAGCGAGAAGCCCTAACTTGAAAGGAGGCCGGATTTCCTTGCAGTGGCTTGAATACAGGCTCGTCTTTCATCTCACAACATGAAGGGATGTCTGAATCCCCTGTGGAGACCTTAGAGAAAGCCCTAGGTCCCTGCCTCATTTTGACGGAATGCCTCACATCCCGCTGACACCTCGAGAGGCACGCGGAGTTCATTGCTTCAAAAGGTGACGATGCCTGACTCCTCTTGAATACTGATAGGAATCCCAAAATCCCTGTGGCTACTGGAAAGGGTCCTTGGGTGCCCTGCCTCACCTCGAGAAGCGTCCCTTTGGCCCTGCCAAGCCTCGAAGATTCCTGAGGTGTCCCTCGTTACTAGACAGGAGTCCTGACGTCACTGAAGAAACTCGTGTTTTGAAGGGCCATCCCCGCCGTAAGTCGAGAACATACCCCAGGTCTCCGCCGCAACTCGAGAAAAACCATGAGACTTCCCCCTAGAGGCGAGATGAGGCCCCATTCCCCTGCAGTGCATGCAGAGCTATTCCGTGATCCCATTCAAACAAGTCAGGAGCTTCGACTTGCTTAATGGATCTCGAGACAGTCCCCAAGAACACTGTCACCAGTCTAGACGGACCCTGAGGTCACCCCAGCAACGCAAAGCAGCTCCATGTGCCCCAAATCAACTCGAGATGAGGCCCGATTCCCCTGCATTGACTCCAGAGCCATTCCCCGTTCCCCATTCAACACGACCGGTGGCTCGACTTCCTTCAGGCAACTCCAGAGATGCCCTGAGAACACTGTCCCAAGTCTAGAGGAACACCAACTTCAGCACAGCAACTCGAGGAATGCTCCGTGTACCCCAAATCGTCTCGAGATGCGAGCTGATTCCCTGGCTTAGGCTCAAGACGTATGCCAACTTCCCAGAAGCACCTCAGGAGGGGGCTTCTCTCAGCAATAGGTATGTGGGAGGGACACCGAGTTTGCTGCCTCAAGGGGAATATACAGCGAGAAGCCCTAACTTGAAAGGAGGCCGGATTTCCTTGCAGTGGCTTGAATACAGGCTCGTCTTTCATCTCACAACATGAAGGGATGTCTGAATCCCCTGTGGAGACCTTAGAGAAAGCCCTAGGTCCCTGCCTCATTTTGACGGAATGCCTCACATCCCGCTGACACCTCGAGAGGCACGCGGAGTTCATTGCTTCAAAAGGTGACGATGCCTGACTCCTCTTGAATACTGATAGGAATCTCAAAATCCCTGTGGCTACTGGAAAGGGTCCTTGGGTGCCCTGCCTCACCTCGAGAAGCGTCCCTTTGGCCCTGCCAAGCCTCGAAGATTCCTGAGGTGTCCCTCGTTACTAGACAGGAGTCCTGACGTCACTGAAGAAACTCGTGTTTTGAAGGGCCATCCCCGCCGTAAGTCGAGAACATACCCCAGGTCCCCGCCGCAACTCGAGAAAAACCATGAGACTTCCCCCTAGAGGCGAGATGAGGCCCCATTCCCCTGCAGTGCATGCAGAGCTATTCCGTGATCCCATTCAAACAAGTCAGGAGCTTCGACTTGCTTAATGGATCTCGAGACAGTCCCCAAGAACACTGTCACCAGTCTAGACGGACCCTGAGGTCACCCCAGCAACGCAAAGCAGCTCCATGTGCCCCAAATCAACTCGAGATGAGGCCCGATTCCCCTGCACTGACTCCAGAGCCATTCCCCGTTCCCCATTCAACACGACCGGTGGCTCGACTTCCTTCAGGCAACTTCAGAGATGCCCCGAGAACACTGTCCCAAGTCTAGAGGAACACGAACTTCAGCACAGCAACTCGAGGAATGCTCCGTGTACCCCAAATCGTCTCGAGATGCGAGCTGATTCCCTGGCTTATGCTCAAGACGTATGCCAACTTCCCAGAAGCACCTCAGGAGGAGGCTTCTCTCAGCAATAGGTATGTGGGAGGGACCCCGAGTTTGCTGCCTCAAGGGGAATATACAGCGAGAAGCCCTAACTTGAAAGGACGCCGGATTTCCTTGCAGTGGCTTGAATACAGGCTCGTCTTTCATCTCACAACATGAAGGGATGTCTGAATCCCCTGTGGAGAACTTAGAGAAAGCCCTAGGTCCCTGCCTCATTTTGACGGAATGCCTCACATCCCGCTGACACCTCGAGAGGCACGCGGAGTTCATTGCTTCAAAAGGTGACGATGCCTGACTCCTCTTGAATACTGATAAGAATCCCAAAATCCCTGTGGCTACTGGAAAGGGTCCTTGGGTGCCCTGCCTCACCTCGAGAAGCGTCCCTTTGGCCCTGCCAAGCCTCGAAGATTCCTGAGGTGTCCCTCGTTACTAGACAGGAGTCCTGACGTCACTGAAGAAACTCGTGTTTTGAAGGGCCATCCCCGCCGTAAGTCGAGAACATACCCCAGGTCCCCGCCGCAACTCGAGAAAAACCATGAGACTTCCCCCTAGAGGCGAGATGAGGCCCCATTCCCCTGCAGTGCATGCAGAGCTATTCCGTGATCCCATTCAAACAAGTCAGGAGCTTCGACTTGCTTAATGGATCTCGAGACAGTCCCCAAGAACACTGTCACCAGTCTAGACGGACCCTGAGGTCACCCCAGCAACGCAAAGCAGCTCCATGTGCCCCAAATCAACTCGAGATGAGGCCCGATTCCCCTGCATTGACTCCAGAGCCATTCCCCGTTCCCCATTCAACACGACCGGTGGCTCGACTTCCTTCAGGCAACTCCAGAGATGCCCCGAGAACACTGTCCCAAGTCTAGAGGAACACCAACTTCAGCACAGCAACTCGAGGAATGCTCCGTGTACCCCAAATCGTCTCGAGATGCGAGCTGATTCCCTGGCTTAGGCTCAAGACGTATGCCAACTTCCCAGAAGCACCTCAGGAGGGGGCTTCTCTCAGCAATAGGTATGTGGGAGGGACCCCGAGTTTGCTGCCTCAAGGGGAATATACAGCGAGAAGCCCTAACTAGAAAGGAGGCCGGATTTCCTTGCAGTGGCTTGAATACAGGCTCGTCTTTCATCTCACAACATGAAGGGATGTCTGAATCCCCTGTGGAGACCTTAGAGAAAGCCCTAGGTCCCTGCCTCATTTTGACGGAATGCCTCACATCCCGCTGACACCTCGAGAGGCACGCGGAGTTCATTGCTTCAAAAGGTGACGATGCCTGACTCCTCTTGAATACTGATAGGAATCCCAAAATCCCTGTGGCTACTGGAAAGGGTCCTTGGGTGCCCTGCCTCACCTCGAGAAGCGTCCCTTTGGCCCTGCCAAGCCTCGAAGATTCCTGAGGTGTCCCTCGTTACTAGACAGGAGTCCTGACGTCACTGAAGAAACTCGTGTTTTGAAGGGCCATCCCCGCCGTAAGTCGAGAACATACCCCAGGTAACCGCCGCAACTCGAGAAAAACCATGAGACTTCCCCCTAGAGGCGAGATGAGGCCCCATTCCCCTGCAGTGCATGCAGAGCTATTCCGTGATCCCATTCAAACAAGTCAGGAGCTTCGACTTGCTTAATGGATCTCGAGACAGTCCCCAAGAACACTGTCACCAGTCTAGACGGACCCTGAGGTCACCCCAGCAACGCAAAGCAGCTCCATGTGCCCCAAATCAACTCAAGATGAGGCCCGATTCCCCTGCACTGACTCCAGAGCCATTCCCCGTTCCCCATTCAACACGACCGGTGGCTCGACTTCCTTCAGGCAACTTCAGAGATGCCCCGAGAACACTGTCCCAAGTCTAGAGGAACACGAACTTCAGCACAGCAACTCGAGGAATGCTCCGTGTACCCCAAATCGTCTCGAGATGCGAGCTGATTCCCTGGCTTATGCTCAAGACGTATGCCAACTTCCCAGAAGCACCTCAGGAGGAGGCTTCTCTCAGCAATAGGTATGTGGGAGGGACCCCGAGTTTGCTGCCTCAAGGGGAATATACAGCGAGAAGCCCTAACTTGAAAGGACGCCGGATTTCCTTGCAGTGGCTTGAATACAGGCTCGTCTTTCATCTCACAACATAAAGGGATGTCTGAATCCCCTGTGGAGACCTTAGAGAAAGCCCTAGGTCCCTGCCTCATTTTGACGGAATGCCTCACATCCCGCTGACACCTCGAGAGGCACGCGGAGTTCATTGCTTCAAAAGGTGACGATGCCTGACTCCTCTTGAATACTGATAAGAATCCCAAAATCCCTGTGGCTACTGGAAAGGGTCCTTGGGTGCCCTGCCTCACCTCGAGAAGCGTCCCTTTGGCCCTGCCAAGCCTCGAAGAGATTCCTGAGGTGTCCCTCGTTACTAGACAGGAGTCCTGACGTCACTGAAGAAACTCGTGTTTTGAAGGGCCATCCCCGCCGTAAGTCGAGAACATACCCCAGGTCCCCGCCGCAACTCGAGAAAAACCATGAGACTTCCCCCTAGAGGCGAGATGAGGCCCCATTCCCCTGCAGTGCATGCAGAGCTATTCCGTGACCCCATTCAAACAAGTCAGGAGCTTCGACTTGCTTAATGGATCTCGAGACAGTCCCCAAGAACACTGTCACCAGTCTAGACGGACCCTGAGGTCACCCCAGCAACGCAAAGCAGCTCCATGTGCCCCAAATCAACTCGAGATGAGGTCCGATTCCCCTGCACTGACTCCAGAGCCATTCCCCGTTCCCCATTCAACACGACCGGTGGCTCGACTTCCTTCAGGCAACTCCAGAGATGGCCCGAGAACACTGTCCCAAGTCTAGAGGAACACCAACTTCAGCACAGCAACTCGAGGAATGCTCCGTGTACCCCAAATCGTCTCGAGATGCGAGCTGATTCCCTGGCTTAGGCTCAAGACGTATGCCAACTTCCCAGAAGCACCTCAGGAGGAGGCTTCTCTCAGCAATAGGTATGTGGGAGGGACACCGAGTTTGCTGCCTCAAGGGGAATATACAGCGAGAAGCCCTAACTTGAAAGGAGGCCGGATTTCCTTGCAGTGGCTTGAATACAGGCTCGTCTTTCATCTCACAACATGAAGGGATGTCTGAATCCCCTGTGGAGACCTTAGAGAAAGCCCTAGGTCCCTGCCTCATTTTGACGGAATGCCTCACATCCCGCTGACACCTCGAGAGGCACGCGGAGTTCATTGCTTCAAAAGGTGACGATGCCTGACTCCTCTTGAATACTGATAGGAATCCCAAAATCCGTGTGGCTACTGGAAAGGGTCCTTGGGTGCCCTGCCTCACCTCGAGAAGCGTCCCTTTGGCCCTGCCAAGCCTTGAAGAGATTCCTGAGGTGTCCCTCGTTACTAGACAGGAGTCCTGACGTCACTGAAGAAACTCGTGTTTTGAAGGGCCATCCCCGCCGTAAGTCGAGAACATACCCCAGGTCCCCGCCGCAACTCGAGAAAAACCATGAGACTTCCCCCTAGAGGCGAGATGAGGCCCCATTCCCCTGCAGTGCATGCAGAGCTATTCCATGACCCCATTCAAACAAGTCAGGAGCTTCGACTTGCTTAATGGATCTCGAGACAGTCCCCAAGAACACTGTCACCAGTCTAGACGGACCCTGAGGTCACCCCAGCAACGCAAAGCAGCTCCATGTGCCCCAAATCAACTCGAGATGAGGCCCGATTCCCCTGCATTGACTCCAGAGCCATTCCCCGTTCCCCATTCAACACGACCGGTGGCTCGACTTCCTTCAGGCAACTCCAGAGATGCCCCGAGAACACTGTCCCAAGTCTAGAGGAACACCAACTTCAGCACAGCAACTCGAGGAATGCTCCGTGTACCCCAAATCGTCTCGAGATGCGAGCTGATTCCCTGGCTTAGGCTCAAGACGTATGCCAACTTCCCAGAAGCACCTCAGGAGGAGGCTTCTCTCAGCAATAGGTATGTGGGAGGGACCCCGAGTTTGCTGCCTCAAGGGGAATATACAGCGAGAAGCCCTAACTTGAAAGGACGCCGGATTTCCTTGCAGTGGCTTGAATACAGGCTCGTCTTTCATCTCACAACCTGAAGGGATGTCTGAATCCCCTGTGGAGACCTTAGAGAAAGCGCTAGGTCCCTGCCTCATTTTGACGGAATGCCTCACATCCCGCTGACACCTCGAGAGGCACGCGGAGTTCATTGCTTCAAAAGGTGACGATGCCTGACTCCTCTTGAATACTGATAGGAATCCCAAAATCCCTGTGGCTACTGGAAAGGGTCCTTGGGTGCCCTGCCTCACCTCGAGAAGCGTCCCTTTGGCCCTGCCAAGCCTCGAAGAGATTCCTGAGGTGTCCCTCGTTACTAGACAGGAGTCCTGACGTCACTGAAGAAACTCGTGTTTTGAAGGGCCATCCCCGCCGTAAGTCGAGAACATACCCCAGGTCCCCGCCGCAACTCGAGAAAAACCATGAGACTTCCCCCTAGAGGCGAGATGAGGCCCCATTCCCCTGCAGTGCATGCAGAGCTATTCCGTGATCCCATTCAAACAAGTCAGGAGCTTCGACTTGCTTAATGGATCTCGAGACAGTCCCCAAGAACACTGTCACCAGTCTAGACGGACCCTGAGGTCACCCCAGCAACGCAAAGCAGCTCCATGTGCCCCAAATCAACTCGAGATGAGGCCCGATTCCCCTGCATTGACTCCAGAGCCATTCCCCGTTCCCCATTCAACACGACCGGTGGCTCGACTTCCTTCAGGCAACTCCAGAGATGCCCCGAGAACACTGTCCCAAGTCTAGAGGAACACCAACTTCAGCACAGCAACTCGAGGAATGCTCCGTGTACCCCAAATCGTCTCGAGATGCGAGCTGATTCCCTGGCTTAGGCTCAAGACGTATGCCAACTTCCCAGAAGCACCTCAGGAGGAGGCTTCTCTCAGCAATAGGTATGTGGGAGGGACCCCGAGTTTGCTGCCTCAAGGGGAATATACAGCGAGAAGCCCTAACTTGAAAGGAGGCCGGATTTCCTTGCAGTGGCTTGAATACAGGCTCGTCTTTCATCTCACAACATGAAGGGATGTCTGAATCCCCTGTGGAGACCTTAGAGAAAGCCCTAGGTCCCTGCCTCATTTTGACGGAATGCCTCACATCCCGCTGACACCTCGAGAGGCACGCGGAGTTCATTGCTTCAAAAGGTGACGATGCCTGACTCCTCTTGAATACTGATAGGAATCCCAAAATCCCTGTGGCTACTGGAAAGGGTCCTTGGGTGCCCTGCCTCACCTCGAGAAGCGTCCCTTTGGCCCTGCCAAGCCTCGAAGAGATTCCTGAGGTGTCCCTCGTTACTAGACAGGAGTCCTGACGTCACTGAAGAAACTCGTGTTTTGAAGGGCCATCCCCGCCGTAAGTCGAGAACATACCCCAGGTCCCCGCCGCAACTCGAGAAAAACCATGAGACTTCCCCCTAGAGGCGAGATGAGGCCCCATTATCCTGCAGTGCATGCAGAGCTATTCCGTGACCCCATTCAAACAAGTCAGGAGCTTCGACTTGCTTAATGGATCTCGAGACAGTCCCCAAGAACACTGTCACCAGTCTAGACGGACCCTGAGGTCACCCCAGCAACGCAAAGCAGCTCCATGTGCCCCAAATCAACTCGAGATGAGGCCCGATTCCCCTGCATTGACTCCAGAGCCATTCCCCGTTCCCCATTCAACACGACCGGTGGCTCGACTTCCTTCAGGCAACTCCAGAGATGCCCCGAGAACACTGTCCCAAGTCTAGAGGAACACCAACTTCAGCACAGCAACTCGAGGAATGCTCCGTGTACCACAAATCGTCTCGAGATGCGAGCTGATTCCCTGGCTTAGGCTCAAGACGTATGCCAACTTCCCAGAAGCACCTCAGGAGGGGGCTTCTCTCAGCAATAGGTATGTGGGAGGGACCCCGAGTTTGCTGCCTC